TAGCACCTAATCCCATCCCTAGTGGCTAGCTAGCTTCTCCAATCCTAGTCATGTAGCTGTGAAGTTGGTGTTTGAAAGTATATGTATACACGATTGGTGTATATATAAGCGGATGGTACTTAATTTCATGCTGTTAGAATATGACTTGAATTTGATTTGTTTGGGTTTGTGTTTGTTCTTTGTTTGACCTTTTCCTTGTATGTTTGGGAAAAGGTGTTTGGTTTTCTGTTTGGGATTAGGAGAAGAGTTCTATAAATACTCTTCATCACACTAGTCTGTAGTAAGGTCAGTCAGGTTAGTTTGTTTGATTTGTCCGTTTGGAATTTGGTTTGTAACCTATACTCTCCTCAAATTAGTGAAAATTGTCCCCCCTGCCCGTGGATTAGCTAACACATATTGTGTTAGTGAACCACGTTAAATTTGTGTTCGTTCGTGTTGGTTTGGATTATCGATTGCCACGCTTCTGTTCTAACAAGTGGTATCAGAGCCGCTATTGATCTTTGGATTATTTGAAACTGTCTATGTGGATTTTGGGATCACGCTGCTGGTTGCTAGATTGATTGATTGGAAGTCGCTGTTTGCATCGTTCCTTTGGCGTCGGAGCATCGGGTTGGTTCTTTGGAATTCGTCGTTGTTGATTTGAAAAGGTTGGATTTGTTGCTTTGGGGTAGGATTATTGTGATTATTAATCACAATTGTTTGCCGCCAATTCTGGGGGAGAAGCATACGAAGTGGCATTGGTGAAGTTTTGCTTTATTTGGAGTTCTGATTATTATCACAATTTGGAGTAATCACAATTCATTAGCATTTGCAGAAGTTGCAGCAAACGTTTGTCCCGTTATGGACTTTGAAATTTGGTGTTTCCTTGGAGTTGCAGGTTTGGAGTTGGAAGTAAATCTGATGTTGGTGTTATCGATGGAAATAACACCAAGTTGGTTATGCATGGCAAGTCCCAACATGGGTTGGACTTGCTGCATGTTTTGATTTGTTGATAGCCCTTAGGGGCATTTGGAGGCAGAGGAGATTCTGGTACAACTTATTTGGAGGAGTTTGGTACGTGTGCCAATTTTGATTGCATCTGAGTTTGGCGATTTGCATCGCATTTGAGTTTGGCGATTTCGATCGCATCTGAGTAAATTTGGCGATATGTATCGTGTCTGGGTACATCTGGCAACTTTGGTTGCATTTGGTACATCTAGCAACTTTGGTTGCGTCTGGTACATCTGGTATTTGACAGAGAATTCAAGTCAAGGTGGAGATTGTTAGAATATGACTTGAATTTGATTTGGGTTTGTTTTGTGTTTGGGCCTATTTTGTTTGTGTTTGTGTTTGGGCTTTGTTTGACCTTTTCCTTGTATGTTTGGGAAAAGGTGTTTGGTTTTCTGTTTGGGATTAGGAGAAGAGTTATATAAATACTCTTCATAACCCTAGTCTGTAGTAAGGTCAGTCAGGTTAGTTTGTTTGGTTTGTCCGTTTGGAATTTGGTTTGTAACCTGTACTCTTCTCAAATTAGTGAAATTTGTCCCCTATGCCCGTGGATTAGCTAGCACACATTATGTTAGTGAACCACGTTAAATTGTTCGTTCGTGTTGGTTTGAATTATCGATTGCCACACTTCTGTATGCAGTCATAACATGGAAGTGGTGGTTAAATATTGGTCACTAATTATTTGACAACATTACAAGTGAGTCAAAACTATGTATCTCAACCAGCTTTAATTTGCTCTTAATGACTTTGTTAACCAACTGGCCGGTTATAAGCTTTATGGCTAAACGAATTAAATAGGAATCTCGTTCGTACGTATAAATCTACTACTAATGATGACAACATCGATCCATCATGCATGGCTCAACCTCCACCCTGTTATTGTTGTCTACTATGGAGATGCAAAATGGATGACTTTGTTATAAGGCCCTAAATGTAAGGATGCGTGTGGCCGTGGCCATGCCCATGATCCATCAACATATCTAGGGTTCTTTGACATTTATTACTAATTGAGTTAATTATACTATGCGTGTCTTTCTTCCGTGGAACTATAATTAAGCCCGTTGACTGCTCTAACAAATGAGAATCTCATAAAATTAAACTACTGACGCTAATTACTGCTCTCATGTAATACTCTTGACCCCGTAGCTCCACCCCATCGTTTCTACTATGGAGAAAGAGAGGGTGTCGTCGAAATATTGTCCTGCCGGCTCATCCTCACCAGAGTTCATTGATCTCATTCTCATAGTCATAGTTTACCAACTCTACTAATTATTTAGATAACGAACTAGCTAGCTAGTGGTGACTTGTTAATCCATGATTTCTGATTCAATATCTGTCTTCAACGATGATACCATCATGTCTCGTGCCATCAATATGAGGGGAAGCTAGTTAAAGTCCAACTCCCACGACACTTACATAATATCCACCCCACCAAATAAACAAATAATCCAAATACCAAATTCATATTCTTCTATCTGAACACACTATAGAAATAGAATATTCAATAAGTGTTTATACATGTACTAATTTACATATATATCTTTTGATCCAAAAAAAAAAAATTTACATATATCTCTTAGTCAGGGCTTAGGATAGGGTGAGTAACCATTGGTTACTAACCTATAAGTAACTAAATCTGAACCTTTAGATCTTAGTGGGCCCAGAAAATCCTGATCTAAGGGTTGTCAATTAAAGACCTTTTATTTTCCTTGATTTTCATAATCGGCTCATATCTTCTTCGTTTTAACTCGGATTTCAATTTTTTTTTGCACACATGGAACGAGATCGTTGTGCTCTACAAAATGATATCAATTTTCAATATATTTTGAGAAACTTTTTTTTTTTTACCAACTGCATACCATATGGTAACTTCTTCGTTTTTAAGTTGTTTTTGAAAACGTTTGCTCAGAAGGAACGTGTTCATCATGATCTATTTGGATCTACAAATTTCTGGGTGAAAAAAAATACTAGACCAAAAATTACCATACTTTACCACTATGGTATGTGAGTGGTAACTTATGGTAAACAATGATGAAAGTCGTAAATGACAGTTAGTATACTCCTACTATCATGTATTCAACCTTCTTACCATATTGGTATGTTCATACCATCATGGTACGTTTTCTTACCATATGGTATTAAAAATGAGCATACCATATGGTAATGACTGGTAAAAAATTATTCAATTTTTTTTGTACTAAAAATATATCAAAGTGGATATCATTTTAAAGAGCATATTTAATCTAATTTATTTATGCAAAAAATTTAAATTTCCACTTAAAACGAGAGAGAAATCGTTTGTTAAAGATTAAAGGGGAAAAGATAAAAGATTTTCCAGGAGAGAGGGGATGCTGATGTCATGCGGATGTGGACAGGTTACTGATGGTTACTCACCATAAAAGTTACTGACCTGATCCGCTCCCCTTAGTCAGTTCATGATAATTTTATTCTAAGAATGTAATTAAGTTTGTTATCATAAATAAAATAAGTAGTGAACTAATCTATATATAGAAAATAGGGGGAAATAAACAATTCATACGAGGTGGATTTCGTCTGTAGTTATAATGTTGAAATAAAAAAAGTACAAATGAATTTCTTCCATAGATGCATTTCGGACCAACATCCTAATTATTGACAACATTGGACTGAGGAATTGTTTGATATAAGGATGATCTATACATAAGTGGTGGCTCAGACCCTTAGAATATATGCATCTTAATTAATCAAATCAATCTATTATTAGTATCTCGTTTAGAATATCATATATGATTCTGATAGGAACTCGTAGGATATTTCGTGTTATCTATCAAATCAATGTATCATTAGCATTTGGGATATAATTGTAATAAACTGAACATACTTGTCATTATAGGTGTCAATCGGGCGGGTTCGGTTCAATCGGGTTCGGGTTCAAACGGGTTGCGGGTTAGTCGGGTTGCATGTTCATCGGGTTCGGATTCAATCGGGTTGCGGGCAAATCGGGTTGCGGGTTCATCGGGTTTTGGGTCGAGCGGGTTGCGGGCGGGTCGGGTTTCGGGTTGTTCGGGCCAGCGCATCAAGTAACTTAACTCATTACTCATTACCAACTTACACATTTTATTACACTAATTTAAAATATTTTCTCAACTTTTTAACCAATTTATTTCTACCTCGTATATATACACTTTATTTTTTTGAAAAAAACTAGTCAAAATGTTAAATCAATTTGTATGACTTGCAAACTTGTTATGTAATTAATCATAATTGGTAAAGTATTATAGCCAATAGTAATGGTGATATCAATATTTGAAACCAAAAGACACCGTTAATTGTTTATTTGATATTCTAGTATTAATTCAGTAGTAATTGGATTAAAGTATCTCGTTTAGTATAACCATGCAAATCTGGTATTTGGCGTGTGGTATTTGGCAAAAGCATACTGATAAAAGGAGTTATTTCAAAATAACTCATTGCCCAAATAACTTTAGTAAACTGTTGCCAAACGAGTTATTTGTAAAATTGTTCGAATTATCCTAAAAATTGAACCATTAAAGATTAGCTATCAAATTTTGCAAAATTATTGTGACTTCAATAATAACTTACTCAATAACATATATCCTATACACTTAGCTTTACCCTCAATCAACAATATTAAGTTAGTATATGTTGTTGATTGTATACCCTAAACCATCAATACATTATACACTAACCACATAACCTATACCCTAACCATATGTCCTTGAGTTGTGATTTTGCTAGTATAGTTAATTTAAAAGTGAAATTCATACTTTGATTTTCAAAACATAGATAAAAAGTGATATTTGCTAATTGTTATACCCTAACCATATATCATATACTTTACACCACATACCTTGTACCCTAACCACGTACCATAAACATAAATTAAAAAGGGATCTCCTGCCGATAAAGACTTCAAATGACTTCAAGTGAACATATGTTAATAAAAAACTTAGAACCGTCAAAACCATCAATATCTTATACACTAACCATATACACCCTAAACCATATGTAGCTTATACCTTATACTTTATACCCTAACCATATACTTTATATCCTAAACAACGAACCGTCAAAGATTACTTATCAAGTTTAGTATAAATTGTTGTAACTAATGGTTAATTTATTTATTAGACCATAAAAAATTACATACATATATACATATTAGCCTTCAAAGCATATAAGAATAATTTTAACTAGTCATGCCCTCCATATAAAAGTTAAAGATTCATATTTCAAAAACTAAAATTATGAAAAACCAAAAAATTGAAAACACCAAATTTGTTTCCTTCTTTCTTTTCACAAAAACACTAAAATTTCACTCCTTCTTTCTTCTTCCATACATTAGAATAACTCAATTTTCCCTCATCTTTCTCTTCCATAAAATTGAAAGAACCAAATTACCCTCTTCTTTCCTTCTACAAAAAGTTGAAAAGTCAAAAGTTTCCCTCCTTATTTCTCTTTCATAATCAAAAGAATCAAAATTTTCCACTTCTTTCTCTTCCCGCATATCAAAACCACCAAAATTCGCACTTGTTTCTTTTCTAAAAAATTCAAAGAACCAAATTTCCCTCTTCTTTCTCTTCCCAAAAACTTGAATACACCAAAATTTCCCTCTTCTTTTAAAAACATCAAATTACCAAATACATTACTTTACTTTATTTATATTTAATGATAATTTTATTGAATAGTTAAATTAACCAAAATTTTAATTTATATATTATATTAATATTGTCATGATCTCAAGTGACCTTCATTTTTGTCATTTTCTTAAAATACGTAATATCAAGTGAGTTTCATATCTTTAAAATTTCTTATACGAAATGAAAAAATAATTTTACTTAAGTTTAGAATGAAAAACTTTATTTTGAAAAACTATGATTATTCAAGTGGATTAGATGAAATTCGGGTTGAGTCGGTCGGGTTACGGGTTAGTCGGGTTCGGGTCAATGGGTTCGAGTTAATCGGGTTGCGGGTCAAATGGGTTCGGGTTAATCGGGTTGCGGGTTAGTTAGGTTGCGGGTCAATCGGGTTGCGGGTCGTGCGGATTACGAGTTGTTGACTTTTAGTCAATTCAGATTGCGGGTCGAGTTGATCGGACGGGTTAATCGGTTCGGACTATGTTTCGACACCTTGTCATCAACTAACTGTCACAATGGATTGTGATTAGCATTAGGGCGCACGTCTGAAATATTGTTCACCAACCATGATTTTTATATATATATATAGTTATATATCTATCTGCAAATCGATATCTCCCTCTCCAGAGATCACCCACTTTGTTTGTATTATCTATCTATAATCCAGCTATTAACCTGCTTGCCTTGCCTGGTCAATAGTTACTTAATCCATTCCCAACTCAATAGAATAAAAATTACAAGCAAACTACACGAATCCACCTCTCCAAAATTTCCACCCATTCTTGTCCGTACATTCCCCCGATCCAGCGACCCTTTCTCCTGCTCAAAAAACCCAAAAACAAAAACAAAAACAAAAAATTACGAAAAAGGATTGAAGATAATCACTTAAACAAAACAACATTCTCTCAGTTTTTCCCCTTTCTCATACAAACAACAAATCTTCCAACTTCTCTGAACGTTTTTTCTCCCCATCCCCCTCCACCCGAAAAGTACAAAAGGAAAAACGTTAATGGAATCGAACATTAATTCTGAACAGGCTCATCCTGACGTTGCCAAACCTACAGACACCACCACCAACAAGGACGACCCTCCTCCCACCGTCCCTGATTCATCAGCCGCCGCAGATGGTAACGACGATGCATCACCCGCACCGCACATCCACCACAGTCGCAGCGGCCACCTCCTTGATGATTCCTCTTCTTCTGGTCCCGAAAACGGCGCGGACAAGGATGGCTCCGCCTCAAGCCCTGACCAAAACGGTGACGTTTCACATGATCCGCCGCCTCCTAATCTTGACGAGGAAATCCATCTCACCCTGCAAACCCTCTCTCCTGACATCGACCATTTCCTGATCACTCTCTCAGAAAGAAAGATGGTGGTTTCCTCGCAGGAAACATTAGTGGGGGAGATGGAAGAGAAAAAGGAGCACGATGAGAAGCAGGAGACGGAAGACAAGGATGAGAAGAATGAGGATCCGATTTCAGGGGAGAAAGAAGCCGGCTCCCGCGAACATAAGCCGGATTCGGAAGAGGCGGGACCTGATGATGAAGAAGGCAAGAAGGAGGAGGAAAAAGAAAAGCAAATCTGTAAGAAGAGATCGACCATCTTGATGCCGGAATTTGTGGAGAAGTACGTGGATCTGGTCGACGGGAAGATCAGGGATCGTGATTCATCTTCCGACGGGAAAGGAGGAGGCGGAGGGGGGAAGTGGTGCCTCTCGCCAGATGATGATGCGTTATTCATGGAGATCGTGAATCGTTTCTCCAGGCTAGCGAGTTCGCTCAACGAGTTTCGATCGGATCCAGATCATGCTCATCTCGTGAACCGGATCGGATCAATTCACCAGCGAGCAATGTCGTATTTGGAGGATGAATTCGGGTTTCTTCTCCAAGAGCATGCCAATCAACAACCGGTACAAGAACCAGATTCCGCGGGAAAATCATCAGCAAAAGCGGCAGAAACCGGTGAGGGAGGGAGTCCGCTGCCAGAATCGCAATCAAAGCTTGAGGAAGAAAAGGAATCGCCGTATCCTGGGTACAGTGAAGAAACGGTGACGAATCTGAGGAATATCGCGAGCCAGATGATCGCCGGTGGGTACGAATCAGAGTGTTGCCAGGTGTACATGATCGTACGGCGGCACGCCTTGGACGAGACCCTAATCCAGTCAGGATTCGAGAAGATCAGCATCGACGATGTCCAGAAGATGGCGTGGGAGAATCTCGAGCGGGAAATCCCGATCATGACTTCCATCATCAAAGAATGCGCCAGCGTCCATTTCCCCAAAGAGCACAAATTAGTCCACTCTGTTTTCTCAAACTACCCTTCCCTCTCCATCTCCCTCTTCAGCAACCTAAGCAGAGGAATTCTTATCCAGTTCCTCAATTTTGCCGAAGGAGTCGCCATGTCTAAGAGATCCACGGAGAAGCTCTTCAAATTCCTCGACATGTATGAAACCTTGCGAGATGGATTCGCTGCAATCGAAGGCTTGTACCCGGAGGAGTCTGAGGGCGAGCTGAAAACCGAGGCCACGACGGTAAAGGGAAGAATCGGAGAAGCGGCAATTAACATCTTCAGCGATCTGGAGCATTCAATCAAAAACGACCATGGAAAGACTCCGGTCCCCGGCGGCGCCGTCCATCCGTTAACCCGCTACACGATGAACTACCTGAAATACGCCTTTGAGTACAAGTCGACTTTGGAGAATGTTTTTAGAGAGCATTCCAAAATCGAGCGTGCAGATTCAACGAGCCGGCCTAGATTCGAAGGCGATTCGAATCAAGCTGGAGGAGGCGGTGACCAGGACAATAACCAGTCTCCATTCGCCGGCCAGCTGGCGAGGATCATGGATTTCCTAGATCAAAACCTAGAGTCGAAATCGCAACTCTACAGAGACGTATCCCTCTGCTGCATCTTCATGATGAACAATGGGCGGTATATTTTACAAAAAATCAAGAGCTCTCCGGAGATCCACTGCGTTATGGGGGATCCGTGGTGCCGTCGAAAATCGTCGGACCTCCGGAACTACCACAAGGGGTACCAGAGGGAGACGTGGAGCAAGTTGCTAGGGTGTCTGGCACAGGAGGGCGTGCAGGTGCATGGGAAAGTGTCCAAGACCGTGTTGAAAGAGAGGTTCAAGAACTTCAACATCATGTTCGATGAGATACACAGGACGCAGAGCCAGTGGGTGGTGAGCGACGAACAGTTGCAGTCAGAGCTTCGGGTGTCGATAGCGGCAGTGGTGATTCCGGCGTACAGGGCCTTTCTAGGGAGGTTCTCGCAGTATTTTACTCCCGGCAGGCAATACGAGAAGTATGTAAAGTATCAGGCGGAGGATATAGAGAATTGTGTGGAGGAGCTGTTCGAGGGGAACGCTAGTTCCATAGCCAGGAGGAGATGATAAAGATGATTGTTGTTAATTACTTGGAAATGACTATGGTTAACTAGTGGATTAATATGGTTTTGCTAATTAGTAGTGTTGTCTTTGTAGGTTTGGGGGAACTTCAACATCATAATCATCGTGAGATCAAAGATTGTATTATTGTAATTTACATTTTAATGGGCAGATATAATTTTTTAGTTCTTTTCTTTTTTATCTTTTCGGAACTCAGTCATTAAACTTAGTATACATTGCTACAATGAAAACTAAACATAGCATTTTGAGGACCGAGGTGATCAAACCACTAAATAACTCTCCCAAAGTATATGCCTCTATTAGTGACGGTGTTATTTTGCTTGTACGCCGTCTATAATCCATCAATTAAAAGTTATTATTGCAACAATACAATCGCAATTACTCATGAAATTCAAACAAAAAAACATGTATACTATAGTTTTATTTAGGGCTAATACCACTGGAAATACCAACCTTTAGCGAAAGTGTCATTTATATTACGTAACTTCAATAAACACAAAAATATTCCAACCTATCGGGTATTTGCGTCATTTATGTTACACGAATTTCTGTTGACCGTTAGAGTTAACCGTTGACCTAACGGTGTCAACTTATGTTTGACTATTGCTTATGTGGCGCTGCCACGTAGGAAATTTACTATTTTAAAATTTTAAATTTAATTTATTTTGAAAATAAATAATTTAATTTTTAAACAAATTTAATTAATTTTTTAAAATATTTTTCTCTCTGCCCTCCTCCGCGACCTCATCCATCGTTGTAAATGCTGCTCGTCATCGAATCCGAAGCCAATCCCAAAACCCGCGTCGTCTCCGGCATCGACCTCAACCACGTTGTCATTTTCAGACTCCGGGTACCTCCCCTCCGAGCTTGGCCTCACAAATCTGGCTCTCTTCCCCAATCGGACACCATGGAGCTCAAGGCGGCGAGCCGGCGACCCTGTTATCAAGGCTGGCATTTCGATTTCTATTCTCGCAGGATCGCCTTCCAGTGGAAAAACACTGCCCGGCGTCGCTCGTAGCCGTAGGGGGCTGCCCGGGAGTGGAAGACGACAAGTCTTTCAGGGTCGATGTCGTCAAATCCAAAATTTCCCGACTCTTCGACAGGGACAAGCCGGACCACAAGATCTCTGGAGGACAGGTCATCGGCTTCAGGATCTGGTACTCCTTCCCTCCAAAGTGGAAAAACCGGATCATCAGTGGTGGCAGGGAGGGATCGACGAGAGGCTTGGTATTTACGCATCGTCGACGACGGCGAGTTTGGCGGTGTTAAATTGACTCTCCCTGTTTATTGTATTGCATTTTTTTCTGCACCATAAAATTGAAAAGCTTGGCGAGCTCAAGCCATAAAAAACCCAGAATCTAGTTCATCTTGAATCTCCTTGCCTTCTTTTGCATCTTGAATCCATACCCCGACCCTGTCCACCAACCCGACTCAAAACTCCTCTGCCGAATCTACACAGAAGACAGAACCTAGAATCCCAAATGATGCTTTCACAATAAAAGGTTGCTCTCACACTTTCTAAAAGATTGCCTCGCCATTTACATTTTTCTTTGCCCAAAATCCCAATTTCACAATAATGGGCCCCAATTTCATATGTTTTTCTTTGCCAAATTGGAGGCCACGGAGGGGACTGACCAGCAGAGGCGATTAGTGTGGCCAAAGGATGGTAATTCGGTAAATGGAACTGTTTCACATAAGTAGAAGAGATCGGGAGAATGTTGAGAGAGGGAAGGGTCTGACGGCACCGCCTCTGGGCATTTAGAGGTTTAGGGTTTTCTTGAGGTGTGGGGCGGGTGAGAGAGAGAATAAAGAGGTGGATATTCATTTTAATTTTTTTTATTAAAAAATTCCATGTGAGCAGCCACGTCATCGTTGACTGTATTTTCTGTTAACCACTAACAGAAAATTTAACGGTTGGTATACAAATGACATATCGAATATTACGTAATAAAAATGACACTTTCGCTAATGATTGGTATTTCTAGTAGTATTAGCCCTTTTATTTATGCACCTCTGTTCATATAGTTCAATTAATTGAACAAAAATTTCGTCCATTACTTTAACCAACAACATAAGATTGTGTTGAAGTGTTAAAATCCATTTTTATGAGCCACAATGTACAAACAAATATAAACGAGGCATTATAGTTGTTAAATGACATGTGTTCACGCAAGTTTGGTATGATATGTTTCAAAATTGCAGTTTTGGTTAACGAGAACATCCAACATTGTTTCAATGATGTCAAATGTTATTTAGAGTAGAAATAAACCTTTGAATTCTAAAATTTCATGGAATGAGGTAAAGTAACTAATTTGTTAGGTGTGTTTAAAAAGTACTGTATAGCTCGTGTATCCTCATATTCACTCACTCACATGTGCGGTACGAGCATAAGGATGATCCGTTCAGCTTCCAAGCACAACCTTGAGAGATAATTTAAATACTAACTAATGATGTAGGCTATACATCTTTAGATAATTAGATTCAACTAGTCGCGCGTGTTTGTACAAGTAGTAGGATGATCACGCTCTGCCTCCATCATAACAAGGATATGCAGGGAGTTAGGTATTCAATCTATGAAAATCGGATACATTTCCAAATTATTGTTGATTTCAAAATCTAAACATAAAATGTAAGCTTTATGTCTTTTGAAATTTAACTAAATTTCATTATATTTTTAAAACCCAAAGATAGCTTGCATTAGTAAATAATAAAAAGATATAACGTTTACGACTCTAAAGGAGTCAAACACAAACAATCAAAGCTATTCAACCTCAAACTCGAGTGAGAGGTTATTGTGGAACATGTGTACAGAGAGACCACTTTTGCAGCCGATTACTTGGCGAATCTCGGCCACAATTTTCATTTTGGCACACTCAATCTCAATGTGTGAGATTCAGGTTTAGTTCAATGGCTTCGCCGTGATATAATGGGAGTTTTCCCATGAACATTTTATTAATATGAATTAGACGCTCTAGCGTTGGGAAGGCAGCTGCAACAGCAGCTGTTGTTCATCTGAAATCATCATCATCGCTAGACATTCCTTCACCGCTCGAGATGAAGGTGGACGAGGAGCCCCTGGCGCGGTACCGCTGGGAGTATCAGCCGGAGTTTAGGGGTGAGCAACAGGAGGCGACGAACAACCGGGCTAACTCTCAGGCATCCCACGTCGCCCAGGCAGCGCCGTAGCCATCGAAATATCCATTTGTGGCGCTAACGGGCGATGCGACGAACTAGAAGTCGAAGCCAAACGTGCATTGGCCTTCCGGCCGCCCGATGAGCAGCTCCTCGCTGCGGGGAAAGAAGGTGGACGACGGCGGCGGAAAACTCTACTGCCGAGGAAGAAGAAGAAACGCGGCGCTGGCGGCAGAGTGCTCTGCTCGCCGAGGAAGAAGAAGAAGTTGTTCGTCAGAAAGACGAACTCAAGGACGGGCAATGCGGCTCTCCTCAAAGCAATGGCGAACCGAGAGGAAGAGCTGAAGGCGATGGAGGAGCGGGACTCACCTCATCGCGATTGGATGACCAACTGGCCGCTGGAAATGGAGAAGAGAGACGGAGGCGGTGAGCCTCTGCGCGCGTCGCGGGCGAAGAGGGAGGACGACGGGGATGGCGATGGTTTCCTCCTTCTCGCAAGACCGGGGTGGCCAACCCTAGGTCGAGCCACCCAACAGTCATTTCTGGTGGGTTCTGGGGCTGTTTGGGCCGTCGGGCTTGAAGATGGCTTGGGTGGGTCATCGTTTGGGCTAGCAGCAGCTGAAGTGAAAAGGGCCGATTTGGCTATGATTGATGGGCCAAGTCAAGTGGGCCCTCTGCTGACAAAATGTAATGTCAGCCTTGGGCTGAATTTGGATCATGGAAAGAAGAGAGATGGGCTCAGTTCGGGGCCGGTGAAGAGGGCGACCAGTGTTCTTTCAGAGAGAAATGGGCCACGTTCCCAGTGCGGGGTTGGGCCTCTGAGTGTCTATCTAATGGAGTCTCTTTTGGATGGCATGGGCCGAAGTGGCCTAATTAAAGAGGATGAGCCAAGAGCAGGTACAGAAGCAACACAACCAATTTATGAGTTAACTTCAAGAAAATCGTTTATAGGTCTGGATGAGTTGGTACTCAAAGATAGGTTCTTGAACAAGATTGAATCTTTGAATTCGTTAAGTTCATGGATGGTGATGCCAACAATAGAGGAGCGGTTGAAGATTGAGTTTGATAAGGAAGTGAATAGTGGCCTGTAGAAATGAAATTTGAAAAGCTGGGTCAACACAAAAAGATGGGTGCAAGAATTCCAAGTCAAGAGTTGGAGCCTAATTGGAATAGAAGAAAGCGCAAGAAGCGGATAAGCGACGATCGCATTGGACGAGAAGGTGCGGAGAAGTGGGTCGAGTCGGTCAACCTTGAGAGCAAGGTTGGTCTCAAGGGGGAGGGGATGATAGAAACCCAATTTACGGGTTCTATCATAATTATCATTATTATTATTAGGATTTTATTAGATATGATTAGTAGTCAATGAGTCATATTAGGATAATCTATTAGGTTTTTCTAGTCTTTCGTTATAAATATGTAATTGGTCCTTCATTCATAGGCAGTCAAGAAGAATATTAAAAAAACTCTCCTAAACCCTAATCTCCCAATCCTCTCAATTCTAGATCTCAATCCCTCTAAAGGCTTCGGCCGATTCTCTATCTTTCTCTTCTCAAATCCCTAATTCTGTTATGAATCCCTAATTCCCAATCTTACGACCAAACCCGATAGAATCCTAATATCAGGTTCAATCACGCAGTCCATAGCCACTATGTTTGTTACCTTATTCTCAGCCTTCGGTTACTCACCACTACCTTAGCTTGTGGCAATTGTAATTATGTCGATGGCGGCGACTGCAGCGGGTTCTGGACATGGCGGCGAATGGAGTTTGAGGAAGGCCATGTTCTCGAGGGGAGGAGAATATTCTTCAGCTTCTTCTTCTTCAATGGGTTTCAATCGAGTTGGTCCCAATAACTCGAGTTGTTTGGAGAAGGTTATGATGGATATTATACCACTCTCTAATATGCCCCCCAAACGAAAGTCAACTCACGGGCTTGAAGTTTGCACAGGCCACCATACCTTGTGCTTTAATCAACTATTAATATTGGGGGTCGTGGAGATTCGAACACACGACCACTTGGTCAAACCAGCTCTGATACCATGTCATAAACCAGTTGGTTCCAATAACTCGAGTTGTTGGGAGAAGGTTATGATGGATCTTATATCACTCTCTAACAAAAAAAAATAGTCAAAACTATCGGAGACAAAGCGAGAGCTTTCTTAACCACCGAATGGACTATCTTATTGTTCTGCCTACCTAAAAAATAAATTTTCTAATGAGGTTAATTGTATATTCTTCCATCATTGTAATAAAATTTTCTTTTAAATACAAATTATGATTATACAAATTTATAACTATATAGCCAAAAATTTGTGTATATTTTGACAGCATGCCATTTTCAAACCCTAAATTACTACAAATATCATCTTATAGTTAAGAAATTATTTCAATTTCCCAATCATGTAAAATATTAATTTATGATTTTGCCATAATTTAATCCCATTTTTTTAGTTTTACAATAGGTGACGGGCGTGCTACTATATTTGGCATAGTTGGCTTAGACACGGAGACCGCCTTTTGCTCCCCCGGGCCAGCCGAAAGAAATGAGAGATTTTCCAAGAAAAAATAAGAACACGGCGAAATTGAAAGATTCCACCGACGTGCTGCTGCCACAGCTCATCTTCACTCTTTCCTCACTCCCAGTCCCAGATCTCAGTGAATAGCGTCCTTCAATAGCCGTCACCGCCGACCATACTCACCGCCGGATTCTCGAGTGACATGAAGCACTACGGATTACGGAGGAGGAGAGTGTCCTTAACTTCAGTACTCGCTGTCGTCGTGCTCTTCACAGCAACCGGCTTGCTTCTCCTCACGCTGAGATCGGTCGATCCTCCACCGTCTAGCTCCGGCGGATTCCTCCCAGACCTCGACGGAAGAAGAGTAGAAACGAGAGTCTCCGGCGATGATTCCAACTCGCTGATGAGCAGTCCGGCGATTAAGCAGCTGGAGACGGGGAACGTTACCGGAGCGCAATCGAAATCGTGCGCTACGGTCGAGGAAATGGGGGAGAGCTTCGAGGATGAGCCGTGGAAGGAGAGTTTGAGAGTGAAACGGATCATTCGGCAGCACTTCCTCATCAACGGTATGCCTTAACTGTCGATTTACGTTTTGAGCTTTATTTGCGGTCGAATTGAATTGGTTCTGTTTGGTTACGCGGATAATTTCCTTTCTACTTTCCCTGAACTGATTTGAAAAGGCGTAATGAAGTTAGTTAGAGTAGAGTCTCTGTGAGATGAACTGAACTATTGTCAATTGAGAAAAGTTGGCAGAAGAACGGAAGGATATCAGCCAGTTGAGAATTGTTGAACTTATTGGCCAACTTTAGGATTCTGAGAATGTAATTGCCTACATGGTGCAGGAGCTTCAAGAATCAGAGATCTGCCACCAGAGGAATTCTGCAGACATGGTTTTGTGCTTGGGAAATCTTCAGAAGCAGGGTTTGGAAATGAGATGTACAAGGTGTTAAATAGTGCAGCATTGAGCATATTGTTGAACCGTTCCTTGATTATTGGGCAAACCAGGCATATTGGTTCTTCCTCCATCCTTTCTATCTAATTCGATTTCGATTACAAAGTTGGTTTTTGTATTGATTACTTTGATACAGGGATTAAAGCTTTGTTCTGTGAATGGTTCTATTCTGCAGGGGTAAATATCCTTTTGGGGACTACATAGCCTATTCTAACCATTCGTTTACACTGAATGAAGTCAAACATCTATGGAGGCAACATGGTTGTGTCAAGAATTATGGAAGGCACTTGGTTATTAGGATTGATGACTTTCTGAAGCCTGCTAAAACAAACGTCCTCTGCAGCAATTGGAGGAAGTGGGAACAGCCTATCATATGGTAAAGTGAAATCCCTTGCAATTTAACTAATATGCATAGGGCAGCATATCTTTGTCTTGTTAACTGATTATTTTGTCATGTCTGCAGGTTTCAGAATACAACTGATGCTATGGGCAGCCAGTTTTTCCTGAAAAATATGTACCCCGAGATGAGAAGTGCTGCTTATGACTTATTTGGACAGCCGGAACAACTTCAATCTCGGCCTAATGTTTTCGGGGAGCTAATGGCATTCCTTATATCTCCATCAGCTGAGGTTAAGGAGGCAGTTGACGTGGTGCTTGCTGGTGGGCCGGACCCCGATATTTCATTGCACATGAGGATGCTCATGAACAGGTAATTCACAGCACTGTTAGAGCAATGTTTCTTTCTGCAGATTAGCATCTTTTCAAAACTGTAAATACTATATACGTACAAGTAGAGCATGGTGCACTTAAGTTTTTCAAAACCTAAATCTGCTAAAAGGGTATGACTTGGACTGAATCGTACTTAATGCAGCAGGTTCTTGGGTATTGTAATTTCAGGCCAGTGAGAGCTGTGCAGGCTGCACTGAACTGTGTTCAAAAAGCCATGCATAATCTACAGAACAAACAAAGACCCAGGCTGGTTTTGGTCTCTGATACACCATCGTTTGTGAAAAGCCTTCTTCCTAACATCAGTGAATTTGCAGAGGTACTCAAACACCATTGACCGGAATTGTTGATCTGTCCTCGGGGTTTGGAAACACTCTAAAACCTCATTTCTGATTTTCAAACAGGTTCTTCATTTCGATTATAAAAAGTTCCAAGGAACCATACCTCGCGATGACAAGACAGTACAGAAGAATCTAGATTTTAGAGTGAAGGATTGGGGACCTGCACCGAGATGGGTTGCATTCGTCGACTTCTTTCTCGCTGCACGTGCCAAGCATGCCGTCATCTCAGGTGCACACAGGCGCGTTGGGACAACCTACGCCCAACTAGTTGCATCACTCGCTGCAGCCAACCAACTGGGTAAGACGTCCACGTGCCTTCATTTCTTTGTAAGGAACGTTTCATCTGTAGTTGTGAATGACTGATTTCTCAATGTCAATCTGCATCTAGGATCATACTTCTTGATTCTTCCCTTTTGCAGGGGAAAACCATACGAACCCAAGCTTTTCATTCCTGAGCAGCTTCCAGAGCAATCTGCTGACGAACGGCTTGAGGATGCAGGTAGGTTGGGGCCACGTCTGGAACCGATTTGCCGGTCCATTGAGCTGCGAGAACCAGACCCATCAATGCGCTTTCACGCCTCTCTCTCCTCCAGCTTGGTGGGATGGTCTCTGGCAGTCTCCTATGTCGCGAGACGTCCGCAGACTATCCATGTATGGAGTCTCCGTCTCTGGCCTAGGCACGGTAGACGAGAGTGCACTCAAGTCTCACTGTGCTTCCAAGAAAACCACTGTGAGAACAGTTATGCTGATTTAGTAAAAGTAAAACCTCTCCCCCGTCCCAGTTTTGGTAGATGACTGATAGTTGAAGTAATTTGCTAGAAAATTATGTGCCATTAGTTCAAGTGTTGCTTTAGTTTTGATTATCTAAAATTGGAAGACACGGCTTATTGGTTATTGTTTCTAGCTATCCAATTATCCTCATCAGAGTTTGTTATTATTTCTGATTATTGTAAATTGTATCGTTAATCAACAGCCTGTTATCAGGCTTAAGAGATTGCTGCTCAAGCAATCTCCCAGTAGAAGTCTTTTAGAAGGAGCAAAAGACATTAGAATATATAAAGCGTCTATCTTGCTTAAGGGGTCCAGTAGGCTATGCACAGGTGTAGCATAAGCCTCCTGTGGCCCACCGACTTTTTCCGTCCGATTCTTCTCTTCAATCTCCCTTGGTCTACTGGCGTAAATTGACTGGCGGCTACGCAAGTGGTTTCCCTTGCTGAGCATATCATTGGAATCATAGACGGTGGTGGGTAGGCAAAGAAGTGGTCGGAGTTGGATTTCTCCGTGTGGGTGGCGGGCGGCAGGTTGCTAATCGCCCGTCCAGCCGTTGATTTTCCCATAATCTCAAGTCGTGGAACTCTGTCCCCCAGCTTCCTATGATGACCTGAATACTGGTCGGCCGACGATATTCCTGGCGGCTGGTCAAGTTTCGGCCGCCTCCCATCTTCCTCTCGGCGTTTTCTTCCCGATGAATTGTCGACCCTTCCATGACATCCGCACCTCGGTCGGACCAGAAGATGATACTTGCCAGGCTTGATCCAATTGAGGAGAGATAGGTTTTGAGATGAGAATTCCAATTGCATGAAACCTCTCTGACATATTAATTCAAAATCCCAACCGCACATAAAGTCCACATTACCGGTAGCGGTCCTCTAATTTCCATCATAGGAGAAGTTAAAGAACACTCTCGTATAAGAACAGAGAAGATGGTAATTGCAGGACAGGCAAGTTGTTCCAAATAAAACACAGGACGTGTTTTTGGTTTTAATTGAGACGGCTTGCCACAACTGATTCTTCCATCACTCCCACATGCACTTGGGAACTGATTCTTTTTTCATGAAAGTGAAAGCTTTATTGAAATAAAAACCAGCGGTATAAGAAGAAGTGTTGGGGTAAAGAAAACAGAGACCAGCGAAGGGGGTCAAAGAAACAAACACATGACCCCTGGAGAAGAAAGGGAGCCAAGGAACTTATTCTTATCACAGTCAAGGAAATCAATGGGAAAGCTACACATGCTCAGAGAAATGCATGTTGGAGTTAAAATTTGGAATTATAGGTAAAAGTAAAATAAAACAGCAAGAGAGGTTCAGTTATGCATATATAGTTAGGGCGATGACTAATGAGTGACATTTGCTGTCCCATCTTCTCCACGTGTAAAGATCAAAGAAAAGGAAAGCATGGGTCTTCGTAGATTAGTGGAAGGGAACTCATGGGGCTGCAATGTCGATTAGTTAAGTAGCAAACAATATATTTGAAAATTAATTACGACCACTTTTACTATGCTATATAGTATTGGTACTTTAATGTATAATTTAAAGTTGTACCATAACATTAAATGTATAAGTTTAGGTTGTACCATAAAGTAATTTGTACCCTTATGTTATGGCACAACTTTACAACTTGAAGTTGTACCATCACATAAAGGTACAAGTTCAAATTGTACCATAAAAGAATTTGTACAAAAAATATAGGTACAATCTGAAGTTGTACCATAACGTAAATGTACAATTTTAAGTTGTACCATATAGGCAAAACCCTATAGCACCAATACTATATAGCATTGTAAAATTTATCATTAATTATAGGTAAGGAGACAAACAAAATCATTTTTTAAATGTTATTTCTTCGTGCTAAAATTATTTTAGCTTATGTTTAGCACGGTCTTTAAAGGTGTTTTCCAGCTTCAAAAATTGAAATAGGGCCAAATATCTCTGAAATCTCTTCTTTTGAAAAGCTCATTCAAAAGCTGAAGCAAAAGTTCAGACTTAGCTTGGAGTTTCAGCGAAAAAATATTTTGAAAATACAAGATTTTTCTAACCATATTTTAATTTTATTTCAGAAAAATACTATTTTCTATAATTTATATCATTTTTAAAAATAACATAAATTAGAAATTAAAATTATTTCATATAAAAGAAATCTAACAAAGGTCTGTTCCTATGAATTATTATATTTGATACTGAACATCTTTTTTAGCAATTTTATATGACATCTTATAATAAAAAACATTTCTAATAGTTTCGTCAGACAAACATTCAAAAACTACTTTCTAACATTATCAAAAAGGATGATTATTCCAACATTTTTTTCTAATACTTTGATATGTTTTGCAATTCGATTGCATAACCTCTAAAATGCACTTTTCGAAACCTGTTTTATGTAATAATTATGTAAGATTGTTGAGTAAAATTTTTACATGATAAATGACTTATGCAGACCTTTCTACATAATGAATGTTATTAACACCAAAATTATGCAACACCAAGTCATTATCTGAGTCTGTCTTACACGTACATGTTACATTATCACATGAGAATAATTTTTTCTCTTAACCTGTATGTAAGATATTTATAGCTCACAAAATAATTTTAACTGTTGTGTAAAATTAGGGAGACTGTGATCGATATCTAATGATAGGTTAAGTTCATCTGAAATTCAAATTTTAAAACTAATTATTTTTTTCATGATTTGATCATTTCTGTTTTAAGATAAGAAAATAACTATATGGACCCGCGGCAAAGCGCTGGCCAATTATCTAGTCAACAACAAAAGGACAAGTACAAAACAAATGATTAGTATTTCTTCATTCCTAAATTATGTTAACTTGATGATACTTCACATCATGACGAATGACATGCATATTTCATGTTCAATTTATGTTAATGTAATTTATAATTCACACCATGACTGATGGTATATGCATATTTCATATTAGTGCAATGATAATTCACACAATGACCAAAGACATGCATATTTGACGTGATAAAAAAAAACTTTGTATCATCATGATCGATTTCTGTTACCATTTGCATGATTTGAACACATAAAATATATGGTCATCAATGATTGGTAGGAGGGTGAGATATTGGAGAAAATTGAATCTAGAAGCAATCTCCCAGTAGAAGTCTTTTAGAAGGAGCAAAAGACATTTATTCATAACGGACCCAAAAAAATAGAAAGAAAGATCAAAGATCTTGTGATCGGCGGATTGAAGATTATACTCGTAAATATATGCACGTAAAAAAATTCTCACGTGTTCATTTCGTTAGTAAATAAAACAACAGTAAGTACATATATATTTAGATCTAGACCTCATAATTGATCTTCTTCTTCCTCTGAGACTCAAATTCTCTGAACGTACATTGATATATTCCTTCCCCAAGTTTCATTTCCTGCGATGGTTTGTCGTCGCCGTAATTGAAATGAAGGGTTTTTCCACTTCAATTCCTCTTTTTTGGATCATCATGATCGATTCCTATTAGGGTAGTTTTATGTACTTATGCATTGTAATTAATTGTGGATCAATATTATAATCATGGGTTTTTACCCATGTCAAGCTCTTGTGAGGCTCTTAAAGCAAAGGCTCAGAATCCATGCCAAAGCCAAACACGACGACGATGATGACAATAATGGTAATTAATTTCGTCTCTTATATTATATTCATCCTTTCATACACATTCTTCTCAGTTCCCTTCTTGTTTGTTCTATTTTGATTCTTAAGATATTTTCTACTTGGGATTTGAGGTTTCTCCTAATATGTTTCCGGTGTTTGACGATTGATTTTGCGTTATCGGCATGAACACATAAACGAAGAACACTTATTATTATGAAAGCAAAACACAGCAAGTGGATGTTATATGAGTTAGAAGTTTGGAATTTGAGTTTCTTATGCATAGATGGAGCGGATTTGCACAGGTGCAAAAGGGGGCAATAATGCAGATTTGAATCAGCAGCAGTCTACCTCTGCTGATCCCAAAACAGGCCAAGTGGGCATCATTGCAGGTCTCAACATGGCTCCAACATTCATCTACCAAGAGCTAGAAGCTGCAACCAATGGGTTCGCACCGGATGCTTATCTTGGAAGAGGTGGCTTCGGTGCTGTTTACAAAGGCAAACTCAAAAGAATCGGCCAGGTAAACTCCTAGTCCCATGTGTTGTGCTGGATGTTTTCATCTTACATATGACCCTCTTGCTACTTTTTTCTCTTTGTTGCAGTCAGTGGCTGTTAAGCAGCTGGATTCAACTGGATATCAAGGAGAAAAGGAGTTCCTTGTGGAGGTTCTTATGCTCTCTATATTGCACCATCCGAATCTTGTCAAGTTGGTTGGATACTGTGCTGAGGGGTCTCAACGTCTTCTCGTCTATGAATACATGCCCATGGGTTCCTTAGAAGATCGCCTTTTTGGTAAATCTGACACTCTAGTTAACCTTACTCTCGTTTCTTATGACATAACATGCTCTCCTTTCTACTACCCAGAAAAAAAGTAGAAAACCCATTTTGTATAACTGGTATACTTTTGTAGATCTTTCAAACGGGATGCAACCACTGAATTGGAAGACTAGGATAAAGATAGCTGCTGGAACAGCAAGAGGATTGGAATGCCTGCACTCAGCAAGCCCACCAGTGATATACAGAGACCTCAAATCTTCCAACATTCTGCTGGACAAAGATTACCAACCCAAGCTGTCTGATTTCGGGCTTGCCAAGTTCGGTCCAACTGGAGATAAATCTCATGTCTCCACTAGGATCATGGGAACTTATGGGTATTGTGCCCCTGAGTATGCCAACACTGGCAAATTAACCATGAAGACAGATATCTATAGCTTTGGGGTGCTCTTGCTGGAGCTAATTACTGGGCGGAGAGCAGTTGATCAAGTGGATAGTAAGTCCAGGAATTTAACCCAATGGGTAAGAACATCGTCTTGCAATGGGATTCGTCCTAAAATCTTGCCATTCCACAATTAGCTAGTATATGATTCATTAGATTGTTGATTGTCGCAGGCTCTTCCTCTACTGAAAGACAAGAACAATTGGTTGGAGCTGGCGGATCCATTGCTGAAAGGAAAGTATTCAAAGTTTGTGTATAATAAGGCCATAGAGGTTGTGTTAAGATGTCTATCTGACAAAGCCAGCTTCAGGCCAACATCGAGCGAGCTAGTTGGTGCGATGGATTACTTGTTGGCTCGATCGAGTAAGTCGAAAGATGCTAAGAAGGCTAGTAACGCAGGGTTGGGATGGCTCGACGCTGATCAGAACCAGAACGAAAATGTAGTGACGAAAGCAGTCAAAGCAGTAGTAGAGAACAAGGATTTGAATCGTGAGGTTGATATCGAGGAAGCCAAATTGTGGGGCAAGATTCGGAGAGACAACAAGAAGCCACCTAGGCACGACTCGGAAGGCACCAAGTAATATACTATTCGATTCTTTTTTCCGTGTGTTGTTTTTGGTTTTTCACAGGATACAAGCAGAGTAGTGCAACAACAGATTTGACGAGGAAGATAACAATCTAACATTTAGAGAGTTTTTGTTGTGTTCAGGTGGGTAGATATGCTTCAAAAAGGTAAGTAGGGTGTTAGAGCATTTGCGGAGAGTTCAGCAGCAGGGAGAGCAACCAATCAAATACTGGAACACCTAAAGAATGAAGATGTGAGGATAGGGGAAGATGACCTACCTTGTACAGCAAGAAAGAAGAGCAAATTAATCTTTTGCGCTCTTGCGAGAATCTTCCTCTGCACTAGCTAGAAATGAATCGTAGGTCTGTTTTTTGTATTGTAGGGCTTGCTGCTGGTACATCAAGCAATGTCGGCGTGTATGAATGAGTGGCTGGTTAAGAATATGGTCGTTCATGAGTTTGGTGAATAAGAGTTGCACCTGAACTTTGAACACTTTCAGGGTTCAGCAATGTGCAAGCACTTTTAACTTTAAGGGCCTTCCAAATACTTCAAAATGACATTGGAGCACAGATTATATCATGAATTAATTAGTATGGCACAAGTGAAATAGAATCACTCATTCTTACACATGCCTAAATAAAGGGAATAAACAATTCAATCCAACATTGAAACAATTTTAGATATAATGCCATTAAACAAAGATAAAATTCTGAAAAGGATACCAAAATACTCATCCATATTACTTACGAATCAAGTAACACCTATTTATTGTACGGCTCAAGATAAACTTGTCAGATTCCGAATAAGACAAAGAAGCTGGACACATAAATATTCCCCAATACATAGTTGTGTAAGTAGTTTTTTATTTTTATGAGCAAGCATCATTTGTTGGGATGACATATGTGTTATTATAAGTATTGATAGTTGGCTTTGTAGTTTTCGTACTTAGTTAGTGATCACCCTGAAAATCTGACTTTCTTAAGAGAATAATAAACACCACTACTCCAAACAAAAACTGCGTGCCCCCACGAGTTACCAAACAAAAACCTACAAAATTTTGTGTTGTGTGGGGGTTTTCGCTATTATTATAATGTCAAACAATTAATTAATTTCACCATGGTATAGGCCATCTATTTTAACAATTTAGATAGATAGAGTTGGTTTAAACTCCTTAATATATATAGAGATCGGATTGCTCAAGTCCATTAAGTTATAAAGACCAGTAAACTTATTTGGATAATTCGCTAATGCACACTTATTAAGTTCTAAAAAATACTCTTAATAACAATATTGTCGATCACATTAAAAAAGCTAATTGGCTCATGAATCACGACCCTTATCACTAGATTGCACCCATGAAAGCTACTGCAACTAAAAAGATTATACACCAAATAATTATACCAGATAAAATTTACCTTTTTTCAAAGCTACACTAGTCTAAACTCTCTTTCGACAAGCAATCACGAGCTTTAAATATCCCCACCAAGCCTACCATCATCATCTTCTTCTTCTCCTCTTCCTAATTCTATGATTTCTAATTTCTTTAGATTTTGGTGTTTGAAAGCCAAGTCTACACATCATTACACCCTATGATAATGTATTATGTATATAGAGTATAGAAAGGAAATTCATTCCTAGTATTTTTAAAGTTGCCATTCTATAATGACAAGTTTCTTCTTCAAGTAGAAGAAGCTAGCCAAAGTTAAGTTTTCTTGCTCTCCTTAACTCTTTTGTTTTATTTCTCTCTTTTGGATCCAATTTCCATCAAATGTCCACACTCTATTATAGCATCCTCAATTTTGACAACCTCAATTACTATACACATTGACCAAAAATCTATCCAAAAAAAAAATTCCACAAAGCTACCACTCCACTAATTAGACATTTGTCAATCCTTGAATAGATATTCTATTTTAAGACAAATCTAGTTAGCCGACAAAAAAAGGAAAAGGACAAAATAATTAGTCATTTTCATTGATGATAATCCCATATTTTATTTTTCATTAACTATTATTTAATTCGACTTAAATGGCATAATAGCCATGACCACTTTATTAGAGAATCCACATCAATATAATTGTAAAAGACAATAGTATTTTTACTTTTTATTATCAACTCAATTTTTTTCAATCCACCTCAAATCACTTTCATTCACCACATCAATGCATTAACTTGCAATTGAATATATAATTAAATATTATATTTAAATTACAAAAAATAAAGTAAAAGAGAAAAAATATTAATAGAAAATAAAAAAATCTCCATTTTTTAAGGCTTTGTTGACTTGCATATGCGATTGCATTTGTTACAAGCTTGCAAATATACAATTGTTAGCCACATCAATGCAATTGGTTTTGCAATTGAAAACACCAATGCCATGTCATTTTGCAATTGAGAATGCAATATCAATGTGGATGCTCTTAAAATTAAAAAGATTCTCCCTAAACTCTAGTAAATGACTGGTTCATAAGTAAAATCATCCCTAAACTTTCTGAATAGTTAAAGGTCGTCATAAAAATTACTAACCATCATCCTAACTTAATACGTAATCTAGCGAATTGCCCAAACTAGATTGAATTCTTGAATTATTTTAATGTCCTTTTAATTTTAAATCAAATTAAAAAACCAAACAAACCTCCGACTACCTCCCGCCGTCGCCATGGCCGGCGAGCTCCCGCCGTCGCAATCCTCATGATTGTCCTCTGCTCTCTCTGCTAGCCTCTCCCCCACCTCCTATTGCGCTACATCCCCGATCCCGCCTTCCGCCAGCCCGAGCTCGTCGTCTACAAGCTGCCTGCCTTCGGCCAGCGCTAGCAGAGTTGGGTCACTAGTAAAATGGTCACTGAACTTTGATACTTAATATACACATCACTAAAGCTTATAATTACTAACAACATATCACTATTATCATCATCATAATTTCTTCACATTGTTCAAATTATTGTGTAATTTTGTGATTATAAATAATAAAAATATCATCTATACTACTACCCAATCAGCCATCATACAGATGGAGGAAGGGTTTAAGGTGAATTCAAATAATAAAATTTGACATTGGCTCGAATGATGAATTTGTACTAATTGTTGTATATGAGATACTATTTTGTACTTTTAACTCGTTGAACTATTAAGTTGGGCAATTTGAAAATAAAATTTTTGTGGCAAACACTACAATGACTTTCATAGCAATGGTTAAATATCGAATATAGAGACTGAATTGTATTCTCTCCAAAGTTCAGTGACTATTAATGTAATTGTATTCTAAAAAGCTCCATGCTTTTATTTTCTAGTCGGATCGACACCCGATCCAGTCGGATTCTCACTCCCAGTCTCCCATACCCAAGGTTGTTAAACCCCTATCGAACCCCCCGGTTGGACCCGGTTCAACCCGAGTCGGACTTCAAAACGGCTTCCAGAAAACCCCCCGGTCTGCCCTAAACAGGGAGAAGAAGAGAGGCAGAAGAGAGGAAAAGGAACGAAGGAAGGGAAATGGTAGGTGGATCATGGAGGTTAGGTAGATTTATTTTGTTGAAAATAAGTTTTTAATAGATATATGTAAGATAAATTTTATTTCACTCATTAAATTTTTAATTACTACTTCATTTGTATATATATTTAGAAAACGTCTAAAACGGCTCAAACCGACCGGACCCCGATCAGACCATTAAACCTCAAACCCATTGCTTGACCGGCTCAATGACTTAAACCGGTTTGACAACCTTGCCCATACCCGGACCCGACTCCTTTGTCACCCAATGAAATAGCCCCGCGTTACCTACTCCTAGCCTTCTCTCTCCAATTCCTTTCTGGAAAAGGGGGAAATTAAAAAGGAAAAAAAAACACGAACACATGCCTCCACCACCATTGCTATAATTCTTTACTCTCTCTCTAAACCTCTCTGTAGCTACAACCAGCTCGGCAGCTCCTTTCCCCCTAACCCTATCTCCGTCGTCGTCTTCTTTCTTAAGTTCCATTTCCATTCTAGCGCTCAGGTCTTTGCATTCCGTTGCAAACCCTAGCTCGCCGGAGGGAAGTGGAGTCGCTGTGAGCGGAGCTGAGTTCAGTTAGCTGAAAGTCGAGCTGCTGCTGCAGCTCTCTGTTCCTTCTCTCTTCCTTCTGCTGGAATGCTTGCTGCTAGTTTAGTTGGCTAGGGTTTTAACAAGGATGCTTTCCCGCCTCAATTGAAAGGGAGGCGGCTTCTTTTTTTGCGCGGGAGATAAGGGCGACTGGAAGAGCGGGCTTGGCCGGAGGTGTTGCCGAGAAGCGGAGGGAAGAAAATGTATGTGGTGCCGCCTCCTCAGAGATCCGATCCTGGATCCGCCGGAGGTAGTAACCAGGCCGATTTGAGAGTGTACCAGACTTGGAAAGGCAGCAATGTGAGTGTGCTTTCCCCCCTTGCGGATGAGCTTTTTTTTGTAATTTGTGCTGATTGCTTCCCTCCGATTCATAGTCTTAGAGTGCTTCTGTTGAATCCAATTCAGCTCATTGAGTGCTGCTGGACTTTTAGCTATAAGATGATGAATTGTTTGTGGACTTAGTTGATCGGTTTGCAGACGGATTTTGGTTTTGGAGCTGTTTGTGCCTGGCCATTATTGGTTTGGTTGGCCTTCTTCATTACTTGGCTAATAGGAGCTAGGCATTACAATTGTTAGAAAGTTACTGAATGCTGAGTATAGGGATTGTTGAAAATTGTAATGGAAGGGACTTTACTGGTTGCTCATTGTTTATGCTGCTCTTCTGTGTTTGATTATTGCCCATTTCGTTGAATGACATAAGGCTAACTTGTGAAACTTGTCTGTGCAGATATTTTTTCTTAATGGGAGGTTTATATTCGGTCCAGATGTGAGATCACTTGCGCTTACCATATTCCTGATTGTGGCTCCAGTTGCAGTTTTTTGCATTTTTGTTGCTAGAAAGCTAATGAACGACTTCCCAAATGACTGGGGCATATCGATAATGGTTGCGGCCGTTGTGTTCACTGTTTATGTGAGTTATTTTTCCTCCTAATCAGAGAATGTGTTCTGCCGGTTTTTACTTGCATGTATACCTCTCAAAATATGTAGTACATTCTGCTAAGAATGGTGTACATCATAGGTTACAGAAGATTTACTGTCAAAGTGATAAGCTCATGACATTTTATGTTGCATCAGGACTTGGTTCTTCTGCTACTAACTTCCGGGAGAGATCCTGGTATTATTCCCCGCAATGCGCATCCCCCAGAACCCGAAGGCTTTGAGGGGAATGCAGATGTTGGGTCGGGCCAAACTCCGCAGTTACGTCTGCCACGTATCAAGGAGGTGGAGGTTAATGGAATGACCGTAAGAGTGAAATACTGTGATACATGCATGCTTTATCGGCCTCCTCGCTGCTCACATTGTTCAATCTGCAATAACTGTGTAGAACGGTTTGACCATCACTGCCCTTGGGTTGGACAATGTATTGGTTTGGTAAGTTAAGCTTTTGTCCAAAGTGGTTATCTTTAGCGGTTTATCTCGGTTATGATTCAGTGCTCTGATTTATTTAGTGAACTTAGAAGCTTAGGTTATAACCCTTGGTTGACACTTACCTTAAGTGATGAAAAGTACTAGGCTCGTACGGACACTTTGTCTATGTGCTATATAAATTGCGTATAGGCATGTAATGCTCATAATACTAACACACTTTTTCCAGCAAATATACTACTTGCTATATTAACTGCTTATGATGATGATGATGCTTGAAACTTGGTTTTTTGGATGCAGAGAAACTACAGATTCTTCTTCATGTTTGTCTTCTCAACGACCCTGCTATGTATATACGTCTTTGCATTCAGCTGGGTCTACATCAGGAGAATCATGTCCTCGGAGGATATCTCGATCGTGAAAGCTATGCTCAAAACCCCTGCATCCATCGTTCTCATAATCTATACCTTCATATCAATGTGGTTCGTTGGTGGCCTCACAGCTTTCCACTTATACCTAATTAGCACCAATCAGGTATGCCTTCGTTTCTCAGATGCTCCATTTAGAGCAATTATTATCTGGTTGATTGATTTCACTAATTCACGCAATGCTTCTGATAATTTTGTTTTGCAGACAACTTATGAGAACTTCAGATACCGATACGACAACCGTGCCAACCCTTACAACAAGGGAGTCACAGACAACTTCAAGGAGATATTCTGCTCCAGCATCCCACCATCCAAGAACGACTTCACGGCCAATGTGCCCAGAGAACCTCCACTGCCAGCTAGATCGATAGGCGGCGGAGGGTTCATGAGCCCAAACATGGGGAAAGCAGTTGACGACATAGAGATGGGGAGAAAGAACGTGTGGGGCGGCGATATGGGAGGCACCCTCGGCCTGGGTGGGGACCAGGACGGCGAAGGACATCTGTCGGGCAATGAGCGGACAACAGTGAAAGAAGGCGAGCTCGGGGAGCTGTCACCAGATATAAGAACGGCGGTGGAGGAAGCAGGAGTAGGAGGGGAACGTGGCAATCCGAGGAGGTCGAGCTGGGGGAGGAAGAGTGGAAGCTGGGAGATGTCGCCAGAGGTTCTGGCATTGGCGGCTAGAGTTGGCGGGGAGTCTAATCGCGTCGTTGGCAGTAGTAGTAGTGGCAGCTTGACGACGACATCGGAGAATCGGCCGACGTGATGGTGATGGTTTTGGTCAGTCTTTGGGAGATGTAGCAGTCAATGCAAGAGGGTCAGTCCCATTCATTATGTATGATTGTGCAGTAAGTAGTAGTGATGGTGGCGGCATAGTATGGGGGGAAAGGAATGTGCTTTGACCCAAAATTTGTGGCTTTTCTTCTTCTTCCTTCAGGTGCGTGAGTGTGGAAATGGCGTGCTGTTGTATGATTTGAGTGAGTGAGTGAGATTTCCTCTTGGTTTTGAATTTGCGGGGAATTAGAGTATTAGTTTTTAGTGTGCTAATTTCACTTTCATTTCTCTACTTTCTCTCCTTTTCTGTAGGGTGATTTTGTTTTCATCTTCCGACAGATCTTTCGCCAGCCCATGACTATGGCCAGTGTGGAGGAGGCTGGATGGGTGACAAGATATGGGCCGAGTAGTCGCGCAACAATACAATTGGGCCATCTGGTCTTCATGTTGATCTTCTCGAATGAGTTTGGTTATGTATTGAAAAAAAAGGGGGGGAAAAAAGAGGTTGGTTCTGACTTCACGAGTATCTCACCCATGAAAAACATAATATAATGGGGTTTTAGCAAGAAATGATAGTGTACATTACTTGAGATCTACAATAGGCCAAAGGTATATTAAAGTAACATTAAGAGGCGCATATTCGAGCTAATCTGATTATTAGCCTAAGAAGAAGTTAGATGAGTTGTAATGAAAGTGAACTAAAGCACTGTGTAAAATCATAATTAGTGATTATGTAGCCATTCTTCAATTGTATAAGAACTCAAACAAAAGAGCTCGGTTTTTGCCCAACTCAACTCATTCACTTGCTTGATGAAGTACGGAGCCACCTTGTTGTGAGCAGTGTAGATGGTATTTGGTTGAGGGGCAGTAGAGAGTGAACGAAAGGAGCAAAGATTGAAGAGTGTTTGAGAGAGCAATAAGGACATTAATTAGCATTGCAGTTAAAATCGCGATTTAAAACTTAAAACCTTATGCTTTTACTTTTTTAGGTCACCAAAACGCTTCTATGTAGAATCGTGATTTTTCCTTACAAATGTAGTCAAAATCTACGCTCTAAAACTTAAAAGCTTGCAGTTTTACGCTTCTAGTTAGAATCGCGCTTTTAACTGCATTGTTAATTGAAGAGATAAGTTGTGGGAGTGGGAGAGAGAGATTGAGATGACATGTTTAAAATCTCCTTGTCCTTGCTTGCTTGTGAAATTTATTCTTTTTTTTATAGGAAACCTGCTGAATAATATTAAAATGAAATCAACCCTGTCCCACCGGACCATGGCGCAGATCGGCCTCGAATAAACTACAAAGAGAATAAGGAGGATTCTCCACCCAAACCAGCTGATTGTTCCAACCCGTGAGCCAACCAGTGGACCACTTAGTTGGTCTTTTTAGACGAAAACACCCACCTGACTTTACAGTTCGACATAACTTGTGAAATTTATTCTATTGAATCAAATGGTTGGGGGAGGGGACACTCCATTACCAATATCAACAATTTGAGCATTTAATAGCAAAGGTCGAAGATGGGCAGACATTGGGCTAGTTTGTACCTGTTGTACTTGTACCTTTTACAAAAACCGCTTCTGACTGGAGTTAGGGATGACAATTTACCCACTCATTGATAATTTTACCCAAACCCAAGTAAACCCATAAATTATGGGTAGGGTATGGCCATATGGGTGAGGTACATATGGGTTTGGGGTGGGTTTGGATATTGCTTCCATACTCTAAATGGGCATGGGTTGGGTTTGGATACCCATTTACTTGAGGTTTTTTCTAACAACACATACAAAAAGTGGACCTATTTGTAAAATTTAAAAAAATTAGGTATCAAAATTTAATACAAAAAAAAAATTAGGTACTAAAATGTAATTTTCTATCGATATTTTGAGGACTTATATACAAAAAATTAAATTTAGGTACTAAATCTAAAGATATATTAAATTTAGGTACCAAACTGTAATTTGCAAATTTGTATGGGTCAAATCCATATCCATGAACTAAAAACCCAACTAAACCCAAATAAATGGGTTTGGGTATAAATCAATAAAACTCTACCCATTTACCATATATTTGAACTTCATACCCAACCCAATTGGGTTGGATAGTAAAATACACATGGGTTTGGATAAAATTGTCAACTCTAGCAGGAACTTTTAGAAAAGTATTTTTCAAAAAAAGCAGTTGAGTGTTTTGGTGAAAAATTATTAGAAGTAATTTTTAATATGAGAGGTTGTGTAAAATTACTATAAATGACTTATAGTATAAATTATGAATACAAATTCTAAACAATAAAAAGTAGTCAAAATGGATCTTGTTAGACTTCTTTTATATTAAATAATAATATTTTATAATTTATATTGTTTTTGAAATTATATAAAAGAAACAAAATTATATTTTCTGAAATAAGTGAGTGGTTTGACTATGTTTGATACATGCGAGGAAGTAGGTAGTAATTTGCTGAGTCATTTTAGTTTGTGAATGTTATCGATTGTTAATGATCAACAATGTTGTTAATTAATTCTTGTTTGCTAGTCAAGAGGATTAGAACAACACGATCAGTGTGTTGGAGGACTCGACAGCAAAGGATAAATAGTTTAGGCACTATATTGTAATATTTCATTATTTCTGTATTTTGTTTGTTTGTTAAATTGTGTATATATATTGTAAAAGGACAGTGTAAATTTTTACCGGTTTATTAATAAAAGAAGTAGACTGTTTCTCTCTCCAAGATTCAACATGGTATCAGAGGAGTCATTTTCTTGATCTCTCTCTTACTTTCCCCTTTTCTTTCGTTCTAGGGTTTCCTTCCGTTCTCTCTGTTCGTTCTTCTGTTCGGCCATGGCGAATTCATCGACGCAATCGGCTCCGGCGAATTTCTCGTTCGTCCCTTCCGCCGGGTTGCTCGATCCTAGCCATCCGTACTTCCTCAATCCTGGCGATAATCCGGCATCGGCTTTGGTTACCGTCGTCTTCAACGGCAACAACTACTATGCATGGGCGAGGTCCATGCGTCTGGCGCTCCTGGCGAAGAACAAGCTGTCGCTGATCGATCCTTTGGTCACTCCGCCGCCACCTGGTGATCCTCTTCACGGAGCTTGGGAGAGGTGCAATGTCATGGTGCTCGGCTGGATCTACAGGTCGTTGGTTCCAGATATCGCGCACAGCGTTCTCTGATTCGATTCCGCGGTTGATGTCTGGAAAGATTTGCAAGATCGATTCAGTGAGGCGAGTCTGATTCGGATCTCCAATCTCCAGGATGAGGTCTTCTCATTCAAGCAAGGTACTGCTTCCGTCAGCGAATACTTTACCCGATTTTGTGTTCTCTGGGATGAGTTGGTGACGATTCGGCCGTTTCCTGCTTGCTCCTGCAACCCGAGGTGTTCTTGTGGAGCTCTTGGTGTTGTTCGCACTTACCAACAGTCGGACCAGATTATACGTTTCCTCAAAGGCCTCAGCGATTCTTTCTCTCAGATCCGAAGCCAGATTCTGCTCATGGAGCCTCTTCCCTCCATTACTCGTGTTTTTGCTATGGTAATTCAGCACGAGCGTCAGTTTCAGTCTTCTGGTTCTGGATCTTCGTCAACACCGCTTGCTATGGCTGGTCGGGCTTCTGGACCAGGCCAAGGACAAGGACGAGGCACTGGAAATCGTCAGCGACCAGTGTGTACTCACTGTGGTGGTGTTGGTCACACTGTTGACCGCTGCTACAAGAAGCATGGGTATCCACCGGGCTTCAAGGGCAAAGGAAAGGTGAATGCGACGGTTGCTGATGGTTCAGAAGAATTGGTGGTTGCTCTGTCTACTGGCGGAGTTTCTTCTGGAGATTCCAGCTCTGTGGTTCTCACATCCGAGCAGTATCAAGCACTGCTGGCTCAGGCTTCCAACTCTGCATCAGCAACAAGTTCAGTTTCCTGCCTGATGTCTGCTCAGCCATCTTCGAGCACTGCTGCTGTCTCTGCTCCTCTGTGGGCTCAGCCTAGTGCGCTAGCAGCTCATGCTGCATCAGGTAAGTACACTCTTGCCTCTACTCTTAGTGTGTCTCCTACTACATGGATAGTAGATAGTGGGGCAACTGATCATGTGGCTTGTTCGTTGGATTTGTTTGTCGATTATACACCATTGAGTGGTATGTCTGTTACTTTGACTAATGGATCTCGTATTAGTGTCACACATAAAGGTTCTGTGAAGATATCTAATACGTTAACTTTGCATAATGTCTTGATGATTCCATCATTCATGTTCAACTTGCTATCAACTAGTCAGTTAGCTAAGCAAAGTGAATGTGAATTGATTTTCTCTCGTTCTCATTGCTTGATTCAGGATATCCCGTCCCGGCAGAGGATTGGTATAGCTAAGCAGATTGCCGGGCTGTACTACCTCAAAGTCGAATCTGGACGAGATTCCTCTTCTCTATCTCTTCCTATTACTTTGTCTGCTGCATTTGATACTACTATTAGACATTTCGATCGTTGGCACTATCGTCTAGGTCACAGTTCTGTTCCTGGTCTGTCTGACAGTAGCAATAAGTGTCAGAATATGCATTGTTCTGTTTGTCCTATAGCTAAACAACGTCGATTGCCTTTTCAGTCTAGCACTTCTTATGCTGCTCATATGTTTGATTTGATCCATATTGACATATGGGGACCCTATGGTGTTCCAACTATGGATGGTTATCGATATTTTCTTACTATTCTTGATGATCATTCTCGTAATACTTGGTGTTATTTGATGCGTGCTAAGTCAGAGGCTAGGTCTCTTGTCCAGAATTTCTGTGTCTATGTTCAAACTCAGTTTTCACAACAAGTTAAAATGATTAGGACAGATAATGGGTCTGAATTTAATATGCCATCATTTTATAATTCCCTAGGAATAATTCATCAGACCACTTGCAATGCTACTTCACAGCAAAATGGTCGTGTTGAGCGCAAACAACAGCACATCATTGCTGTTGCTAGGGCTCTTCTCATGCAAGCTTCTCTCCCGGTTAAATTTTGGGGACATGCAGTGTTGCATGCTGTCCATCTCATTAACCGGTTACCTACCCCGGTCCTAAACGACAAATCTCCTTTTGAACTTCTCTTTCACAAACAACCAGACTATAGCTTATTACGTGTCTTTGGTAGTCTATGTTATGCGTCAACTTTAGCTCACAATCGTCCTAAGTTTTCACCAAGGGCAGAACCATGTGTCTTTCTAGGTTTTCCTTTTGCTACCAAAGGTTACAAACTTTATAGTATAATTTCTCATAAATTCTTAGAGTCTAGGGATGTCTCATTCCATGAATACATCTTCCCTTTTTCAAATAATAGGTTATCTTCTTCATGCCTAGATCAGGTTCTTCCCTTCATAGATATTCAGCCTCTTGATTGTCCTATTTCTCAGTCTATCCCTCACCCATGTACTCTTCCTCCTCCACCTCTCAATAATGCATCAGCTTGCATTCCGGCCGACACTCAAAATACTCAACGGAATCCTTCTTCACCACCTATTCCATCCAGCAGTAGTGTACCACTTAGGCGTTCTGACAGGGTTAGGATTCCTCCTTAGAAACTTAGTGATTATATCAGACCTAATGCTAACACTAAGTACCCTATTTCCCAAGTTCTTTCTTATGACAGGCTGTCTCCTACTTATCGACGGTTTATCATGGCTATTAACAATGAAACAGAACCCACTTCATACACAGAAGCTGCGAAGGATCCACGGTGGGTCGAGGCTTGTGATTTAGAACTCCTTGCATTGGCTAACACCAATACTTGGACTCTAACTCCACTGCCTCCAGGTAAGCGTGCAATAGGTAATAAATGGGTATTTCGTATTAAGTTTAAGCCAGATGGTAGCATAGAACGCTATAAGGCGAGGTTAGTTGCCAAGGGTTATACTCAAACCCCAGGACTGGATTATTTGGAAACTTTCTCCCCTGTAGCAAAACTTACTACTGTTCGTGCTTTACTTGCTTTAGCTTCTATTAAAAATTGGCATGTACAACAATTAGACGTTAATAATGCTTTTTTGCATGGTGATTTAGATGAAGAAGTATACATGAAACCTCCTCCGGGTTTACATTTACCATCTAAAAATCTAGTTTGTAAGCTAAATAAATCACTATATGGTTTAAAGCAGGCTAGCCATCAATGGAATCATAAAATCACTCAATTTTTAATCTCTGCTGGTTATACACAGTCTAAGGCAGACTATTCTTTGTTTACTAAGTCTAACATGGGTAAGTTTCTTGCTGTGTTGGTCTATGTTGATGATGTAATATTAGCTGGTGATGATCTAGAATCACTCAATCTACTTAAGTTTCAATTGGATGATGCATTTAAGATTAAAGACCTTGGACAGCTTAGGTATTTCTTAGGTCTAGAAATAGCTAGAACATCTGCTGGTTTTTCAATTTGTCAACGCAAATATGCGCTAGATTTACTTACTGATGCAGGGTTGCTTGCTGCCAAACCTGCCCCCACTCCTCTTGTTGCTGGAAATCAGCTTTCACATCATGATGGTGAACCACTTTCTGACCCTGAACTGTACCGTCGATTAGTAGGTCGTCTTTTGTATCTATGCCATACTCGTCCTGATATTGTGTATGCTGTGCACCATTTAACTCAGTTTATGAGTAAACCGTCTGATGTTCATCTTACTGCTGCATATAGAGTACTACGATACATTAAAAACAATCCTGGACAGGGCTTATTTTTTCCTAGCACATCATCTATTAAACTAACGGGTTTTTCAGACAGTGATTGGGCAGGCTGCCCAGACTCTCGCAGGTCAATAACAGGGTACTGCGTGTTTCTAGGTGACTCGGTCATTAGTTGGCGATCCAAGAAACAGCCTATTGTTTCTCGATCTTCAACTGAAGCCGAATATCGTGCAATGGCAGATCTGACTTGTGAGGTTCAATGGTTACATTACATTTTTCGTGATCTAGGTGTCTGTTTTGATACTCCTACTACTCTGTTTTGCGATAATCGGTCTACTATTCGCCTAGCTGAGAATCCAGTTGCTCATGAACGTACAAAACATATTGAAATTGATTGTCATATCATTCGTGATCGTATTCTTTCAGATTTAATAAAGGTTATGCATGTTCACAGTGAGCACCAACTCGCTGATGTTTTCACCAAATCTTTGTCTAGTGCTGTATTTTCAGGTTTAATCTCCAAGCTGAATCGTTTGGACATCCACGCTCCAGCTTGCGGGGGGCTGTTGGAGGACTCGACACAAAGGATAAATAGTTTAGGCACTATATTGTAATATTTCATTATTTCTGTATTTTGTTTGTTTGTTAAATTGTGTATATATATTGTAAAAGGACAGTGTAAATTTTTACCGGTTTATTAATAAAAGAAGTAGACTGTTTCTCTCTCCAAGATTCAACACAGTGATATCAAAGAATTTGTAAGGTGGCAGTTGTAGTTAGAGTCACATTTGTTGTATATAGACAATCAAATTATATATTTGTAGTGTATCTCATACTTTTAGAGGCTCGTAGTTGTATCTAATAAGGCAAATTATATATTTATAATATATCTAATAGTTTTAGAGGCACATAATGGAACTTGTTGAGGTAAATTATATATTTGTAGTATATCTCATACTTTTAGAGGCACATAATTAAAACTATTGAGGCAAATTATATATCTCAACTTAACCACGATTAGCCTTTAGTCAACCATATTTCCATTTATAGAGAGAAGAGAACATTATTCGGTCAGGCAAACCGATCTGCCCATCAATCTTGGTACTCTTTCATTCCTTTCCTAGCTTTGTCTCTCTTCGTGATGATGAACCTAGGAAACAAACGTGGTGGGTTTCGTGGATCTAACCACTAGATTTTATAATCGTAAATGGTTGATCATAAGTTTTATTTTTTAATTGGAGGCATAAGCGAGTACAGAGATAAATAGGAGAAGAAGTTAGAAAGTAGATATAAAGAAGAAGTTAGAAAGTAGATATAAAGTTACATTCTATCTCTGGAGGTTGGCGGGATGATTTGTCCGCTCAAAAGTCAAAACTCACACTTGTAATGTCGTCTTTACTCAGTTTATAAGATGAGTTTGATAGCTCATGCAACTTGAAGAGGTAGGCGAGATTGTACTTCAAGAACCAATCTGCGGTCCTATCATAATAGTGGTTTGGAGTAGATGTAATAACTACACATTCAAATAGGTAATTCACGAAAGAAAAAAAAAAGGCACAACAATTCAATTTTGACACAATGAAATCGACAAACGAATACGAAATATAACTATATGGTGAATATAATCAAACTATCGGATAGATGAAATGTTTAAAAGATAAAACACACAATGTCATATGCGAAAATAAAGCAGGGGTTAGTTGGGTTAGCAGGCAAAAAGGGTTCAGTTTAGTTGGGAAGGTTTATAAGGGCCTTTAGTTCCCCAGTCAATTAACTTGTTAATTGTTGTAAGTGGTCCTTAAATGGATCCAATGATATTGTATTTGTAGTGTAATCAACTAAGTGTGTTTTGAGTTTCCTGAATATTACAAAGTCATAAGCCCACTGATTACCAGGTCAGATAAGGCTAACAAAATATTAAATTTGCTTAGTTTAGGATCGCATGGACGGGAAAGCCCAGAGTAAAGCCTAGTTTTGGGTCCAGTTAGAGAATTCCTACTCTTCCCAAACTCCAAACTTTTTCTTCCTCCTTTTTGTTCTCCAAATAGCAAAACTTTTTTTTTGGTAAGATAGCAAATATGTTTCCGTCCGAAAAATCAATTATTTATTTCTAAAAAAAATGATAACTTTTTTCTCATGAAGAGCATACAATGGGCAAATGTTAATGAAATGCATAAAAAATAGCAAAATGTGAACTTCAATCCAAGAGCTTCCCTGGGACTGGGGCTGGTGCCTGGTAGTAATTTGAAGATGAAAACATTTACTACAATTAGGTTCGAACTTTGGGATTAACAATTATTTATATAATAAAAATGGTAAGTTCGTTTATTTCATAGAGAGAGAAGTGATCGTTAACCTTTATATGTGGAAAAATACGAGAATCAAGTAGAATATTATTCGCACATGTAGATAATTTAGCAGGTTCAGGTTGTCCTTGAAATTGATTTTTTTATGCGAGCCTCACAACACAAAAATAAATTAGAAGGAGAATTCGAATCCAATTAATATAGAGACAACTGCAATATCATGAGCAGCCTAATTAAGTAATTGCAGGTACACATACAAAAGGCTAAATTACACGATTGGTCACTCAGATTATACAAATCTTTCATGTTTACCACCCGAATTACTTTCTTTCTTATTCACCACTAATTTTATGAATCGTTTCACCGTTGTCATCGGCCGTCCAATTCCGTTAAAATTATCCTACGTGGTAGTCAACGAAACCCTTTAACATTTAGTTTGATGATGTGGCAATTTAAAAATAATATTTAAATAAATATTAATATTTAAATTAAAAATATTTTATTTTCGTTCTCCATGTGGGCTTTGCTCCCCAACCCGCGAGGCTTCTCTCCCTAGTCTCTACCCACCTTTTCTTTCTCCATTCAATTCCCTCGTTCCCCAATTCCCAGTATCTAACCTAGGGTTTCCGCCATGACTGCTCCACCGCTGATCAATCGATTCTCCTCCATGGGCGACCTAACAGATTCCGACACGGTGGCACCCCCAACTCCCTCCCTCTCCCAACGACGACGCTCGTTGAGGCTTGGGGCAACCTCTACGTCTAGCTCAGCCGGGGAACCTCTGCCGCCGAGGCCGTCCACGACCTTGCCAAGAAGACGCGCCACACCGACGTCCATTGCAAGAATACAAGGTCGAGAAGACTCGGGATGCGGTCGCCAACGACGAATTCGTCTCGTCCTGGCCCTTCTTCGACTGATTGGACGGCCGTAAAGCCTATCTTCCTCGCCGCCTAAACTCGAACCGACACGCTCCGCTCCAACGCCACCGACTCCTCCAGCTAGGGAAGTACTGATTCCTTCTTGAAATAGTCTGTCACTGCCAATTGTGGTGGGAATCGGACTGTAATTCGATTGATGCTGTTGGTGGAGGTTGTGTCGGTGGTGGTGATGAGTATTAGCGGCGGCACCACCACTGCCATGATTAACGGACATCGCTCAAATTAGTTTACGCTTGGAATTGCCTAAATTGATTATTTTTTAAATTTTTTTATTTTTTAATGGTCCAATCAACAGTCCCGTTTGCCATGTCATAAAAAAATTAACGGAGTTAATGGAGACTAATGGCTGGTGACCAAAGGTGAAAAGATTTGTAAGTGAGTGACAAATAAGAATTCGGATAGCAAATATGAAATAAAAGTAATTCGGATAACAAATATGAAATATTTATATAATTTGAGTGAGCAAATTTAGCCCGTGAAAATGTGAAAGAGAAGGAATATTTAGAGTGATTGATGGCAACAGCCAACAAGTGAAATAATTACACAGTGCGTGGAGAGGCTTTATACGGAGGAATCTGGTTGGTTACAAGTGGTGGAATTTGGTGATGGGAGAAGGGCACTGAACTGATCACTACTTTTGTTTTACAATGTGGGTTTGGTATGAATGATCGCAATCAAATCAATCATCATGGATAGATGAGCTCATCAAAAGCCCTTCCCTTCTCTTCTCTTCCTTGAAGGTTGTCAAACCGGTTTGTGTCTCAGTTTAGCAAGTGGAATGGTTCGACCGGTGGTACATACTGGTTTGTGCCAGTTCATGTCGGTTAATATTACAAATAATTTAAAAATACTCATATTTAAGCACGACATTTAACGTCAATATCTAAATATTTGTACTTGAATCCAACAAATAACATCAACATTTAACTTTTTAACACATAAAATAAATAATAAATTATTTTTTATCAAATAAATTCACTAATATAAGATCATTTTACTTAGAGATTCGTATATCGATCATGCCGGTCATACCGGTGATGTCACATCGATTTTATGACCGGTACAAGTTAAACTAGGTTCAACCAGTGGTACGCCGGCCGGCGTGACAAACCATGTTTCTTCTTTTCCATGTATTGTAAGAGCGGAGCATTAGCTTCGAAGCTCTGATAGGCAAGCAGGCGGTTCAGAGTGAGATCCTGAGATTCCCATACCTGCGTGTATAATCCTCTTCGCACTATTGGATGGGTTTTGGATCCACCAAATTTCATTTGGCTAGTTTCGATTCGTATAATGATTTTTCATTTGGTTTTTAACATGTTAGACGAATTGGAGAACATATTATTACACTTTGATCTCCATAAAGTAAAGAAGCAAAGCAAGTATTAAATGTTAGATATACACTACTACGCACTCGGCACGCACCATGTAATAGTTGATGCATCATGTGTTATCATTATACTCATTTGCTCGATTATTGATAGTATTAAGTTTTTTATAAGCACGACGAGTGTCCATCGCTCAAGTGTTTAATTAGCGAGCTAGTATGTATGGAAAATCATGGCAACGGTATTTAATTTAACTATTAGATGTTAAATTCAATAATTCTATGTCTATTTTTTTTATAAGGGTGATATATTATTTTTTTGTTTGTTTGTGATTAAGGTACTATTTAAGAGATTTGAACCTGAGATCTCCAAGTTCTTACTAGTGGTATTACCACTAGATCAAGTCATTGTTGGTAATAACCATGCATATTTAAAAGTCTTGGGTTAGGTTTTGTATGTAATAGTATTAATTAATAACCTCTTAATATTTTTGGATGGGGTTTGTTATATTTACAAATCCATATATATAGCTAGTAGCTAGTGATTTGTTTTGTTTGGTGTGTTTTGAGTTTGTTGCAACGGAGAGATGGAGGTTGGCCAAACCACAAATATACATAACAACAATATATCAACAATTTTCCGCAGAGACGACAGAGATGCATGGCAACAAGCGACCCAATTAGATAGTGAGTCTGTTAGGCCATCCGAAGAAAAGAATGGTCTCTCCCTCCCTCCCGATCACCACCACCATAAGACAATACGTACAAACGTTGTCGGTGAGAAGGGGATGATTATTATTGATTTAAGAATTCAAACAAGTTACAAGTATATATATATTGGATAATAAGAAACGACGAGAGAGTCAGAAGATTAGGTCCGGAGATGGGCAGGCATGAATGAATAATGATGCAGCAGCTATACCTAAAACGAATTATTCATTTTATTTTATTCACAGCCCTCGCCCGGCCCCGTGCCATCTGATCCAAAACCACGTATTGTAATGTACACAAATAAAATAAAATAAAATAAAATAATGAAGCGAAGCCAAAGAAGAGTTAGCTTAGCTTAGCTGTTGGTGGTAATGGTATGCTAGCGTGGATCCACATCGGCACTGCAGGCTGTGTGTTCCTTTCCTCTATCCGATCCTGCTTTCCTCCTCTCCTCGTTACTGATAGTGGACTGGTGGCCACGTTTTGGGTTGTCCTCTCTATCTACTCTCTTCTCTTCTCTTCTGACCTGGCTTATGTATCCATTTAAAATCACTACTACGATTATTCATCCGTACAACAGAGAATAAAAACTTCAAACTCCAGCTGAAAATAACATTAAATATGAGAGAGAAATTATGGTTGGGTGTGGGGCTCTAGATGGTCACTCAATTACGATTTAAACTCTTTATTTCTTTGAATTATTCTCCTTGTCATTGATTTGTTATAATATGATCCTTATATTTTTTTACATATGAAGAAATACTCTTGGAGGGACGAGGGAGTCTAAAATCATACCCGCTTCATCCACACAAAGGTTTTACCGTGTTCTACCCATACTCGCCACATACTCATTCAATACGAGAATTCTCCAAATTGATAGATAGTACGTGAACACTTAAACATGGGACAAGACATATAACAATTGTGCAATTGAAGGGTGCACTTTATAGCTTTTGATTAACTTCTTTTTTTATATCCCAGGAACATCCCCATGCACACACTGCTTGAGCGATAGCAGAGCAAGATCAAACCTGGGGTTCACCTACTTGAGCCCTTTGGGCCCTCCATTAAGATCCTCATTTAATGCCTCTGGGAACACCATATTGGGCCTGAGTAGGGGTCGAACACGAGATCTGCGAACGAACGCCCACTAAGAGTTTCACCGCTAAAGTATGTGACCTTTGGCTAGCTTATGTTTTACTTCAATGGCTTCTCATTGACAAACACAATAGTGCAAATTATTATCAAGTGAGATATATATGTCATTAGAAAGTACATTTATCTTGAGATTTTATGGTCTAATTTAGACACAATACCTAGCTTACTTTGGGCCGTTGACCAAAAATTTACATTAAATATTGATATGCTGCCACGAGTGTGATGAAAGATTAAAACAATAATATGGTCCAAGTCCAAAATGTTTGCTGTTTTATATGATTTTTGTTAGAGTTGATTTGATTCCGTATAAACACATAATGAAGCACACCCCCGAATAATCCTCCTATCATTCGCATAATTTTGCTCTCTGTGGTCTCGATCGAATCAAGCAAAGGATTAGATTAGAAGAAGCATCTTCTTTCGGATATTCCTACTCCCTTCAAATAAGGAGACCAATGGTAATAAGTAAAGAGACAGTTTCTAATCGTAATTGGTTATTACTTTACTTGAGTAATATATGTTTTCCCCCTATTAATAATAGTGATCATTTTTTTCGCAGGAGGACATGAGCTGCTTTATAACGGAACCGGCACTTGACGGAGAACATTAGCACAAATAGAGGGTCACAATCACAATCGCAGAAGTTGTGTCACACAACCAACCATCAACGGCCCAACTACATGTTGCTCACTAAAGTTTGCGATCATCAATAAATCACTCACTTATATTTCAACTTAGCACCTAAGAGAACACCATATCCACTCAACACAATTGATTATCGTTAGGTTGACACGTGCAATGTTAAGTGAATCATTTAGTCGCTAAGTTAACACACAAGTGTGGTAAAATTAACATGATATACATTAGGGTAAATCCAATTTATTAGCAAAATATTTCAAACTTTTCAAATTATTAGCCAAATTTTTTGAAATACAAAATATTAGCAAATTTTTTTGTACCGCATCAAGATATTGTCATTTATTTGTTACCGTTAGTAATTTTGTAATTCCTTTTTAGTTAAAATACTCAAACTTTGAAATTTTAACTGTCACGTGTCTCTTTCAAATCCGTATCATGTTGACAAGTTAATATTACTAACAAAACTGCTAAAGAAAAGATAACAAAGGAAATACTATTTTTTACTTTGAAAAGTTTGGCTAATAATTTGAGAAATTTAAAAGATTTGACTAATAAATTGTATTTATCCTAATTTCAAAATTATATTGGGAGCTAGGAAATATTTTCATTTTGAAAAGTGTGATACATAATATAAAATAATATAAAGATCATACTATGATGGCTAATGAGTAAGTCACTCTTAATGGCTAATCAATTGTCTATTGAAGATAAAAGGGAAAGGAGAATATCAACCTGATTTTTCGTTTAAACGCTAATACTGTCAAACGAACAATTAATTATTGGTGTCAGAGTTTTTTGGAAATTTAGGATGCTAAACCATGTGCCAGAAGAAAGAAAGGTTAAAAAATATAAAATTTCCAAAATAGAAGAGAGGGGAGAATAAGTAAAAAAGAATCAACAAAGAAAGAGGAAAACTCCCTTTAAAAAAAAAGGAAAACCGACAGCAACGGAGGGTAACGGAAACGGCGTCTTGCCGATCTAATTAGTTTTTTTTTTTTTTTTGTTTCTTTTAAGACGAAGACGAAAAAAGGATAAAGAAAGAAAATCAAAGGGAAAAGATAAAGAGGAAAAAGGGGGGAATATCCGTTCAGAAAATTCCGACGAAACGGGGTGGGCATATGTCTAAGGTCTCCCCCGTTCCTTGGAATATTCCCCGGGGAGATCCCCTTCATCCTCTCTGTTCTTCTTCTTCTTCCCTTCCTCCTCCTCCCTTTCTCCTTCTCTGTGTTGTAGTTGTTCACAATAACATCAATGGGAGAGGCCTTTCCCCCTCTCCTCCCCATATATAATCCCCTCTGAAATTCCCATCCTCTCCACCATACAAAAACCCCAGAAAGAAACAAGAAGAAGACTTCTTTCTGTCCTAAAATGGCTCTCAAGGCCGTACACGTCTCCGACGTCCCCACTCTCGACATCGTCCAGGAGAATGCTTCCCTCGTCCTCAACCCGTCTCGATTTTCCGCCGGTAAGGGGTTCTATTCTTGATCCCGGTGCAAGTTTTCTGTATAATTTTTTTTTTTTGGTTAATTAACGGATGGGAACGATTTGATATTTGTCTGCAGGGGTGGACATGAGCGCTGGCGGTGGCATCGGCCATGGGGCGGGATTCAGGCCGCCGAAGTTTCTGGTGGTTGGCCACCGAGGGCACGGGATGAACAATTTCCAGTCGCTAGATCCAAGGATGAGAGCCATTAAAGAGAACACCGTCATGTCATTCAACGCGGCCGCTCGGTTCCCTCTCGACTTCGTCGAATTCGACGTTCAGGTTAGCTCCCGCCCTTTCTCTAAATCTGTTAGTGTCTATTTTTGCCGGTGCGGTTCCCGGCAGCCGCGTCTTGTAATTTTTTTTTATTTGCCCAAACTGCCCTCTCATCTTTAATTCACCGCCGAATAATAGACCAAATTCACCGCCGATTTATTTTCTCAGCATCACTGTTCACTAGTTCCATAATTTCTTGAGTGCATGTTCTCGATTGGTTAGGCTTACGCAATCAAAGTTGCTCCCTTTTTGGACTTTCCCGAGCAGCTAAAACAAAAGCTGAACTGCTCTGTTTGTTTCTTCTCCTGCTTTTGTAGGTCACCAAAGATGGCTGCCCTGTCATCTTCCACGATAACTTCATCTTTTCCGAGGATAACGTAAGCTCATCTCCTTTCCCATTTCCCTTACCACTCAACCCAAATTCCCTTTATCCGATGTGCGGCTTACTAATCTGCAATTCGATTCCGTCCAAAACAGGGTACTATCTTCGAGAAGCGAGTAACAGAGCTCTGCCTCGCCGAATTCCTCGCCTACGGCCCACAGAAGGAAGATCCAACCTCCACCTCGCCGCCGGTGAGCAAACCTCTGTTGAGGAAAACCAAAGACGGCAAAATCGTGAGGTGGGAGGTGGAAAACGACGAGCCCTTCTGCACTTTACAGGAAGCTTTCCAGCAAGTGAAGCCGGCGTCTCTGGGGTTCAACATCGAGCTCAAATTCGACGACCATGTCGTCTACCAGCAGGACTACCTCGTCGGAGTTCTTAACTCAATCCTCAAAATCGTGTTCGATTATGCTGACGGCCGCCCGGTGATCTTCTCATCGTTCCAGCCCGATGCTGCGCTGCTGGTCAGGAAGTTGCAGAGTGTTTACGCTGTTTACTTCCTGACAGATGCAGGGGCAGAGACTTTCTACGATTCGAGGCGAAACTCGCTGGAGGAGGCGATTAAGCTGTGCTTGGAAGGTGGGCTTGCTGGTGTTGTCTCGGAGGTGAGAGGGGTTTTCAGAAATCCCGCTGCTGTGGGGAAGATCAAGGAGTCCAAGCTATCTTTGCTCACTTATGGCAAGTTGAAGTAAGTTCCTCCTTTTACCAAAGTTTGAGGCTTTAGTTTCATTTCTAGACTGGTTTTGAATTTGTTTGCTTACGGGTGTGTTGATTGATGATCTTCTATTGCAGTAATGTGGCCGAAGCAGTTTACATGCAGCATTTGATGGGGATTGATGGGGTGATTGTGGATTTTGTGGCCGAGATCAGTGAAGCAGTTAATGCGATGATTACTCCATCTAAAGAAGAAGAAGAAGAAGAGGCAGAAGAAGGGAGGGTGTTGTTGGGAGATGGAGGAGAGGAGGTAAAATCTAGGCCGCAGTTCTCACCGAAGGAGATATCGTTTCTGCTGAAGTTGATTCCAGAATTGATACAGCATTGAGCTGTCAAAGTTTTGGGGTTGTGTAATTTAGCGTCCATTGTTGTAAATACATTTTCTTAACTTGGTGATTTGGGTTATAGTGGGGTTCTTGTATCGAGAAGTTTGGGGAGGGATGACTAATTATATTTGACCGGAGGAAGAGGATGGGAGAATAGGGCAAACAAGAAGGAATTGTGCGATTGGATTGTCAAGTTAAACTTGAGTTTACCTGTACCTTTCTGGTTTCTCTCTATGGAGTATTCTTGATGCATATTTGAGCGCGGTAGCCACTAGGGACGTTGTCATCACGTTGGTTATGCATTGGATGGCAATCGAACATCTGTACTAGCACGGAGGATATATTGATTTGATGCACATAACACTTCCCGCGCTCAAGGATGGAAAGGTAGGTCGACTCTCAAAGTGCAGCTGAATTAATTAGCATCCTATCTCTCAAAGTGCAGCTGAATTAATTAGCATCCTATCTATTATCTTCTGCATGTTGTGAAGTAGGGTTGGCAACCGATCGATTTCGGTTTAACCGAAAATCGAAATTGAATGAGGTAAGAGGGGCGATAATTTATTGAAGGTGGGATAGGTATTTAACTTCTCTCAATATCGACTTCATTATAAAATCATTAAAATGTTAATGCATATAAGAATTTAAATATTAAGTTAGTGTTATTTAGTTGATGATTGTTTTCGTAGGGGTTGTTTGGATGAGGAATTGTAATGTATCAATTTGACACAATTGTCTCGTTTTGAGTCAATCATATCAAATTGACTCATTTGCTCGCAAAAAATTGGGATGGATCAATTTGTCTGAGGTTTTTTGAATTGATCTGTTTTGAGTCAATTTGAATTGTCTGGGATGGGGGCAGGTAATTCGAATTGACTCGTTTATAAAACGAGACAATTGATCAAACTGTTTCATTTCTAGATTGATCCATCCAAACAACCCCTTAGAGTTAAAGCTATGTAAGGCGACATGAATAATTTTTATAGGGATTTGTTGGATGCCATTATTCTCATGAATCGAATAATTGTAAGAGCATACATTAATTTAGAAGAAATGAAGCATCCAACAAATAACTTCTATTAGTCAAAGCCTTTGTAGTCTATGGTTAGAAGAAATGAAGCATTTATATTTTTGCATGAATTTCTTAAGTTATCGCTCGATAAAAAAACGGCGATAATGCTCATCTTATCGATACAACATAGGATATTAGATTAGGATGAGTTTAGGCTTCTTTGGCGTGGAATTGCCTACTTTGGAAGAGAATTGATAGTTGATACACTTGTATCAAAGCTCAAGGGTAAGCATCGATATGGGCTTGATACAGGCAGTTTGGGCTTGGCAAAGCAACAGAGTCCACATTTTCTTTAGCCCAGAACGCCCAAACACAGTTTGGACAAGGCTTCACAACTGGATTTACTGTTATCTTTTCATCATCAGAGCGCGAAAAATTTCCCACTTCTTTCCTTCCACCAAACAGAAAAACCAAAAGAAATTCCCTCCACAGCATGTTGGATGAACGACGGAGTTGCTCCTCGATCGCGCTTGGACTATTCACGGCGGATTCGCCATCATCGTTTCGACGCTTCTCCTTCCACACTAAATCTGAGTCTCCGGTTCGTCCTTGTTGCTGTCTTGCTGATTTGAGCATTCTTCGGTTTTGCGTTCGCAGTCTTGCACGATCTCCTACAGGAAGCTTTGAACAAGTAGTCTAAACCGTATACGTTTGGTATGCTTTTTCCAGATACATGGCGTTTCTGATTGGGTTCAGTTGGTGCATTTGCTTCTGTGGTATTTGGCATTTGCGTAGATAGACATGATGCTTAGGGTTTCGATTTGCTAGTGATATTGTTCGAAATTGTGTAGCCTGAGACAGCACATTGTTGGCAAGAAGGAATGTGTCAATACAATGGTAGGTTCTGAATTTCGAGTAGTTTCTTAGTGACTTAGTGTTTCGTTATAGGCAGCTGAATGATGCTTTCATTCAGGCTCTCATGGTGGATATCCAGCCATGGAGTTCCTTGAAGGAGCCTGGCAAGTTAGTGTTAAGTGAATATTTCAGAAGTGTGATGAGATCGCAGCTGATTTATTGATATGCTGGTTGCGTTCCTTTGGTTGACTGGTGGAACCTCACGATTTCCAGAAATGTGAATTTAAGTAGCGGAGGATGATTTGTGCACCAATTTTTTGAGTGGGTTCAATGCCTTATGAAGATGGATGGCATTGTAGATGAAGTAGATTATGGAACCAGTGGAGACTTTCAAACACCAGAGTGGGAGCGTAAATAATCTTGTATTCCTCGGATGAAGTTGATGGTGCTGAAAGTAAAGCACTGCAGGGTGCATCCTTTGTTTGAGCTCAGGTAGCATGCCCCTTATCCCGAGAGAGAGAGAGAGAGAGAGAGAGAGAGAGCAACCATTGAAGATGCCTCATGTCCTAGTGATTATTATAATGGATAGATATCGGCACGGAGATGGGTGATACCCTGAGCTGGTAATTGACCTTGCTTGCTGATTTCAAAGCAACAAGTTACTGAATGAAGCTAAAGTGGTGCTGTTGGTTTGTGGAAGCCCTCATTAACAGGTGATTGGAAGCGTAGATGACGGAACAAGCTTCTATATGGCTCTCTGCAACAAGAATTGTATCAGTATCTACTGGTAAAGTTGTATGAAGGTTGCACGGATAGAAAGCTGTGCTAGTAAGAAACGATTACTTGACTCATGCCTTAACAGCAGAAAATGATAAAGGTCTGTTTACATCATCCGTCCTCCCTTCTACCTTCTTTTAGATCTCCATTTTATTTATCTAATCACAAGTTGTGTGTTTGCGTGACTGACTGAACTGGTACTCTGTTGGGGTTGTTGTGCGCAGGCGTGGCATATTGGCGTGGTTGGAACCTGGAACAGGATGTGAGCAGCCGAGATACCCAGATAAACAAAGGAAGCAGCTTGCTTGGGAATAATTAGATTTAAACAGGTGGGCAATCCAATCAATTGGAAGGATCGGATTCAAGACATTGATTCTCCAAAATCAATTGGTATGCTTATGATATCAAAATTCTGAGATAGCGTATTAGTTAGGCCTATGGTTGTGGTCAAGTTATTCCCAGCTTTGGCATTCTCTAGGGGAAATGATTATCATATCAAGTCTAATCCACATCGTTAGTTATTCTTCTTATGAACACTACTATATGAGTAAGTTAATCCCATGTGGCAAACTGGTTAGTCGGGTCGTTGAGGGTTCGGTCAGATAAATGGTCAATTCATTTTTATGATTATTTACGGGTTCTGAGAACTTACCGAATGGGTTAGCCATTTGAGACTAGAAGTTGACAAACAGATCGGTTATCGGTTAGATTTAAGTGATCGTTCACTCATTGTGAGTTCGGTCCAACTGGTTTGAGTCATATCAGGTTGTGGTCAATATGAGTCAGTAATGGCTTTTGACCGGTTGGGTTGGGTCAAAATGCAGCCACGTCGTTTTCACTTTGGTATTCCTGTGGCAGGTGATGCCGATGCCATCAGTTTACTTTGCGCCTGAGGGGTTTCTTGGGTTTTGGCTGACTTACATCTAGCCGGCAACTTTGCGTCTTACTCCACACTGACAGCTACGGGATACAAATACTTGTATTCGTAGGTACAAGGCCAGCATACGAAGAAAGTAAGACAGGTACACGCTCTGTTATCTATTCTTCTCTTACTTGTCACCCAAAAAAGAAAAAATATTTGGAAAATCCTGAGATTTGGCATTTGGATGGTTTATATTATGGATATCGTTACTCTGGGAATTCTAATTCTAGATTTTTAATTGATTATCATGCTTGCCGGCTGGGAAATAATTGGAGGGTAAAACATTTGAATAGATCATACAATCTGAGATGGACACTTACCGTGGATTGTTCAGTTCAAATATATTAATTACTATATCTATAGGTAATGTCAGGAACTAAAACTCGAATTAAACTTCTATAATTGGTTTCTTAGACGTGTATGATAGCACCTTTTTATTTTAAAGACTAGGGGTGTAGATATCGGTCATTAGAATACGCATTGGACCATCCCAAAGAAGTAGAAATAATTGAAGGGAGTTAGAGGTCACACGACTTCTATGCCTCGACATGCTCACAAGAGTAGCTAGGAGGTTCACTGCTAGAAGACGTCGCTAATGCCGTGAAAGGCAAATTCCCCATACCCCATAGGTGAAGATTAGTTTGTTTGCTAGGGAGAAAGACTGTACTTTCTTTTGTAGTTTTACGTAAGAAACATTAGACTATTTTATCGAACTTGTCTTAAGAAAGATCTCAAAGGGGTTAATCTATGAACTAACCATATTGAAATCGCACAAATCTCTGTTGAATAATATATATAGATAGGTCTCCTGAAGTGGCACGTAAAATTGTCAGGAAGGAAGGATATACCGATGCATAGAAATAATAGAGAAGCAATTAAGGAGATTCATAGACAAACTCGGGAAATGAAAGCGAGCACTGTCCCCAACAGAAGGCAATGGGACCAAATTGGCTTTTCTTTTGGCGAGAAGAGAAGGAAATAAAACATCCTACCCACCAACGAAACCATTAGAATAATGGAGCAGCTAGGCTGTCCAATACATTGAACAACGCAGAAAATGGAGGAGCAGGGAACTCAAGATAGATAGATAATCTTAAACAAAATATATCGTGAGCATCCATTTTGAATAGTAGTCGGAAATCGAATCTTACTAGGCAATAACCACTAATTGGCTCTGAAGAGACCTCCACCACTTGGCATGTATTGTGTAGTTTAATTCCCTAAATCTGTGTTATTCATTGATAGAAGTGACTCTCATTTGTTTGTGTGCCTTTCCCTTCATTTCCTCTATTAAAATTTCAAGAGAGACAGAGAGGTTCGAATAGAAAAGTTCATTGTTTATCACTATGGTTCTGTTTAGGGGCTTTTAACTTATTGAACCACACAATCTGGAGAAAGATGAAGATATAATTATGTTTTCTATGTTGTTGTAAAGTTGCACACTCTTCATCAACAAGTAAAAAACATATATAATATAGGAGTGAGTTCTCTCATTTCGATACGGTTGGTTGACTTTGTTGCATTGTGTTCATTTGGTGGATCTGGAACATGAAGTCTCCATCATTTTATTCAGTTTGATCTTTGATCGAAATTATACGGAAACATGTGGGAGAGTTGGATTTCTTCTCATTGCCAACCCTAAGACGGGTGGAAGGGGGTTGGTTATGTAACATTAACCATTTGGTGATGTCTTTGTTTGGAGGGTAGCCTTGGCTGTTATGGATGCCGAGGTTTGAAATTCTGCATGATAGGTAAGGTAATGCCAATTAGTAATATTGATTTTTCTTCGTTATCATTGGTTGCTTTCTAACTCCCAAACCCTTTCTACCAAAAAGAAACAACAAACATGTGCATTTGGTTCTCTCTATTTGGTAGAGTTAGCGAGTGCAGTCTAACACTAAAATAGCAATGGGTCTAGAGCCAGTGGCACATCTCCTCTTTTAAAATATAAATAATAATTATAAATGATATGAATCGTAAAATAAGAAAATGACCGATTAGAACAAGATACAACAAAATAATACAACATATTTCTAACTTTTACAATGTTGTAAAATGCACTTAATATACCATATTAGACAGTCGTTCATGAATTGATTGCCTATTTAATTGAAGATCAAGAGGGACTCGATTATCTTGATGTTTTGTTTCTTGAATGATAGACGGGTTTGCGTTGGGAGGAATTTAGTTTTTAGAGTTCGTATGAAAAATTGGGAGAAATGAGATTTAATTATATTTTGTCTAGTTTATAAATAATTTCAATCTCTTAAGCACAAGAAAAAATTGCTTCTACTTTACTAGATGACATGTTTTTCCATAATTGCAGGATCATGGGTTCATATCAGTAAAACTATCGCCTATTTTTTCCGAACTTGAAACTACTTCCCATATGTCGATAAAATTTTCCTGTTGGTCCTCTCCTATATAGACCTTTGCACTAGGATTACAGAACAAAGCTCTCAAACTAAAGAAACACTTTATTATCCCCACCGGAATTTTTAGAAGTTATAAGTATTATCTCATTCTTTTTATCATAATTTTCACTCGTACATTTTAGCTCCACAATTTTATTTTTAAGCTGAATTATACTTCGAATCCGCAATACTCTTGAAAATGTTTAGTCAAACAAATTACAAAGATCATTGGGCCAAAAGCAACAAAAACATTGACATATTTGCGTGATTAGTGTAAATACTGAAAGTATATACAAAGGTGTAGCAGTAATTTTCTTTTTGCTCGTCAAATAATACTCCCTTTGGCCATATACAGTTCCTGTTATACATAATTCAGTACAACATAGCAACTAGTAGGCGGTCAAAACAATTATAGAAAAGAAGATAGTGCCATTATTTTGTTCGTGCTTGACATTAGGTAGTGACACCTTCTTTTGATGTGTTCCTCTTGTGTCGATAGAAATCACAACAGGCATAAATTATGCTTAAAATGTTGGCAAAGCATACTCCAACATCGGGATTTTTGGAGGGGGAATTGGGAACTCAGAACTTGAAAGCAAAAGGTGGTTTTGATTTTTCTGCAGTGATAATTACAATTGCAAGCTCAACAGTTAAGGAACGCGTATTTGTTATGCGGCTAATTGCATTGGGTGTGAGAGAGAAATTCTCTTCTTCTTGTTGTTTCCATCATCACGTCCCTAATGTTGGGTTACATTGAACACCAATTTTGCATAAGCATCATCATAATAATATATACTTAATAGTAAATAAGTAAATTCTTATTTTCGTAATTCCAGATGTGCACGCATAGGAATTGTCTTCATACCTACGTTTGTTTGCATTTGATGTGTTTTGTCCCAATATTTGGGTGGTTGTAATCACCGCTTATTCTCCTTACAAATGGCGCCCTGTTGTTTCTTTTGACAAGAAGGCTTGCATTTAGTTTTTAACTTTTTCTTTAATTATGATGATGATTAAGGCTCCGATGCATTGCTTGTTCTTTTCACTATGGACTGTTTCTGACCAGGCCGTCATTCTTCCTTGGCTTCTTCCATCAGATAGATGTCTTCATAACCACTACATCAAACTTAGACGCACAAAAGAACATCCACCTCACGGTTTGAAGTTCACCAGGTTAGAAACTGTCAAAGGGGAATCTTTGCATATCTGCTTCTTGAATCTCCCGTCTATTGTCTTATAGTATTGTGATGCAAGCTGTTGTGTCAAGATAGTAAAACACATACTAGAATACTGGTTTTACTGTGGTAAAATGGTAAATTAGAATAGTGACGTTTAGGTATTGAAATGAATTTTTGCATATGCCGTATATACAGTCCAATTCCATGCTTTTCTAAACGCTTGTTTAAGTAGAGGTACAGTAAAAGTAACGTGGCAAACGTGCAGCTTAAAGACAGTAGGTACATAACCGTGTCCTTCCTTCTTTCCAGAGTTTTTTGACCGAAAGCTTTGGGGGTGTGTTTTCAGTTTTGTTTTGGCCTCGAGGGAAGGCCTCTTTTGGTGTACGCACACGTTTTGTAGAGAGTCAGTTTTGTAGGGAAGAGAACTCCTTAAATTTTAATCTAATCTCCCTATGGGGAAAAAATAATAATAATAATAAAGGAAATGAAGAGGGAGAGAGAAATGAAATGAGATACCAAATGTGGTGGTGTCAATGTCATAGTCAAGGATGGGAAGGAGTTTTGGAGTCAGTCGGAAGGAGTATATAGTTATCTGAATTGGAAACAACTATTTCTTGGAATTTCTTCTTCACCCCCACCCCCTTCTATCTATCTATCTATATATAAACAACCTCTTACTCTTCCACCATTTGTCTTGCCTTGCCTTGCCTTGCCCCTCCATTACTATCCCCCACCACCAAGGCCACAGCTCCACTTTCTCTCGCTCTCTCTCCGAGTTTCCTAGTTTATCCACCCCTTAGAAAGTAGAACCCTTTATTACTCTGTGAGACTCGACTATCAACTTAGTCTCCAAGTTGTCTGTAGGAAGTAGTACTAAGTGAGGGAAGAGAGAAGATTAGGCAGAGGAAAGAAGAAGGGGAAATGGAGAAAGGAAGCCCAGTTGCTGTGAATGGAGGAGTCAAACTGCCTATTGGGTACAGATTCCGTCCTACAGACGAAGAGCTCATCGTCCACTACCTTAGACGCAAGGTCTTTGGTCTCCCATTGCCTGCTTCAGTCATCCCCGACCTCGACGTTTTCCACTCTCATCCTTGCACCCTCCCAGGTACTTACAAATTACAATCCACCAGCAAGAAAAGAAACCTTATTATTGATGAGCACCAATTTCCATCCCCCGTTTTCTCAAGAGTAATGAAAATAATCCCTGGTGCTTGATTTTTCTTGCTGCAGGCAACTCGAGGGAGAAGAGGTATTTCTTCTGCAAGAGAGAGGCAAGTGGCGGTGATGATAATGTTGAGAAGAATGGTGTTGTTGACAGTTCATATGGCAGAGGTTACTGGAAGCATACTGGGAAAGACAGACATGTGATTCTGTCTGCCCCTTCTCCTTCTTTCAACTGCCAGTTGGTTGGGATGAGGAGAAGTCTGGTTTTCCGCAGACACAAGAAGGCTTCTGCTAATCAAAACAATCAGTGGGTCGTGCACGAATTTTCCCTTCTTGGCTTGGCCACAATCCCCTTCACAAATCAGGTATATATCTAGTTAACAAGTATTGGATTACAAGTGAACATTCGACAATTCTGGATTAGATTACACTTTCTGTTGTTTAGTTTAGCTAGCCTCTAATTGTATATGCTTTTGGGATGATGGATGGCCAGGTGACAAAGGTGAAGTTGGGAGACTGGGTCTTGTGCACTGTGTTTGAGAGGAAGAAGAAGACAAGGCCTTCTACTACTACTACCACTAACAAGAGCCAAAACCTTCAAGGGGTCAACACCTCAAATAGTTCCCCAATCCCAAATCAGCCGGAAGTTGAGGAGACGATCACAGGCCCTAATGACAGTAATGCCTCCATGGATTTTAGAATGGAAGAGTTGTCTGATGCAGGGCCTATTGATCTACAAGAAGAGGACGAAGAAGAAGGGCCTTGTTCATCGTCTTCACTATGTTCAAGTGGAATCACTGAGCTTTCTTCTCCTACCAAGTCACCAAATGGTGGTTTAGATCACCAGGAAGAAGCTCACACTCCAGTCAATGTTGGCTTATGTTCTTCTACTACTACTAGCAGTAGTTATTCTTGTAAGAGATTTTAGTAGGCGGGGGTGGAAAAAGAGGGTAAAAACCGGAGTGAAAGGAAACAAAAGCACATGCCTAGCTATTACTAGCTTCTTCCTAATTTGAGGAGCAACCAAGCCCAATGAAAAGTAAAATTACTTACCAACCAAGCCTTTGTCATCTCTGATTATTAGCTGTTTGTCGAGTTAATTATGACCAAAAGATGGTAATGAGAATCGAGAGAAAGAGAGGGAAAGTGGGGGAAGTGTTAGATTTGTTGTTTCATGTTTAAGGAGCCTATCTATTGTAATTGATAATTGTACCAAGATTTCAAACAAACAAATTCATTGCATTCTTGAATCATGCCTGGTTTCTCTTCCTTTCACCTACTTTACCCCCAAGTTGTTATGATTTTTACCACAAATCTTAACCATCATGGTGATGGGGAAAAGGAAAAGGAAAAGGAGGTGCAAATGGGAATAAATAATGTCGTCGTCTTATGAAGTTTTGGTGGCTAATCCACCATTTCACACCGGGGGTGTCCAAGAGATTTGATGGCTTGTGGCCGGAATTCATTGTTTGGTTTACAAAATGGGAAATGATACGAGATGGATTTGTGGATATTTAGGATTTTGAAATGATGTGGAATTCATAGAGAATAAAGATTGAAATTTCTAGACTTATGAGAACACCAATCACATTACTTATTGATAACGAAAAGTTTATGAAAACGATTACTATGCATCTCATAATACATTAATTTTTTATTGTGAGTATGCAGTTCCTGCATCTTTTTTCTTTGATAAAGTTGATAATTTTATTGTAAAGGCGCTAGGAGATACAATATAGGAGTATACACCAAAATAATACATAATAAAAGTTTACAGAACAAGTTGCCAATTCAACCTAACAAACAACTCAATCTCTATAAAAAAAGTAAGAAAATATCTAAAAAAAAATTATCGAAACAGAAACTGACAAACACAAATATCGAACTCAAAAAATGCAATCCTTATTATATTTTAACCACCGACAAACATTTAACTCATTAACGACATCCACACTTTTCATCTCTCCGTGAGAAATAAGAATGAATAAATCATATATTGTGAATGTTTCTTACCTACACAATCTTATTAAGTTGATATTAAAATTAGGCCTTTAATTATTATTAAGAAGCACAAAGCAAACCTAAAACCATCTTTGAAAAAAACATCTTTCAAAAGGCAAATTGCATTTCTTGATCTTAGGGGTGATGAATGATTACTTTGGAAACAGCCAGATTACATTGCACACATGTGTTTGAGAGCAAAAACCTATATGATGATACAAAATACAAATACACGTTGTACAAAAGAAAGAAAAAGGAGGCAAGAAGCATCCAAAGATTAGAACCAAAAAGGCAAACAAAAATGAGCTTCTTCTTCTTTGTATATAGACTACAGGATCAAACGAACGATTCCTTATTATGGCCATTGGTGGTGGGGAAATGGGGGCATCAGCACATGCTAGCTAGTTGATTCCGTTGTTCATATACATACTTTTAATTGAATGATATATTCCCCAATTATCATTACCATTATTGATTATTATTACATTCATATTCTGAATGAATACTTATTATTATTATTATTATTATTATTATTATTATTATTATTATTATTATCTGTGACCATGAATGATAATGTTGTTCTCAACTTCTTCATGATAATTATTTGTTTTCTGTTCTTCGTCCGCTCCATTTGAATCTATACGAGACTTTGTGGAAGCTGGAAATGTGTAATGGAAAGGGTTTCCTTCACTGTCTCTGGGTCCTCCTGCCACTGCTGCCTTATTCACCCATGTAGCCATGTTTGTTGGTGTCTTATTTTATTAGGAGATGGAGTTAAGAGCAAGGATTTGAAGTTAATTTCTAATCAAGTTAAGAGATGTAATCTTTGGTCGAATCTCGTATGCGAAGTTTGTTATTTTGTAAGTAATTATCCAATTTTATGTCGAGTTTGGTGGTTGAGAAGTGTGAAGTTGGTAATGAGACAAGAAGGGTAGTAATTATAGGTTATGAAAGATAATGAAGGCAAATAACAGGTACATAACATAATGTAAAGTAAACAAACATGACCGATGAAAATAAAGCTAAAGCGGGCTAATGGAAGGTAAGTGATGGATGAGAAGTGGAGTTTTGAAGAATTTCTATCTTATAAATAGTTGGTATATAATTTTAAGGTTGATCAAGATTTATTTTATAGTAACGAATGAATGGAATAAGAAGAATTAATTCAAACGAGCAATAACTCTAGTGAACTATCAACTAATTTGAATTGTTTAATTTGTTTTAATGTACATTCATAGATGGCAATTACCAAATTTGCTGGGAAGAATTTTTAAATGAAATTGTAGGGAGGTGAAAAATTAATTAAGCTAAATTGAAATCCAAATAAAAGTATCAATCTGGATTACCAAAATGGGGCCTTTGACCTCCAAAATTGGAGATCCAAAAAGACACTACACTACAGATGTGTATCACATGATTATATATATATACAATCAGCAACACAGCATCATAAGGTTATTCGTGTGAGTTAGGGCTTAAAACTATACTATAAAGTAGTTTTCATCATTGATTGATGAATACAAAGTACTTTTGGAACGATTATTTCTAGTATTTGTACTGGGTAGTTCTGGCATATAGATTCTCATACTATGATTTTGGAGTAAACACTTACTAGAGAAATTTTATCATGGTCACAAGTACCGATACTTTCAGATTTAAGTTGAATTTAAACTATAATGTTGAAGGTACAAGTTTAATATATATCATAAAGAAATTTGTACGAAAAGGTATAGGTACAAATTGGGTTTGCACCATAAGATTGAGGTACATATTCAGTTTGTATCATAAAGAAACTTGTACGAAAGATATAAATACAAGTTGAATTTATACCATAATATTAAAGATACAAGTTCAATTTGTACCATAAAATGTATATTTTGGTAATCAAATGTACTTATGAGCATAGTAGCGGAGCTCTTGTCTAGAAAGTGGTTTACTTGCCCGTTGTCTCTTTATTAGAAACTTATTATATGATAAATTGTATACACGATTTGCTCATATTCGTTCCCTTAAAATTTAAAAGACAAATGAACTAGTTCATATTTAGTAGCACATTTTGGATATTTCATATGTTATATATGTTGAAACGTTCATGTTTATGATTTGCTTATAAGTCTGGCTCCTTACTTCGCATCTTATCTGATTTTTAATATGCACTCATCATTTGAGATTCAATGAAGCTTTTATTAGCTAATCGGGTCGCATTGAGATGCAAACTAAGGATGGATGTACATCATGCATGATATGTGAGTTATCACAGACAAGCTGACTATTATACGCGTTATTAATGAGATGTTGTGTGTTCACCACTCACCAGCTAACTCTAGCCAACGAGACAGTTTTATTTAAGGTCACGATGGCATTCCACATCAAACAAATTTTCATCATCTATTAATTAGTGTAGTTGCAAATGTAAATAATTAAATTCAATATGACCGATTAGTCTTTTCTCTTTCTTTCTTCTCGGTATAAATCCTATTCCAAGGAATGAACAAAGATCTATTGCTCTATATGCCAAAATTGAATTGATGAAGATTACAAGGAACTAAAATTGAAAAAGGAGAATCTATTGATCCTTTGTCAAAAACAAACAAATAAAGGTTCGGAAAAAATTATGAATAAGTCATTGAGTATATAGTTATGCTGTTAACCAATTGGGTAGCTTTCAAGCCAGACAATTGAAACCTAAAATTTGACAAAATTGAAAAAGAAAGCCAACACCTTCAAATTTCACAAGATAGCGGCAAGCCGGCAACCTCCAATAAAAATAGTGGTTGGTATATGACACTAAGGAAACTAGAATATTAATACTTTATAACACAATTAATCATCACCATTGAAAAAAACTATGAGTTGTACTCGATAGCATATGATAAGAAAGCCATTTATTTCGTTTAATTTCAATATATTGAGATGTAAAACCCTAAGCTTATCTATAAAGAGATTTTTTTTTATATAGATTTGTTAACAGGGAATTTAACTATTCTTTTTATTTCTGAGTGATATAAATGGAAGAAAATAGTTAAACTTACAATTCTACCCAGGATCCACTAACAGATTCTAAAGAAGTCACCCCAAAAAATCAAAAGATTCTAGCTCTACACGAGATAAAAGCAGTGCTTTACGCGCCACTCTATGGGCAGCACTGTTGGCGGATCTATGTACCGCCTTAAACTCTATACAAACAGACAAAGAGCTAAGGATCTTAAGACACTCTCGTAACACCAGACCGCCAAAAGAGACTTCAAAGACGCCTTGTCGGACTTGGTAGACCACCACTTCGGAATCACCTTCGACTATCACGTGGGTCAAGGTATTGAGGCTACGATGGAGATGGCGTCTCTAAAAGCTAGAAGCTCTGCCAGATAAGGATAGACTATTCCTTGATCCTGCAGTCCAATCACCAACACCACATGCCCGTCTGACCCACGGATAACAAGCCCAGACGAACAACTGGTGGCACAAACAGCTGCGTCTACGTTGATCTTCAAAAAGTCTTCTGGTGGAGGGACACAAGTGGTGGCAGGATGAACTGGGATTAGAGAGCTGGGGGGCGGAGGAGGAGGAAGAAGATTGGAGAATTTGAGGACCTGGTTGTAGAACTGTCTGGCTAGGGAACGAACATGGGGTTGGATAAAATCGAAGGTCACTTTAATTCTAGACTTCCAGATTCTCCAAAGTAAACAGACGCATTGGAGAATGTGGAATTGGGAGATCTCGGAGACCATGACATGTCGCCACCGTAGACCAAAGTTAAGGTCTGGGCGGTCTCAATAAAGTTGCTCAATCCCACTAAAGTCCACAATCTGGTGGCTAGGGGGCATCTGAAGAATAAATGTTCAATGCTTTCTCGATGTCTCCAACAGACAGGGCATCGGTTGAGACAGTTGAGTATAAAAAATGAACATAATTCAAGTCATTTAAGTCTTGGTTGGTGACCCTGCCAACTTAAATCAATATCAATTGAGAACACCAATAATTTAGTTTATTTGGACCATTCTACCACCATTTAGATACAACACAAAATCTCATCTATTGTCAATACTAAGTTTTTATGAAGAGGGGTAGTGTCACTCCAAATGGTGACGAATGCCAACACATGAGTAACTAGTAAACTCGTATGTTTTCCATGCGAATCAAAGATATTTAATTACGAACGAATATGTTATCATAATAGTTCTAACAATAAGATATCTAAATTATTCTTAAAATGATTATAATTTACTCGAAATATGTACTAGTAGCTCACATAAAAAATTCGTTTCTCACTATAAGTTTCATCTATAATTTTTCCTCGGATGAAAAGGGAAGTTGTTACACTTTCACTTTCCTTCAAAAGAAGAACCAACGATTCCTTTTGTTGATATGACTTGAATCGGATTATCAGCCGCTACGACTGGTAATCGGGGGTCTCGCTGCCCGGTCAGCGAGTGGGCCCACGGTGTATGGGCTCAATGTTATTTGGGTTTGGGTTCTGGGCCTGGTCTGTAACCGTTTCCTTTGCCAGATTGGATTAGGTTTAGACCCACATGGAGAAGTACTATAAATACTTCTCATACTCCTCTGTAATCTGTAATCTCCTCGATATAGTGAAACTGGCTTTCTCTCGCCCGTGGACGTAGCTAACACACATCGTGTTAGTGAACCACGTAAATCGTGTGTCGTGTTTTCGATTCTCGCTTTCGTATTCTTGCTTTGTCGATTCCTGCGATTTCCCGATCCGTAGCAGCGCGTTTATAACACCTTTGATGCTACTATGCAAGAAAATGCCATATGTTTATTGAATAAACATGGAGCGAGAAAGTCAATCAAGATGCAGGAAAAAGAAAACAAGAACGTGGTCGAGATTGAGAAATTGAGGTTTTGGGCTTTGGCGGGATGCAAGAAGAAGAGTGCCGACCATGCCAAGGGCAAGGAAGGTTGCTTGTGCTAGAGGTTTTCGAATCATTGCATTTAATTTCAAGATTTTCATTAAAATCAAATCTGTTTCTTGTTTTAAACTCCCCCACCACAACACCAAGAGACCAATCAAAATCCCTCACGTCACCTTCATAGCTCTTATATATGGTTGCTAATCATAATTAGGTATAATGAATGATTACACAAGGGTCACTAAACTGAATTCTGTAATAATAAACAAATCGGTCACTTGAATTTTGATTTTTAACAAATTTGTCATTACAGTTTGGAGTAACTGACATGTTTCGTTACTATTTATACTCTAACCCCATCCAAAACATACTTCATTAATTAACCTAGTTCTAGTTCACTTTGTTCCTTCCTCAGATATCATGTCCTATTTTTATGTGATAGCTAATTAGAAGATCTATGTGACCATTTCGGACAAGTTCCAGTGACTTTGATACAATGACATAACAATTTGGTTGAACACAATAATGGTAGCAGAGACGTCGATTTTTTTAACATAGACATTTATAAAGGTTGTAGCCAAAAGTCATACATAGTACAAAAATAATCCAGTTAGTCGACCAATAATCGAACTACCTATGAAGGGCTGTTAGTGCCACAAAAAGACAGCCCTATAAGCAGCCAGACCTGCAACATAAACAAACACACAGACCACAAAATAGTCAAAATTGCACAAACAAAAAAAAGCAACTATGCCTTAAGCTTTCCTTGCTCCCAGCTAGGATATGACGGAGACACATCTAGTGAATTGAATTAGAACATTACACCAAAAGCCCAGGCAAGAAGAATTTCAAAAGTTTAGTTATTTTAAACTTTTTCAGCAAATTCATTAAAAATGAATGTCTATTAAGTTATTTGCTAGTATTTCCAAAATTTAGTGAACCCAGTAATTAACAATCAAGCTTATTCTCTTTTGTATTTTCTTTAACTTTTCTTCTCATGATCGTACAGTTTTGATTGGGAGTGTATTTTTTCTTACTTTTGTAGCTCTATGGATTGTGATGTATCTGTGGGGTTTTCCCTTTCCTTTTTATTAAGGCCCTCATTTTCTAGCTAACAATGGGAGTAGGCCCTTTTGTGTTTGGAGTAGGTGTTTTTGCCTTATCAGGACAATCATGTCGAGGAAAGAAAATAATAGTGTTTGGTGCCTGCCCTCTTTAACCGGTAGTGTGTGTTTACGCAACTCACTTGGTAAGTATCCGCTGTATATATCGAATGGAATTGTCCCTCATGGACGGTAACTCGTTTCATCTCATCCAAAATAGAATGGAATTGCCACAAATTCAAAAACAAGAAACAACATCAACAACAACCCAGCTCAGAATACAACCGAATCTATATAAGATTGGAAAGTCAAAGTTTGATTTAGTTCGATCTCCATTCAACTCATTTATTCCATTTGCAACAATCATATTGAGACACCAACTGAAATAATCGAAAACAAAATTACAGTATGTAACGATACTATTCTGCCCGCTTTCCAAATTTTGATTCAACTCAACTTGTATGAATATAACCTAGTTCACACAGTAATTCGGTTTTGATTGTCCAAACAGAACAACAAGTTTGGTATCTGATAGGTCCTGCAAATCTGTCTGGGAGTTCTGCCATACTCATAAAAGGAAGGGTAACAAGTAAAAACTCTACCAAACAAACAAAAAATCAAAGAAGAGGGGAAGAAACAAGGCAGCACCGTAGCAGCCTTCTAGCTATCACTGCATAATGTAGTAGCCAAGCCTAGACTAGGAAACTACTGCCTGTTTAGTTAATGACTGCAATGAGAAATGAAGTTGTATTCTTTCTATCAGGCATCAGCCCATTTGAGCAGAACAGCAAAGTTCAGTCTCCAACAAAGGCGATAGCTCAGCTGTCTCTGACATTTGTAGTCAAGATCCCATTCCACAAGCAACCAACAACAAAAAGTTACTGTCTTTCCCCATATAGCAGCATTCCCACCATAGGAGCTTCAATTAATGGCTGCCCCTTCCAGACATTTAGACAGCACATAACTGATAACACTAACAGAACAGAAAAAAGACAACTCAGCGGTAGGAAAACTTAGAAAATTGTTTGAAAAAAGGTGATTCTTTAACAAGGCTTCATCGTTTGTTCATGGATGCCAAATGGGCTGCATGGAGCAAAGATGAAATGAAAGGGAAAATGAAGCCCATAACTTGCTTTCAGCACTTATATTATGTACAATGTTTTGAGAAAACAGACAGAATAGAAGCCACCCGAAATAAAATCAGATAGACAAGAGATTTAAGGTACAAGAACAAAATCGTGTGCGAAATTGCAAACTGTGGTAAACCCATAATGAAATCGTTACAAAATGTTGTCGACTTGGTTACTCAGACAGTGTAACTGGTACATGGGGTATGTATGACACAGTATCACAAACACTACTACTTCTATAGGATCCCACAAAATAGCTTTCCAATAAACTGAATATAGACAACCACTAGCACAAACAAGTGCATGAGTAAGTTGGAAAGGAATTATTCCAGCTAACTTATAGGTTTTCACTTCAAGCTATGGAAACACAGCGTGTTTGGTAAAAAGGTTTTAACTCGAATAAAGTAAACCAATGGTTATTCCAAAAGGAAAAGAAGAACAAGATAAACACCTGATGAACTGAAATGCAGTGCATCATACAAGTCAAACCTGGAGTTCTCATGCAAGAACAAGATATGGGATTCCTTTCTATCAGAAAAGAGCATCTTACACCCAGCAACACGACACCATAGTCTGCATCAAGAAATGACAGTAACTATATCCAAATTGGCTCTCTGAACATGTTTCTTGATTCTATAGCTCTATGCTGAATTACCAATGGATTGTTTTCAAAATCAGTATCCTAGAATTGCTCATGTTGTTGCCATGGTGGTATGCTTCCTTTAACAAAAGAGCCTTCCACATCAGACTGAAAACTAAAACTATCACTAGAACAATATAGCTCTGCGATCAAAATCGCTTGCTTTGAGCTACTTATCTCATGTTCGATCTCATTAACTTGAGGCATCCAAGGTTTTGGTAGTGTTGTTACCATCTCCCTCTGCTGGTCCGCCAGCCTCATTAGTGGATGCCGTTGAAGGTGGTGGTTCAGAGCATGCCCTCAAGACAGCCTCATTCTGCAAGAGCAATGACAAAGTAAGAACTTAATGAGGAACATAAACAATCGAGGTAGCGAGAGATTGAGGAAACATAATGCAATTAGTACCATTGTTACTTGAAGAGAACAACAAACGCTGCAGAAAGACTGCAACTTTATTTCTCGTTCGATGAATCAAATCATTTCCCCAAGCAAATTCTTAAAGAGTCCTCTAAATCTTAAACTTGAGGCTGCAGCCCCAAACAACCACAGTTCTCTCCGTAGTCCACAGTTCAATTGAGTTGGTGGAAACTAAAACACTTCAACGAGCTGAAATTTGCGGGAAACTAACTCATACCAAATACAACGAATACCCTAGTATCCAAGTCTAGAATTGCAGTTCTGAAATCCCTCATCTAATTGCAAAGAGCCCAATTGATTACTCAGCTAAGACTCCCAAAACTGGGTTCCTACGATTCTGAAGTAAGAGTTAATAGGCGAAAGGTTAATCGAAGCCGGAGCTTGGAAGGAGAAAACGGACCTGCCAAACTCGCTGGAGGCGCTTCTTGGCGTTGGCCTTACGAGAGGGGGTGAGTTTGATTCTCTTCCAGACGAGTCCTCCCGAGTCGTGCTTCTTCACTATCTCCAACACTCTCGTCGCCCAAAATGCTCCGCCTGACATCTCTCTCTGTGCCGCCGGCGCCGCCGCTAGTTCTTCCTTCGTCCGCGCGCTGCTAATTCGTCTTCGTCTCTGCGCTCCCGGCCAGCCAAAAGAGTTCGAGTGTCAGCTCCGTGTTTCTTCTGCTGGACCTATCTTTGGGTAATGGAAGCAAAGCCCAATTTGCGTATTTGTCAATTTGTACATTACATAAGCCTAGGCTCAAAATTTAAATCAGCCCAGTCCGCTGGCTGATTTGGCAGACCAACTAAACTTAATGCTCTATTATTGACCACTAAGGGGTCGTTTGGACGAGGAATTCTAATGGATCAATCTGACACAATTGTCTCGTTTTGAGTCAATTATTTTAGATTGATCCGTTTGACAGCAGAAAATTTGGATGAAGCAATTTGGCCTGGGGAATTCTGAATTGACTCATTTTGAGCCAATTACAATTGTCTGGGGTGGGGCAGGTAATCTGAATTGACTCGTTTAAAATGACTCGTTTTGTAAAATAAAACAATTGGTTAAATTGTCTCGTTTTACAATTGATCCATCCAAACGACGCCTAAGCTAACTTTATCGTGATCATGTGCTCAAAGGTTGTATTCATTTGGAACTTGGAGTGGTGTTCAATTTGTAAATAATGGTCTATTTCTTCGTAGGACATTCACCAGAGAGTTAGATTCTATAATTAACAGTAGGCATTATGCTCTCTGATTCGGGGATAAAATAATTTATAAGAAAAGAAAATAATTATATTCTCTTGTTTATTTAGATTACGTTAACAAGGCTGATTCCAGATACTTTATGAGTTCTATATGTTACTATAATCATTCAATCAACACTCACACACCCACTCGATCCAATTCATGACTCCAATATTCCACCTAATACTTGAGTAAGATAGTTGAATGATATGGATGCGTAGCTAGTTGATTGGACAATTGAGATTAACATATCACGTATACTTATAAGTTGCATCGCAACAATCACATGGTTGGTATGTGTTTGTAAGTATCACCGTCAATGAGATAAGGAGCTCGTCTTACTTATTAGACTAACCCCAAAATATAACATCCCAGACAAACTAACAATTATAATCTTAAAAGTAAATTAAAAAACTCGTCCCATAATAAGGTTGTAACCATCGTGACATCCCATATTTAACTTACAAGTTACAACAACAAAAACAAACTAACCAAATATGGCCTTAACATGAACAAAAATTCGAACCTAACTCATTCAATATGCCCTAAAAAAATTGATACCTTATCTCGGCTCTTGATTTGTTCTGCCCCCTCCTTAATCTTCTTCTCCATATAATTATAAATTAATTACTGTTTTGGGGTTAATGTTTACATCTCCATGGGTTGTGGCGCTTCCAAGTTCGACGCCCACGAAGGTGCGGCGGCGGGAGCGCAACAAACCCACCACCACGACGTCGATTCCCCTCATCCGCCGCCGGCCGCCACCGATGAGGGAGCTGGAGATGCCGGAGCAAGGAAGAGCAGCGTAACGTCTGCCAGTAGGTTACGAGGGCTGAGGAAGATCAAGGAGGAGGTGCATGCTATTAGAAGACATCATCATCATCATCATCATCATCATCATGAGGTTGATAAGCTGTTGTTGCCGCCACCGCCACCGGCTAAGGACGGCGGGAGGATGGTGGTGGTTGTGAAGAAGGCAGCGGCAGGGGAGGTAGGGAAGGATGAATGCGGCGGCGGCGGTAGAGGAGGAGGAGAAGGGCATAGGGAAGATAGCATTATGGTTTCTCTTGGGTCACCGAGTTTCCGGGTTTACTGTGTTGATGATGACTTGTTGCCTCATAAAGTGGTGGATGATCATCATCATCGTGATTCTCAACCTCGTGATGATCATGAAGGTGAGTGTTAATCGTCTCTAGCAATTGGTGTATTGTGTGGGTTTTGGTGAGAATCTTGATTGATTTGGTTTGTTCGTGAGTTTGATTTACAGTATCGTTGATAGAAGTATTGCATAATGATACATAGAGGCGTACAAGTTATTCAAAATTTTGAACGTTGTTTAGATGGCATCGAAAATGGAACTCATAACTTCAATGATCAAGTTTTTTTTTCTTCTTTCAAATATTGTGGCTAAATACGAGTTTGATGAGTTTATGTTATTTCGTGAACTTTTAAGTCTCGTGAGGATTGATAATCTATTACTTGTGTATCAAATATCATTGATCTAAATTATAAGTTTTTGTGTTCTTGAGCAGTTAACATGGACGATGAAGAAAAGGAAAACAAAGTACCAGTAGAGGACGGATCAAATAAGGTATTTGTAATAGATGAGAAATGATATGAGGTTTTATGTTTGATTTTGTAATATTCATAATTAAGGGGTGATGCATGTTGACTAATTGATTAAGTACATAATTGTAGGGAGAAGAAGGGAAAAGGAATAAGAAGGGGAAGAGAGGAAGGGGGATAATGAGTGTGTTGCCAAGAGGGGGAGGATCAGGTGGGATGAGACACATTCTTCATCCACATCGTTTAGGCAACCATTCTAATCAACCACATTAATCCTAATTATGCATTGCTCGATGAAGAATTAATTAATTATTATGAAATCCCATATGTATCCTCCTCCTATTTCTTCAGGGAAGCAATTTTATGAGACATTTGTAACCTCGTTTTGATCAGCTGCTTTGTATACTACTATGTCGTTTGCGGTTTTGATGTTTTAAATCAAATTCAAACTTATATGTGAAAGAGATAAAAGTAAAAGAAACATAAAGCGTGAAAATAAGTTTGATTTTATGTATATGGCTTTTAATTTTTTTTTATTCTTTCATCGTATTAATATAAATCAAAAGTTCATTAACAACATCGATTGTGGCTAATCTTGGTCCGAATGTAATACTATAAAATTGTATAGAGTTTGTGACCAAATCCTCTCGTAAGAAACTCCATTCAAATCTTTCTATCAACATTCCATCAATTCTATTAATCCAAGACCCCATCGATAGCTTGAGGCTCACGAAATAACATCAATGACCTAATCATTTGTTTTCGTCCTTGACCCAAAGTCAATCTCCAGATCCAAAACCCTACATATATAATTGCACATCCCCTCCACCAAACCGTCAAGCTTGCCCTCAATTCAATTTTGGCAATCCATGCCACTACCTTTGAACCATATACTTGACTGTTGGATTGAAAGAAGCTTTTTCTTTCCTACACGATATCTCATTCCTAAGTCTTACTAACAAAAGGAAAAGAATAGGTGTCGATGAAGTTCAAGTCACATCCCAAATGAATCCCACAATATTAAAAGTAGGATGGTCAAACATAGACATGATCGTAAACCTAAGATTAATCAACCATGATTAATTAGCATCCCTTTCGGAAGAATAATCTCAATTTCCATGCCGTGTTTGGGAGTTTAAGGATCAACTATTAAAAATGCGGCTTAATTATATGAATTTTGGTCTATTTACATTTTAATCATCGATCCGAAAGTGCAATTTTCATTGAAACTAAACCCTATATGTTCCGCCTTCTGGTTCAAGTTACATGCACCTCTCTTGTTGACCCTTTCATGTATTTAATTACATACGGGGCCAAAATATCACCAGTAATCGTATATAACATAGGTTCAATTTTATTTTTTTTATCGTTGGACTCTAGTTGTACCATAAGTTGCTAGTACGAGAGAGATATTTCATATTCAAATCATAATAATAGTTGAATTATGTAGAAGTGCATTATTATATAATCAATTCTATGAAAAAATATTGATTCATATACACGATATAGTACAAACACATGTATTATACGTGTGGTCCTACGGTGAGCATTGCTTTTGAACTCATGACTCGAATTTGAGCGTTGATGTTGGGGAGGGATCATCTTGTATATCAATCCTTACTATTGACCTGACCCTAAGAATTCCAGTGTCGCTATAATGGAGAACAAAACACAACATGTTAGGGGCACAAGACATATTATTCACATTCCTTGAAACCTCCCACCATGATGGATGCGATGATCATATTGTGGTCGAACTTTATCTTGACTTGAACGAAGTTTCTCGTTGTATAACTTAATATCCAATGAATTATGAAGAGTGTGGATGAATTTACTAATTTTTATATGAGTGGTATATGTTTGGTTTTTAAGTAGACACTCTTCAAATCTAGGATCTTCAAGTTCAAGACTTATTGTATTACCACTGGAACAGACTTGTATTAACGTAGAGTATTGAATTTCTTGTGGTGAGCTATGAATCGTGTTTTGCCTCTTCAAATAGGATGAATGTTCCCCACATACATACAACTCTTCACTTGCAAGTTATAATATAAACTTGGTTAATACCTACTTGCAAAATTGGAAGAAATTCCGTGGCACCTCATCCAAAGTTTGCATTATCACTTAATTATGCTTCCTCTCTAATTAATTAAGTTGTCCTAATCAAGCATTATTAGTTTGACGAGAGATATTTACTGACCCTAACATCATTTATATTTTCTTTAATTTTTGTTACTTCTATTAGTTTTTGTTAGAATTGTCCTTTTGTGGCATTAACTCAAGACCGTTATTTCTCTTGAGGGTTTTTTAGTTTATGTTCTACTTATTCTTGTTTATGATGGCAAAACCAAATTGAATTGGGTTGTGGAAAAAAGTAATGCATTAATATATAATAGTAGAGTATAAAAAATGTCACACGTTAACTATTAAATCGTAATATGCAAGGTTTAACACATAACAAATTTATGTATATAAATGAAATATTTGAGTGGTTAACCTAGTCAACAACGAATTCACATTCTTCTTATTTAATTTGAATAATTAAATATCATACTAACAAATATGGATGTCTAAGACAATAAGATAACATGAGAAATGCCATGCAATCTTAGCATAAGTTGAATTCCAACCATGAATTTATTTAAATATAAACATTTATGAAAATAAATTGAATGCAAAAACAAGATACATTTACTTTAAGAACCAATTTTATTAAAATGATCTATCAAAAGAGGAATAAAAAGAATTTAGAGAGAAGATAGGATGGGGAAATGTGGGGAAATATATTATTAGATTAGGTCTGACCAAACTCAATCATGCGGTCAAATTTTGGGATATTTTGAATGTTGGGAAACACATAAAATAATAAAGGGGGAAATTATGGTATAAAAAAGAAGTTTTCATTATGGCAAATTGTTTCTTTCCCTTTCATTATCAGCAATATCTGACTTTGACCTCCCTCCTTCTTTCTATTTTATATCAGCACTCTAAGTAAGTTGTAATCACGTGTTAACCTTCAAATGATTTACACACCCCCAATTCTCTCTTGATCCTTCAACTATACTCTAAACTTAACAAATAACCCTCAATTTTCACAACAAATATGTTGATAAATTATATCTAAATATCTCCTTCAAATATATCAGATCACATGTTTCCCATACTCCCTAAGTTTTCAATTTGCTCCTCATTAATTTCACTATCATATTTATATCTCATCTTATCTTCTATTATGTACTCGCTTTCATAACTCTATGCATTTAAACGGTGGAAGAAATAAATAAACGACTTACTTCAACTTAGATAGCGTCACAACTCCCATAGGGGTTGTGATTTTTGCTTCCTCCTTCGCAACCATTAGATCAACTCTCTCTCTTGTTTTTTCAAATTAACGGTTTAGATTAAATGAAGGGTATTTTTGGAAGAGAAAAACTTACCATACAGGATCCTTTCTCATTTTCTATATAATCTGATTTCCTAAAAAAAAACTCTTTCGCTCTCCCCTCTCTCTTCCCTCTCCGAGAACCCTAACTGCTCTCTGTCGCTCCCTCCCATCGCCGCCGCCACCCCCTCCTGTCGCCACCGTCGTCGTCTCTCCCTCCCGTCGCCACCGCCGCCATCTCTCCCTCCCGCTGCCACCGTCTCCCTCCCGCCGCAGCCGTCACGTCCTCCGCCTCCCACCACTGCCGCGCCATATCGCTCTCCCCGTCGCAGCCCTCTCGCCTCCCTCCAACTCCTGTCACCTCCAACTCTCTCCCGCCGTCGTCCTCTGCCGCCGGCGAGAGGTAACGACCTCTCCCCTTCTCCTTTCCTCATTCCTTAATTTTTTTTCAAGATCTGGGATTTTCCAGATTCCAAATCTTGTTTTTTTATGTTATTCTCTAGTGGTACTGATTTCTGTCTAGTGGTACGCTACCAGTGGTAGTGGTAGTGGTATCGTACCACTACTCACTGGTACCGGTACCAGTGGTATTTGTAGTGTACCACTACCACTAGTACGTACCACTACTATTGGTAACGTACCACTAGATGAAAATCAGTACCCCTAGCGCATTGACGGAGTGGGTTTTTTTTGCAGATGGCCGGTGCGAGTATGATTGGAGGTTTTCACCGGAAAAAAGTCATCGGCCGGAGAAAGTTTGGCGGTCGGAGTGAAAAGGTTGTTGGAAAAGAAAGAGAGAGTGAGATATATAAGCGTATTAATTGTAGGATTTAAATGAAAAAAAGTATTTAATATGGGTTTTTAATTCCCAATATGTAATTAATACAAAAATAAATAATAAATTTTATTTTTTATACCCAAATTGCCCTTGAATGTGAATCTCACACCCCTCTTAGGGGAAGTGACGGTAACTCAGCCCCAACTTTGGTTTGGAAAATTCTGATTGCAACATATTTTGAACCATTTATGTTAACTAAGGTCTATGTCATTCCCTACATTAATACTTTGATAAGTTAATGACATTTTAGGTCGAATATTAGGGTAATGTCTATTTTTTATCTATTTTCTTAAGATTTTTTTATATTATCCAAACTTATCGAAATACTAAGAATTAGCCAAATGTTAACTTCCCATTAGCAATTTTGTTCGTAATATTGACTTGACAACATGACATTAACTTGGAAGAGACACATGAAGGTCAACATTCCAATTTTTTTTAGTATTTTAACTAAGAAAATAGTTACAAAATTATTAATGTTAACGTAAATATGTCTGACATTTTGATGCATTATGATAAATTTGGCTAATTAATAGAATTTTAATAGGTTTAAATAACATAAAAGAATCTAAAAAAGGTTTGGATAAAAAATATACATTACTCCAAATATTGTGTTGCCTGATCACTTTTTTTTCTCTCCTGTAAGTATGATTGATTTTTCAACTCACAGATACAATTGATAAGAAGTCTAAATTGACTTGAGAGATGGTTAAAATAATCTTCTCTTGCCTGAATTCATTCTCAATTCATCTTTCTTGTGTCCCTAGTACTAGAACCATAGGACATTCAAAACCGATTGAAAACAACTTAAATCTCTACCTTCGGGATTAAGGATCATCATAGGTTAGCCATTGAATAAATGCAGCATCACCCCGACTAGTCCTTCATAATCCATCATGTCGTGATTATTATTTGAAGAGAGTTGCAACCAAGTTATTATGATTTGTGGTTTCAACAAACACAAACATAATTGTGTGTAATGTTCCTTATATTTGAGACTTGGCAAAGTTTATCATGTCATTAAAGTATCCGTTCTCGTGCTAGATTCATCTTTTTAAAAAGAATGCGCAAACTTCATAAAAAAAAATCATGTATGATATGATATATAGATATAAATAAGCATATTTCTCAAACTAACTTAAGTAGATTAAAAGTTAAAAAGGTCTCGGGATCTCAAACTTGTCACCTCAACGTGATACTACTAGCCCTCACAATTTTTAGGTCACGACTTTAGAAATAGAAGAACTTGAAAATCAAACCCATTATTTTCAAGGTTATATTATTCATCATTATTATATTATTAGTTATCAAACCATTACCAATAAATTTATATTTGCCGATTTCTAACATTATGCATTAGTGGAGAATATTTGAAGATTGTGACTTGTAACATGAAAAATTTTGTTTTCAAAAATTGCAATGAAACAGCTCATTTAATGTTTGATACACTTTCTTTATTATGCATTAGTGGAGAATATTTGAAGATTGTGACTTGTAACATGAAAAATTTTGTTTTCAAAAATTGCAATGAAACTGCTCATTTAATGTTTGATACACTTTCTTTATAAAAAAAAAATGTTCCATACACTTTCTCTATGGGCTGCCCAAATGTTACTTCTTTTTAAAAATAATTTAAATATTTAGTGTAATAATTAACATCGGTCAAGAGGTTTGGATCGACAGACAAACCATTATCTAGATTGCGGATTGCAGTAAAATTTCGCTTAATTTTTTTTTTCGGTAGTAAAATTTCGCTCAATAATTGTATTGAAATGAGTTATAAACATAATGATGCGTTATTTATTTATTCATTCAATATTTTATTTATGAAGGGTCTGCCCATTTTACTATCCCTTTGATCAGTTACGAGTCGTTTTTTTGACCCAAACAAGCGCCGGTGGCCAGCTGCGTGCTTCTCCTTCTTCCTTCCTTTCCCATTTCCCCCTCTCCACCCATTTCCTTGCCAGTTCCTCCATTCCCTTCTTCTATGTCGTTGAATTAATCCAATCGGATTCCCGGCATTCAAAACCCATTTATTCAATTCTCGATTCGGAGCTTCTAAATGCCCCCATCGCCGGAATTTCGCGGAAAATAGCGCTCTCGACGAAGGGCTTCGCACCTCGTCTTTCTCCGTGCGCGTGTGTGTGTAATTTCTGGTGTTCGTGTTCTCTCTTTCTGCTCGTTACTCCGATTGATTCTCTCCCGTCTCCGGGGAGGGCGGCCGTCGGGGGATCTTCTGCGTCTTGGGCATTTCTTCTGGAGGTTAGGGTTTGTCCGCGGGTGGGAAAAATGAAGTCCCCGCTCGGTAAGTTTCGGGGATTTAAGCTCCACAAGAGCGATTCGAAAGATAAAAGGGACTTCCTGCATCCAGCTCACTTAGATGAGCTCGCTCAAGCTGCCGAGGTACCGGAATTCTTCCCATATCTCTTAATCACTCACTGGTTATGGCTGTCTCCCAATTCAGTAGGAATGCCAATCCCATTTGTGTAAGTTTATAGTTTAATTGATAAATCAGTTTGCTTGGATCAGCCATGCTTACTCATACTTGAGCTCATGAGGTTAATGGAACTTTGGGAATGTATTGATTCATCATTATGAGGTCAAGTTATTGAAGGGAGTTTAAGCAGACTTAGGAGATATGAATTCTAGAAGTAATAAAACATACTCTTCATAGTTCAAAGTTTGGTTCTACTTATGTCCGACCTTCATCACGTAAGATATCATTCAATCGTTGATTGTTTTTTCTATTCCCTTTATAGGACATGCAGGATATGAGAAACTGCTATGATAGCTTACTTTCAGCAGCTGCTGCAACAGCAAACAGTGCTTACGGTAAATGCTGAACACATGAGCTTCAATTATGTAGAGTTGTTTGCACGCCCACATCTGAAATTCATGCTGATCGCAGTTATTAATTCTGAATTTGAACTCAATATGAATTTGGTGCAATGGTGCCTATTCTTTTTGAATGGAGACAATTAGTATGCTCTTATTTCTTGGAATATTTTCTGTTTTCTCAAGTACAGTGATCTTATTTTCATTTCGCCGTACCTTATGATGCCAAATCTTTATCACTAAATGAAAGATATGTGTCAACATTCATGGAGCTATTTTCTTTCAGATATGGCTTGAGCGCTCTATCCTTTCGGTAAACATTCGTAGAACATTCAATTATACTTAATCCTCCTTTTCAGAATTCTCGGAGTCACTGCGGGAAATGGGGACCTGTCTGCTGGAGAAAACTGCATTGCACGATGATGAAGAAAGTGGTAATTCCTCGAGTGAGACTAGATTATGTAGTATTTTATAATTTAAACTTGTTTGTAGAATCAAAATCATTCACAGTTTGTAGACAGTTGAAAAAAGCTGAACTTTAGTAACTTGCCATATTTTGTAATTATATTCGTTTCTGTGGCCTCAATGGATCCTTGTTAGGAAACTCTAATAGAATGGCAAAAATCGTATGAATACTATATGGTGTGCGATCCTATGTTTTACGGAACTCGAGAGAGAGGCATGCCAAAATTTCCCCCCTTTGATTAGACCACTACTTTTCACCTTTTCCATCTTCGACCTGATTACATGTCTTGATCAGTGCTTCATCTCCACGAGCTTGAACCCACAGACGCTGACCATCTGTTATGGTGCATGTTGTCGAGACTTTTTGTCTTGGTAGTTAGTAGGTACAAGTGGAAGTTCTAATGATTAGAGAAGAGCTGGTATTAGGGTTTCCTCTGAATATTGTCTTCAGCATGTTGTAGATGGTATTTCGATCTATCCAGTAACTGTGTCTAATAATGAATCATGCATTGGCAGGCAAAATTCTGTTAATGTTGGGGAAAGCACAATTTGAACTTCAGAAGTTTGTTGATAGCTACGTAAGTCGTTGATCTTTGTTTTTCTCTCTTTTAGTATCCTGTTTTGGTCTCTTCCACGAGGTGACCTTTTCTTTGAGCTTGTATAACCTTATTTCTTATTGTAATTCAGCGGTCTCACATATTCCTGACGATCACAAATCCATCTGAATCTCTTCTAAACGAACTTCGGACAGTTGAGGTTCGTTCTTATGATCACAATCAACTAATTTTAAGTGTTTTTGGAAGAGATTTTAAAACTCTCTTCTTGTGGTGCAGGATATGAAAAGACAGTGTGATGAGAAAAGGTATGTATTGGCTAATCGTGCTTTACATTTTATGCAGTTTCTTTTCTATTTTCTAACTTATTTCCGGTTAGTGGTTCAGGAATGTATATGAATATATGGCTGCCCAGCAAAAAGAAAAGGGAAGGTCAAAGAGTGGAAAAGGCGAAACTTTCACTATGCAGCAATTACGATCTGCTCATGAAGAATACAATGAAGAGGCAACATTGTGCATTTTCCGGTTGAAATCTCTGAAGCAAGGGCAGTCCAGAAGCCTGTTAACTCAGGCTGCTCGTCATCATGCAGCTCAGGTTTTTTTTTTTTAATGCAATGTCCAGGGCTTCTGACTACCATTACTTTCTTTGAAGGCTTTTTGCTATATTATTTTCTTACTTTTCTGTATTTGCAGTTAAATTTCTTTAGGAAAGGGCTGAAGTCCCTTGAGGTGGTGGATCCACAAGTAAAACTAGTTACCGAACAACATCATATTGATTACCAGTTCAATGGACTGGAAGATGACAGTAGGGAGGATGGTGAAGACAATGCTGAAGCTATTAATGATACCACTGAAGGCGGGGAACTAAGTTTTGATTATAGACTAGATAATAAGAAGCGTTATGATACGTTGCCTTCAAGGAGTTCAATGGAGGTGAGGGACCTAAGGTTACTTATGTTCCTTTTGGCTATTTGGGATTTGATTTCAAATAACTGAAACTTTGCTAGAGAATGAGTCTTCCTCTTTTTGTGGTATTTCTTTTGTTATGAAGGCTACCCTTTTCTTCTGATCTGTACCCTTTCTCATGCTTACCAGGTAGATGATCTTTCATTCCCCCGGCATTTTGGAACAAACAACGCAGAGGTACTATTCAGTGTCCTTCTCTTGGATTTCAATGTTGGTAGCTAACATCTTGATCAACATATGAAATGCATAATGTTACATGGCTAAATATTTATATGCATCCCTTTTGTGGTTCTCTTTCTATGAGTTGTTTTGGCATCTCATTTTGCATCTTACTGCAGTTGAACCCAGACAGAAACCACGGAGATTTACCAATCTCAAGTAGAGAACCTAAATCAGGGAGTCACTCAGCACCAATTTTCCCTGAAAGGAAGTTCGATCCAGGTGAAAGAATAAGACAAATGCAACAATCGCCAAGGAAGAGAAACAATGCTTATGTGCTCCCCACGCCAGGCGATGCCAAATTTGCAGTCTCTTCCCGAACAAGCACTTCAACTTCACAGACAAAGTCAACAACAGATTATGGTGTGCGTACTCCTCTGTGGCATTCTTCCCCACTGGATCAAAAGAGGCCCGAGAAAGATCCTGGAGAGAGCAATGGTAGTAGTAATCCCTCCACCACCCAGTTGCTGCCTCCTCGATTGTCGGAAGGAATCTCATATGATAACAACAAGGGGGTAAGACAAGCTTTCTCAGGCCCAATAATTGGCAAGAGCATGCCGACGACAAAGCAAGGTTTAGTTACATCTCCAAGAGTATCGCCAACAGCTTCGCCGCCTCTGTCCTCTCCCAAAATCAACGAGCTTCATGAACTCCCTAGGCCGCCTGGCATTTTGGCTGGGAAACCGGTCAAACCTACAGCATCCAGTGGCCACTCTGCTCCTCTTGTTAGGAATAACGAGCCTTACGTGGTTCACCGGCATTCCGGTGGTGGGACTACTTTGGCTTCCCCTCTTCCCATACCACCATTATCAGTTTCCAGGAGTTTCTCGATACCTTCTAGTAGCCAGAGAGCGATGAGTATTAAGAACAAGGGCGGAGGAGAGGCTGATTCTCCGCCACTTACACCGCTATCACTTGCGAATCTTAAACTGGCAGCTGCAGTGCCTGACTTATTCCCTCGTGCTGGCCAAATTAGAGGTATGTGATAATCTGTTGCCTTTGTCTTAGAGCTTACGAAATCAGAGATTCAGTTGCCTGAATTGTTCCCTCGTGACGTACAGGAGGGAGCTGATGAGCGAGGGCACAAAGGTTGTACCTTTCTCCTCATTTGTTTTGTTTCTTTTGGGGGATGAGTTTATGGTATGGTGGAAAGTGACAATTTCTGATAGGGTCTCTCAACATTCATCATGAAGCTCTGGATACTGTAAATATGGTATGGGATGGAAGTGAACTGCCACTACGCTATTTACTTTACTATTACTCCTACCACTACTACTAGTAGTTGTAAGCAGCAATGTGAAATCCCACGAAATTTTCTTCTTTGAACTATCAGAGGGTTTGATTTGATTATGCTGGAGAATGAAGCTCTCCACATAACGTTTCATTTCTTTGTAACTCGTCGTCAGTCTCTGTATATTGTTTGATTTTTGGGGGGATTTTTTGGTGACTTGTTAGAGGGGTTACCCCCACTTTGCTGTCTAACTGAGCTCAATCAATAGAATCAGATTTTCTCTGCTTGTTTTCTCTTTACTCGTGTGGATCAGTGAACCTACGCGAGTGATTGATATACGAATCGAACTTAGTCTAGTTCGGTTGCCCTTTCAAATTGTTGTTGATGTGAATGTGACAAAACTAATTATAGTCCATGTTTGGCCCGGCTTCTAGAAGTGCTTTTCGGCTTCAAAAGCTGAATCAGGGCCAAACACCTCTAAAAGCTCGGCTTTTGAAAAGCCGAAAAGCGCTTTTGTATAAATAAAAGCAGAAGTTCCGATTTGGAACTTCGGCGAAAAGCTGTTTTGAAAATACAAGATTATCCTTACCATATTTTAATTTTATTTCAGAAAATATAATTTTCCTTCATTTATATCATTTTAAAAATAAAATAAATTATAAAATCATATTATTTAATATAAAAGAAATCTAACAAGATTCATTTTGACTACTTTTTATTGTTTAGAATTTTTATTTTTATTTTATATTATAAGTTCTTTATAATCATTTTACACAATCGCTCATATTAAAAAGCACTTCTAATAGTTTTACAGCTAAACACTAAACTGCTTTTTTTGAAAAGTACTTATCTAAAAGCTCCTTTAATTTTCGCTGTGTGCTCGCTTTGGGCTTGTGGTGGACAACATCAGTAATTATAAGTCTCCCACCAAGTTTCACGAATTTTTGATGTGCAGATTATTTTCTACAAATTTTTTATTGTCAAAACTTTAAAAAATTATAAACCATAAACCACAACTCCAAATTTCGTTAAACTGCTTCTGCAAAAACTACATGGCCAAAGTTATAGTACAAACTGGCCATGAAGTGAGTTTACATGCTGCAATGATTCAGTCCCCGAACGAGCCCGGCAATAATAGGGCCCAACCCATTTATTGACCGATAAAATATAGCAAATTACCAGTCGGCCAGCTCAATAGCCGGGAAGCAAGAATCGGATAACGAGACGCCCAAAAAAGTAAATAGAGGTAGAGAAAGCGAGCTCGCCTTCTCCTCTCCATCAATGGAGATTATCAGCAATCCTACACACTTCCTCTCTTCTTCTTCCCGCCACCAATTCCCGCGCTTCTTCTCCCCTCAATTATCAAATCCGTTTCTGCCTCTCTCCCACGGAACTTCCATCCTCACTCACCGCTCCAGTCTCTCCCTCTCCAAATCCGCTTCCATTGCCACCACCACCTTCGCCCTGGCCGACGACGGCATTGGAGTTTCTTCAGGTCGAACTCTTCGATTTGCCTACTTCTCCCTCTTTGATTCCCAACTTTCTAACTTGGAGCCAGTTCAACTGATTGTGCTCTGCAGGTGCCGAGGTCGCCAACGATCTTACGCTTGAAGCAAGGGTAAATATATACTGCAGTTACTGAATGTTGGGTTTTCCCCATCTCATTTCCTTTTTTCTTAATCGGAATTCGTTGTTTGGGGTTTGCAGAGGAAAGCTGCCGATTTGTCACTGAGGGGCACTTCCATATTCCTTGTTGGTAAGCTTTGAATCTGATGCGGGTTTTGTCCTCGTTATTGAAGTTCGGGTAGTGAAATCTGTTTGTTGATTTGGAAGGAATGAAAAGTTCGTTGAAAACCAATTTGGGGAAGCTGCTGGCGGAAGTATTCAACTACTATTACTTCGACAGGTAGTCCCAAATAGAAATGTGGGTGCTTTTTTTGTGGGGAGGGAAATTGACCTAACTTTCATTGTGTGTACTGTTTAGTGATGAAGTCGTGGAGCAAGCTGCTGGTGGTTCCTCTGCTGCCCAGTCATTCAGAGAGAGCGACGAGGAGGGATTCCGTGCAACTGAGGTGAAGGTTCTTTCTTTATGTGTTGAATTCTTACATTTGAAGTTTTGTGCTAGCTGAGTGATTGAATGGGCAGGGAGAGAATTGCTAGCTGAATGCTTCTCTTAGATATTAATTCATCTTGGCACCGTTGGCATTTTGGTGGTGCAGACAGAAGTGTTGAAGCAATTGACATCCATGGTGAGACTGGTAGTGTGTGCTGGAGATGGTGCTGTTCAAAGCTCGACCAACTTGTAAGAACATGATCAGCAAATGTTTATTAATACTTTTTCCTGACTAATATACTTGGCTATATGCCCTCAGGTATTAATTATTTCATTCCAACTTAGGGCGCTTTTGAGAGATGGGCTTTCTCTATGGGTTGATATACCTTTAACCACGACACCCAGCAGCATGATTTCAGCCGATTCTAGTTCCGAGGTCTGCAGTTCTTTCTTCCTTTCCAAAGTTAATTAATCGTCAAAGTGCGCTCATCTTTAGCTGGGCTATTTCCCGTTGCATATGATCAGAACCAGTTTGTTTTGGAAGCAGGTTCTTGCTGCGTCTGAAGATCTGAGAGGTAGATATGGCACAGCTGATGGAACCATTTCACTACAACGTAACGTCCTCCTAATAGAGATGCGTAGTATTTCTCAGCTGCACATTATTGCTCATGAGTCATGATGTCTGATTTGCTTTGCCTATATCGACAGGGGTGGCTGCGAAACTAGGCTACGAAACGTTGGACTCCGTCACCCCTGAAGATATGTTGCTTGAGGTGAAGCTGCTGTAGTAACTTGCTTGGTATCTCATTCTTTTGGCTTGAGGATTTGGAAATGTTGTGTTAGTTTCTTCTCTCCCAACACGTTGCAGGTTCTGAACACGATAGAGAAACTGATGAGTGCAAAGAAGATGATGGAAGCTGCGGCTACACCATTTTAGTGCCTACTTCTCTCCGACTGCCAAGTTTTTGCAGGGTAACTCTTTATCATGAATCTTGGCTTCACCTGCTATTGACTTTGCCTTCATGCAGTGCCACGATTGTATAAATTAGGCCATTAGAGGCTGCAATTTTGGGCCCAAGATCACCAACATGCCACATATGCTGCGAAGCATTCGACTTCGGATCGATGTATGGTGAAAGATCGGAATTGGTTACGAGCTCTGCATAGTGATAGAAAAATGGTCCGTGAATGTGCTCAAGATAAGTAGATAACACTGGATTTATGCCCTTTGTCATATACCAAAAATTGTGTTAGGTGTCTTGATATATAAACGTTGAAAGATCCGGCCGCATGGGTTTGATAACATTATTTGATGTGTTATATCTTCAGCATTACAAATTACATCTGAAGCGAGAACCATATCTCATTCACCCGACCGGAATGCTCGAACGGCGAGTTATACTGCGCCACGCTGTACTTAATCTTCCCGGCGCCACCATCTCCAGCTTTCGCAACGGGGTCGGCCCATTTGGTGCCGGTAAGGCTGGCCTGCAAGTTGGCCGCCTCCACGCCGACGTTGTTGTCAGCCACGAAGCCACCGAATTGCCTCACCGCCACGTAAGTAGGACCCCACCGCTGCACGTGGAGCCCCGCCGCCGGTGGTGGGTTCGCCTGGTTCTTCGCCGGGACGTAGAAGCTTGCCGTGAAGGATGACTTGCAGATTGGGCCGTCACTAGGGAGGACGTCGATGACGACTGGGGCAGTCATTTCGATGGGCTGGGAGTACTTGTTCTTGCCTTGGATGTAATCAAACAGCCTGCATATATTTTATTTAGTATTTACATATACAAATTAACACACATCCATTGAATCTGTCCCTCCTAAATTCCCATGAAATTAATTATATGGAATAAAATCCATATATATGGAATGGAAATAAAAATATGGGTAATCGGCCGGGAAAGAAATTAAGAACAGGGCGGGGAACTACTCACGAGAGGAAGCCGGTTGTGGAGGCGTCGACGAGGGAGATGTCCTGAATTGGATCAGTGGTAATCCAAACCGACGAGTTATAGCGACGGATCTCGTATCCGTTGCCAGTTTCTACGACGGTGTACCGGGGGCACTCTATGCGGTTGCAGGTTGGCGGGAACTTGGGCACTACTCCAGTAGCGCCACCACTCTTCTTCGTCACGATATCCCTCTGCTCGCCGGCGTTGGCAAAGTTAGTGGCGCTGGAAATGAGGCTAAGGAGCAAAGAGAGTTTCAGCATGCCGAGGCTGCCGACCGTCATTTTCTTTGGTTGAGGCTAAATCTGAGGATTTTTTGGGTTAGGGAGATGGGTGGGCAGAAGTAGCTTGAATTTGTCGAAGAGACTTAGAGAGTGGATTATTATGAATTAATAGAATGAAACAAGAATATATTTGATGATATATCACATAACTATTCACATCTATATATTTATAGGGTTGAATCAATGCATTGTTTAATGAAAGCATTGTTTTTATTCATATAAATGTTGTCGTTATCCATTTGAAAGGTTGTTCATATGTATATGGGATATGGTGTTCCTTATTTATAAGTTCGTCCTTATCTCTAGGTTCGTCCTTATTGATAAGTTCATCCTTATTCATAAGTTTGTGCTTATCCATAATATTAGCCTCCATAATTAGGTTGTACTTATCTATAAGTTTGTCCTTATAAATAAAAATGCAGTTTGTGCTTATCCATAATATTAGCTTCCATAAGGTTGTACTTATCTATAAGTTCGTCCTTATAAATAAAAATGCAACTGTCACTAAATCAAGAGGATGTGTCCCTTTATGGATTTAGAATATTTGATTTGGTTAGTATAACCCAAAACTAGTTTAGTCAGTCCAATCCCAAACCGCTTTGATTCGGTTAGTTCGGTTAAACCAAATTTCTAACAATCCTCCCCCTTTTAGTGTATTAAATGAATTCACTAAAATTACACTTTTCCTACAAAACTTAAGCATAAATGAAAATGTCGTGACAATTGAATTTTCATCTTAGTATATTACACTTGACAAATGTCCGAATATTTGGGTGTTGGTAAACATTGAACCCATCTACTCATATGAGATTCAAAAATAATACACTTAAGTTTCACAAACTTCTAAGTGACTTTGACACTATTACTCGCCATGTTTCCAATCCTTCTCATAAGCGCACACGAAACCGAAGTCTGGGTTTCTTGAAGCAGTTTCCATTTAATGCTTACGTATGTTGAATCTTTTATTCGTGTACCAGCATAATACACTTTGTGAAGCTTCAATTAAGAAGTTTTAAACTTCATCTTCTTATCTCATGTAGGATATAACAAACACATTCCGCGAGATGACAAATTGTGTGCTTCAATTCTAATAATTAATGAGCTTCCACATCCAATTCAACCTCTAACGTATTAGAGGGGAATTGGATATCCCATGATCAGAAATTATATGAACTTTAAACTCACTCCTTTCACATACTTGACCACCAATCACTATTCACTAGTTAATCATTCGTCAAATGATCAACTAAATTATCTCAAGTCCGGACACAACTCCATGAGTGATCAATTCATGAATTTTATCTTGTCTAACTTGCACATGACGAAAATTGTAATTCTACACATGACTATATGCCTTAGAATAACATTACTATGACAAAAGATAGTAATTTGTGATGTTGGTTTAGGCAAAAATCCAGCCAGCATAAGTATGTCCTTCCAAAATTGACGGAAATCCACTATAAGTCAATGCATAATGCATTGTGCCTTGGAGATATCCTTGTACGCTCCTCATTCAATGCCAAATGATGAGGACTAGGATTACACATATAATGACACAATTGTTCAACCGCATATGCGATATCTGATCGTATGCAAAGCAATGCATACGTCAAGCACCCAATTAACATGAAATGCTTCAATTGTAAAATTGGTTGGCCGGTATTGACCATAAGTCCATACTTGGATCCATTGAGCTCTTCAACTACATGCAATTTTTTGGGGCCGAGATTGAGCTCTATACAAAGATGACCCACATGCCAAATAAATAAGCTTTGAAGTAATGAACTTTGAATCGACGAAAGATCGTAATCGGTTACGAGCTGTCTAATGATGCCCTTTGTTATATATTAGCAACGATATTAGGTGTTTGAGTTTACTATTGATGATCAGTAGAATGTAAGTACGTAATAATGAATCTATCGGCAGGAACTGAAATACAAACAATTAATTATTACTTTGGCACTTCTCGATAGATTAATTAAGAGACTTATAGTAATGTGTATAAAGTGCCTGCCCTCATTCCAAAACCGATTGTTCTTTCTAGCTAGGAGAATCAATCCAAGTTGCTCATCTAGCCGAGTGTATGTATCCCTAGAACTAATAAACTTAATTAATTTGGTCTGTCACAACACAAATGATGAAGAAGCACCCGGGTTGACCTCAAAGTACCACATGCATGTAATAAAGTTGAGTGACAAAGACGAACAAGCAAATAACACACCACATCAACACAACTTCATCGTTATATATAAGAGTCATAACATCCTGATCAAAATTGCATAACCAGCTAGCCATTATATTTTCTTCTTATAACTACCTACCAACAACGGAACGGAGGCAAGCTACATGCACACATTCATTATATTGTATAGTAGCTAGTAATAATGTCGTCAACAATGCATGGAGTGGAGCCGTCCATGTTGAAAGCACCGGCCGCGTGGGTCCGAATTTCCATTATTTGCTAATGTCTTATAATCAGGCATTTTACCGGGCGGCCAGATTAATTACATCTGAAACGAGAACCATATCTCATTCACCCGACCGGAGAACTCGAACGGCGAGTTGTACTGGGCCACGCTATACTGGATCTTCCCGGCAGCAGCAGGGCCTTTGGCGACGGGGTCGGCCCATTTGGTGTCGGCCAGGCTGGCCTGCAACGTGGCGGCCTCCACGCCCACATCGTAGTCGGCCACGAACCCGCTGAACTGCCTCACCGCCACGTACGTGGTGGCCCACCGCTGGACGTGGAGCCCCTCTGCCGGCGGTGGGTCGGGCTGGTTCTTGGCCGGGACGTAGAAGCTGACGGTGAAGGATGACTCGCAGAAGGGGCCGTCGCTGGGGAGGACGTCGGTCACGACTGGGGCTGTCATTTCGATGCTCTGCCCGTACCCGTTCTTGCCTTGGATGTAATCGAACAGCCTATATATGCACAATTCGATTAATCCATTAATATAATTATGTCTCCCACATTCATTGTAGTTTTTTTGTAACGGATTGGTAAATTAACACTACACGAAAATCAATACACGTCATGATTTATTCGATTTACTAACACAATATTTGTTAACTAATTAATAGCCACGAGACACCTATTTCACTACACCATATAAATTATAAAAACCCCATAATTTCCGGTTCACGACCTATAATCTGATTTAAATTCATAGCAACGTACGATAGCTATATATATGGAATTGTATTGAAAAATGGGCTCATCTACTCACAAGAGGAAGCCGGTTCTGGTGGCGTCGACGAGGGAGATATCCTGAATCGGAAGAGTGGTAATCCAAACCGACGAGTTATAGCGACGAATCTCGTATCCGTTCCCACTTTCCACGACGCTGTAGCCGGGGCACTCTATCCGGTTGCAGCTTGGCGGGAACTCGGCCAGGGATCCTCCAGTATTACCGCCGGCGCCACCACTCTTCTTCGCCAAGATATCCCACTGCCCGGCGGCGGCGGCCACGCCAAAGGTGTTGGCGATGGAGATGAGATAAATGAGAAAAGAGAGCTTGAGGAATCCCCGGCTGCCGGCCGCCATTTTGCTGGGTGGAGGCTGCTAAATCTGAGGAGTTGTTGGGTTAGGGAGATGGGTGGGTGGAAGAATGAATGAAGATGCAGGTTGGATTGGATTTGCTGAAGAGAAGAGATAGAGGGAGTTCAGAGTTGGATTATTAGCATCCACTAGTTTTTTCTCTTCTTGTTGAGACGATATGAAGGGGATTGATGGACCGACGGTTGGACTTGGATGGATAGGCTGGCCCAATCCACAACATGCACATAATCCATGTGGACAGGACAGCTGGTGGATTGAGTAGATTTTGTGGCAACTCTCTCACACCTATTATCTCCCTTTTACTATGAGGTCAAGAGTTTCAATCCAGTTTGTGTGACTATTTATCCTTCCATTGTTTTACTCAATCCACTAATGAAATAAATGTTTAATACTGAGATGCCTAACAAAATTTGAGTGATATAAGGAAAAAGCGAAGAAGGCAGGCGATGTCAATTTTTAAACGAAAGATCAGTAAATAAACAAACAAGGCCGCATGAAAAGGAGCAGAAAGAAAATGGAGGAATGGGGAGAAAGAGAAATCTAAATTCAAAAACCCTTTCCCCATTAAAAATATTTTTACTGCACAGAAATACTGATGACGGAGAGACCGACCCTCGTGTTATTGGGATTATAAACTCTCAAAGCATCCCCCTTTCTCAAATGGCTGGCTTGGCTACACCTTCTTCTCCTTCCTTCTTCTTCTTCTCCATCCTTCTCTTCTACTTCTACGCACCCAGAAAGGCGAAGGATAAGCTACTGCAAAACCCAGATTTTAAAACAAACGTCGAGAAAAGTTGCGGGGGCTTCATTCTTTGATCTGGGTAACTGGTATCTCCGCGTAATTGAAATCCATAAAACTCACATGGCGGATTGAAATGACTTATCCGCTAGATTCATTTCAATTTGCGCGTTACTGGTGCGTTGTGACCACATAATTTTCTCCTCCGTTTTGTCTTTCTTTCTGAGTATATGGTTACTGATTGGTGATGCTGGTGATGATCGATCATCGCAATTTGCCTGTCTGGGTTTTGCTCTATTCTGGCTTTTCTTTTGTGGGTTTTTGTTCCCGATTCCGATTGCTTTTTGAGTTTTACACAAACGAAGGATTGCTTGAGTTGGATGGTTGGTTGATGGAGCTGTGAGGTGAATATGTGCCGTAGAAGGAACCTCTTTTTGAGCTTTGGAGAGAATCCCTTTTTAATGGTCCATAGCAACCCGGTTTTGCTCTTTTTAATTGGCTATTTGGGTTCTAAAATATTGGATGGTTGTCGATAGTTTGCTTTGAGGTGTTCCTGCTTCTTCTCCTGTTTGATCTAGCGTTTAATAACCCAGTTTCTTTTTGAATGGAGCTATGGTTTGGAAACTCTTGCACATTTAATCCCCTAGCTATGGATTCATTGTTCAGACAAAGTTGAAGCTGGAAATTTGTGATTAAGGCATGCACAATTTACTTTCTTGGTTACTATTGTAGGTTCTGGCAGTTAGAAGGTTTTCCTCCCATCTAATTGAATCGAAGTTTCCATTTTGAAGTTCAATGCTGTATGGAAATTGATCAAGTAGCTTCTCATTTGCTCTGTGAAATTTGGATTGAGTAATTTCTCGTTTTTCGATTTTGTTAGGAACCCACATCTGCTGTGTTATTCAACATGAACCCTAGGTGCTTCGTTGCTTGCTGGTTCGGAGGTCAGAAAATGTTTGCCACTCATTACTGTTGGATTGCAAGTATGGCTTCGGCAGTTTGGTCTCCTTGTGGATTTGAGGTTGAAATGTGGATGCCTTTCGTGGATACATAATACCAGTTCCTTTGAAGGTCAGGAAACTAGGTTTTGAAAGCTTCATTAGTGGTGCAGAGCATATTCTTCTTTGTTGAAGTTTAAGAGGTAGAATTAGGCTCTATCTATTTCATATAGCTTTGCTAGTTGAATGCTGAACTTCATTAGGTGATAGGGAGGTAGAGATAAAGACATAGAAACCAGTTCCCGATTCTCAGGCATGGGTTTGCCCCAAGCTTCCTCGGTTGACAGTACCAATGCTGTTACAAGAGCATTGCATGGTTCTTTCCTTCAAAGATCACCACGGTCTTCTAGTGTTGGCAGCTGTGATTTGGATGGACTTGATTGTGACGGTATACGCAGAATAATGGGTGGGGATTCACTGACTCCTTCTTCTGGTAATTTCCCTGTGAGAACCTCTTTGGAACGCTCGAACTTAAGGAATTATGCATTTAGTTTTGAAGAAACAGATGTTAGTTACAATGTGCAAACCAAGTCCACTGAGCCGACAGTTGGTCTTAGGAATGTCCAAAAGCCCGCTGCAAGGATCGTGGGCTTTGAATCTCGCGAAACAAGTTCTAGTTTCAAAGGCGCAGTTAATGAAACAGAGTCAAGCATGTCGATTGTCAAGAAGCGGTTGCTGTCACCATTGAGTGGCATGCTATCTGCAAAGCAATTCAATGGGGATTCCCTGAACATTGGTTCTCATCCTTCTCAGATGCACTACGATAACAAGAAGGCAAATGTTGGAAGCAAAGTCGACCTCACTTATCCGTCTTTTTCATTAGCTAGGTTCTTGGAGCAAAAGGAAGTGGTGTATGATAACAGTCCCAAAACATCTTCTACTGATGGAAGATCACGACTTAGAGCAGTATCATTATCCCCCAAGAAGTCAAATTCTCCTCTCTCTTTGTCTCCTCTAGGTCCAAGATTTCCAGAAATAATTAAAAGTCTAGGAGCATGCAGGGAATCAGTTCATGGGCATGACTCTTGCTTCATCTATGGTTCAGAAGAAATAGACATTTCTACAAGCAGATCACTAGAAGATGATGATCTACTTTGCAGAGAATTTAACTCATGTTCTCCTGATGATTTAAGCTGTTCTATAATCCATGGATCAGCTCCATCTAAAAGCATAAGGTTTGTGAGAAGTCTGAGCGGTCCTTCAGTCAGGCGGTCCTTGGTCGGTTCGTTCGAAGAGTCACTATTATCCGGACGGCTTTGCTCCGGAAAATGCACTCAGGTAGTGTTTGTTGTATTCATAGCTGTGTTTATGGTTGGTTTCTGTCTTTAGCGCAGTTAGGACAAAAGCCAACCGTTTGTTTATCTTGTAGAAAATAGATGGTTTCCTTGCTGTATTAAGCATCACTGGAGGGAACTTCTCACCACAGTCACAGAAGCTCCCATTTTCAGTGACCAGTGTACATGAAGATTGTTATTTATTGTACTATGCGTCAATTAATCTAGCTGGGAATTCCTCTTCAAATAAGCAACGAAACCTTGGCCTCAGATGGAGTAGGGACGGGAATAGTGGCGATTCACAAAGTGTGAGGAGTCGTTTGCGTGTTCCAATGAAAGGGAGAATTCAACTGGTACTGTTCTGTTAACTCTTGCATTAAAGATATCGAGCTTTGACTGTAGCATAAGAGTTGTTTATCCTATGAGCGATTACTGAGGTTGATGAACTGACTATAACTCGTAGTGATCTTGTCCATCTAGATTCTATATGTTATGGTTTTACTATATGATCTCCAGTTGAAACCAGGCAAAAATTGTCTTGGATCTGCGTTTAGATATTTGGTGTATTGGTCTTTGGATGTTTTCATTTCAGCTTGGCTGACGTTGTTTTTAGTTTTTAACAATCCGTGTGATCCACCATGAGCCATTGGTCTGAAAAGTTAGGATTGAAGAAATGTGTTTGTTCGGCTGTTAAAGTTCTTTATATTTGTATTTGAAACAAGCACATCCTTTATCTTCGGAATGTATTTTGTCCTCCTTTCTGCAGGTTCTCAGCAATCCCGAAAGAACACCATTGCACACCTTCCTTTGCAATTATGATTTGAGCGATATGCCAGCTGGTACCAAGGTACTTAGACACTTGTTTACTTAACAGCTGAGAGTAGGGATTGGGTATGGCTTCTCAGTTGATGATTTGGGCTGAAGTATACGTTGCTAATGCCAGTCTTTACCTTTGTTCGGGTTTTTTTTAATAAAAAAACTAGACCTTTCTGCGCCAGAAGATCAGCTTAGCTTCATCTGGGACAACTCTCGTTGAGTTGAAACTGGGGCAGCAACTGGATTCAGAGAAGAAGGTCCAAGACAAGGCAGAAGGAAAACCGTCTTCTGTTGATGATCAGAGAAGTGAAGTTAAGAGCAATGAGAATAGTAGCCCCACCACCCATGGATGTGGTGCCCTACGCTATGCTCTTCATCTCAGATTCCTCTGTCCTTACCCTAAGCGATCTCCTAGCAAGTCGGTAGCAGCTGAAAAGGCAGCTTCAAGTCCTAAATCGGAAGCCCACGTGGATCGGAGGTTCTACTTGTACAATGACATGAGGGTGGTGTTTCCTCAGCGCCATACAGATGCTGACGAGGGGAAGGTACGTACGTTCAAATCAAAGTTTGTATTAAGAGTCCGAGAAGACCATTTCTAGTTTTATTTTGAGTGACTGCTATAAATTAACTTGTGTCTGTTGTTGGGCAGTTGAATGTGGAGTACCATTTCCCAGAAGATCCGAGATATTTCGATGTTGCTAGCTGAATCAATGAACTTGAATTGGGTTTCCTTCAAGGAGTGTACATAAATATGGTTTGGGGGGTCAGCCGATGATGATGTTTAAATTGTTTATGCAGTTAGTTGTTCTTAAGTCGTTTCCAGATTGTAATCTCTGGAAAATGGCATTAACCTTAATTAATTACATGGGGCGACCTGTAAATATGGGGCAGCTTAATAATCTTAGTTCCAACAATTCACATTCTACCCTCTTGTTTGTGTGTGTGTGTGTGTTGTTAGCTGGTAATACCCCATTTTGTGGTTGGAGTATCTGGTTCCTGGTTGTTTTGAAAGAGTTGGTTGATCTTGGTGGAGTGTGCATTGAAGGAAAAAGGGTGTCCTTATCAAATACTATGCCATTTAGGATAACTGCAGTGGCAAGTGATGAATATGGTTTTCCCCGTTTTGCAAGGAAGGAGGTGCAGGGCAGGCAGGAGACTTGGAAGCATCGTACCCGCCAAATTTCAAATGTGAAAATTTGGGCTTTAAAGGGGTTGGCATTGGGCCGGCGAGCAGTGATTTGGGTTTGAGTTTTAGCATTAGCTTTGATGGGCCTATGTTCATGTGGTTTCGTGGACCAGGCTGATGTATTATTTACCGACAACATGAATAGAGGCCAATGCAATGGAAGTGAATTGAGAATGGAAGGAAACCAAACCCATTAATGTTGGGGTTTGGGAAGCAGTAGTGGAGTTGATTGATGTGATGAAGTTGGAAAGCAGATGGAATGAAGTGGGGGATGTACAGCTGCATCACAGGTAAGGTAGCGCAACAAAAATGTTTGGTAGAAGAAGGGAAGAATAATATAAAGCTGACCTGACCATTGATGCATAAGCATAAGAGAAACTTGGTTGGAGTTGGAGGGAGTTTAGGGCTTTAGGCCTAGTCTAGAGTCTAGACACCCCTCCATCCATCTACTTGGAACACACAACAAAGCAAAGCAGGAACTAGGAGAGAGAGAGAGAGGGGTTTGGAATCTGATTAATTGGTTCGGAAAAGGGGCATTCTAACCTAGAACAGACCCATTCCAGGAAACCCAACCACTTACACGCTAGCAATGATATCCTACATATTATTATTAGTTGGTATTATTAATCCGCCAGTTTTGCTTTAGGGGTATGGGCAAATACTGACGGGTCTATCATGACTATTCTACACTCGCTTTCCCCGATTACCCAATCTGAATCCTCTCTCTGACGATTAGCTTGGCGGTTGTTCAAGTTGCATGGACAGATTAATTTTTTTGTCTTGGTCTCCCGTTTCATGAATAGGGATTGAGAGATTTGTTAGTTTGACGACTTTTATATATTCCCTCTGCCTCTGCAATGCCAACAATGTGATTCAAGATTGAATATATGATTGGGTAGTCAGTTTTAGTATATAGTCCTTGTGGCGTATCCCCTTCCATTGATGGGTTCCCTTGAATCGTATTTGGACTTAGTGTACTAATTGACCTCGGGCGTTGAGCTCCGGTGTAGAAAGAAGCTCGATGGAGTTATGATCATTTTCTTCAACAGTTAATTAATGATTGGAGGATGAATATAAAATGTGAGTGAGTGAGTGAGTGAGTAATTAATCAATGAAGAGAGTAGGCGTGGGAATGATAATATATAAGTGATGAACATTGAATTTGAAGCACCGCCGCCCTCATGCATTATATATATTGGACAAGGAAGTGAAAGAATATATATGAAGAGCAATGCAGAGGGAATACGTGTTACAAAATTGTTAACGGCATCCAATAACGCAACAGATGAGAGGAGAGAGAGAGAGAGAGGAGAGATGAAAGGGAAGGAAATTAGTGGGACCCAGCTGGGCAATGCAAATTCCCTGACGTACTGTGTACCTGTCTGTCTGTCTGTCTGTCACCCTTTTCTTCCTTCATATACAGAGAGAGAGAGAGAGAGGGAGGGAGGGAGGGAGGGAAGGGAATTGAAGCGCGGGGGCTTGAAATTGAATTTGTCGTATACGTACCATCTCAAACGGATCGCCTGCCTGCCTATCTCCTCTCCTCGCTCTGCAGTGCACCCTATAAATATATATACTTGAGCTAGCTGATTATATATGATCATCACATACATACATATGTATGTTGGTCGTGATGAGCACATAAAGTAATTAATGAGTTATATATAAAGCTACCATTATTCCATACTCTAATACTAATCCCAGCAGCATGCAGTCCAGGTCTCCTCTAATTTTGTGGTACGGTACTACGGTTGCCTGCCTGCTTCACAGAAATCAATCCCACAGTAATCAAATATCATACATCTTCTTCTTCTTTGTTAACTCTGCTCTGCATGCGACACTAATAATAATGAACAGCGCACACTTCCAGTGGCGTACGTATATCATTCCGATTTCACTGTCACCTGCACAAAAACTAACTGCCACAGAGAGAGAGATATGAGTCAGGCAGCGCATGACGACAAACGGCCCTCACCTCCCTCCTCCTTCTTCTTCTTCCCATTTGCATTTGATTTTGATTTTGATTTTGATTTTGATTTATCCAATTCCACTCTCTTTTTCTTCTCCTCCCCCAATCATTCATTCCCTTACTATATAATATAATATAAATACTCCCCACACACAATGCCAATGCACACACAAATCTATCTATCTGATAAAAGTTATTCTCTCTCTCTCTCTCACCCGCCATTCATATACTCAACTCAACTCAACCAACAGATCCCAAACAATATGGGTGACTCCATCTTCAACTTCTTCAATCCCCACCACCGCCACTCCTCCTCCTACTACCACCACCACCCTCCTTCCCCTTCCCCTTCCCCTTCCTCTCCCACCGCCCCACTCGCCGCCGACTCCACGCCACCCAAAAAACCCACCATCTCCTCTTCCAGTGGCGGCGGGGGTCGCATCTTCACCTGCATCTACTGCACACGCCGCTTCTCCACCTCCCAAGCACTCGGCGGCCACCAGAACGCTCACAAGCGGGAGCGCGCCGCCGCCCGCAGGAACCTCCTCTCCTCCTCCACCGGCCAAAACAACAACCGCCGCTCCTCCCCACCTGCTACTGCTCCTGCTCCGCCAGCATTCCCTCCCTCTCCCCCTACTCCGGCTGGGAACCAGAGCAATATTCTCGTCGCCGCCAATCCCTTCTTCACTACTACTTCCGATCACCACCAGGAAGTGGTAATCCCAGCCGGCGGTGGAGTGACGTTGTACCCGGACCAGTTATGCTACTGGGTCCCCCACCACCACCACCAGCAGCAGCAGGAGTCGGCGGCGGCGGGATTCCAAACTGAGATCCAGAATAACCTGCACTACGCCTACAGTTACCCCTACCACCAGTATGCCCAATCGTTCCCTGCAGCGCCCATTCCGGTGTTTTTAGATCAGCAGCAGTATCATAGTCCGGTGGTGGCAGCTGCTCCTAATTGGCCTTACGGTGGCGGCGGCGGGGATCCCACTAATTACGGCAGCACCAACATTATTCCTGGTGGCCGTATGGTACTGGATAACGTCGTCGACGAGGAGTCGTCGTTCCTGGTGGTGGGCCCACCTCCTCCTCCTACTTCTTCATCAACCGGAGCTCCCATGAATCCGGACTACTCCTCCTCCTCCGCCTATTACAGCGGCATTAATTACCATCTTCCACCTCATGACGACGACGCTGATGCTCAGGATTTTGCCACTACCGTTGATCTCACTCTCCGCCTCTAGCTGATGAATCAACAACAGTACACCTCATCATCATCATCTCTTTCTACCTTACCTACTTCAACTTGGTTTTAATGTTTACATGTTAGCTACTCTGAGTAGCTTTAAATTTCTCCCCCTCCCTTTGTAATAATTAGCTAGCTAGGTTCTGATTAAGTAAGTTGGTAGCTCTCTTCTCTTTGAGTCTTTTTACCTTCACTCTGGAGAGATTGAGAGAGAAATAGAGACACTGCGTTTTCTTTTGTTTTGGTCTGTTTTGTTGTGTTGGGCATCAATTTCAGCTTGATTCGGAGTTATACAATGTTATATAGAGAGAGATCAACAAAACAATATTCTCACCACCTTGCGATTACTTACCATGCATCGAAATTCTCTGCTTCATTAATTTCCTAGTAATGTGGACGCCACTAATTGATTACATTCTGGTGATCGATTAATATGAATTCTAGTAGCTACATAGCTAAGTTCTGCACTGGCTATCTTTTTATTCCCTGCTTAATCTCTGCACCAGAAAAGTGGCGATTTCATGGCTTGTTATATTTCTTTGGGTAAATACAATATATTAGCCACAACTATTATGAAGTGCCAAAAAGTTGAGGCGATCCAACTGGCCTGGTAGCGATCGATCGTTTTGATTTACTGAGATTCTGCTCACAAGTCAGGACCCAGAGAAAGAGAGAGAGAGAGAGAGAGAGAGAGAGAGAGAGAGAGACGGCTGGCTAGGGTATTTGCAGAGTTTGTTTGCTGCTGCTGCTGCTGCTGCTGCATGCGGGCAGAGAAGGGAGCTAACCTGAACAAGGCGGGCAGCAGGCCAGCTGTTGGCCTCACCCCCAACTCCTCATTCTCTCACGCCTACCATAAACGGCAAAATATTGAAACAATCAAGTTTCTTGTCATCTCTAGACATCTAATTTACGCGTTTTTTTGTTATTTATTAACGTAAATCTCAGCCTATTCAAGTCATATTTGCATTATTCATGTAAGTGTATTGATAATTTCGCAACTTGATGTTTATTCATGCATATTATTATTATTCATTCACACCATTGTAAAATTAAATTTTTAACTTTCAAGTATATCAACATGAATGTCATTGTGTAGATTATGATCAATGCAACACATTTTTATATTTATAGATAAATTTAGAATCCAAATTTAATTCAATAAAATATAGCCAATACAAATTATTAGAGAGAAAAGTCCGAATTTCTATTTACGTGAATAGCTTACACTCTTAATAAATCCACAATGCTTTCCCAATTACAATGGTGTGTATTGCAGTATACATTATGCTGGATAAATCTAATAATACATTTTTCGCTTCCTTCCTTTCCTGCATGGGACTAAATCACATCAATACTAATTATATTCTCTGCTTCTCCCACATTTCTTTTTAAACTATCGTGTGTCTGTGTGTGTGGTTTTTTGTGCGTAAATCAATAATATCATCATACATATCAACCAAGCCAATCACTTTTCCCTTCACCGGAACCAGACAATCGCATCAATGATCGCCAGATGGGGAGCATCAGAGCTCGAACGTCGGGACGGGAGCATCAAGGCCATGGATGGCTTGGTAAGCCATGCGAGCCACCACGTTCCTGTAAGGATCGCTTTCTCTCTTCTCTTTCAAGTAATCTATGCAATTATACACTTCTTGCTTCACTTCCATGTACACCTCGTTAGCTTTCTCCCTGTCCTTGCTTAGCTCTTCTTCCCTTCCTGCATGCCCCAAATACCACAAAATTTCGTCATGCCATCGCGATTAATTTATGAATGCTCTTCTCTAGGCGTGAGGATCATCATAGATTCTCTTGCGATTAGTTAGTGCTTTTCATCACCTTGGGTTTCGATTGGCTTCCCGAAGAGGTAATAGAACCTGCCGGGGAGCTTCGGTCTGAACACTGGAAAGTGCACTCCTTGCAGTGCTAGCTCTCCCCCTGCGTCAGTCCTGTCATTCATTCATTTGAAAAATACCCTCAATACAGACTTGCCTATTAATAAGGCTAAGGCCTAAGCTCTAAGGCAAAAGTAGGAAACCAAATCTATCCATGTTTTACCTCACTTGAGGTATCTCCTCCGTTGTGCTTTCTATGATATAACGGAACAATGGAATCTTCATTTGATCTTCGTAATCGAACACCACCTGGAACCATATTCGAAAAATAGTCACCAGTTGTAAGAACTTGAGCATCCATGGCACCACATTGCTTTGTAAACAGTGAAGCATGAACTGAAGCCAAATAATGTTGGAGGGTACACAATACACTTACTTCACCGTAGTCATCCTCTCCAACAACACCAAACGGCACTATCTTAGCTCCAAATCTAGCTGCCATTCTCACAAACTCAGACTGTTCTGGCCAATGCAATTGATACTCCTCGCCCTACCAAAAACAAAGCCATTAATAGACTCACACCTCATTCAAAAGCCATAACCCATCTACAACTGAATCACTTTCATCATCATGAAAAAGGAGATACCTTTCTGTGACAGGCTTCCCGCATGCCTCCCGGGTACAACAGCACATGAGCCTTGGAAGAGAGGAGCTTGAACAAAACAGGACCAGAGACGGGAACTGCGCCCATCACTCTGAAATCATCGAAAGATGATAAAGGAGGCATCCTCCCTTCCTTCACTCTCGAGAACATCATAGGATGAGCTATTCCTCTGACCAGAATGTTCCGTTCCTTCAAGATTCGGGTTACCATTGGGGATAGTTCAACTCCGAGTAACATGTGGTATCCGACTATCAACACTGGTCCTTCTGAAGGAATTCCTGAAAGTCCCTTCACGATTGTCCCGTCTTGTAAAGTTGAGAACAGCACGGGGCTCGTAGCAACTTCCAGCTCTCTGCAAACACCGCCAACAGGATTCTGGTTCATCTCTTCTCTCTTATCTTTGGCATGGGCGCATGGCTACGTAATGTATGCTTGAGATGGGACGAGTGATCGGTTACCTGTATTTTGCGTCTATATTCTTGAATTCAAGAGGAGTTGGTGGTATGTAATCAGACACGAAATCACGGTGTTTACGACGGCGGTAGAATAGTGAACCCTTGAGGGTTGTCACCAGATCTACACCATCTTCCTGCAAAGTATGAAAATTTTCTCATGCATAAATGACAATTAAACTGTGCATTCTAGAGAGAGAGAGAGAGAGAAGCTACCAAGAAAAGGAAATGCCCATTGTTATCAAATGCTCTGATTACGCTTTTTGGCAACGCTGCACGTAGTCTTTGGCTTTCCTCGTTGCTTGGAAGCAGCTGATCCTTTCCACTGAAACACAATCAAAACAGGCACTAGTTACAATAGTCGTCCTAAAGATACAGGAGCTCTTTAAACCAATTAAAATTGTTGAAATGGATGCAAAAATAATGTAACTTTATGTGTGAGCTTGATCTTTTATAGAGATACAAACCTAGAGAGGATCAGGATTTGAGCCTTTACAGCTTGAAGGCGTGCATTGGCATAGGATGAAGCCGTTTCAAGCAACTGTAACTTCCACATAAGTGTCTCCTTCGGTAAAATTTCAGACAGAATCTATGAAATAGAGGAGGCATTACATCAGATAGAGAACTTGTGATGGTGCCTCCGGATAAAAAGTACTTATCTTTACAACTATGCTTACAGAGAGGTGAGACGACATAGCAAGAACATCCACTGTTAGCCCTCCAGTTGCTTGTGGCAGAGGGATTCCTCTGACTACATTATCCATGAATGTCTTCACAGGATCGCCTGAAATATATCAAAACCACATTGCTCTTATCAATTGGCAGTAAATAATAGTCAATGCAAGCCTAACAAAAACAGTACTTCAAACTTCAACTTCCACGGATTGCAGACTTCATCAACAACAAGCAAAGGTGGGAGAAAATATAAAGTATGAGGATTAATACAAGCGAACCCGTCATCAAGCCGAGCATAAACGGGACATTGAGGTGAAAGTTGTCAGGCAAGAGATCCAAGAGCGGCATCAGGGATTGCAGCTGTGACTTCTCAAATGAAGTTCCTGGCATTCGGACCAGAAATGGAACATTCAATAGAGTTACTCAAGTAGTAGGTATCTACTAATGCAACCTTTTCGATGCAGGGTATTCACCTGGATTAGCCAGAATAAGCACAAGATCAATCTCAGGATTCCGAGCTGCAACAGCTAGTGCAATGCAAGCTCCAAGAGATTCTCCACAGATGTAAATGGGTCTTCTTGGCGAACGGCCATATTCTGCTCCAACAGTTTTCTCAACTAACTGTACCAATCCTGCTCAACATATCCACAAATTCCCATTAGCTCTCAGTTCATCTCCACCACCACGAAGTTCATAGAAACCATGGAAGCAAACCTCTAAACGACGTCCTATCCTTGGCCGGAATATGCAAGCATGAAACATTGAACAGCCTGCAAATTCCGATGGTAGAGAAACTCAGTCATCAGGGGAAGTAAAGACCAACTAGAAAATTGCCGAAAATGGCGGATTGGGGTATGGAAGCTTACTTGCAGAGATTATGGTGCTGCCTAATGAGTCCCAGGCCGACGCCATCAATTCCTGGGAATTCAAAATTCCTATCCAAATTGAATCAATTCCAATTTGGGTCGGGTAGTAAGGTGGTAATTTGCCACCACCAACCAGGAAAAAAGGGAAAGCTCTATGATTGGAACCTTTCCAGCTCCAGCAATCATTCCTAAAAGCAGAAAGGAGAAACGGAAATTGGGAAGAAAGGAAAGCAATCCGAAGTGATCAATAACTGACCAGGGAGATAGAGGAAGAGAGGAGAATCGGGCGGCGGAGAGCCACAGCCGTCCTCCGCCGGCGAAATCCAGCGCGGATGATGACCACCACCGTCGCGAGCCGTCGATTGAATCAAACCCTTGGCCTCCACGAAGTAATCCTTCACCGTCTTCCCCAGCTGCATTGCTGCTTGCGGCATCCGAACAGCAGCAGCATAGGGGTTGTCGATCTGCTCATCTTCCTTCTCCTGATTAGCTGTCGCCGTCGCATCTAGTTCCCATTCCGTTCCCATTCCTTCTCCCTGGAGCGGGAGAGGAAAGCTTATCGCTTCGCCGGCGGAGGTGGATGCCTGCTGAGAGGAGGAGACGGCGAAGAGGCGGCGGGTGGGGTGCTGGAGCTGGAGCTGGACTGGATTCAGCTTCAACTTGTCTGCCGGAGCCGGCGTCGCGGCGCAGCAACGGACCATGTGGGAGAAGGAGAAACGAGCTCCGGCGGTTGTTGCCGCCATGGTTGATAAAAATCAGAAAGTAAGGAGGGAGGAAACGGTTGATTGTGAGGACTGCCGCGTGGGCGGGTGATGGGAGGATGCGGAGCGGTATTTCAACAGATTTGGAAAGCAGGTTGGATGACCGTGTCGTCGTCTCGTCGTCTGTCTGATGGGATGTTAATGGCGGTTTGGTCATGATAATAAAATGTTTCATAATTTCTCCATTCTTTTGTCACAGTTACAATTGAATATTAAATTACACTCCACTAAAGACTAAAGTACTGAAATATTAATACTGCAAAATAGAAGATAATAACATTTATCTAACTTTTTCAAACTTTACTGCTAATAATCTCTCTTAATAAAAAAAATTTCAACATCTTAACTAGCATGACGGATTATAATTAACAATCGAACATTGATTAATTTTCGAACAAATTTTTCTTTTTTTTATACAGTTACTTCACCTAGGGGAGACCTATATATCGTCCGGAAAAAGCGAAGACTTTTTAATCTATAATATGTGATATTCGAGCCCGTGCAGAATATGACATATACCGTTTATGGAAAATGTTGATAAAATGATAACAAAAGTTGACTAATGTACCATATTGAGAACGTATCATGTATGTTACTATGAGCATAACATTATTTGAACGCCTACACTCTTTTTCCTCGACTTATAGCTCATAGACATGGGCGAATATACCTCTAAAAATTTTGATTAAACGATATCCAACACTCGCTAGCAGTTTTGTGTAGATAAAAAATATATAATTGGTAGTTTGGGATGGGACACCCCCTAAAATTTGAAAAAAAAGTATATCCTATCCTTGATAATAGTTTGTGTATAATTTTAAAAAATATATAAGTAATAGTCTGTGTAATTCATGGACACTATTATAGTAAAAATATTTTTCATTAGGTTGCATCTCATTTTTTGTTCTATTTTAGACACTATGTAATAATACAAACTCCCTTCCTTAATCCCAACTATTTTCGAAAGCTAACGTTAAAATAATTGCGGACTATTCTTAATTTGTATTGATCAAACGCTTGCTCGTTTGATGGGCAACCGGTCGTCTTTCATTATTACTGTCATCATTAATTAGTAGTCACTATATATATAATTTTATTCTTCTTCCTACTGGACGTGGTCGATACGCGTGTAATGGGGTTTGCCGGCGGGTTTTCTCATTCTTTCCATCATGTTGGTTACATGCATGCGAATTGGATGATTACTTACTATAATCAATTAACAGATTCATAAAATAAAAAATGGAAAACTGTACATATAGCTATAGCTAGGGATGGGCAATGGGTGGGTTGGGTCGGTTTTTGGGCAAAATCCACTTACCTATTGTTATGGTGGGTGATGAAAATATGACTTACACCCACCCATGCCATTTGTATTGTTGTGGGTGGGTTGGGTGGGTGACGGCTGATGGTGGGTGTGTTTGACGGTTTTGGTGGGTCAAATTATTTTTAAATAATTAGACAATTATGAGCCATAAAAGTTTGTATTAAACTAATTGAATATCAATACTAGGAATCAACAAAATTGAGAGCTATTAAACATACTTTATTGGATAATCTAACACCAATTATCTCACATGCGAACACAAAATATTTTGTCGATAGTTATCATATTTTAAAATGATCGATTACATGTTGTAAATCAAGTAAAATTTATACAAAATGATTGAAATTTAATTGAATCAATTGCGATTGAAGTTTTGATATAAGAAAATATAGTGTTCCATTATAGAATATGCATTAACGACTTAATATATCATGTGATTTTGCAAGAAATGACTCACCCACTACCCACTCATTACTCACCCGCCATCCACCCAAGTTTAGTGGGTGATAAAAACGATGACCCACACCCACCTACTCACCATATCCACCCAAACATGTAATGGGTGGATTATAATCTCGTGGGTTCGGGAGGGTCTAGTGGTTGACCCGCCCATTGCCCATCCCTAGATTCCCTACATATAGCTAAGTTAAGCTGGAAGCGGTGCAAAACTTTGTCATGCAAAATTATGCATAATCGTACACGTACTCATTATGGAATATCTCTAATTTTTCTTCCAATTAATTTTAATGGGTTATTTTCTATTTTTTAAATCATAATTTAAATATATTTGCAGAGAAAAATTAGATTAATTTATGTTTTTTAAAATTCACTTTGATATATTTTGAGAAAAAAATTGAGATATTTATTGCCAGTTCATACCATCAGTGGCGGGACCACCTCTTGCTGATAATTACAGGAAAAAAAAGAACCACCTCTTCCCAAGGTGGGTTCTTGGCACCACATTTGCTCTCACATACGACACCACCGAAAAATAACGATATGGGGTGGTGTGGTTGAATTCATAAAATTTTCTTTTTATCAAAAAACTATGTATCACTAAACTATATTTATTTTTATGATCTAAATCTTATTTATATATATATTCATATACATCTATAATTGGTATCGACCTATAAAATTAGTGTTGTTAGTGCTACTACCAATCAATAGAAGTCTTATAAGAATATTTTTCCACTATGAACGTGAAAAAGTACTTCAATGTCAATTGAGTAAGTTGTGAATGATCTACATTGAGGTCACACTATTTACCGTTTGGACTTTTTCATATATAATTTCATCCTGACTATATAATTTTTTTTCACCACACCCACCATCTTAAACAAAATCCTGACTAAGCCACTACATACAATGTGATAATGGTTGGTAGTACACAAGATTAAACCACATGGTATGAAAGTGTACCATGGTGGTATGAATTTGCGAGAGTGTAGAATGGTTGTATACATGATAGTATGGATAAGCTAATGACCATCTACCACTTTTTCATGATCACCGTCTACAACTAGTTGCCATCCTATATATACCAGGATAGTTTTGATGATATATTTGGTTTTGAAATCCCCCCTCCCCATAAGTTTGTAGATCCAATAGATCACGATGTACTCGTTTCTTCTGGAAAAAAACTCTTTAAAATTTGAGCTAAACATGAAGATGGTACGAGGGCGCTAACGAGTGATACGGAAAAAATTATTGAAATATATTGAAAATGAATAATTTTGTAGATCACTATGAACTCATTACATCTGTGCAATTTTTTTTTTTTTTGAATAAATAAGACCCCACTTAAAATCAATGGCTAAGATCTGGTATGCAACGGTTATGCACCCTATGATTTTCACATATGTTGGACAAGTTAAGCTAATTTAATCATCTACTAACGATTTAAGGGGGTAAAAAATAACTTGGTCTAGTGTATATTGTAAGTTACATTACATAATAACTCCATCCCGATAGTGTTTAATAAGTCTGGATGACCCAATAATAAATAACGGGTACATATTAAAAATTACAGCGTAGAAATGTCTTTGTTGACATCTAGTAGGGACTAGAAATATCATTTACCCCGTTTTCATTAATTTTCTAATATTAATGATATAATCAAGGAGGGAAAAAAAAGTCAAACAACGTATGAATGTTGCTATTTGCTAAAGATCTTTAGAAAAATACATTATTATATATTTAAACCAACATGATTTAGGCATTTGGCCTATGCCGAACGGGTTCACTTGAAATTAGGAAAAAGACAAGCAAATGAGTCAAAGATCGATCTTCAATATACAGGTAATAGTTACCATAGCATGATCAATTATCTTGATTAATAACTAATTACATGCAACAAAATCATATATCCTTATGACCTTATTATGTCCTTATCAAATGTGTGTGGTGGAAGAAATACACTACTTCCTTCTAGTGGTATTTAATCAGGGGCTGATCCTGAGCTACAGCCTACAGCTGGTTTCGAGGGGCCCCGCCCGACCCATCATGAATTTGGAAAATGAACGTGGAGAGGGCCTGGGGCATTTGGCGCAGGTGAGCTAAACCTCACCAAACTATCATAGGCCCAATTGAAAAACTGTTGTCCCTTAAATTTTTCCCTCCACTTGGGCTGGGCTAACTACCTTCGCTGCTATCTGAAACCTGCGTTTCATTTTCCATGAAAAATTAAGGCATAATACACTTGTATAGTAATAATTTTCAGTTTGTACCAAATATAATTATAACTATACGGAAACACAAAATAGTAAATTACATCCATTTTGTTAACGCTGTAAGCTGATGATATGACTGGACTAAGGAAGACGTTGAGTTGGCGATTAATTTACCCCACCAACGAACGTGGATTAAAAAAATGAAAATAAAGTACATTAATGAACAACAATCACGACTATAAAGTCAATCTAAATTGCGTGCTTGAATATAGTACATTACTGAACAACAATCACGACTATAAACCAGACTCGCGATTATATAAGGATGGTTAGGCTCTCTGCTCTTTCGAGCATGGAGTCAATATTGTCCACACATATTAAACAATTAGTCGTCGTCTGCTTGTGCATATACATATTTTGTCAATTAGTGATTTGTGATGAAACCATTAGGCATTTGGATGTCTCCATTTCCCCAACTCGATCGATCTTATAAAACTTGATGCATGCATTTACTTAATTCCAAGGTCCCCAACTCAGCCCTTTTCTTTTCGATCGTGCCGTCGTTATACATATATGCTAGCTCTAATTAACGTAACAGAAACGAACTTGAATGGGTGAATGCATGCTCCCTTCGCCCTAACTCTTTGTCTATGATAAATGCATTGTACGTATACTTCGTACATGCATGTATAGAGGTTATCGACGATTTCGTGGCTGGAGGAGCTCATGTAGTTTGTTACTTTATCGCTGGCCAAATATAAGTACGTGTATCATTTTACCTGCGAAAAGTGGTCGAAATCCTACTGTTAACAATAACACAGACAACTAAAGTACAAGATATGCCGACTTTCTAGATATGAAAAATCTTCTATGAGGCTGGCCGACATTTTGCGTGTTGTCGAATGACTTAGCCACTTGCAAACGGATACGATGTGTTCTTGTGACTTGTGAGCTGTCTGTATATGTTGCATGCAATGCAACCCACGCATATGAAGTTGAGCATCCTAGCTAGCTAAGGTTTGGCATCCTCGCTTTTGGGTAAGCTAATTCATGTTTCCAACTAGGGATGGCAATGGGGCGGGTTTGCCTAAACCATCCCATCCCCATCTTCAAATACTCAAACCCATACCCGCCCCATACCCATGCGGGGGAATGTTTTGCAAACCCATCCCCGTACCCGTGGGTTTCGGGTACCCATGGGTAATACCCATCCCCGTACATCCAACATTATTATACCTAAAACTTACAAGAAAAGTTTTAATTATAACCATAAACAAACCTATTATATCATGAAGTCAACAAAACACGGTCATTTTCTAAATACGATTCAAAGAATATGATCCTAAAACATCCATTAATACATAATATAAACTACAATATTTTTTAAATTATTATGCTCTAACTCTTGATACATTTATTAAATAATAATTAACTAACATAATCTTGTTGACATGGGAGAAAGTGAAAGAGTGGAAGGAGATTTGAGGGAAATGAATTGGGTTTTGATTAAGGTGGTTACTCAATTGCATTTCTACAATTTTCTCGAGTTATCATCATCATCATTGATAGATTACAATTTAATCCACATATTTTTTTATATGTGAAGAAATTCTCTTGGTGGGGCGGGTATGGGTATGGGTATGGGGCGGGGGAGGCTAAAACCATACACGCCCCATACCCATCAAACTTTTTGCGGGTTTTACCCATACCCGCCCCATACCCGGTCAAAGCAGGGATTCCCCGCGTTGACTGGATCGGGGGCGGTCGGGTACCCGCGACCATGGGTTTAATTGTCATCCCTATTTCCAACTATATGTAATGATGCCTAGCTACCACAAGTTTCTAAGAAAAGAGAATAAACCCACAAGTGAAAATTCAAACAAAGTGATTAATTATATTGGACCATAAAAAAGATCATATTGAAGAGTGCTAATACTTAACTGCCCAACCTAATTGTCTAAACCTACATCTAGATGTCTTAAAAGCGGCAACAAGATTACTCTAAGAATTTATGCGGTTTAACTCAAACAAAATCACAAAACAAAGTGATCTTGTGGTTAATTAATTGGCTACATAAGATCACCTTGTTAAAACTTTTTATACATTTCTTTCATCAGAGCGTCCAGAGAAAAAAGTCTTTAATTGGCATTGTTTTGAAAGTATTGGCTAAAAAAATCAAGAATGCGAAACACAAACCTATAGAGAGATAAAACGGATCACGTTTGCAAACCGATCAACAAGACATCATGAACACGGATACTAAATCATCATTCAATCATCATCCATATATATATATACATGAAAGATGACACGGAGTATTAATTAAGTTGGCCACATGGCTGTTTCATCTCTAATGTAACAGAGATAGCCACACCCAAAATTTAATGCTCAGCACGCTGCAACCACCATCCATGGCGCATGTAATAGGGCTAGGGTGCTTATCGTAGTGGTAACAATCTATCTATCTATACTATATATTATGGCAACTCAAAATCAATTTCTTGCCACATAAGTACTTGGAGGATTCACAATTTGCCAAGTTGGCAACTTTTTTACAAACAAAAAAAATAGTTATTAATGTATTTATGGAGCTACCTCTCTCTCTCTTTTAATATTTCCATTTCTTTTGACCTTTTTTTTTGCTTTAATAGTAGGTTACATGTTGATAAACTTAACCAAACACACATAAATAATTATTTTTTTCCAGTAAAAAAAATATAAATAAGAAAACAGAAAGTAACATACACCACATTTGTTTAAATAAAAAATATCTGATTAAACCTTATGAAGTAAATTTTTTTACTCATTTTTACTAAAATTGAATGATAACTTACATTTTGATGGAAAAATTAGACAAACATACACATAAACAATAATGTTTTTTTCGATTAAACCAAATTTATATGAAAAGAGAGAAAATAAACATTTGACATTCAATTATCTATGAAAAATAAACTATATTACTTTATATTTTAATGCATTGAACACTTTTTTATTCGTAAATTAATTGCCCATAAAATAAAATAAATATTATTTAGCAAAATGTCAGAGTATAATCTTGATCGAGTAGTTATAGTTATTTATTTAAAAAAGACTTCTTATTCCTCAGATCATGTTCTACCTTAAACTCCTCAAATGAAGAGAAATCGCATGTGCAATAATTTTAAAATGTGTCCTAAGTTCACATTAATAATATTTGTTCTATATCATGTTGATTGAGCAAGCTCTATTGAGGTCATAAGTCGTATGCTAAGAAATTTTCTTTCAGACTTGGACTTATCGTCAAAGATTATAAATAAAAAATTTCAAAATGACTTAAGTATGATTGTTGACGAACTTTGACATCATACCCTAGGATGAAACACAAGATTCCTTGAAAAAAACATAAAGGAATGTTAGAGAATCTTTGTTGAGAATCTACGATAAGCGTTTCATCAACTACTAAACTAGATATTTACCAAATAAAGGTTGGCAATTTTTAGTAAGATAGTCAATTGAGATAAACATATTTATCCAACAATCAAGTATCTTTATTCTCCATGGGGGGAGGGGGGGGGAGGATAAGAAATAAATAGCATCATCTTAGGATTTCCCTCTTTATATATTACATATCAAACGATAGAAAACCTCAATGGTTGTCTGATGTTATGGGGTAAAAGCGGGATCTCTATCCCGGGGGTGGGGATAGGCAAGTAGCACTTTTAATACGGGTATTAGGCAAGATAAGATAGGTCTGGCGAAGTATCTGGATAATTTTGAGTCTACTATATATATACACACATATATATACCTATATATAATATCAATGTATACTATCTTTTCATTTTACTCAAGATACGATAGAAGATAGGCATGACAAAGTATTTGCATAAATTAGAGGTTAGAGAATTAGGGATTAGAGTTCACCTATTAGAGGTTAGGGTATAGTATCATGCCCCAAAAAACTTCGGAGTCTAAATAGTAAAACTCAATGGTCGTATGGTATTGTGTGTGTGATTCAGGTTGGCATGCGCTAAATATTAGTGTTTTGGTTGACAAATTTTGACATAAGTTATAAATGGCACGTGACAGCGGCATAATTTAGGATTAGAAAACCGAAGCATCAGAAGTGAGTGTGCTAAATATTGGAAATTTTCAATATAGACATACTACAAACTCTTTTATGAATCAAGAACACAAAATATTTAGAAGATCCAAAATGATTTAAACTTATAAATAAGTTAATTAATATAAATTATAAAATAAATCTTTCCGGCCAACGGGCCGGGTAAAAAGCTAGTTATATATATATAATGGCGTCTTCAGTGCATTCACTTTTTTAGTGCATTCACTTTTTTTAGTGCATTCAGTGTACTCACTTCATAACTGTCATTTGAAACATGCGATTTATGTCAAAATGATGTCAATCATCACTTATGATGTGATGAACAATAACACACATGAATTTGCACAAAAACCATTAAAGATTTACTTTAATTAGAAGGATTTAGAGTTTAGAGACTTAGGGTTAGGGTTAGGGTTTACAATTTGGGGTTTAGGGATAGAACTCAAAATTGGAGGTCTAAGGGGTAATCCGCTAATTAGTTGTTATCATATGTTATATCATCATATTACACTAATTCAATAAATTAAAATTCAAAATCCAACACTTTAAGACTAGTTTTTGAGTTTGGTGCATTGAACGCACTCATTTTTGTGAGTGCACCGAAGTAGTCACCATATATATGTTGATGCTCCAACTGCCAGCTTTCAGCTTTATGATCAGTAGCCCTAAGGTAAGGAAAAAAAGTTGCATGTTCTCCTATGTTACGTTGTGTTATGGGTAATAGGATATGGACACCCTCCTCAACGAATTGAAGAGAGACCCAATTAAAAACCGACCATTGGTTGGGCCATCCTAATCAAGACTACCAAATATGCATTAGGAGGAGGAGGAATCCTCCAATTGCAAGGGGGAGGAACCCAACTTTCATATCATTTTCAGAACCCTCAACTCTCTTTCATATGCACTGCACATATATGTATTGTAGTGGCTCAACCTTTCTATTGCCTTTTGTCTCTCTTAAGTGGATGTGAATCATAGAAAAAATTTGGGTAAATACAATTTAATATCCAAACCTTTCATTTTAAACAATATAGTAGCCAAACCTTTTCGAAAACAATATAATATCCAAATCGTCAACTTTCCGTTCGTTTGACCGTTAGTTGACACTTCCAAATAGTTCGAAGTACGACACTTCATCAATATCCATCGATATCTTCTCTGAAAAACCACCAACATATCATGGTTCCAAACCCGAGAAGTCCATGACTCCACCATACTGGTATAGAATATCTAAATATCCAGTCATCTGCAATGCCAAAACAAGAAGACAAAGTTGTATGTGACAATTTCCCCTAAACAAAGCTTTTTTGAAGTGTCAACTAACAGTCAAACGGACGGAAAGTTGACGATTTGGATATTAGATTGTTTTCGAAAAGGTTTGGCTATTATATTGTTTAAAATGAAAGATTTGGATATTAAATTGTATTTATAAAAAAATTTGCAATCCATTGCCGCTCAGCTTCATTTGTAAAAGAGCATTTTTTATTATCTTTTGTATAGTTACCACCTTAACTCACTTTTGGCAAGTCATGCAAAAATGGCTAAGCTAAATAATTTTGGTGATTGTAAACTCTTTGTACCTCCTGCTAAACTATATCGAACTCACACAATTCACCTCAGACAATATTCTCGATCCATCAAGGTTGATGGAAAAGAGAAATTTGGTTTTCATAATTTATCACAATTAGTTACATGCACATACTCTCTTGTGTAGATGGAAGAGCATGGATTTAGATTCATTGATCTGAATGACATAGTATACTAGCTAACTTGATGTTGTAGCATCGAATTATGGGTCACTAGCTTTTAAGTAGCGAATATCAAATTCTTGGTAATAAAAATGTTTAATAATTCCTTATTTTCAGGTCTAAACACTCTCGAATGGAATATTTTTAAAAAGATTGGAATTGGAAGGCAAGCCCATCCCCAACCAATAGCCAAACTCGTCAAGAGTGATCAGACTTCTTTTGCGGCTGGAATTCAAACTTGTTGGAAAGCAATTTAAGGCTTAGCTGTGACCTCAATGAATGAATTAATGGAATTCGGTACTGGTCTATACTCTCTCTAATCTCTACCCCATCAATATCATTATCAGCCCCCCACCACCATTTCCCATATAAATCACACATCATCTCTCTCTCTCTGTATGTATAGTACCTCTGTCACTCTCTCCATTGAATTCCAAAACTAAACCATCACTCTCTCCTACAAGGAAAAACAGAAAACTCTGCTCTGGTTCTACAATGGAGGCAGGGAAGCCATCATCAGCAGCAGCATCAAGAGGCCAGCAACACGAGATCATGTGGAATCGATTAGTGGCTCAATTGACCGTACTGAAGATCTTAGCCATAGCCTGCACGGCCTCTGCAATCTGCGTCATGGTCACCAGCAACCAGAACGTCCTCGTTTACGGGATCCCCTTCTCCGCTCGCTTCACCTACTCTACCGCTTTCAAGTTGAGTTCTTCATGGCTTACTATATCCTTCTTAGTACCCCAGCTACCGGCTATGGCCATTGCTGGTCGTGATAGTTTCGTTAAAATTGCTTTCTTTGCAACTATGCCTCGGAAATGCCGAATACTCTGGCTATTCTCTTCTCTTCCCCTGTTTTTTGTTCTATTCCCTTTTTTTTTGGCTCTGTCTCTGTTTTGTCCTGTTTCTATAACGAAAATGTGGCAACCGTTACAACTTCATGGAAACGGATAAGTTCTTCTTTGCTAAAGGACAAAAAATTGTACTGTATTGTTGGTTGTATGGGTTGATTTACTTACAGAATCAAATCGTAATTGCTCTGCGTGATTGTTTACGTGGCCATACTTGTTGCATAATGGGAGGGAGGTACTAAAACAGTTTTTGTGGCAGGTTTTTGGTGGCTGCGAATGGAATAGTCTGCGGGTTCTCAGTGGTGTCCCTGTTCTTCATTTTGCCACAACTGGGGAAGAGCAGCTCTTCTGCAGCTCACCCGCCTCTCAACCTTTTCTACCTCTTACTACATGAAATGGTAAAACTCTCTCTTTCTCTCGTAAAGTTTGTGTCTTTACTACCGTGGCCCAGTGGAGGAAGCAAAGGGATCGGGGTCAGGTGTTTTGGATTCCTGTTAATGAACTAATTAATGAGAGAGAGGTTGAATGGGCTATTCTGATGATAACCGGGTCCGACCGAATGAATTTAGGCTGAATCACAGAGGCTATAGGTTAATCTAGTGACGATGAATGTACATATAGCTTTAGAGCAAGCGAGTTTTGGTGTAATCATAATGGTTAAAGATAATTTCATGAGTAGTAGTAGGATTCATAATGATCATGTGTGAAAGTGATTAAGATCACTATCCCATTTGCCAAATTAAGTGGAATCCTATCATTTTGGGTCACTGCCCATGACTTTATACTGGATCTAATTTGAGTAGGGTATATGGCGAACATTTATCAGCACCCTGCCAAAAAGTAATGTCCTATTGAATATGCCATCTAGATTTCAGGCACCAAACTTGCAGAGGATGAATTTTCAAAATACCGTTGAACAGCATTTACTCCATCCCTCATGGTTACCCAACACTGCTTTTGTTCCTTCCTTACTATCATTTTTCACCTTCATCAAAGTACCGTGGGTTCACTTAAGTTTCATACTGTAATTCTTTATTGTTAGAGCTCTAAGTTGGGTAACAAGCTGGTAAAATACAAATACCTAGCACAGAAACATTCCCAAGTCGAACCATTTTCATCCAAACGATCGACGTTCGTGTTTAGCTTATGATGTCTGTCATTATACGATGATAACATTGTAAAAGAAAAACAAAAAAAACAATGCAGGTGATGATGGGGCTAATGACTGCTGCGTGTGGAGCAGCAACAGCTATAGGACTTGTGGGCTACGATGGGATAGAAGAGATTGGATGGATGTCCTTCTGTGAGAATGTTCCTAACTTCTGCCACAAAATGTTGGCTTCGGTTGTCTTGTCTTACATGGTTCTTTGCACTTACTTGGCTCTCACCTTTGTCTGTGCCAGCAAATTAGCAGCCTCTTCTTCTCCTCACTAAAACCCACATTACCCTATATTTAACGCCCTACTAAACGTTTACTCTATGGTAAAGAGAGTTTGAGAGATTGTGAGTGCTTATGGGGTGTGGATTTGTGCAGGATTATATATAGGAAAGTTTCAGTGTATGATGTAAACCAAAAGGTCTGGTCCACTGGTTGAGTAATATTCAGTAATCACACTTGCCCTTATGTAATAGTTTTCCATCCTTTTCCCAAGCTATATATATAAGAACAAAGAGGATGGTTGAATTGAGTAAGGAGTAATGGCTTCACACAGTAGATTGGAACAAAGAGAGTGACAGTGTTTTGGGATCCAAACTCCCTCAAAAGTATGGTTCTTTTTATTTACCCTTTGTTGCTTTTAGCTCTCTTCTTCTCCTTCACTGTCTTGGAGGTGATCTTTCAAGGCTTGGCTCTGGATTTCCCAGTTCCTACTGTCCCAAGCTTGGTCGGTTTCTGGGAGTTCGTAGTCATCTGGCCTTAATGAGAGCTGGAAATCTGGTAGCTCTGGTAATGACTGTAGAGCCCTGTAATGTTTTCAGATGTCAGAATCAGAACTCTTAGCAGACAATACCAGCCAGATCAGATTAGGATGAAACACACTTACTTTTCTTCCTCCAATAGGTAGCCATACATTTCAGACTTCTTTGCAGCAATTTCAGGGATTTTCTGATACAAATACTTCATAGCTCCCCATGGTGGAGGAGATCTATTCCCACCACAAAAGATTAAACAAATTCAGTTCATTCCCAAAACTCAAAATTTCAAACATGAAGGATAATGGATCATGGGTGAGATGCAGTAGGCTAAACCTGGTAACAGGAGCTGAGAGGCAGAAGCTTAAGCAGGCTCTCTTGCTCTCAGTGAGAAGTCCTTCTGCAGCAAGGAAACAGCAGACTGCACTGACATGGCAGGCCGGTTCACTCCCTTTGTCAAGAATGTGGCCATGGAAATAATAAGCTGCAGCCTGTTGACGATCATTGGAATTTAACGAGAAGGGAAAGGTTTAGCAAGTAACGATAGAGATTTAGTGAAATGGGTTGCTTGTAAATCAAGGACAGACCTTGGCTTCAAGGTACTTCCACTTGATGAAGCTGAGATGCTTCTTTCCGTGGCCATCGCTGATGTCAGCTCCTGACAAGCTCTGATAAGCCTGGAGGAATCGCAGCAACAGAATTGAAAAGATGTAGACATTTGAGTACCAAATAGTAAAAGAAGGAAGAGGAAGAAAATGTCAACCTGACTGAAGTAGATCAGCTGTTCACATGCTAGCCTCCTTTTCACTGACAAAGTGGCCTTCTGGCTTTCAATAGCTAAACCCAGTTGAATTTCTGTCCCCTGAATATTCAATTTATTCATAGAGATTCAGTTTTTCAGGATTGGGAGAAAGAGAAAAGGATTGAATCACAAGTAAATGATATGACTAACCTGGCCTAAAGCTTGAATTGATATAGCATCCAGCACACCATCTTGCAAGTCCTTAGGAAAACTTGTCCTGTACCAAACAAGGGTCAGCCAAAACAGCCAGGGGTTTCAAAGTAAGCCTGGAAAAGTTGAAGTACTCAATTCATACTTGATTTCTGGTGGTATATGAGTCAATACTTCATGAATACAGAATTCCAGGTAACCTGAGGCCTTCAGCAGTAAATCAACAGCTTCCCTCTTACAATCTGAAGAATATGTGGTACAATGGTCAAAATCCAATCATCTCTTAATTTTTGTTTTCAGAAGAAAGAAGTTGCTAACAGGTGGAGAGAAAGAAACCTGAAGAAACAAGCCTTAGGCCTGATCCAGAATAATCCTTTGGGATCATCAATGAGTTTGCCTCAGCCAAAGTCAGCATTGCCATCATATGAACAACTGATAACAATTCAAACCAGCAGTTTGATAAACCAGCTTCCTGTTCAAAAAGATAATTCTTCAGTTTCTGGTTTATAATTTGTTTGATAAACGAAAAAAGGGATCAAAGATGGAAGCCTTTTTCCTTTTCCTGGGCCCTTTACCTGTCTGCCATCTTCCAAGTTTTTCCACCTGAACTCAACCAAGTCCTCAATTCCATGTTCTGAAGAACAAAATTCAAATCGAATCAGCTAAGCTTATTATCAAGAAGTCTAACAGAGAGTAGCAAACCAAAACAACATTCAATCACCTTTCTTAGTTAGACCAATGAGAAGGGACAAGTAGTCATCCAATGCTCTCTTCAATTCTACTATAGCAGATCCACCTGGAGAGCATAAATTTCCATTTCACTGCAGGTAATTGAGGGAATGAGAGCTTACTGCATTACTAGAAACTGGGTCATACCTGTGTCCTCAGCTATCAATATAATCTGACTTCGAAGACCGGTTAATCGATCAATAAGATCTTTAGGGACTAATCCTTTGAGAGCTCTCTGAATGTCAGACTGAGCTGGAATTCTAAGAGAAGGAACGTGTATCGCAGTTTCTGGTATACTTGCCTTCTTCCTCTTTCCAATTGCATACACAGAAGTAGTGCATCCCATTTTCGTTTTCCTTTTATCAGCTTCCCTTTCCAACTTAACATCCTATACTAACACATGAATCCATCAAGGTCTACGTTGTTTAAGCAGAAAGTTTCGAACTTTGGAAGATTGGAGTGGTGGGGATTGCTGCAATGAGCCAAGAGACTGGGTTGGGAAAACAATTGAGGAGATCCTATGGAAAGAGACAAAAGAAGGGGAGTAAAGGAAAGACAAAGGAGAGATCTTGATTTGAGATTCAATCAAATGATTAGCCTTGGAGTGGAGGCATCGAGGGGAGAGGATGGGTGGGGAACAAAATGAAGCTTCGAGGATGGCATTATAGATATCCTACTCTCTCTCTCTCTCTCTCTCTCTCTCTAGAAAGGGAGAATAGTATGGAAAGCTCAAGGGCCAAGAAGCAGCTCACATGGAGCTGAGTAAATCTTAGAGAAGTCTCACCATTGTTTATTTACACAAGCATTCTTGTGAAAAAAATCACAGTACTTCTCACTCGCAAGGGTCGACTAAATCTCAAGTATGAAAGCACGTCATTTGAGGTTTCGATCATGGAAACCATGCACGTGGTGTTTGGAAAGTTTAAGATAATTAAATTTTGATCTTTGTTGTAATCGAATAGTCTAATGTTATTTGTTGGTTTCTTCCAATGACTAGCTATTTACCTCCCCCAAAGAAATCACAGTCCCATGTGATGGACCGAAATCTCCTTCTCAATTGTTTTCTATATAGGGTGAACATGGAGATGGTACCATATTTGGGTTGAAGTGCATAGAACCTGAACATGGAGGCTTGAGCTTTGTGGTCCTTCCTCATTTCCTTTCCTTAGCTGTAGAGTAGACCTTCAGCCCACAACATGCATCGCCATGAATTTCTATTTCTTTCGCTCTCTCATTTTCTTCAACACAAGGTCTGCAGTTTGTTACTTCATAGAGACACTTGTTTACCCCCATCCGTAACGAGAGCATTAACCACTGCCGTCAAAGATAGATAAACAATAGATAACATAGCATCAGTTGAAAATTTTCTGCAGACGGATCTTGGCAGGCTGGATATAACCTTCCTCTTCAGCCCAGGCAGACAGCCATATAATAGATCTGCCTGTTTCTCCCTGGCTGGCCAGAGAAAATTAAAACTGGAATTTACTACTAATGCTACTACGTGCCAGAGCGCAGAAGCAACATGCTAGTCAGGGGAAAGACAGGACAGCCTGGTTCACAGCCATGACATATGTTCCATTAATTACTACAGAATAAACCAGACAACTGCACCCACTTGAATTTTTATAACTGAAGTATCCATACATTTGGCCATCGGGTTTTTCTTTGCAGACCTTGGACTAACTGGGCAAGTGACGATGGAGTAAAGTTTTGTGCTTTCAAAAGATTGTAGGAAATGAAGACGAGGCCAAAATCTTACAATAGAAGGTATGGGGATTTGCATAGCAATGCCACTCAACTTGCTCTTAAATTAAAGTTGCGCTCCACTTTACTATTATACTTGCAACAGCTGTTACATTTATTCTCCTCCATGCTTTACATTGAAGGCAGAAGATTTGGGATATGTTAAAATCTCAAACATCCCGAAGCTCAAACCAGTTCTGCCCTTCCCCCACCCCATTCCCAATACTTATCCCCCCACTCCTCCATCCATGATCCGTCCCAACTGGATGGGATTCCCTATAGATTTCTGCCTTAACAAAATGGAAAATATCATATAGCAATTTCGTCCTCACTTATATACACCTGCTTGAATGCTGTTTTCCTTTCCTATCCTTCGGTTCATTATAGAAACAACCCTAGAGTGAGCTTTTGATTTAAGGATCAAAGGGTAAGAACAGTTACCATGGAACCAGAACCATTAACTGGTTCAGCAAACTCTCAATTTTTATCAGTAGTCTTTACAAACCGACCTTGAACCCGCTTCCTTGACTCAGCTCCAGTTTTCCTCGACTCATACCGGATTCGCTTCTCATACCTGTTTTCCAATATCATTTGTTCTAATCATTCCATAAAACCCAGAAGAGCACCAGATAAAATGAACTTTAACTAGTGATATTGGAGAAAGAATATAAAGCTTAAAGCTTTTACCTTCGATTCTTCTTCTTCTCCTTGTACCTCAACATAGCATTCCCTCTAATCTGAGCAAAGTCAACTTTCGCCTTCAACCAATCTGCAGCTTCAGTGTTCCCATCTTCATTCACACAACAAGTTTGAGCCTCTTCGACAACCTTGGATTCTAGAGATGCTTCCATTTTTGTTGGTTCGTCAGTACAACTCTACAATTGTCAATTGTCACAGAACATAAAAATTTTGTTTGATTGAATCAGATTGCATCTTCATAACTTCTTAAGACAAGCAAGCTCAAGGCTTTACATTTCTGGATGAAGAATCCTTGTGATTCGGAGCGTTTTCTGGCTCATCAAATGAATTGGCTTGTTCATCTGGATTGCTGTGATGCTCGACTGTGATATCAGGATCATTTACAGCATAACCTGCTGAAACCCCAAGCTGGAAATCCAATATCTGAACCAGCAAATTAGTTAAGGCTTAGGCAATGAACTGATGAAGTCACTCCAAGGTACCAATTTTACACTACCAGAATCAGAATTAGGTTCCTAAATCTCAGAACCCTAAACTTTAATCGATCAAGAAGAGCCATTGCTTTCTTATCTACTTAAGCAAATGAATACTGATAACAATAACAATGCCCAGACAAGAAGAGTACTCAGGGATTATGGCACAAACCTGAGCAGTTTCAAAAGCAGGATTATGGCTCCACATAAGATCCCCATCAGCAACCCAAAAGCTTTCTCCTTTATCCTCAACTCGATCCGGTGACGCCAGCAAAGAACTGAACGGCGTCTCCCGCAATACCCTCCATTCTTCTTCGTCTTCTTCCTGCTCCTTCTTAGCTCTCACCTCCAATTCATCAGATTCCAACTCCGTCAGCTGCCTGTAAACTTCCCACCTCGAACTACCGCCGGAACCCCCCTGAAATCGAGATCTCGAGTCGACCCCAAACGCGGCCGCGATTTCGAGCGAAGGAGGACAGCCTGAGAACCCTTTGACCGGAATTCGCGACGGAACACCCCCGATTCCCTCCTCTTCCTCTTCTCTACTCTCCCGCTCGTCACATTCTTCGCACGCCACGAGGTTAACCTTATCCCGGCGAAAAGAGGCGATTCTGTACCCGCAGATTTGGCAGAGAGGGATTCGCAAATGCTTGAGGGAGACGTCGTTGGCGGAGTGGACCCGTCGGTCGCAGAGCAAGCAGAGGTTCGCAGCATCGGAGTCGCAGTGTAGAATCGCCGGTGCGGAGTTGCAGAACTCGCAGGGTTTCAGACTAGGCGACGACTTCTCCTTCTCCATCGCAAATTCGAATCGCAACGAAAATTTACAACAAGCGAACAAAGAAGTGAAATGCTTGCGACGGAGCAGTGGTAGGAACTAAGAGAAAAAGTAACAGTGCAGTAATGGCGACCGGGAAAGGGATTGGTTTGTTTCTTCTGACTTCTGAGGTATGGTTGATTTTCAGCGCGAAATAAAGTAGGGGCCTACGCGCCCTTATCTTTATTGCACTTTTTCCCTCCCTAATTCTTGTCGACAGCATGTGCGTGTATTTTTTGAACAAATATCTTTTAATTTTGGGCTTCTTGATTGGGCTCTCTCGACGAGGTAATAGAGTGAGTCTCTCTAGTCTCTACAGAGGTATTGGGCCTTAAAAGTTGTCTTCCGGTCCATTTGAGACGGAACCCGACCCGTGATTCGTTTTGAGTGGTTGACTCTAAATGCTACTTGAACTCGGTCTCAGCTCGACTCAGCTCCATCTCCCCCATTCCGCAAATTTCCTCCCCTTTCCCCTCATCTACACAGAAATCATCGCCCCGCTGCTATCCATGGCGATTCCGATGCCGAAGGCGCTGATCTCTGTGCTACTCGCCCTGCTCTTCTTCGTCTCGTCGGCGCTGTCCGCCTCCGACGTCCCGTTCATCGTGGCCCACAAGAAGGCAACTCTCAACAGGCTCAGATCAGGCGCCGAGCACGTCTCCGTCTCCATCGACATCTACAATCAAGGATCCTCGTGAGTTTTCACTTCAATTTTTCTCTTCGCTTATTCAGTTGTCGTGGACTTAGTTCTCAAACTGCTCTGGCCAGATCTATGAATGATATAGATCCAAAACTATCGTGCTCAATTCAATTGCGGTCGATCTCGATTTGAATGGTTGTTCGAATTAGCTAGAGTGTTGGAATTGAATCCGGTGGTTCACTTCCTCATCGTTCCTGGCCCATGCAATGAAATGGATTGATTCTTCGCACTTCCGTCTGAGTTTTTGTTGCTTGGTTAGGTGCCAATAATAAGAAATCCTCTATTCAGTGGGAATATATTAATTGATGCTTATTTAGTCAGCTTTGTAGAGTAAACTTGTTGCTACTTGATTTAGTACTTTAGTTTTCAAGCTATCTGGATGTATGTTAATGGGTAAGTTGCTTCCGTTACTAGTTTGGCATGCAAGTTCTCTTAGCACAGTGCTTATGGTAATTCATATCCGAGTGAGCTCGAAAGGCTGCTTCTTTTTCTTGTCTTGATGCATGTGACTTGTAATCAATGTACGGTCTGCCAGGACAGCAATTCCATTGAAGGAAGTTGTTTTATTTTTTATATGAACTTGTATGTGTTATCTATCACACATAACAAGTTTGCTGAAATCTTTCTTCATTTTGATTCTTGCAGTACCAGTTTATTACGTATCTGTGTCCACTTGCTACATTATATTGTTCTCATTTTGTTGGTTCTTTCCTTTTCTCCTCATTTTGAACCTAACAGGACGGCTTATGATGTGAGTCTTCTTGATGATCACTGGCCCCAAGATATGTTTGATGTTGTGAGTGGCAACTTATCAACATCGTGGGAAAGACTTGACGCGTGAGTTCTTTTTAACTTGACACTGTGATCAATTTATTTTTTAGTTTTTTGTTTCGGGAATGTAATGCATCTACTTGAACCTGTGTTTATCAGAGGTGGTTTGCTGTCACATTCTTTTGAGCTTGAGGGTAAGGTGAAGGGCATGTTCTACAGTGCCCCTGCTGTCATTAAATTCCGCATCCCTACCAAGGCTGCTTTGCAGGTGAGGCCTTGGTGCATTGGTTCCTAATTGTAGTCTTCTCTTGTGTTTCCTTAGCCTATTTTAGTTAATCCTGACTGTTAATCGGTTATAGGAGGCACTTTCAACCCCCATAATGCCGCTAGACATTCTGGCTGAGAGAATTCCTGAGAATAAGCTTGATTTGGTATGTCGCTGTAACATAAGATCTCATCACTCTTTATCCTTTGCTTGAGGTGTCTGCTATTGGTGTACTGATGCTTGACTTTGTGTTTTCTTGTTCTGTGGAATCTTGCCTTCGTGCTCTGGCAAAATTTTCAGGCCAAGGTACGATTAAATTTTCTCATTTTCTCCCTATTTTGTTCGTCATTCTAAGTACGATAAGCCAAAATAGGGTTCCAACGGAGGCAAAATTCTTAGGTGCACCCTGGTGTGAAGTACAATGTTCGCAATTGTTCCCAGTATCCTTTAAGAAAGTATGATCATCATATTGTATCCCATAGCAATGTCATAACAAAATTGTTGGTGCATTGGGCTGATCCTTTTACTGCCAGTCTAAAGCAAGCTTTTCCCAACCTTTTGATTGGACTAAACTGTATCCAAAAGGTTTTTTAAGCTCTCATTTAGTCATTTTGTACTAGCATATATAAAAATTTCCTCATTGCGGGTCGTTTCTTGCTATTCTGCAGAGGCTGTTTGCTCAGTATGGATCATTAATATCGGTGATTTCCATCGTTGTCCTGTTTGTGTACCTTGTGAGCTCCCCATCCAGTGCTGCCAAGGCGAGCAAGAAGAAGCGTTAACCAAACTCCAATAGCTTTGGATGCTTTTTACGGTTTGGGCAAAGATTAGGGTACTGGGGTGCTAGTTAATGTCAGTCAGAATCGTGTTCTTCAATATATAACTTCACTCAAGAGAGCATTTGTGTTTGATGTAGTTGGTATTGGTTAGCGCAGTGCAGAGGGGTGATGGTGGGTAGTCAAACCACCTGCTTAGCTAAGAGAGAGGGTAATTTTAGCAATGTTGGGCACTGTGCATCACTACATCTAATGACTTGTAAGGTGCTGCAGTTTTGGATTTTGGAAAGGAAATTTGACTATTTGAACCTGCTCTGCTTCTCTTCTAGTGTCATTGTGATCTCGAATTGAATGTGTAGGAAATTTCACTATTGAGTTTCTGGGCTGCTGCATCTGTCACAGCCTCACAGGTATGACCCAATAAGATAAATTGTCAAACACTTGAGCTGTAGCACACACTGATCCATGCAATCTTCATTACATTGATCCTCCGCATCTTAAAAAATTGCGATGATTGTCAACAACAAATAGGATTAGTAGCAGCAGAGTTACGGTTGTAGTTACAAAAATGTTGTTGTCAGGAAATGCTCACAAAATAGCAAGCACGTAACGCATATATGCATCAATAATTTTGATTTTTTCTAGACACTAATGAACATGCTTGGTATATTATCTCTATAACCTGGAAAGTGGAAATATCGACAGAGAATATTATCACGGAACCAATATAGATGTCGTTTGCCTTCAATCTTATCATATTTTTCATATTCATGGTTGACAATCTCATTAATATCAAATAGTTGATGTGAATAGAATAAGTATACGATGTAATACATGGAATGAATATCCAAGAGTGAGTGTTTGGGATAATTTGCCTTCAATGACAATTTAGTTTTTTTATTTTCAATAATGAGGTTGACAATTGAGTTTGATTCATTTCCATATAAATCAAATTCATAGATCAAAGTTTTATGGATTTATTTTTAACCAAAAAAGTCCATGTATCGGAGAATTGAACATTCAAAATTTGTATACGAAAAGTAGACGTTAAGAAGAAGTTGTCGTTATCGTCAGGTGGCACTTCTACTCACGCTTTACAGGAATTGCCACAAAAACACTTGAGACACATACATATATCTGCGTTAGTTTTTTTTTTTTTTTTTTGAAAGATATATGCATTAGTTATTTGACTAAAAGAACGCACGTGACATATTCGATATGTAATATAGAAACATTGACTAATATATAACATCACTACATAGAAAAATATCCTAAGGACCAATGGTTGTGGGAGCTTCAATCATCATGCTTAATTTTTACATACTCATGGACAACAATCTCATTAAATTTAAATTCGTTAATCATGACACATAAATAAAGTGTATATCAAATAATGACATAATACCATAATAATATTAATCCATTTATTCTTAAAAAAAATATCATCCGCTTAATCCTTGCAACTCCCCCATGATATGGTGACTTTGTTAATGTTGAGTCGTCGTCGTGCAAGAATGATCATCATCTTTGAGCTCCTGGACAAAGAAAGGATCGGTTGCGGCTAGTTTATTGTTACCGATACAAACGGCATTACAGTATAATTTTTGCATGCACCGATTTACACATACATTGTTGCAGCACAGAAATGATTGTTGGGAGAGAATAATACTAGGACGGCTAGCAAAACTATGGCAATAGTGGCGGCGTTGCTTTTCATTGTTATATATAGCTTTTGTTAATGTGTAATTTTATCAATTTCTTGTATCCCATGATGAATTCCCCCATTATATAGAGTCTCTCTCTCTTGGTAACCTAAAGGAGATATTAATTTACGGTTTGTCTTTGAGTTATACATGGAATAAATATCCTTGAGATAGCGTCTTAATGAGTTACTTGCCTTCAAATGGATATTGAGATTTGTTTCCCAATAATGGAGTTGACAATGGAGTTTAATTCAACTCCATATATATATCAAATTCATAGATAAAATTTCATGTATTCTTTGACAAAAAAAAAATGCCTGAATTTAGATAAAGTTAAGTTGTTTGATCTAATTTGGATTCGTGTTACCTTTATTATGTCACAAATCATTTGACCTCAATAACATAACGATGTTATGAGAGACCCATGTATTCATTTTGTATAATTTCTTACATATATCACATCTAAATTTTGATTTCACCTTGCTTGATCTGTGATGCACTATCCGAGATTTTGCTTGAAAGAGTCATCATCGTCGGGGGTGGTCCTCCTACTCTCGCTCTACAAAGACGGTCACAAAACACCAGCATAATGTGTGGGTCGATAATTTGACGAAATTTTTGTACACACCAGAGAATACACTTGGCATACTCTTCCGCAACACAGAAACGACGACCATCCTCAACAGAGAATAACACGAGAACCAGCAAAGCTATGGCAGTGCCTCAACAGAGAATAACACGAGAACCAGCAAAGCTATGGCAGTGGCGTTGATCTTCATTGTATTTTCCAGATTCCTGGATATAGCAATCTGGCTTTCGTAGTACAATTTTTTGTTTGTATACAGTATATAGCTTTTGTGTATGGTGTTTTTTTAACCAAATTGGCTTTGAAGTTTCTTTATGCCTACGAGCTCCATTTATATATCTTTCAAAAAAAGCTTCCATGTACATCAGCTTCATGTTTTTTTTTTGTGCTTTCTTATATATGCAATTTCATTGATTGTGAAGAAATTCAACATTATAGGGATTTGTGTTACTGCCATATATAAAATTCTATGGATTTTCCTACCAACCAAAGCCAATTTACAGATATTTTAATCTGACAATATGTTTAAAGATTCGAGATCATTTATTAGTGAATGATCAATCAAACAAATGAAACAAAAATCAAACTATTCTACAATAGTACAAAAAACAGGAGCTTGAATGTAAACATGTTTAATGCGTATACGAGTATCAAACTAAGTCAAATCACGTGCTTAAGTAATTTTAGCAATGTTGGGCACTGTACATCACTACATCTAATGACTTATAAGGTGATGCAGTTTTGGATTTTGGAAGGAAATTTCACTATTGGAACTTGCTCTGCCTCTCTTCTGTTGTCATTGCTATCTCGGATATATAGAAAATTTCACTATTGAATTTATGGGATGGACACAAAACTAGTTAAAGTAAACGGAGTTACTATTTTCTAACTTTTGAGAAACCAATTTTGAGAATCTGAAAATGAAATCTGTTTAGTCGAAACTTACAAAAATCGAGAATCGGAAAATGAAAACCTGCTTATTTGAAACTTTTAATGAAATTTGAAACTAAAATTCAATGAGTCGAAACTTTTGAGGAAATTTGAAACTAAAATTCAAATGGTGGTAGATTGTTTCAAACCAAGGTAAATAAAAGTTGAGTTATGGTAGATATGTTGCTCAACCATCTTCCTTGTGCTTGCTAGCTAGATAGGTTGTTTGATGATCTGTGTATATTGCTTGCTAAACCAACACCTTTCTCAGAGGACATATATATGTCTCATTTTTTTTTTATCTCGCTATGCTGTGAACGCTCATGAAAGAGTTCATTATTACATAGTTTTTTCTTTTTATTATGAATATTCAAATAAGTTATCTATGAGTTGATTAATTATGTAAAATTGTTACCTTTTTGATGAAAAGTTGAAGTTATCAAGAATGTATGTTGTCCTCGCTTGAAACTTTAAGAGGGATAGTGACAAAAATACTAGTACACAAAACAAATACAGGGCAGCAATAATTTTGATATTTTTAATGCACCAATGAACACGATTGATATATGTGCAAATCTCATTGATATTCATTGAATTTCAATTATTTAATCAAAGAACGAAAATAAAGTGTACATGAAGACGATGTTGTAATCGTTATCAAACCATAACAATACAGTAATAATATTAATTTATTTATTCTTAACAAAATATCATCCACTTAATCCTTGCAACTCCCCATTACAAGATGACTTTGTTAATGCTGAGTCGTCATTATCGTCGAAGCATGATCATCGTTTTTGAGCTTTTGGACAAAGGAAGGATTTGTTGCGGCTAGTTTGCTGTTACCGCTACAAACTCCATTACAATATTCCCATTTAAAAATTGGATCAATCCCGTAAAGTTTTTGCATGCACCGATTTACACATCCATCGTGCTCATTCGCAGCACAGAAACGATTATCGGCAGAGAATAATACGAAGACGACTAGCAAAACTATGGCAATGGTGGAAGCGTTGCTTTTCATTGTTATGGCTTTTGTAATGTCGTCCTAGCCTGCAGACAACTATTTGCTAATGTATATTTGTCAATTGCTTGTATCCCATGATGAGTTTCCATTATATAGAGTCTCTCTCTTTGTAACCTAAAAGAGATATTAATGTACTGTTTATTGTTGAGTTATACATGGAATGAATATCCTTAAGATAACTTCTAAATTAATAACTTACTTGCCTTCAAATGAAAATTGAGTTTTTTTTTAATAATGGAGTTTAATTCAGCTTCATGTTCTTTTTTGTGCTTTTCTTATCTATGCAATTTCATTGATTATGAAGAAATTCAACATTTATAGGGATTTGTGTTACTACCATATATAAAACTTTATGGATTTTGTTACCAAGCAAACTTAAGGTAACCTAATTTGAAAATTAGGTTATGGTATCATATCAATACACATACACACATCATTTTAGCCTAACAATAAGTTTAAATATTCAAGATCCTTTACGAGTGAATGTTCAATCAAATAAATGGAACAAAAACCATACCACTCTACAATAGTAAAAAAAAAAACATGAGCTTTGAACAATTTTAATACGAGTATCAAACTAAGTTATATATACTAACAATGGTGGTTAGGAGTTTGCATCGATCAATGTGAAGGAACTTAATCAATGGATTGTGCAAACTAATCTCTCCAATCAATGGAGAGCTTAGTTTCCATCATAATCATACAAACATTATAGTCCCCGGCCGGCAGGCATCATCAATCTGAACAAACTCATCAAATACAAAACTAAAACTCTCTCTCTCTAGCTGCTGATCTCCCTCCCTGTCTTTCTCTCTCTTTATTCATTGAAAAAAAGCCACATATGCTCATCATCTCTATTCCTATAATCTCCTACGTACGTATCCTTGTTTCAAATCTCGGCGTAGATAGCATCTTCGTTTCCGATGCCTTGTGTTCGTGCCATACAAAGACGATCGCAAAACACCGGTATCACGTTTGCGTCGATGATCTGACGGAAGTTCTGCAAGCACCAAAGAGTGCACTTGCCGTACTCATCGGCGGCGACGAAACGACGGCCATCGTCGACGGAGAACAACATCATGAGGACCAGCAAAGCGATGGCTGTGGCGTTCATCTTCATCATCATGTGGCAATGCCTAGAGCTAGCTAGCTAGCTGTAGCAATTATTTTTATCATTCCTCACTTTTCTTCTTGGCTGAAAGTAAGATGTGATGGATCCTATACTTTGTTAGTTTGTGTTGCGAAGATGCATGTATATATATAGCTATCATTTGGTTGAATCGTTCAACACCCCGGTTTTAGCGAAATATATGTTGTGTGGTGCCGTGGCCGGTTATAGCTGTTATGTTTTAACAAAATAACTCTAGTTAATTACTGTTGCTATTATGTGTTGAGCACTTCTACTATGCTATATAGTATTGGTGCTTTAATGTACAACTTAAAGTTGTACCATAACATTAAATGTATAAGTTTAGGTTGTACCATAAAACAAATTTGTACCATTATGTTATGGTACAACTTTACAACTTGAAGTTGTCCCATCACATAAAAGTACAAGTTCAAGTTGTACCATAAAAGAATTTGTACAAAAAGTATAGGTACAATTTGAAGTTGTACCATAACATAAATGTGCAATTTTAAGTTGTACCATAAAGACGAAATCCTATAGCACCAATACTGTATAACATTGTAAAATTTCTCATTATGTGTTTAGTAATTAATGCGTCACTGGATTGGTTGTGAACATATGAGATCTCTCACTACAAAAAAGGCAGTGAGATTATCGGTCATGTATCTATGTTCGAATTTAAGGTCAAACTTAAATACATGTAGTGGTATAATGGATACATTTTAATAATATATTGTTTGGCTGATGAGATTCTACTTTATGTATTGACTAACATAAAGTTATTTTATGTGAAAATGTCACATTTATCCTCAACTTTTAGTATAAGACAAAAATTAATAAGGATATAAATGGAAACAAAAAGGGTACACAAATCTAAAATCAACCATTTCAACAATCTCAACTTTTAGTTGAGATTGTATAATGCATCATTTTTTGTGATTGTTTGTGGGACCTACCTAAAACGATACATGCATGGTTTTACATTTTGACACTTCCAAACATTGTATTGTGGACAATGCATGTATTGAATAAACACAACTCTAACAATCACAAATACCAAACGACCACTATGTTCGAATTTAGGGTCAAACTAGAGTTATAAGTAGCATGATAGCTTGTGAAAATTTCAATTTTATAGGTCCATTTTCGTTTGATAATCATATAAAAAGAAAACCATAGAATACTTTGAATATCTTCTCATCAAGTGATTAAATTCAGTAGATTCTCAACATAAAGTTTATATAAAATACCAGATGAAGATGATATCACGTATTTGGTCACAACAAAAAATGAAAAGTATTCAAAATAAGAAAATGATGTTCACTTGTTCGGTTGTTCCTAGGCAAATTTGGTTTTTTAATAAAATATATAAGGGACAGCACCTTGGAGACAATTTTGTCATCCGATTTGTTTATTTTTAGAACCATTTTTGTCATTCCAAAACCACCTCTTTTGTATTTGTCATATATAATTAATTATAATCTCGTATGGGATTGTCTGCTATCGTATTTTATTTATGGTCAACAAGGCTAATGTTTGTCACCCATTTCCTAAATATAGGAATGGCAAAATAATCCATCACCATGGATACCTAATCGAATCTGAATCAATTCTTGTTTACGGAGAATGAACCAAATTGGTTTGGATGGCATTAGATTACATGGAATTGATTGTTCAATTCCAAAAGTTTGTACCTAGTCAGGAGGTGGAACTCAAAATATAAGAATAAAAAATAAATATTATATATTGTTTAATTTTATGCACTACATATAGTATGGATAATATCATATATATAATAATCGTTATTTGGAAAATAAACATGAGTGGTTTATTCACACACACTCTCTTTTCCAATAGAAAATACATGAAATATACTTGTATTTCAATATGCCGACCTATATTGACACACACCAATATACCATCCAATTGTGTCAAGCCTAAGAGGGTCATCCTGTCTGCGTAATGATCTCCTCGTGTCTTAGAACTCTTAAGTTTTAACGATGTACATCCTTGCACGAGCTTTCACAGAACTGTCCAATGAGATATCGATCAATGCCAGGAGATTCTCGCAGACACTTATTTATGCAATCGATATGTGCATCCGCAGCACAGGGACGAGGACCATCCTCGACGACGGTGCCGAAAACTACCAAGACGACCAGCAGGACGACGACTACGTTGTTGATCTTCATGTTTGATGGTTTCCCAAATGTACGCCTTTTGTGATATGGTTCTACGACGATGTGGCTCTGTTATTATTTGTAGGGGGAAATGGAGAGGATGGACAGAGAGAGGGCTAAGCTAAGAATGTGGAGCTTACAACAATTGGCGTCGTTCTATCGTTGCAGCCCCAAATTTGCATGCATGAGAGAATGGTAAACCGCAATATGTGGGTAGGTATTATCATTAAGATGAATTATTATAGGTGGTGCATGTTTAATCGAGATCATTAGATAAATTATTAATATATTCTACCTACATTCTAGTTTCTCTTCAAATCCTAATGGTGATCTCTCTTTTTCATTAGATAAATGCTTGAGGATTTATTAAACAAATATGAGTGTAAACCAAATGGAGACATAACACAAATGTTACATGTATGATATTATCTTATAACATTTGCTATGAACTTAAGTCAATACTTATTCAGACAAGTTAAAATCAGGTTGTTGTGGACGATTTGGAGTTATTGAAATGTCAAGCACAATAAAACAACTATAGCTTAATTCCATGTCTTTAGTATATACAGATTGAAGCGGTTATCAACATGTATGTCTATCGCTATCATCGAAAGTTGCCACCGAATTTGGACAATGGAGAGGGGAGTTGCTTCTCTCCCTTACATATTTATAGATATTTATAGAGAGTAGAGCTATCTACCCTAACAACTTCACAAATCACAACCCCGATCAAACACTTATGAGGGCCTAAACACGACCTAGCCAGTAATGCCATGGGCTAGTCCAATTACAATCTAATCTAATTGTAGCTCGATTTACTCCCTCATGTCGTAATTTTCAACCTTCATTGCACTTGCGCGGCATATTTTTTCAACCTTAATGTCAAAGTAATTCTTCACCGTTGGATATAAACCGACGGATTCTTCTGGTCCGTCCAATCCAATCGTCAACTCCCGTCCCAGGGTTTTCTCTAATCTAACAGACAAACAGAGACACGTTTTTTCTTGTTTCCTGATTTTTTTCCAGCTCTTCTCAAACCAGTAACGCAAGTTTTTTCTAAGATCACCAAAACGTAAACAATCCCCCCTCCCGCCGCCGCCGCCAAGGGTTTTTGCTTCACTCGCCGGTATCTTCCTCTGGCGGCGGCCTATAAACCTTCATTCCCCACTTTTCCTCTACCAAAATCAGTCGACACCCCGACAAAGAAAAACTGATTTCAAAATGTTGGCGGCATTGCATTTCTCCGGCGCCAGAGTTTCCCGCCCTATTAGTAATTTCCCCGAGGGTGCGGCGGGTCTCTGCTATTCCAGCCGGTTCCGTTTCTCTGATTCCGTCGTGATCACTTCCGGGTTCTGCGAAAGTTCCAAACTTTCGTGTTCTTCTTCCCGTAGGGTTTTGCCGAGAATCGCTTGCGATGGGGGACGAGCAGTAGAAGTGCTGCAGAAGAGTGGTGGCGTTGGCAACGATGAAGGGGACGAGGCGGAGAAGCAGTTCTCTTGCGTCATGAAGTTCGGCGGCTCGTCAGTGGCCTCTGCCGAGAGGATGAGGGAGGTCGCTCAGCTCATAAGGAGTTTCCCGGAAGAGAATCCCATTATTGTTTTATCTGCAATGGGAAAGACCACCAATAAACTTCTGCTGGTAATAATGCTTGGGATTTCCTTACTATGTTGTTAAAGGATTCGTTTCTGAGCTTTGTCCTTTTTTTGGTGTACATAGGCTGGAGAAAAAGCAGTAAGCTGTGGTGTTACTAACGCAGAACTTATTGATGAACTTGGGTTCATTAGGGATTTGCATTTTCGGTAAGGGGTTGATTTGAAGTTTTCTGCTCTAATTCGATTGGAACACGAATTTCGTTGTTTATGATCCGGATTGTGTTGATGATGTTGTTTTGGTAGAACTCTGGAGGAGCTGGGATTGGAGAAGTCGATTGTTGCAAGTAAGTCGTTTGCTTTCATGTCATGTGGTTAGGCATTAGGCCATTAGCATTTGTAGAAAAGATCATTAGAATATAATGTCTATTATACCTATGTCTGTTCTTTTGGCAGAGCACTTGGAAGAACTAGAGCAACTCTTGAAGGGGATTGCTATGATGAAAGAGTTGACTCCACGAACGAGAGACTACCTAGTTTCCTTTGGAGAGTGTATGTCTACAAGGATTTTTGCTGCATATTTAAATAAACTTGGTACAAAAGCACGTCAGGTATATAGGTTCTTGGTTTCTGCTTCACCATTTGCAATGGTAAAGGTTGTCATACTAATAGTTACTGTTTCCCTTGGCAGTATGATGCATTCGATATTGGATTTATCACTACGGATGACTTCACGAATGCTGACATCCTCGAAGCAACTTATCCTGCTGTTGCTAAGAGGTTACATGGAGATTGGATTAGTGATCCGGCAATACCAATAGTCACAGGCTTCCTCGGAAAGGTCTTTCTCTCTTTCTAGTGATACTTTCTTTGTTTTTGGGAACAAAAGGGTTATTCTATAATACGTTACCCGAATTATGGGTGCTACAGTTCTTCTTATCACCTTTAATTTCCTTGTAATTAGGGCTGGAAGACTTGTGCCATAACAACTCTGGGTAGAGGAGGCAGTGATTTAACAGCCACAACCATTGGGAAAGCTTTAGGTTTGCGGGAAATTCAGGTTAGTTGAATTGCTTGTGGTATTCCTGTCTAGAAGCTGTTCTTTTTTTCAACGAATGCACACATTTTATTGTTAGAATGATCAATATGAGACTGCCAGCGGTTTGAAATTGTGGAATACCTTCCCCGTAACTGTATGTACTAAATGTTGCAGGTATGGAAGGATGTGGATGGTGTCTTGACATGTGACCCTAACATATATTCTAAGGCAGAACCTGTTCCATATCTGACGTTCGATGAAGCAGCAGAACTTGCTTATTTTGGCGCCCAGGTATAGGAAGAGATTTTGAAGTTGCAACTGAATTGGCAATAAGTTAGCAAGTGAAAGTTTTGTGTTGCACATCAAGGGTAAGAAAACATTTCACTTTTTCAATCACGAAAGAACTAAGCTGTTCGTTCATTCTGCAGGTTCTGCACCCACAATCCATGAGACCGGCCAGGGAAGGTGATATTCCAGTTCGGGTTAAGAATTCTTATAACCCAAACGCCCCTGGAACACTGATTACAAAGTCAAGAGACATGAGTAAGGTCAGTGTATAAATACTGCAAGTCATGTTGTCGTAATTTGCATAAGTCATTCATTCCTGTGTTCATCTTTTTCTCGTTAAGTTCAGGCTGTGTTAACAAGCATTGTCTTAAAACGGAATGTTACGATGTTGGATATCGTAAGCACTCGCATGCTTGGTCAATTCGGTTTCCTGGCCAAGGTGAGCCCAGTAAAATATTACAAACTTACGGCTGTCATCAAAACTTTCACATTTGCTTTAGTATCCACTAAGATGTCTTGTATTTGCTTCTGTAGGTGTTTTCTATCTTTGAAGATTTAGGAATATCAGTTGATGTTGTAGCTACTAGTGAAGTTAGTATTTCATTGACACTCGATCCATCGAAGCTATGGAGTAGGGAACTGATTCAGCAGGCAAGCTTACCCAATGTTCGTTCTCATATTTTCATTTGAGCCAAAAATTGAGAAAAAATAAATGAAAGAAATGTGATAATAGTTGCCCAGCATCCCATAATATTAGCTGTTAACATTCTTATTCTTCTTATTTTCTTCACCAGGAACTTGATCATGTCGTTGAAGAGTTGGAAAAAATAGCCATCGTCAACCTTCTTCAAAACAGATCGATAATATCCCTAATTGGAAATGTGCAGAGGTCCTCTTTGATTCTAGAGAAGGTATTCCGCGTTCTTAGAACCAATGGCGTTAATGTTCAGATGATCTCCCAGGGTGCATCTAAGGTCTAGAACTTCACAAACCCCTAACTGTGGTTCCAAGTTTCTTCACCATTTTCTCCTTGTCTAACAAGTTAACCCACTCTGTTCTGTAATACTCTTAGGTGAACATCTCGTTGATAGTGAACGACAGCGAATCAGAGCAATGCGTGAGAGCGCTCCACGAGGCCTTTTTCGATGCCAACATCGTGGAGCTAGATTTGGAACATGGCTCTAATAATGGCAATGGTGCCGCATCTAAATGACGGGCTTCTTTCTTGTAACGATTTTCCCCCGGCCATTATGGCCCCCTCATATGTATCCTTGAGAAATGTAATGCTGAGAGAGATGTAGGAGCCAAGTAGATATGGGGCTTCCCCGCCAATTCACCTTTCATGAATTTTGTTTGTATTGAGATTTCGTTATAAATTGTAATATTTCCTCTTGCAACAAGTAATCTGATCTTTTTATGCTCTGCTTCTGCGTAGGCTTTTGCTTGTTGAGAATGTAAATGGTGCATTGGCGCAGCGTTCAGATTAGTCATTTCTCTCGACCTCTGTTGATATTTTTGTCTTAGAAAATAATAACAGTTCGTATCATTTTTTTAAGGGTGTTTATTAAAACAAAAAAAAAAAAATTAAGAGTACGATGGTCGAAGAGTGACAAAAGTGCAATCCCTACGGGGTATATCTCAAATTGGCGCAAGCACTGCAACGAGAGAAAAACAGTCAATACGAAATTGATCACTTTCTAATTTCTCACACGACCTCTCGAGTCTCGACTCGAATCTCCAGTAGCGTGCAGCAGCTGTGCTACTGAATCGACGAGGGTTGTTGATTTGGCTTCGCTTACTGAGCCCGCGCGAAAGAGAGAGATGCAGTACTGGTCGGAACAAGAAAGAAGGAGAGGAGTTCTCTGAGTTGTTCTCCCCATTTCTTATTCTTCTGAACTATCCTGTTCTTTGTAGCATGTTCGCGATGGCCACGACGTTGACGATGATGAGCGGTCATGACGCCGCTGACGGCGGAGGAGGAGGAAGTCAAATATCGCCGACGAGCCTCTTTTCTTCTTCTTCTTCTACTTCTTCTTCTCCGCCGTCGTTGCACCCGGGAAAGGAGCAACAAGCCGCCGGAGTTGGCATCCTCCTTCAGATCATGATGCTGGTCCTCTCCTTCGTACTCGGCCACGTCCTCCGCCGTCACAAATTCTACTATCTTCCGGAGGCCAGTGCTTCTCTTCTCATTGGTATGTAATTATCTGCCCAGAATTGAACCAGTTACTTAACTTGTTGATCTCTTATCCATGATCGTCTTATCTGCGCCCTTTCATTCCCAGGGTTAACTGTTGGCGCGCTTGCTAACATCTCTGACACTGAAACTAGCATCAGGTCATTTTGATCATTCCTTGCACAATTCTTATTCTCTCCGTGAATGTTTCCTCTTATGCATCATTATTTCTTGGAATTCCTTTTTCTCTTGCAGGTCTTGGTTTAATTTCCACGAGGAATTTTTCTTCCTCTTCCTGCTACCCCCAATTATCTTATATCCGAAATGGCTCGACTCTTCTCGTTATTTGTTGTTACTTTTTCAATTGTCTAGCTGTTGCGTTCTTCTTTTCATGTGACAGTAATGAATTCCCTTCTTTAATACTTGGGTTTTCCTTGACTTGTGTTTGTGCTTCACTCAGTCAGGTTTCAGTCTTCAACCAGTAAGTAGTAGCTAATGTCATTTAGTCACTTCTGCATGTGGAAAGGAAATGACCTCTTACACGATGGCCTCTCCTTGTCCTTTCCTCTTCAGAAACCGTTCTTCTCCAACTTCGGGGCCATTGTAACTTTTGCTATCCTGGGAACCTTTATATCTTCAGTTGTTACTGGCGTTCTAGTGTAAGTATATTTGTCCCTACTTTCCCTGCTATTTGTCCGTCAGCTCACTATCAGAGATACTTATGGTTTTGCCCCATTTTTTGTTGTGGATGTTTCCTTGGCTAAGTTACCTTGGTGGTCTAATGTTCCTCATGTACAAGCTCCCATTTGTCGAATGTCTAATGTTTGGCGCTCTGATATCAGCCACAGACCCGGTCACTGTCCTATCCATATTTCAGGTATTTCTTATGTCCTATTTACATGTTCTATTGTTTAGCCAGAACAATTTTATGCGTCACTTGTAACTGCGATAAAGTATCAAACATGCTTGTTTCTAAGAGTTGTCGACATTATACTGGAATAGAATGTGTACTATGTATTGCATCGTTCCTTCCTGCATGTTTTGGCTTTCTGCATCTTGGGAATCAATTGTTCTTGCAGAAGCAAATCATAATGGAATTTTGAATAAATTCATTGCTCTACAATATTTAGCTTCTGTAAGCTGGAACTTGAGCTCTGATATTTTTTGAGACTTAAGCCTGGCAATTTTCTATTCTGTATTTTCTATGACAGCACTTCTTACATGGTTCAGCAATTTCTTTGTCTCTTTCCTTCTTTTGCTATATCCTTATTCTAGGAACTTGGAACGGATATGAATCTGTATGCACTGGTGTTCGGAGAATCGGTTCTTAATGATGCGGTAAGTTTGTGTTACTATACTACCATTGTCTCAGAACACCTAATACATACTGTCTGAATAGCTTGTCAATGATGGTTCCTTTTCTCTGCTGTTTTGGTGTTAGATGGCGATATCCTTGTATAGGTACAGGCCAATCATGCTCTTCACCTCAAAAGAAAGACCGGATCCATGTGCATCGTTAGTTCAAGCTTTGTTTTGGTGTGCAGGACTATGTCCTTGGCAAGAAGTCATGTATCATCTGGACAGAATTTCTTCATGGTGGTTGTCCGGTTTCTCGAGACCTTTGTTGGATCAATGTCTGCAGGTTTGTCCCGAGATACTGTTACTATGGCTTGTTTGATTAAAACCCATATTCTTCTCCCCACATTTTAAGTCTAGCCTATTTAACGATATAAGAAATTTGCTATGTATCTTATTTGGAAAACATTTTCTGTTGGTTTTAGTCTTAATAACTACCACACTTGTCGTCAATCCAGCTCTCTGGGCTAAACAAACTGTGTGCTCTTCAAATCTTTTTTTATGGAAACTTTGTTGGATTTGCAGTTCTGTCCACTCAGTTATCTAATTATTTAAACCTTGTTGGGACCGTTAGTTAATAAAGCCGTTAGTTAATAAAGCCATATGTTGCACATGATAGAATAAAGCGAGGAGAGAAATAATTTGGATTAGCATGGTTGTGGAATAAGGAATTCTGTTTTTGCGGCGATAGGTACGGACTCTTACTGTTGTCAGTTGTCACTGCTAAGGCTCTGAAATACGAAATATGACCAGGACAGGGAGATCAAGCTCTGAAACTCTTTTTCCTCCCTGTCATATGGATGATATTAGCTGCATTCGCAACTGTTATGAAGTTCATTGATAGTTTGCAGTATTTATTTTTATAGAGGCTGCAAGGAAGGTAAATGCCAAAATATTTCTGGGCTATCAGCCTTTTGGTTTAGGTTATCAGCCTTTTGCAAAGAGTTAAATATGTGATGCATGTCCGCTGAGTAGAGGTGTGTTTGAGCAATGGTCTTCATGGATTCATAGCCACTATAGTCTCCTTTCTCGATGGAATGATAACAACTATATTTGGGGTGTTGAATGTTGCTCACCTTACCGTGTTATATGTTATCTATGTTTTCTCATTTACTGACAGACTTTTATATTTTGTATTTCTTGTGCAGGCGTAGGAGTTGGATTTATTTCAGCATTGATATCCTTTTAAATTTGCTCTTTACGCACCTATCCACCCACATATTGATTGCTGCTTTTCACCAGTTCTACCTGTCAGAGTATACTGTGTCCCCTTAATTCTGAAAACCTTTTCAAATATGCTGGTCTGGATATTGACAAGTGAGTGTTGTTTATACCTTCCTTTGTTAAAAAATATTTCTGATATTGGTTATATTATTTGATGGGTCAAAATTGTTTGCTTACTTTCTCTCTGTTTCAAATTTTCAGTCTCCAGAACTTGGAGTGCTGCCTATTTGTTCTTTTTCCGTATTTTTCGTAAGCCATCTCCTGATCTAGAATCTACCATCCTCACATTCATAAGACTTCAATTTTTGTTTTTATTCAACCTAACTTTAACTCTTTTATAGGTACATGCTTGCTGAAGGTCTGGGCCTCTCTGGAATTGTGTCAATATTATTCACAGGAATTGTAAGTAGTATGCGAACTCTAGTTGTTTGCTCCCTTCCTCTGTGGGAGCTTGTGAAGTATTGTTATTGTAAAACAACGACAACTTGCTTTCCAGGAATCTACTCTTGGAATTTGTTATTTGAAAGATCTCTGTTAAAGAGTACTTAAAACAGTTCTTCTGAGATGAACCTACAGTTATTTTCTTTTATTTTGGACTTGCAATCATGGTCATGGAGAAACTTGTTTCTAATTGTTGATTATCATTGGGAACTCTGTTTCTTTCCTTTTTGTTATCGTTGTTCTTTACTTAAAACATTGCATGATGATATGTCTTTTTTATCAGTCATCATATATGCACATTGTTTTTCAGGTCATGAAACATTATGGCTACTCAAATCTGTCAGAAAATTCTCAACGCTTCGTTTCTGCATTTTTCCATCTGATATCATCACTGGCTGAGACATTTATGTAAGTAAACAATTACTATGTTCTCAAACACACTTGAACAACATTTCTTCAGTTTGATATTATACTCAGAAAAATGTCATCTCACAAGTTGTTTTGATTCAATTTTCTCACTTTGCAGATTCATATACATGGGATTTGATATTGCGATGGAACAGCATAGCTGGTCCCATGTTGGGTTTATCTTCTTCTCAATTGTATCCTTCTTTGTTACAAAAAAAAAAAAAACTGTAAATATTGTATCAAGGGGAAACTTTTCTTGTCATTTCTTAACTTATCTTTTTACTATCTTAGATATTCATTGGAGTTGCAAGGTATACAATCTGTTGCTCATTTGCTGACATTCATGTTTTCTGATAAGATATCAGTAGTTTCATTTACATGGTTTCAAAAATCACCCCGCCCCATTATTTGCTGTTTCGTTTATACTGGATATATCACTCAGGATATCAATTAACTTTTGTAGGGCAGCTAATGTCTTTTCTTGTGCATATATGGTCAATTTGGTTCGACCTTCCCATCGTCACATACCTATAAATCACCAGAAAGCACTCTGGTATAGTGGTAAGAAAAGGAGGTTGATTTATTTTAGAAATCATTATTGTCTTTCATCTTTTGTATTAATAAGCTGTGTCTATCTAGGACTTCGAGGGGCTATGGCTTTTGCACTGGCGCTGCAATCTGTTCATGATTTGCCGGAAGGACATGGCCAGACTATATTCACTGCCACAACTGCTATAGTTGTCTTGACGGTACTAACCTTCTCAAACTACATATGTGCATTGAACAGTACTTAGTCACACCTAAACCCAAAATTCTCATAATGGCAGTTGCACCAAATCGTGATCTAAGTAACATTATTTGGCACTTATAAAATTTTATTATCTGATTAAACTGTTAAGCTTAAGCATGTTATTACTCTGCACATCCATTGTACAGTCTTTGACAGCTCCTACTTGTGTGAGATGTCGCAGGTGCTCCTGATTGGAGGTTCAACAGGTACTATGCTAGAAGCTTTGCAAGTTGTTGGCGAGGGGCACGAGAGCCCCTTGGATGTGGACGAAGTAAGCTTTTCCGTTTACCGACTCTAATTACTCTTCGATTTTTTTCAATGCTCATATTTGTTTACCTGAAATAGTGCGCTCTTTCACCTATTTGTTCTGTGTCTCCTTTTCCCATTTCCAAGTCTTCTGTAGCAAATTAGGCAATTAATTAACCAATATACTATGGCTGTAACTCCACCTTGACCGGGTTGGTAAAACACTGGTTTTAACTGACGCTAAATGTGAACATTCAAGTTGTATATATCAACCGTTCATCTGTTAACTGACCACTGAGGTGGAATATTTTTAATCAACATAGTAATTCAGATGTTTAATAACAAATGTAAAGTAGCAATATTTCTAAATCTGGCCATGCATGCGTAGATCATTTGCTCTTGTCCATGCAACATGCCTATAGATAATGATCTGTCGCTTTACTTGAACTGTTCTTCACTACTTTGCATTTGTAGACTTCTGGTGATAATTTTCGATACATTGCTCCTCCCTACGATGATGATTCAACATCAGAGAATAGGTTCAAGCTGAAACTGAAGGAGCTCCGCAGGAGGTAAGATAGAAATTCTTCCCCTTTGCACATCGAAATACTTAGCAAGGTTTTTCCTAAGTTTCTTGTCTTAATTTTTTGTTCATATCTATCATCTAACTGTTTTTGTCTATTTCCAGCACCCCGTCGTTCACATCACTAGATAGGAATTATCTCACCCCATTTTTCACTACACAAAATGGAGATGAAGGTGACATTGATGGTAAGCTTCCGTTCTGATGTCTTGTTTAAGGAATAGCTACTCATTCGAAAAGATGAAAATTTTGGCCATCAATAGGAGTTTAAGACCTCATACTTTCCATGTACTACCTGAGATTGTAATTGGTAAAAGGGGGAAAACAAGTTCTCTTTGTTAAGGTCGTAGCTTCCAAACCATGGAAGATGGTTTTTAGTCACGAGCCTAAGATTTTGGTGTTGTTTTCTCTTAATTATTTGGTGTTGTTTGCTTTGATCGTTTCTGTGAGGATACTCTAGCAGTCCATCTTAAGATTTTAACTTTATGGCTGGAATTCTTCACTTGCACTTCGAGGTATCTCCAGGAATGGGCCAGTGATGGGGTTGAGGAGGTCTGTTTGAATCTTTTATTTTGTCTGAATATCCTGATCAGTGACATTCTTAGAAACAAAAGTTTTGATAACTATGTAAACTTTGGCTGGGATCCGGCTTTCATGTTGGCTGGTTGATGGTTGACATGGCTCTTTCTTTGTTGTATCGAGTTTCTGCAGTCATAACGTCATGTTTAATTGTTAAAATGGGTCTTGTTTTCCATGGAGCAGATGAGCCCATGTCGAGTTCTAGAAGAGGAAGTTTCTATGGGGATAACTCAAGGAATGCAGCAGTGTCAACTAGGCATGATATGTAGATTGTAGATTACTCAAGGAATGCAGCAGTGGTGGCACCGCGAGGTAGAGATTTCATTTCATGGGTCTTTCTTGTACATCTGCCAAGGCTAGGAAGGTACTAACATTGTAAAACTTGCTTAGATTAGAGATAATAATCCGCATAGGGGTGCTATTTGAACTGCACCTTTGACATGGATGTATAGAGTGAATGGAATGTGCTTATACTTTACATTTAGAACCTTTTTCCTGATGGTGGATTCAGTTGATATATTTAGGAGAATGAAAATCGCCTTTGGTTTTGGTATGCCAACTAAATCTACACTTGGGTTTCACCGTCGATCAATGTGGTTTCAATTCAAAATACGCATGGATGTTCCCACTCCTTGGAGGGTAATTGTTGCTCTGAATTATCGATCTTATACTATTTATTAACATGCTCATATTAATACAACTCATTCTTGTATAGTCGAAGTTCAGATCAAGGAGAATGACAACTTGTTTCCCATTTGTTTCCTACTTATCATCTGCAAAGTGAATGTCATTAGAAGAAAGGATTTAATACCAATCAAAACCTGGAAAATAGCGGTCCAATCTAATTTTCTTCTTCGTTTTGGTTAATTTAATTAAAAAATTTATTTATATTTAAATATGAGGTTTGTCATCATATTTGTAATATTTATTTTATTAAAATATGAGTGTTAGATATAATTTGTTGAATTCAAATATAAATATTTTTATATTGATGTAAAGTGTTATATTTAAATATAAAAATTTTCATTTTGTTTATAATATTGTATTTTTTTCAAATATGAATATAAAGTGAATAATTTTTCACTTTCTCACATATTTTGTCAAACCCTATATAAACTTAGTTGTATACCATTCCACTTGCTAAACCAATTCTTCTAACTCAAAAGTCTAAGGAATGCGGGCGATCCGAACCCGAACCAGGCCCATGCACCGTCTTCTCACGAGTCACGACCTATATAACCTCCTTACAAAAAAAGCCCAAAAATCTTCGTTGTCTAGGGTTCCATTTTTCCACCGAAGGAGCAAGTTAACGATGGCCTGTACCATCGATTTCCGCTACCTTGACGAAGGCTTCGGCGGCAAGACCTACAAGCGCAAGCGCGAGGCCGAGGCAGCCGCCGCCGCTAGCTACAGCAACGATGACTCCATGGAGATCGACTCTTCCTTGCCCCCGCCGGCAAAGCGGTCGGCGGTCCCCTCCGCAGACAATCCCGACAAGCCGACCTTCGGGACGCCAACCTACGACGGAGTGATTGCGGGGAGGGTATCGGGAAGGAACTGGAAGCAGGCCAGAAAGCACCGGTCGTCGGCCAAGGTGGTGAGCAGGCGAGTGGCGCCATTCGAGGAGAGGCAAAAGGAGAAGCAGATCAAGAAGGCATACAGAGAAAGGGTGAATGAGCTGAAGGAGGTGATCAGGAGCAACAAAGTGGAGAAGAGGAAGGCCAGGGAAGAGAGGGAAAAGAGGAAGAAGGAGAATGTGCTCAAGTCTGGAACCAAGTTGCAGAGGATCAGTAATCCCAAGACTCTGCAGAAGATCGCCAAGTCGAAAGATCGGAAATCGCTCAAAGTCGTTCCTGATGCTGTTTTCAATAAGAACATCAAGGGCAAGAAGTAGTAATAGTGGTAGTAGCAATCTCTGTTTCTTAGCGTGATTTCTTTTTTCAAAGTCCTTTCCTTTACCTCTGCTATGAATATTGTTGTTGGAATGAATCAATCAATCATCTCGAGTTTTGAGCTAGTATTGCCTTTCATGGACTTCCTTTTGCTGCATTTCCTCGAATCGATAAGTTACAGATGAAAGAATCAGCTAAAGCAGTCTTTTGTTCCAAATTCATTTACTTCCTGTGCTATACAGTCTATTGTTGAATCAATGGATGATGGCATAGTTCTTCAGCAGTTTACCAGTAATCACCACAGGAGCAGAACCCGTCTCTGAAACGATGGAACCTGCTCGAATCCCTAACTGTGATTTCCCTGCCAACGATCTTGGAGATCACCTTGATGGCAGCATGGCAATCAGCACAAGCTCTAAGGTTCTTCATCACCACGATTGGCCATCCTTCTGGCGTGTGGATCAGGGAGAAAGCTATTGCCAGGCGCTCACTGTGGTACTTAAGGGACTCGACTTTGATCTCTTCTTCCACATCATGCAATGCACAGCTCGTGTCAGGTAGATAACCTTCTCTCTCCATTTCCTCTGCTAATTGGTCTATTTTTCGGATTATCTCTGTGATATGGGGATGGCTCTTGTCGTTTGATGAGAACACATGTACCTTGTGTTTTATCTCAACCCAACTATAAGCTGGAACCTTGTGGACTCCTCGTTCCCTCATTGCCTTCTTGACATTTGCAACTTCTTCCCATCGTCCTTCTGCTGCTAATATGTTCGACATGGCCACATATGGTGCTCCGTCTTTTAGGGTTTCAATACCAAATAGCTCCGTTGCTGTTCTGGTCGCCAACTTGTGGTTCTTGTGAATCCTACATGAGTTTAGTACCGATGACAGTAAAACCTGGTCTGGCTCGAATGGCATTTCGTTGATCAATTCCTCTGCTTCTCCAAACCTCCCGCGCCTGCACAATAGATCGATCATTGAAGCATAGTGCTCTCTCTTGGGAATTAACTTATATACATTCATCATGGATCTGAAGTACCGAAATCCGTCTTCTACCAGGCCAGAGTGGCTGCAGGCAGATAGAACACTCAAGAAGCTAACCGAATCAGGTTTGCAACCCAAGGCAACCATGTTCTCGAAAGATTTGAGAGTTGCCACGCCATTCCCATCATGTGCATAACCTGAGATTATAGCATTCCACGAGACCACGTTCTTCACCGGCATCTCTTCAAAGCATCCCACTGCATCTCTGATCGATCCACATTTTGCATACATGTCTACTAGGGCACTTCCACAGTAAACATTTGATAGAAAACCCGTCCTGACAGTGGAGCAGTGTAGTTGTTTCCCAACTGAGATTGAAGCCAAGCTTGCAGAGGCCTTCAGGACACTAGCAAAAGTCGCTTGGTCAGGGCTCATGCCATCTTTAAGCATCTCATTGAAGAGCTTAAGGCTCTCCTCTAGGAGTCCTTTCTGGACGTTTGCTGAGATCATGGCAGTCCATGGAACTGTGGTTTTATCGGAGAGCTGAGCAAATGTTATTCGAGCTTTCTCAAATTCGCCACACTTGGCGTACATGTCGACCAATGAGTTAGCTGCTTGGGCATCCGAGATGGCTCCTGTAACGATAGACTGAGAGTGGAGCTGGTGGCCCATTTGGAGGTCGAGTTTGTTGGAAGCTATGCTGAACATGGTCGAGAAAGGGAATTTCTTACGATCAAATCTTGTATATTGGAGCTCCCTGAAGAGGTTAATAGATTCTCTGAATTGCCCAACCCAGGCGAAAGCTGTGATTAACACATTGTACGAGACTCCATCTGATTTTGGCATGTCGTAGAAGAGCTTTGAAGCCTCGGATACACAGTCGTGTTTGGAATAAAGATCTAGCAGTGCATTCCCCACGAACACGTCAAGAACGAAACTGGTCTTAATCGTCATGCCATGAACTTGCTGACAGAATGCTATGTCATCTAAGCCAACCCCTGCGGCGATAACTGCCGCGAAAGTGAAATCCGAGGTGGTGATGTCTGAATTCATCATTTCTGCGAGAAGCTTTACTACCTCTTGATTCCGCCCATGTTTCACATACCCTATCATCAACGCATTGAAGCTGACGGTATCCCTTTGAGGCATTTCCTCGAACAGCTGGCGAGCAGAATTAACACGGCTTGTCTTGCAGTAAGAGTCGACCAAGGAGTTACAGACTATAGCGGTGGAATCGTGTCCAAGTTTTACAACATAGGCATGAAGCTGATCCGGTTCGCTGCTCCTCACTGTTCCTCCACCATCATATCCTGATAACAAAGTCGCAAAGGTGACGTGATCAGGTTCTGTCCCGAACCTGCACATCTCCAAGAAGAGCTGGAAGGCCTCTGCAAACCGACCACCCTGTGAGTAGCCGCCAATCAAGATGGTCCACGTCACGGCAGTGCGTTCTGCTGTATCTTCAAAAAGTTTCCTAGCTGCTTGAACGTTGCCCGATTTCACGTACCCAGAAATCATCAGGTTCGCAGTGACAGTATTGGTGCGAGGCATTTGATCGAACAGTTGTCGGGCTCGAGCAAGGTGGCCTCTGTTCAGCAGCTCCTTGACCTGGAAATTGAAGCGGGAGATGTTCGGGTCGAAACCCGTTTTCACTAGTCGAGCATCGGGTCGTGGGTGGGGTCTCAAAACCAAGGAGGCCCCTAAAGATACAAGCTTTCTGAGCGAAATCGCCCTGCAGGGTGGCAATGGGCTCGTCATAATGCAGACCAACCAGGAGAATCTCTTGGCTTGCATATATATGCGTTTTGATTTCATTTCATGCCCAAGGCGTCAACTGGTATGTTTATTTAGGACTAAAAGGCTTATTCCATATATTACATTAGTTAAGCATAAATGTCCATACAATACAAAGCCTAAAGAGTTGACATTAATACACTTCTCTTTGATACTCGCTGCTGCAGAATTCTCCACCAAGATCATCACAAGCCTCTGCAGTGAACACCCTGGAACAAAACCAAAACATAAAACAGCAACCATTTGAGCTTCCAAGGGCATAACCCAACTACTTGCAGTTACAGCTAGTCAAAATGTCATGTAAAATTGATCTGCAACTTACGTTTTGGCATCATTGTATTCCAGGTACTCTCTCTGTACAAGGTCTGAAGCAACTCTGGCTCGTTGATCATTCCTGCCTTCATAATCATCATTTCCTCTCTGCAGCTTCACTTCTGGGTACATTTCCGCCAAGCACACATCTCCACCCAGGATCTCGCAGGCCTCAACTGGGAATACCCTGAAACCAATTTCAAATCTCCTTTGAGTTGATCGATTCATGGTAAGCAATGACCGGCATACGTGAACACTCATCTCCTAACTACTTCACCTGATAACTGAAAGACAGTTGATGAACTGATTCTTAAAGCAGTAAATATAAGAGAGGCTTTTGGTGTTTAGATGCTAGCAACTTCCACTGTAGAAAGTGCTACGAGGGCTTACGAGACGAGGGAGTTGTAGTTCACAGAAGATGCTCGCTCTAGGAAGGTAGTGGTACTGCTGCGGGAAGAGGCCGATGGCCATTGTGGGGATACTGCAGCTTGCCGAGACAAGTTACAGCTCGTTCAGGTCTCCTAAAAGAGTACTGCATTGGATAAACTCTGGCTTGTACATATATAGTTTTTAGTTATTTCTCATACATTTTATACATATATAGTTTCATATTTTTGTATTGAATTGCATTACAATAGCCTTTTGCCTTTTACATAAAATTTTAGCTTATATAGCTCCCACCCTTTTCCGATGGCTATATTTTAAAGGAATTTACCCTTCTTGTGCAAATATATATAATATATATATTATATTTCACTGACGACATTTATAGATTTGAGTATGCCGTCAAGAAATTCCTCCTGCTGTCAAAGTGTTAAGGAAGATGGCCACACTTGCGATCGCAGATCTTGTAAAGTTGTGGTATGGTTACACTCGGGTAGAAAGTTAGATAAGGCAAGGCTTTCATACAATGGCTATAACAATCGTCTCGCTGGTCTGCTGCAGCAAACAGGTATTGGCCAGCATCATTAGAAACGACTACTATTGCAACAATCATCAGTAACACAATGACTGTAATATTAGTCTTTTCCTGCATATCTTCTGCTAGCTAGATCCCGTATTATTGTATATATGTTTTGGTGACTATCTTTATTGTCTTTAATTCTTTGATGGGCAGAGACTAATTATTTGGTGAGGAGCTATTATATATCATTATATTGCTTCTGCATCCGCTCCCATTTTATACATCCATCTAGCTACAGGATTAGGGTGTAAGTTATTAGTACGATGCTGCATTTACTCTTCCTAGCTTGTAACTTCTATTTAAAAAGAACGACTATATGCTTCTTAATTAGCACCTTTACATACATGGAAAGAAACATCTGGGTTAATTAATGTGAGTTTTTATTAGCTAGGGAAAATCGATGATTATCGTATTATCTACAAAAAATTATAAGCGTTTTCTCGAAAAGTAGTTCAGTGATTCAAATTTTACATCCATTTAGACTTCCACGTCATCACATTATCTTTCCTTCCTGTCCCGATCAAAATTCCTTCTCTTCTACACGAGACTTTTATTGGGCTCAAAATTATAAGAAAATGTTAAAAGGCTTTCTCATCCATACTACGGGCCAACTCATATTAGAGCCCATCCACTTCTATTACAATCAGAACAAATCAAACAGAAAACCCTACCAATCGACACGGTCTTTCAGACTTTCACCACCAAAAGACAAACCTTATCTCAAGAACATCTGCATCTCCATTCAAATAAATCAAATGCAAACCACCACTTCTTTTCGGCAATTTCAAACTCCAAATAACTGCAAATAACCCCTACTCTCCTAACAATGGTGCAATTTTTAAAAACCTTTGTTTCTCCCCAGACACCGCTTTGTGTGCAGCGTGCAAAACTTAATCCGATCACGGCTACCATCTACTATAGGTCCATAATGCAAAATTCGCTGCCATTTTGCAGCAGAATCACGAAACAACACCCACACGGCCACACCAATCGACTACCCATGAAAGAGTTTATGCAAAACCCCTTCTCCATGTCAACTTTTCTAGCCTCTCAATGATTTTCGGTAATGCTTCTTTTTTTTAAATATTTTTTCCCTCGCCCAAATCTCCACTTGCGGTACAATTTTTCTCGGTTTTTTTTCTTCTTCTACACAAGTTTTATCTGTTTCCTAACTTTTCTGATTCTTCACATTATATGGTGCTTTGTTCAGAAAATTATGGGTCATTTTAAGAATGGATTTTAAGTGTTTTTGTCAATGTTATGTGGTTGGTATTCTGCCATGAGTTTAAAATTATACTTTAGTGATGTCGACAAGACTAACTTTTAATTAGTGTTAATTAAAAAGGAATATATGTAGTCTACAATACATCCCAAGTTTCATAACCATGTAAAATTTTGCAATGTTATAAGAGTTTGTAAATTTTAGTCACGAAAATAAATTGGCAAAGACTCATAATTGCGATGTTGTAGGAATTTGTAAATTTTAGTCATGAAAATAAACTCTCCTAGAATTATAAAGACATCAAGCTACACGGCATGAGTTAAGATTTGATAATTGAATCATTAAAATTTCAATATTTACTATATTGACTTATGAATTGAGAATTCAACCAAGAGTTTTAATAATGATTAAAAGTTTGAATGTTTTATTTCAAAAACCTGTTTTGGTTAGATAAAGATTTAAAATTATTGATTGAGCAATGAGAACTTGATTGAGAAATTAGTTTAACTGGCTCAGTTAGGTCCTGTTGTAGATTTTGCAGCAGCAATTTCTCGCTTGAGCTTTTAGAGAATTACTTAAAAAAAAACAGTTGAGTGTTTGGTTGAAAATTTATTAAAAGTGCTTTTTAATATGAGAGATTGTGTAAAATGACTATAAATGACTTATAATATAAACTATGAATAATAATTCTAACAATAAAATGTAGTAAAAATGGATCTTATTAGACTTCTTTTATATTAAATAATATGATTTTATACTTTATTTTATTTTTAAAATTATATAAATGAAATAAAATCATATTTTCTGAAATAAAATTAAAATATGGTAAGAATAATCTTATATTTTTAAAACAGCTTTTCGCAGAAGCTCCTAATCGGAGCTTCTGCTTTTATGTTATACAAAAACGCTTTTTGACTTTTCAAAAGCCGAACTATTAGATATGTTTGGCCCTGCTTCAGCTTTTGCAGACGAAAAACACTTCTAAAATTCAGGTCAAACATAGGCACTGAGTCAATGTATACATTGGAGTCATAACGACAACTTTTCTCTAGAAAAATCAATCATAACAACGTTAAGTTTTTTTAATAAAATTGAAATAAATTAAAGAGATATATTATGGTCAGCATAAATGATCCCGGCCAATAGGCCGGGGACAAAGCTAGTTAATTAATGAAGTAGATTTATTTATGTGGTAAGACAAATAAATACGTAGGCTTGGTGGCGCTTGCCATATTGAGCTTTAGGCACCTTGGTCCTCAATCAAGGAACAGAGTTTTAGAAATAGCTATTGTTATGGTAGTAATTCTAATTTCTAAATCATTAACATATATACGTTAAAATTCAATTTCTAGTGTTGGAATATGAAGACGATATTTTACAATCATTCTTTTGTAATTGGTCTTAGTCTAACATACGGGATACTAAGCGCAGTGAAAAATCATAGTAGATATGTGGAGTACAAGAGGCATGAAAAAAAGAAAAATATAATTTGACTAATAATTATTTTCGCTCTTTTCTTGGAACTCTTTAGTTATTGTTTTGAAGTTTTGATTGATAGAAGATGGAACATATAACGGGGAATGGTTAACGATCACAGCTCGCTGCTTTGGTCCTCCAGCTCACTTGCTATATCGGGCCGCAAGACTTACTTCTAGAAGCCGGATTGTTGAGTGGAGAATTGAGTTCCGAAGGCAGTGGGCTTTTTTATTTATGAATAGTGGGCTTTTATAAGATGGGAAAAAACATCCAACATTTTGATATTTTCTACACTCAATTTATTATGAATCAAATAAAGTTTGGATCTAAATTGAACCCGTAAATTTCGAAGTCCAAAAGAAAAAAGGTATTCAATTAGAATGCAATTTTTTTAATTTTTTTTTCTTCTGAAACAAATTAACATATAGAAATCTGTAAACACCTTTGAACTGAACGTAACTAATGAAGGCCCAAGGTAACATAGCCTAGTGGTGAAACCACTGGACCAATTGAGCTCTGGATGTGGGAGGTCCTGAGTTCGATTCCCAGTGGCGCCACTTGAGCATTCCCGGCGGCACCCTTGGTATCAGAGGCGAAGCCTCCCCGATGTTGGTAGCAGAAAGCCCCGGTTAGTATGCAGGTACCCCCAGTGGTTTAGGAGGTTCCCTGGGTTATCAAAAAAAAAAAGTAACTAATGAAGTATTTGACATTATTTTATTGTATACAATCATTTAAATCCAATCAAACCTATTTGTGTCTAACCCAAATATGATCCGACTTAAAACCAACAAAAAACATTAAAAATGCATATGAATCAGGGTACATATACGTGTATTAAACGGAGCATTTACTAACTATGCTTATAATTAGGGCTGGAAATTTGGTACCAGTATTTGGGATATACCGATAACAATATTTGGCACGAGGTTTGTGTTCTCGTCGTTGAAAAGTGAAAGCGTTGAAGTTGGAATCATGAATAACAATTAACAAGTCGCCACACTAACTAGCACGTTAAATGAATGACAAGGCCAAGGTCTCCATTGAAACAATGAAACCTTTAAAAAACTGTTTCAATTGGAACCTGCTCAGTACTAAGAGCAAATTTCTTTTGAGTACCTGAGTCAAACCATTTACTAATTGGTTTGAGTCACTCCAGATGGAAACCAAACTTTAACGAATTCGTTATAACTGAATCAAACTGGTTCACCCGTTCTTGACTTCTAGTAATATCTAACTGTTTCCATGAAATTTACCCAGGTTATTCATCAATTTGCCTATTACTCTTAGTGCATGAACAATGTCATAATAAAGTTGGTTGAGATACAATGACTCACTTAAAAAGTTTTTCAAGTATATGGTGTTAGATTGAATCTATTGATAAGCCCCTTTTATTGATTGCTAATTTTTCTTATTGGTTCGAAATTGGTATAAACCCAAACATTTTTTTTATTTCTATTAAAAGAACCAAAATCACTAAGAAACTGTTTAAACTGAAACCCAACCAGTACTTGAGAACGAATAAATCAATTTGTTAGTAACCATTAAACAAGATTTTTCGGTTACTCCAAACCGAAACATGATCTTAACCATTTTTCTTAACCGCTCAATTATGACTATATCTATATGTGCAAATGACCTAAATCGTTTCAAACTTTGTGGTTAATGTTTCAGCTATAAGTACCGAACCAAACCATTTTACCATTGCTGCTAGTCCTTTGTGGCCAAATTAAGCATGAGACTTGGGACAAAGGGGATGGTACCTTTCCTACCCTAAACGAAGGAACTTCATTGGCACTGATAGCTAGCTAGAGATTATGAAGACAGACAAATTAAATGATATTGTACTACGTACTGTCATACTCTAAACTCTATCTATCATCATTTCCTTGGGAAGGGAAAGATAAAAAGAAACTTGTACAGTTGTCTTTCCACACACCATTACGCACCATGACACAAGTTATTGCATCTTAATTTGTTGGAAACGGTAACTTAATTAATTATAACACTTGTAAAAATGTTTTACTGCCTAGAGTTTGAACATGGTGATCGAGCATGTAAATTGCTAATATTGTTTACTACCTAGAGTTTGATGTCAGCTTGAACAATATTTAGAATTAAGAAAATGTACTTACCTAGCTAGTTCTTTCACTGGTGAAGCTAATGTAACATAGATAGATCACGTATACAAGTTGTATATATTGAGTTGATTGATCTTCTCATGTATATATACTAGTCATATTTTAGTTGCTAACTTCATAGCTAGTAACTTGATTTGATGGGTATGGTCCGGAGAGCATCTCAACTGGTTAGTCTCTCGACGAAAGATGCAAATCATGTAGTCCGTACCATATATCCGAATAAACCCCAGTTAATTAAGTCACGTCAAAGTTGAACATCAATCGAGTTGATAAGTTGTGACATCAACAATATTAAGTTAACTACATATATAATTACTTGGTGTTCTCGAACATGCGTGGTGATTATAAAATCATGCATATCATCATCATCTAAAAAAATAAAGAATACATCCCAACTATATATGTACGTACTTTGGTCATAACCTTGATTGAATATAGGATTCATTTACATACTCGACAACAAAATTAATAAGAAATTGTGTTACTAATAAGCATCTTTTTATCAATTGAATGATTTAGATAACACGAGATCGATCGATCATATACCAATGTGTACTACTAACACTTAATTAGTTCCACATTGAATTTGTTGGTGCAAGAATAGTATTGCCATCGTGATACATCATTATATTTTATAACTTAGGTCTTTATTTTGACAGTATTCCACTGACAATAATATTGTACGTCGTCATCAATATTGCATGCATATGCATGATATGTATATATGTTGTCATCGGTAGATATTATACGTACATAGGATCGATCGAGTTCCCCAATTATATATTTAGCCATGAAGCTTATACCTAGCTATGTGGCTAGCTAGTGACTTAACACTCAACAGAGTCATAACAGCAAAGCTAGCTAGCTAGTTGAGATATTAGTTTGACTGATCGATCACTTGAAATGTTGTCAAATGCATACATATAGGTTGAACCACCACTTTATCATTACTTCTCTGGCATGGCATGGCATGGTATGAATGCATGAGAAGTGAAACCATTCACGTATTCACCAATCTGGGTATATAGTTTGAACTGCAACTTTGGATCAGAGTGGAATAAAAAGCAGGCTAGCTAGCTTCTGTTTGTTATTAGCTTCCCTAGGCAGAGTTGTTTAACTGATTGATATCTTGCACTTTGATTGTTTGTTTCCATGACCTAGGTTGTGTTGCGTTGTAGTCATGGTGTATACCTATTTGGTGTAAACATCATTAACTCCATTGTGTACAGTATGGGGAAGCATTGCAAATTAAAGCCCAGTTATGGGCAAAGGGAAAAGGAACGAACAAGCTAAGGATATCCATCCATCGTTCCCCAGGCTGCTGCATGCTGATGGGAAAAGAAAAGAAAAGAAAAGAAAAGAACGTCTCTCTCATTCAATTCATCTTCCTCTGACTCTCACTTCTATTATGAAATGCAAGATAAATATATAGGTAGCCCAGACTCCGATCCATTCTACTTACCCTACCTAGCTAGCTAGCTTAGCTTCTTCTCTCCAACCCAAAACGTAACCTGCAGCTAGCACGTACGGTACGGTACCACTCGATCTCCTTCCACAGCTACCAAACCATGGGTTCTCGAATGTCAAGCTTCCTCCAAGACCAGTTCCAGCTTCCCACACTTCTTCCCACTCCCACTTTCACCTGCAGCTTCCCAGCCCGCCACCTCCCTTCCTTGAAGCTTTCAAAAACCACCAAAGCTGTAGCCCTCATTATCACCAACGAAACCCTAGAGAAGATGTGCTCCATTGGCGCCGTCTCCCTCCTCCAACCATTCCTTACCGAAGCCTTCAATTTCACGCCGGACCAAGCTCGAACCACCATGTTTCTCTATGGGGGCATCACCAACCTGGTGCCAGTGCTGGGAGCCGTCGTGTCCGACTCTTACCTCGGACGCTTCACAACCCTTTCCATCTCCACACCCTGCTCCCTCCTCGTAAGTCAGTCAAGTGCCACCTCCCATCCCATCCCATCCCATCCACACTACTTACCTAGTTTCCTAATAATTAATTATCATTTTTCTTTTCTAGGCGGCGGTACTTCTAATGTTGACCGCATTCCCTGGGATGCACCCACGACAAGAACGCAAGGCGGAAGCATGGCAGATGGCTCTTCTCTACGGCAGCTTCTTCTTCTTCACGCTGGCGGCTGCAGGGATCCGTTCGTGCAACCTGCCGTTCGGGATCGATCAATACGATCTCACGACGGAGGCAGGGCAGCGAGGGAAGGAGAGGTTCGTTAGTTGGAATTACGCCTCCTTCACCCTCTCCATCACTGCGTCGGTCATAGTCATACCCATCGTCCAGGAGATCACAAAAAGCTGGGTGGTGGGGTTCCTCATCCCGACTTGCTTTATGATGCTCTCCTGCCTCCTCTTCTTCGCCGGATTGCCGCTCTACCTCAAGTCCAAGCCGGAGGGGAGCCCCCAGGTCTCGGTGCTGCGGGTCTTCATCGCCAGCTTTAGGAACCGGAACCTGCCGCTTCCTTCTGACCCCAATCACCTCTTCACCTGCCCTTCTCATGGCCAGCCTGCTGCCACCGTTTGCACGACCAACCACCTCAGGTAATGCTCGCTCGCTCTTCGATCCCTTTTTGTGCATGAACAACTAATAAATATTAATTAATAAATTAAGCATGAAAATGAAAAGGAGTAGAAAAGGCCCAATGGATATTGTGTTTCTATTAGTAAACTAAATTGGGTCCTAAACTGATATATGTTACTGATGTTGGGCTTCAGCCCATACGTGCACCAAAAAGTCCCAGGCAGTTTTACTATAAAAAAAGAAGAATGGGCTGAACCTTACTTTTCCGATGTGACTACAGGATGTTGGAGAAGGCGGCCATCCTCCCGGCGGCAATCAGCAGCAACGCCGGGGAGGAAGAAGAAGAAGGACCAGAAATCACCACCGCCAGGCCTTCAGCCGTCGACTACCACCGGCAGTACCCATGGAGGCTCTGCTCCATCGAACAAGTGGAGGATGCCAAATCGGTGGTCAAGGTCATGCTGATGTGGGCTCCGGCCATCATCTACCAGATGGGGGCGTCGGAGCTCCAAGGTCACGGATATTCCCAAGCAGCTGCGATGGACAGGAAGATGGGTCCAAACTTGAAATTCCCGGCGGCTTCAATTGGGATCTTCTCGGCGGTGGCCCTCACCACGTGGGTCACCGTCTACGACAACGTCATCGTCCCACTCGCCAGAAAGAGGAGAAACAGCAGCAGCAGCGGTGATCACAACAGGCTGCTTGAGCTGTCCATCCTGCAAAGAATGGGGATCGGCATGTGCATCTCGACCCTTGCGGTGGTTGTGGCGGGGATTGTAGAAGGCCAACGGCGGCGACACGTAGAACCCACGTCTGTATTTTGGCTAGTGCCGCAATTGGTGCTTCTGGGAGTCGCCGAGGGGTTTAACGGTGTGGCCCAGATAGAATTCTATCATGCCGAGCTCCCGGCAACCATGGCCAGCCTGACCGGGGGGTTTTTCGCACTCGGTTATTCTTTCGCCTCCTTTGCCGCCGCGTTGCTCGAGAGCATTGTTCGTGCCACCACTAGATCGCCGGATAACAAGAAGATACATTGGCTTTCGGATAATGGAGGAAAACTTGACCACCACTATTTTGTGGTGGCGGGCCTGGCGACTCTGAATTTAGCATGGTTTCTCTTTATGGCCAAGCGATACAAACTTCGTCCCGGCGCCAATTGATGAAGATCGACGATGATATGCTTGTATTTGATTATTACTTAGTATCATATTTGTGTTTTGAGTTTTTTTTTTTTACTATCTATATTTGTGTTTGAGCTTTAGTTATTAAGTTTGAATGTAATGCAAATTGAGGTTAATTAAGGATATATATATTTTACTTGGATAAATTAAATGTGTTGTGTTAAAAAATCTTTTCAATCATAGTCAGAACTAGCTTTTATATATCTATTTAGTATTTAGTACGTGGACGATTAATTTATTTTTAAAACTTTTGCTGTTATATTCTATCGATATAATTTCATTTATCGATTACGTAAAAGGTTGAGTTCATAACTATGGGGTTCTAGATTCTTCGATTATAGCTACTTTTATTTTCCCAAGGCTCCTCTCTACCACTGGCTGTAACAACCTATGGTTAATTATAAAGTGTTGTTGTTTAATTGATTCAACTACGTTAGAGGTAAACACAAAATACAAGTCGTTTTCATGGTGACCTTATAACTTGTTATTAAGACAGAGGAAGAAGCCCTGAGTCAAGACTAACAAAAAAGCAGAAGCATCAATCATTTGACTCGATTGCATACCTCATATAATCATGCAAAGTTGCAAACACATCTAAAAAAAGACAAGGTTGTAGATTGCAAATGAGAGCTTTCAGAAAATGGGTATCATCCATCCATGCTACATACGTGCTATAATCATATGTTTGCGGTGCTTTCAATTGATTATGGTAGTTAAATATTTTCTAGTTTAATTTTTCGGATGGCTTGATCGGTGACGTAGGAGATCTATGGTTTTTTGGCGTCGGCGGCAGGGAGAAGATGAGGAGCTCCTGTTCGAGTTCATGATGATGGAAGGGTCGGAGTCAATGTGACAGACTCAGGAATTTTATCAGGGGTGTCCTCTTCCAAGAACTTGTTATATTTCCAGGAAGGACAAGGTGCAATGTTATGAACATACTCATCATCCATACTAAAATATGAATAGATTCATTATGGCAAAACAAGACACCATCCTCAAGTAAAGATTCCCAACCCTTGGTCTCTCATCTCTTGTAATCCATTCTTTCCCAAATGAAAAAGTTTTGTAACATTTACAATGTCTTTATCTTTCCCTTGCAATGTTAGGGACAACTCATTCCTAATTGATAACATGTTAATCATCAACTTCAAAATGAAGACATCCCTGAAATTTTAAAGCGTAATCAACATCCCCATGCATCACTAGCTGCTTTTGATTCTATAGGTGGATCTTTTTTTTATTCTCCCCAACACATCAATAATAGTAGAGAACAATGATTCAAAATTGAGAAATGCCTCATAATAAGAACCCTATTGAATATCACATATTCTTTTGAGACTCATTTCTTGATTCAATTCCTGTCCAGCTTCTTTTTCATTAGCAGCTATAGCCTTTGCAAGCTTCATGGTTTGGCTATATTGTACCATGTGAGCTCGTTGCTAGATCCCCCAACCAAATTAGTCACATTATTGACTGTTGTAAAAAAGTTGTCAAATTCTTTGTGATTCCCTACTACCGCAACAGGTGCAAACTGAAGCTGATTAGGAAAACAGTGAATGTATATGCATAAGAATTTTCAGCCAAAATCAAAGACTTCAAAGTTCAAGCCATTGATTTCCCCGTTCATGTTACTAGCTCTATCTAGCTCTATCATACCATTGTGCCCTTAATTATCATTGACATACTAAATCCATGTTTCAAAAGCATTGCTTCAGTTTCCATTCTTCAATGTCAAAACTTTGATATTTGGGACATAGAAGTACAAAAAAAATCTCCATAACATTACCCTCATGATTGACATAGCACAAAACAATAGTCGTATGTGTTCTTTCATTAATATATAATGAGTCTCATCAACCAATATGCAGAAAAATCACTTCCAATGTCTGTAGTGATGATTTTCTCATTCTTTTCACAAGCCATGACATATGAACAATATCTCTTTTGAATCTTTAGAGAATATATTTGAAATTAGGATTTTCCTTGTTGTCCTATATGATTATAAATTTGTATTCGTTAAAAAGTCCATGGTTGGTGTTTAAGTATGCTGTTGGATTATGGTGTGTGGAGCCCATGTACGTGGGATTATTTTGAGATCAAAATCCGTGGGTCTATGGATTATAAAATCCTACCTATTTAGATGGGATGTTGTGGGAGGCTAAAACTCATGATGGTAAATGACGAGTCTATCCTAATCTTTTTCAATATTTTCTTTATTGAACATCGAGGACATAAATCATTAAGGATACAAATGTAAATTCAGCCTATAATTAATAAATCCCAAGGGAAGAAATCCATTATGAAATCCAACAAGCAAATCATCACTTTTTAAAATCCAACACAAATCCAAAGGGAAATGATCAATTTCGTATGGAAATGCAAGTGATTCCTTTTTGGTGGGAGTTTGTTTAGATAGAGTGCAGAAGTTATTTGCTGTTTTGTGGACGTTTTGTCCTCGTATTTTGGACCGCCTTTACCGATTTGGTTAAAGGGAGCATCAATGAAAGCCAAATTACCAATTTATCGATAAAATCCAGAGTTTTACTTAAATCCTTAATTTTTTAAAATTCTAAAGACAAACGACCTCTAAGTCAACAATAAGCAGTTTGGATTTATTTTAGAAGGTGGGCCATGTAGAGGCCGAAGCTCCAGAACCAGAAGGAAATGAGGCACGAACTTGTGTGTTTTCATCGGAAGTGGAATGAAGAATAAATCGTGTGTTTATTATGGATGTGCAGGAATAAATAATGATTACATGAGAGATTACATGATGGTGGATAGAAAAAGAGTGGAGAGTTTGTACTTTGTAGCTAAGTGGTACAAAGCAATGCAACAAAATGCAGTTGAGAAAAACAAATAGAAAATATTTTTTTTATTATTATATTGTACTAGTGTGGGCCCCGGCCAGTTGGCCAGAGGAAGGTGAGGTATGAAGAGATGGCAATGGGTCGGGTTGGGTCGGGTTTTTTCAAACCCAAACCCATGAGTTTATCCGTGAAAAAAACCCGGGGTAAAACCCACTGGGTTTGAAAAACTCAAACCCAACCCGCTGGGTATCCGCGGGTTCATGGGTACCCACGGGTTTTTGTCGTAAAAAATTCACAATAACAAATTCCTATCAAAATTAAAGTCAAATATCAATCTCCCAATACAAATTATCCATATATAAACACCATTCTAGAAAATTCAAGCAAATCACAAATTAACTATACAAATTGTTCAACACCAATCTAGAAAACTCAAGAAAATTGAAGCAAATAAAAAATTATCCATAAATAACATGATTAATTGAAAACTTCTTCCTTTCAATTAAGTTTTTCACTCTCCACTCGATAACATCAACTTCATACTACATAACTAGAAAGAAAAAATTAGGCATGTCTCCACAAACATAAATAAAATTAGTTGTTTAGAATATTAAATATGCCGAGAAAATTAATTATATGGGTGTGGGCGGGTACCCATGGGTCGGGTTTACCTAAACCCAAACCCAACCCAACCCGGTGAATAGTGAACGGGTTTAAACCCAAACCCAGCCCAAAACCCGTCAACACGGATTTTACCCGCGTTGACCGGGTTGGGTCGGGTGGGTACCCGTGGGTTCGGGTTTTGTTGCCATCCCTAAATGTAATGGGGTGTATAGCTTATTGTTGTATAGTTTTTTTTTTGGAAACACGTGATAAAAATAGTGAATTTTAGCAGGAAAGAGACATGAATGATGCAACGAATCAAAAATCGGCCTTATGAACCAAAATCAAGTACCTGTTACCTTGTGAAACTATATTGTTTCTGGTAATATGATGAGGTGAAGTAAGTTTTATAGAAACCGAATTCCAGGAACTCGAATAAAAAATCGCCTATCCCCTCGGTTTCCGGGAAATGAGCAGCTCACAATCGTTGCTAGCTTTTACTCGGCCCGTTGGCCGATTAACCTGCTTTATAAAACTTTTATCTTGTCGTCATTGTGCTTTCTGGTTTTTGTCAGGCCATGATAAAATCTAAGGGAATCAAGAACGAACAACACGATTTGGGATAGGAACCGCCGTTGTCGTATCCCTATAAAATGGTGGTAAACACGGACTCACCTGCCAAACTGGTTTGGATTGAGATTTTTATCGGGTATCAGGGAACCATGTGATTATAAATTAGACTTGATCAAAACGGGCCAAAACTTGAAATTCAGCATGTTTGACCGACCCATGCCAAATTCTAATTATTCTTTAATTTTAAACTTTCTATTTGAAATTAAAAAATAGTGAAAGAAGAGATGACTGCAATTCGCCATTTGCACATCACTTATTCGGGAATAAAACCATAGAAATTCAAAAGGAACTGAACATGTTTAGGAACGTTTTAATGTTTAACCATTGAATAATTATAATTTGATCATTATGATATCAAATAATTATATAATATATATTTGAAATGATAAAAATTGGACTAATTGGGTTGGTCGAGGTTGAACCATTGAATAACTTTAAAATACATTATATTTTAGCCACTAAGATATAAAATAATAGCATAATATATATTATGTCAGAGAAAATAGCTTGTTTTAGAATGACAAACCAATGACGTTCATTTGTTTTACTTGATGGCCAAATCCCGTGTAGGTCAGACTCATTCAAATCTTTTATTTTATGGTTAGCGGTTAGCCCATTAGATACCATTCATTAGTTTATTGTTAAATTTTTTATTTTTAGCAATAAAAAGGACTATTGTTTTTGCCTTTTCATATATATTTTATCACCATGGAGAAATAAAAGGACTTAAAGAAAAAAATTGACACTCTTGGACCCGTTTAAATCCGCATGTGTACGGTAAGTTGACCCGTTCCACAGAGAAAAGAGAAAAAAATTGACACTCCATATTCTACCCTTCCTACAAACGCTCATGGAGCATGGAATTTGAAATGGGGGAAGAGTTTTTTCCTCCTTGCTATTATATGTTTTTAATTTAAAAATATACAACAAATCTACTTAGTGTGATTGGTTATGATCTTTGCTTTTCTTTAAAATGATCATGGTTCGAATCCCAGTCCTTCCTACTTTCACTCTCGTTGCAGGAAATTTGAAATGGGGAAGCTGTTTTCCCCTCTAGCGTATTATAAGTATAGATAGAGATAGATGCTTGACATGATAAGCTCCATCATTGTCGACTAAGCATTATTTATAACCTTCTGATATATCATTTACTTTCTTTACCGTTTTAAAACGACAAAAATTTAATTCTCATTAATTGTGCGTTTGCCGAGTATGAGTAATTAAGGTCCTCTACACTTCTTAGCTTATATATAAAGATAGATAAATCTAAGTCATGGCAATATACCAAAGAAAACAGTTTAGTTTGAACAAAATTGGATTGTATCCATACGGAGAACAAAGACATCATGGTCATGATAAACACCAGAATAAATGTGTCATTAGTTCTTATAATATTTTTTGTTGCTAACAATGGCTCTCATCATTTGTGCAATGCATACACTTACAAGGCTTGTTATGAGCGTTGCACAGGGGTGGACAAATTGCCCGTTTCAACAAATCCTAGTTTGACGTTCCCTCCTGACGCTTATGACGCGCTTTACAGATCGTGTGAAAATCATTGTGGTCATCTTCTTCGGGGGACTACACCCAAAGATGCTCCGAAGATTAAACCCATCAAATTCTTATAATATTCAACAAATAGATTCCTATCGTATATGAGAATAATCATTGTCGTGTAACATAAATAGTACAAATATGTATCCTTTCGTTTTGAATTTTAATGATCTCACTAAAATAATTATATGTCAAAAAAATGTATGTTGCCTTGGCTTCATGTGAACGTTATGTGTGCAAAGAGAATTTAATTATGATAATAAACATACACTAAAAATGTAGGGGTTTTAACTCCAATATTATTGTTAATTGCTGTTATTCTTCATTTTGAATATTCTCTAATATCTATGCATGCACGGTTCACGGTTGCATATACTTGTAATGCATGCCAATTTGAATCGCTGTATGGAGCACAAATTCAAGGACATGGTTAGCTTTAATACTGATATATATCATATATGAGAATATTCAGTTGCATATACTTGTTAATTGCTATTTATGGTCATCAACAAAACTATCCAGTATGGTTGTGATTATTTTTTTTTTCAAAGATATCATGGTCCAAATCTTGATATTGATACTTTTTATAGGAAGTAGATAAATAATCGTGATGAAAAAAATACTCTTACTACTTTCACTCTTGTTTCACAAAATTTGAAATGAAAAATCTTAAAACATTGAATATATCTTATAGAAAGAGCTTCTTCAACCAAGTAGGTATTTTACCTGAAATGATTTTATCTTATGGAAAGTGCTGAATTGTGAAATTGAAACTCAAACAACATTGATTCAAACATTAAACATTAAATTGTATGTGTAGTTCAGTTTAGACGAAATGCATGTGTGCAGCCAAAACATGGATCTTCGTGACAGATATAGTAATTTTTTTGTCAAATCTACAAAAAAAATATAAAGATAAATTGGGCGCTATGACGAAAAAGAAGTTCGCAGAATCACTCTCAAGCCACGAAATTTGAAATGAGACTCTCATTTTCCAATTTTATCATTATATTGTGTAGATTTGTCACAAAAAATGACTATACTCATCACAAAGGTCCATGTTTTGGTTACACTTCTGTATTTTTTCTAAACTAAACTACACATACAATTTAATATTAATGTTTGAATAAATGTTACTTGAGTTTTGATTTCAGAACTAATCTCTTTCTATAAAATATAAATATAGAAGCATCATCAGCAAACATATTCCTAGAATTTCATCAAAGAAATAAAAGTAAATATAATGTAGCCTAGTTGGTTATTATGCTCTTTCTTTATTTAAGTGACCAAGGTTCGAACTCTATGATAACATTTTTAATACATAAAGATGAACTAGGTGCAATAACAAAAATGACATTCCTAGAATCACTCTCAGGCCACGAAATTTGAAATGGGACAATTTCAATCCATGTTTTGCCTTTATATATCATGTAGATCATCATGCTCGTGCTTTGTATTCTTATGTTATGTTATGTGCATGATTTATTAAGAATCAAAACGAGAGGGAGGAGGAATAGGGACCGGATAGAATAACAACACCCATTTTGTTGTTACTGTAACAAGAGGGATATAAAGATATATTGAAAAATTACAAGTTGTATTAACACCCAAAAAGCGATGAATTAAATTCTAATTTCCCAGTCTCCGCTTCCTGTACATATTCTGTTACGTCGGATCTCTCTATTCTTCCCAACAATTGCAGCGGAGGCATCACCAGAAAATTGAGTTCATCGCCGCTCACTTCAACCTCCGCCTCACTTTTTTGTTGCCGTTTTTCTTCATCGACGAAAAATCTAGATGGTGACGAAGAGGGCAGTAGTCGTCAAAGCTCGAATCAGGCTTTGAGCACGATCGCGGCTTCGTGTGCCCGAAATGGACCTTGCCAAATCTCCACTGCTTCCTATTCTGCCTCCTCGACGCCAATCCGAAGACGAGGATCACTTTCGACGAAATCCACATACCCAAATCCCTTCCTCTTCTCCCCTCCCGATCCCGTTCGTTCCTTACCTTCCATCTCCAGAAAATCCACACATCTTCTCTCTCCCTCGATTGTCTCTTCCCCAGTCTCTCTTCTCAATCCGGGGTTTATTGTGGGGGGGAATAATGATAGTATAACCAAAACCCTAGATCTTGCAAAGCCCATTAGAGCTTGGCTTGGGCCCCCGATCTTCTGTCCCTTTTCTCTCTCGCTCACTCGAAAATCGCCCAAAGTTGTGTTTATGGTATGCATATCACCTATAGTTGTGTTTATTGTATGCATGTAGGAGTTACTTGTATGCAGACGATAATTATCTCGAAACCTCCAAATGGATATCACAAATATAGTAAAACAAACCACAAAAATCATACTAAAAACTTTCTAATGCAGACCACAAATCGCCTAAAATATACTAGAAATCCCACAAAGCAAACCACAAAATATTTCATATGCACACCAGAAACCTCATAATGCAAACCAGAAACGTCGTAATGCGGACCAAAAATCTATTAAAACAAACCAGAAACCTCACAAAGCAAACTACAGAATTTTCAAAAACACACCAGAAACCTCATAATGCAAACCACAAACAAGATAAAGCAAACCACAAAAATAAATCAGAAACGTCCTAATGCAGACAAAAAATCTATTAAAACAAACCAGAAACCTCACAAAGCAAACCACAGAATTTTCAAAAACACACCAGAAACCTCATAATGCAAACCACAAACACGATAAAGCAAACCACAAAAACAAACCAGAAACATCCTAATGCAGACAAAAAATCTATTAAAACAAACCAGAAACCCCGCAAAGCAAACCAAATTTTATCAAAAGCACGCCAGAAACTTCTTAATGCAAACCAGAAACCACAAAATGCATACAAAAAATATGAGAAACCAAACCATAAATCTCACAATGCACACCACAATATCCAGTGATCGTTGACCAAACTCCGACGACCGTCATTGAGCAGATTCCGGGGCCGATAGGCATATTCCGGCGCCGATGACTAGATTCCGATGTCGACAAGCATATTCTGGCAACCAAAATTTTGGGCAGAAAATTTAAAAATATTTTTTATATTTATATTTTTCATTTTTATTATTATTTAAACATATTTTTCATAATGACAATTATACCCCTGCTTTGATTTTACACTATGTCAACTCAGATAATAAAAAGTCATCACAACTCTACCTTTCTATTGGTTGGAGACTAGTGTTGTTACAATAACACAAGGGGGTGTTGACGTGTTGTCGTAGTCCGGAGGAATATAGAAAAAAAGGCCGGCCGAATGGATTGTGTTTCTATTGATTAATTAGGCCCTGTAAGATTAAAGGGATCTGTTAGTAACGTTGGGCTTGAGCCCAAATTTGGCCCAACTTAGTCCATAGAGTTACATAAAGACTAATGGGAAAATGGCATTTTCTTTTAGGTTTTAATAAAAACGTTCTTCTGATGTGCCTGCATGTTTCTGGAGAAGGCGGCTATAAGCATTATTAGTAAATAGTAACCTTCTGACAAATTATGTACTTTATTTACGTTAAAAATGGAGAGAAATTTAATTCTCACTAATACGTTTGCCGAATATGAGTAATTAATGTCATCTATGTCTTCTAGCTTATTTAATTATAAAGGTGATAAATTATAAGTAATGAGAATCTACCAAATAAATCATCTTAGTTTGAACAAAACTTAATTATATTCATTTGGAGAATAAAGACATCACGATCATGACAAACACCAAAACCATTGTGTCATTAGTTCTTATACTATCCATCGTTGCCCCACATTTGTGCGCCGCAGACACTTTCAAGGCTTGTTTTAAGCGTTGCACAGGGTTCACAAACATGCCTATTTCCTCAAATTATATCCCTGCGGAAACTTATGAAGCGCTTGACAAGCGGTGTGATGATCATTGTGGTCATCTTCTTCGAGGGACTCTACCAAAAGATGCTCCGAAGATTAAACCCATCAAACTCTTATGATATTCAACAACTAAATTTTTATTGTACATGAGTATGTCAATAATCACTCTCGTGTAACATACCCAATATAATTCTAATGATATGAATAAAAAAATTATACATGTAGGATATATATATATATGTTGTATTCATGCATTGGCTTAACCTAGCACGTACTAAAAGATTTTTTTCAGGCCTGTTTAATAAACTGACATCAATCTTTAATTAGGTAGTAAAAGGATTACATCTTGGACAGTTTTTCTTACTAATATCCTCCCAACGAATTTCCTTTTTATGTGACAGTCTTTATAATTTACAGTCAACTAAGCGGAAACTGTTACTCTGTATCTATTAGGGAGAAAGGAGCAAAATTAAAATTATTTGCAAAGGCTGTTGTACGTATGTCGTATAATATAATTAAGCACGCTTTGCAGACCAAGTAATGGCATTAGCATATTGATGAGGCCACTGGTTAGGACTTAGGGTTGTAGGAAGCGAAAGTATATATACGTTGTATAGCTCGAGAACTGTATGCTGGTGACCAGTGATTAGTGAATAAGAAAATACATGTCTTGTATCATGGACTCTCAACAATGATAGTTGAGGAAATCACGAAAATTTTGCTTTGTTAATTTCAAACCTTATGCTTGATCGTGATGAATAAGAACAACGAGCCGGTAATTTTTTTTGAAACATACAATTCGTGTTCACGTGATATGAAATGCACATTAATTCGTAGTAACTTTGTTGCAAATCATTTATTTTATTTGCCATTAAATAATAAGAAATTAATTGTAGTTGCTTGTACGTATCTAGGAGACTAATATGATTGAAGGAATTTAAGAGCAATGAAAAAATTATTATAGTTATTGTCTTCAAGAGACTCAACCAAAAGATGCTTAAATTAATCAAATTCGTAAAATTGGGTTACTAAATTACTACTATGTATACATCAAAACGTTCATCGTCACTTTCGCATGTCTCCTCACGTTTTGATTTTTTTTATTTATATTTTTTTGGTGAAACACTTTTTGATTTCTAATTATCTGAATAAAACAATTATATTCATTATTTCGTATGATAAATGTATTTCGTTGCTGATAAAATAATAAAATATACGGTTGACACTTGACAGTGATATTTTACTAGGGTTTTCTCATTGCCCCATAATTTTCCAATGGGCCCTAGGACCAAAAGCTCAGAGAGAACTCTAGACTTGGTTCCGGTGGAAGATGGGCCGGGCCTAGCCGGGGGGATAAAACGGTTATTCTCTGAAACCCGATAACTGAAAAGGAAAGGCACCAAATTCCTTCGACGCAGTTGAATAATTTTGAAACAACGCTAATCTCTTCAGTATTTCACCGCCGCGCCACTACGACCACCGCCAACACCAGCACGGCGGAGAGAGAGAACAAAACGGGAGAAGGAAGAAATCCTTAATAGAAGACAAAACCAGAAGCTCTCCGGCGGCCTCTTCCAACTATGATAAAACCCTAAAGTTAGAATAAAAACCGCCCCCCTCTGTCGCTGGAAGAACCATTCGTTTCTCAGGCTTTCCTCAATGGACCAACAACGTATCTTTGCTTCTTCCCCATGTTTCTGATTCCTTCTCCCGCCGTGTTCACAAGCGTGTGCTCCATTGTCAGGTTTCTTCTCGTTATGTTTCTTTCCTTGTTCGAACTTGCTCGTACCTTATCTTTAGCCGGTAGTGTTCAGTTTGTCAGTTGGTGGCGCCTTTCAATTTGCGTGTTCATGTGCGGTTAGGGTTTTTCTTTGCGTTCCTGTATTATCTTCATGGAAGTTGCGTGGCATTGAGAAGGAATTCCATGCTCATTCTATGCTCTGGAACTATGTAGTCTTAAGTTAATCGTAGATGGAATTCGCTACCAAGTAATTGCTTCCTTACCAATTTAGTGGATTTCAAAGTTGAGATGGGCACTGTACATATATAGAGCTGACAAGTTGTCATCTTACTGCCTAAAAGCTTAAAGCTTTTTCGAGTTGTTTTTTTTCTTCTTGTTTTTGTGATGAATGTGACTAGTGGGCGTTCTGCTTCAACACATATAGAATCGAGCAGAATTAGTGGTTAATCATGAAGCGCAATACTGCAACCATTTAGGACAGAGTAGATAAGGGGTATTATTTGCTGTTGTTATTGCTGTATTGCAAGCCCCTTGCTGAGGGCTGAGATGTACTATGGCATTTCCCCCCTTTTGACTATCTTGGCATTTCACTGAATTTGTTGCCATTAATGCTTTACGCTGGATAGCTTTGAGTTTACCATGTAACGTCATGGTTTTGCCTTGGTTTATGCTTACGTTTATGTCTCTGAGAGTTGTTTCCTTGCTTGTAGGCAACTTCCTTTGTATCATTAGTTGAAAGAGAAGATGGGCAGCTCATTTAATTCCCAGATTTTAGTGGAGAAGCTCGCCAAGCTCAATAATTCTCAAGCAAGCATAGAGAGTATCCTCCTCTGTGCAAAGATTTGATGCTATCATTTTCCAATTACTGCCAGTTTCTGCTAGCAAAATTTACTATACTTTGGTTTTCTAAATCAATGACTTGAGTTTTTCAAGACATATGTATGCTATGGTCATTCAAACCTTTAATTGTGGAAGTGGAAGGTGTAACCCTGTGCAAAGAGACTACACATGAATGCCATTTAAATCAAGTTATATCAAATGTGATTTTATGGCTGTCTGGGAAACTTCTGTGATTGAAATTCTCTGCTCATTCATGATGCATTTAGTGTCAGACTCCCAGACTTGTGTCTTTCATCCTGTGTATGCTTTATCAGACTCTCAGACTCGTGTCTTTCGTCCTCTATGTGCTTTGTCGTCCTCTGTTTTTATTGTATTTCCCCTTTGTTGTGTGTCCTTAATCTGATCTTAGCTTTATCACATTGGTGCATATTTCACATGCATAAAGCAAAACATGTCGTTGAAACATGGGCTAGACAATTCCATTCTGCTCCACGTGATCAGCGAGTAGCTTTTCTGTATCTCGCAAATGATATACTACAAAATAGTCGTCGAAAGGGCTCAGAGTTTGTTGGCGAATTCTGGAAGGTTCTTCCAGAAGCTCTTCGTGATACAATAGATCATGGCGATGAGTTTGGAAGAAATGTTGCAATGCGATTGGTACTCACAGCTTCCTCTCGCCTTTTATATACTCCCCTTCATTCATGTTCTATCATGTCAATGTTTTTGGTTTCATTATGTCAAAAGCTTACCAGAAGAGCATAGGTGTAAAATTAGCGTGGTAAGATTGTAGGATGGAAATTAGTGATGTCTGTTGAAGGGAATCAATAACTAGGTTTGGTATTAAATCGTGCTATCTACCAACCATTTGTGATAAGATAGCCTTAGTTGGCAACTTATAGGAAGTGGCAGTAATGCTTCTCTGTAACCTGATGAAATGTGCATGTGCCATGGGTTATGCAGAAGTCTTATACTGAAGAACGATTTTAGTTCTTGGTGTTTCTGTATTTCTTGAACCTACCAACTACCTAAGAAATGTTCATTTTCCCACTTGGGAAGTCACTCTTTCCAAACTGGCATGGATAGAATAAAAGGATCGAACTAGAAGACATAGAATTGAAGTTTTATTTTGAAGATGCAAAGTTTGCTACAGCAATATTTGTTTGCTGCTTTGGATCACCTTCTAAAGCTCCTTACTGTCTCACACTCTGCGTGCAGATTGGAATTTGGGAAGAACGTAAAGTTTTTGGTTCTAGGGGACAAGTTTTGAAGGAAGAGCTTCTTGGAAGACAGCTGGAAAGTATTCGTAGGAATGGAAAAAGTCTCGATTTAAGTTTCAAACCAGTAAGTTGGAACTCTACATTCAAAGCATAGACTGTTCCTTTTTGGTTTTATATTTGTAAAATGTAAGATGGCAGCTGAGTTTTGCTTCATTGAAAACAGAATCAGCCCATTGAAAGAGCACTGGACAAGATAGTTTCAGGTTACCAAGCTGTTTACAGTGGCCACGATGAAGATGCCGTACTTGGGAAATGTAGTAGTTCAGTCGCTTATTTTGAGAAAGTTGAGAAGGAAGTTGGTGACAGTAACTCAGGTATATCTTTTTCCATTGTTCCTTTTTTTTGTTGCTTCTGCTGGAATTCCAGTTTGCTGAGCATTATGTTACATTGACAGGTCAATTAGCTGGATCTGCACTTATGGAGGACGTGCAGGGCCAGTATGCTGCTCTGCGGGATAGCATGAAGCAATTGGTGGCCATCGAATCATCCAGAGCAAGTCTCGTGTCTCATCTTAGAGAGGCACTGCAAGAGCAGGTTGGTGGGATTAGCTATTTGTGCCAAATAAAAGAAAAAGCTTGAATTTTTATGGGGGTACTAAGCGACCTGATATTTTTAATAGGAAACAAAGCTTGAAAACGTTCGGCATCAACTTCAGGTATGGCAATCTAGATCCTCACTTACCTTCGAAAGCAATATTCTATATCTGGAGTTTGTATAGTTTTTATGTACATATTTGTCTACATTAAACCATGGTAAACACTTGAAATGGGTTTCCCATTTTCTGTCTGCAACTTAGAATTAACTTCATCAATTTGTGTGAACAAGTAGTAAACCAGGATTGGTGGTAAGCTTTGAACTTTGAAGGGTGCACTACGCTTCAGTTAACAACCATAATCGCCTTGCTCAGTCCTGTGGACGTGTTTAGAACTCTGTGTATTGCTTTCTAAACTTGCATCGATCAACAAGTGTAAAATATGATCAAAATACAGGTCATTGCCCTGTTTAACTTACATTTTATTGATTTTTTTTTTGTATGGATGGGTTTTCACTTTTGCAGGTAGCACGATCCCTATCAGACAATGCTGAGAAGTTAAATCAGCAGCTGCTCCATTCTTCGAGCAACTCACAATTAGTCTCCGAGCAGAACTCAAAAGAAGCCAGTAGTAACTCTGTTGCAGCATCCCAAACCTTTGCCTCTGGAGACAGAGAACAAAGTGCTCCATCAATGTACACCACAATGCCGTCCAACCCCACCCCAGAGGACCCTAGAAAATCAGCTGCAGCTGCCATGGCTGCGAAACTAACTGCTTCAACATCCTCGGCTCAAATGCTGTCATACGTTCTCTCCTCCTTGGCATCTGAGGGCGTAATTGGCACACAGCCTGAGAAGAGAGCTAGGCTTGATAACAACGAGCCTTACATACCAGCGTCGCAGAATCCGCAACAGCCTCCTTACCAGCCTGCTGCTGACATCACCACCACTGCTCAGCAGTCAGTGCCCCCAAACAATCCTCCACTGCCTTCGTCCCCACCGCCGATGACGCCACTCCCACCGCCAACTTACTCGATGCCGCCACCTCCCTACATACCGATCAACGGTGGAGGCCCTTATGGTTATGGACAGCCGCCGCCCCCTTCTCTACCAGGGTTTCCACCAGTTGGTGGTGGTGCTCCGATGACTGGGATGCCACCACCACCATTTGGAATGCTGCCACCGAATTCGTACCAGTATCAGGGGTCTGAAGGGAATCGATACGGGCAACAGCAGTCGTCAATCCCCATGGGGCCTGTTTCAAGGCAGTAGAGGTAAAAAAACAAGCACTGTAGCTGTTAGAATTTGAGTTCTTTCTATGCCTCTCTGCGAACACTGTGTTGGGAAGTATTTGTACTTGTGTAACATGTGGTTTTAGCTAGCAGCTAGAGTACTTTGCACATAGTAATTGGTTGTGTACTTATACTGATAGATGTCCCTATAGCTTGTATACTATATACTGGTTCTTCTTTGGGTTTGCTGCTGCCACTGAGAATTTCAATTCTGAGGTGTATTTTTCTTTTTTCAGACTTAGATTAGTTTACTGTTTTTCACCCCCTGTTATCAGGTGGGTTTTGAATGATGATTACATTAGACATATGTTCAGTTTGTTTGCTGCTAATGTTTGAATGAGAAGATGCAATATTAGACTGATGATGTAGTTAATTGGTTTGTCTAGTGGTAATGGGTGGGTGACGCATGGAAACAGAACAAGAGAGTTCATAAGTAGCAAGACAGGGTAACCAGTTGTTTCGATCTTTATGGTTCGTTTAACTCAAACTAGAATGGGAAGAGAAGCAAAGGAATTGGAGCAGTGGGTCTGACCACATGCTGTCTTGTTTTCTGTTTGACCCCTTTCTCTGTCTGACCGACCCGCCCCATTCCAATGAAAGTTGCTCCTAGCCAAAAGCAGGCAGGGCGACGACAGTATTAAGCTACTACTTCTTACTTCACTCCCTTCACTTTCTCCTTTCCTTTCCCTTTGATCCAGAAAAGAGGAATATTTGTAATTCTATACATGTTATTCGAGGTTTTATAAGTTGATGCCAATTAGTGATCGATACCCTCTTACACTAGTTGTCCAATTTGAACATTGTAAGAGACCGGTGAACGTTAACTAATATAACACTTAATTCTTAGACGTTGTTAAATATAGAGATGAACCATCAATTCATTATAATTGACCAGATTTTATGTGTTGAATTCCTAATAACACTTAAAAATTTATAGTTATCGATCTTAAACATCAAATGCGAAAAATTTGTTGAACTTTAATATAGTGTATGGCTTTTGTTCTAGGAGATATAAATGGAAGAGTATAAATGTATAATTATTTACTCTAGCCAAATCCAATCAAAAGCTTATATTCCTTTGTAGGCTGATGGACTTGGAGGAATGCATATGGGATTTTTCAATAGTTTTTGGGATTGTGATTTTATTTAACTAAAGTAATAGTTCATGTTTATGGGGAAAAATAGTTTTTTAACAAAATGCGGTTAAATTTGCTTTATGATCAGTTTTATTTGTATTTATTTTGGGCTTTGGGGACAACCAAAGTAGTTAAGGAAACAACATTAGTTTATGTAAAAAAACCCACCAATGTTTACTTTCAGACATGTTTTGTCCTGTCTCAGTATACTTTTATTTTTACCTTTTTGGGGGGTAAAAGATCGTTTGGCTCTTTGCATTACGTTTTTCACTTTCACTTCATCAGGCCCGCATGCAAGCCATCTAGATTCTGTGGTATTAACCTTTTTACTTTAACTAAGATTATGCATGCAGTCAAATGTAGCTTTACATGATACGTATGTCTCTACTACTACTACTACTCTCTCTCTTTTTTTTTACTCCTTTTTCTATCAGTATGGCATATTGCATTTGTTATCTTATATACCATTTTGGGTACAAAAAACTGTTTCGAGTATTAATACGTTGGAAGAGAAGTGTGTTGTTTTAAAAATGAGAAAAATCTTCTATCTGAGCCAGCTTTTAAGCATAAAAGACTACTCAACACTGATATATATGTCAATTCGGGGAGAATGGTTGATTAAATGACTGATGAGCAAAAGGTTGACGGATAGCCAATGAGGGATGGATATGTAACATGGGGTACTTAGGCATTGATTTTGTGTCAAATGTTCAAGATATATTAACTACATACAATCTCGCTATATATACCTTTTACGAGGTTCTCGAAAGTTATATACATTTATGAGAGCTTCCCAATAGAATCACTCCGAATTTGTTTTGTCGTCTCTATTCCATGAACAAAATAATGAGTTCATTATCTTCAATTAAGGATGACTATTTTGCCTAACACGTTCTCTGACCAAGTCAACAAAGCAAGAAAAATAAAAAAAACACATATACTTACATGGTTCACTAATTCAATTTGGTAATTGATTAGTATACAAGCACGAGAAACCAATTCCACTATATTAACTAATTACATATCACAAAACTATCAAAAAATTTATGTAGACTCTCATAATTCTTAACTGTCGAGAAATATGAAGCATATAAGAAACCAATTACCCCATAACCAAAAGCTGAAATCTTAGCATGATTCTCCAATTAAAGCTAAGGGAGAGAAATGGGGAGAGGAGACACACATTCTCCGAACACAAAGAGGGACAAAATCACCGTCGATACCAATTCCCCATACCCTCTGTCTCCCTCCCTTGTAATTACTTGATTTTATTACTTGATTAATTAATGATCCAACACCTTAATTAATTGTCGAGAAATTTTACAATACTATATAGTATTGGTGCTATAAGTTTTTGTTTTTATGGTATAACTTAAAATTGTACATTTACGTTGTGGTACAATTTCAGATTGCACCTATACTTTTTGTACAAATTCTTTTATGGTACAACTTGAACTTGTACCTTTATGTGATGGTACAACTTCAAGTTGTAAAGTTGTACCATAACATAATGATACAAATTGCTTTATGGTACAACCTAAACTTATATATTTAATGTTATGGTACAACTTTAAGTTGTACATTAAAGCACCAATACTATATAGCATAGTAGAAGTGCTCTTAATTGTCATTGCATATAAATTTTGAAGTAAACAATTAATAGCTAACCGACTCCTTTACGTGCATGGTTCCATTCAACTGACTCCTTCTCCAAAGCACACTTATCCGCGCTATTACTATAATCCTCAAAGGTATACTATTACTATATACTATATTCAAGGTTATTCATGCTTGTCCATGGGGATTTTTAGATTTGAAGGCATGACTTAATTATTATCCGTCAATAGTTTGTTTCAAGAGAGATGAAGATGATTACGAGTGGTAAGTTATCGTTAACATGTATGCTTTTAGTTTAACGTTTTTTACGAAATGATCTTATCTATGATTCTTAAAACATTTATGTTCCGGTGGATTAGTTAATTAAGACATCAAACTCGTACGAAAAAAAGATATTAAGATTGAGTATCATCAACCACAATCCGACATTCCCTTAATCATTAAGAAGGACATTGCTATATTTTACCCTGGGAGCAACGTTAAGGGCAAAAACAAGATAAGATACAGGCAGCTTCTAGTTCTAGTGATGATCAATCGATCTTGATCTCCCCACCACACCGGCCAACTGGTTTGCCGTCGCCCATCATCGCCTAGATTCTATGTATACTACTGCTTTTGATATATTAAGTATTTTTCAGGGCATGGCTATTGGCTAAGTGAACCTATCCAAATTAGAGACCAAATATGAATTGGGATCTGAATTTCCATAAGACAAGAAATATGGATAAATCGCCATTGATTAATAACAATAATTTGGGATTAGGAGTAGAGAGGGAAGACACAACACATGCAAATGCAAGGGTAATCGTGAGCACACCCCACACTCATAATCTGCCACTTTTGTCTCTTCCTTTTTGCGGCTACGTGTTAATGAGATAATTCCTTGTGGGGTTGCTTTGCATGCATGAATCCTCATCATCAAAATTGAGGTGATATGGTCATCAAACTTTAGGGTTTTCATAAATCAGTCATTAAAACAAGAACATAGAAATCATCCGATTATGAAAAAGTGAGTTCAGATTCGCATTATTCGTTTGACCGGATCTCTCATCAAATTCTATTTCATTCGTTTGATTGAGTTGTCAGAACTCATACTTGCTCAATAGTCTTGATTTGAATTCACTACAAATTAAGGGTTTGAATTGAAAAATGGAAAAAAGAAGTTCTATATAGAATATCAAAATGTATAAGGTGTAACCTTCTTTTGATCTTGGTCACTAATCTTTACCCTCGTGCTTATACTAAATCCTGTTCTTTATTCCAAGAAGTAATATTTAACATCCAAAAGAAAAGAGAAACATTGCCCTAAGGAAAGAGAAGGTATGAGCAATATTGAGTAAGGCCGACAAGAAGGACGGAGGCAGCCGTTGTATAAGTTAACCAAACACCTCCCTCCCATTCTGATAAAGCCTGTCATTCTTGTCCCTCACCATCCCCTCTACTTACTTTCGAACACCAATATCCCATTTCTTCCGAGGGAGGGGTCGCCTTGACCTCCTTGTCCATTGAAAGCTTTTATCAGTCAAAGTTATGGTTGGTCGATCGATAAAGAGGGAAAGGGAAAGGGAAAAGAGTGAGTGAGTGAGAGCAGAACAGAACAGAGAGATGAGGTTACTGAACTTAGCTTTGCTTTTTTAGGACTCGCTTCCCTGCCTGCCTTTGGCTTTAACTTGAGCATGCGTTGGTCAGCTGACGACATGCACACACACATATAGTATAAGAATATGACCACCATCTCTTCTCATCTCATGAAAGTTCCATTAATTATTACCACCACTTCTAGAGACAAGAGTTCCAACCTCTTTCCCGGCGATGGACAAAAAGGAAAAGCAAGCACCCAACAACTAACAGTAATAACGATGTTGTAACATTATAATAATAGTGGTAATGGTCATCCTCCTATAACCACCACGATTTGTTACACAAGCATAACCAAGTAGAATCATCTTAGTTATGACTGATTGAGCATGAAGTAGGTTATCTTAAAGCTACCTTGATACAAGATGGAGGATTTGGGAATCCATTATGTGGCATGTGTCACTCAGATCATCCAACCATCCAATCTAGTTTAACAACATATCATGTATGATCGTTATATTATATACCCTAATCTTTTCCGGAAACTCTCCAACCGTGTTTTATGAGAGTAGGAATGGCAATGGGGCAGGTCCGGGGCGGGTTTCTCGATACCCATACCTGCCCCATAGCAGTTCGGGTCCAGGTCGGGTAGGTGGTTGCTTATATAGCCACTGGGTGACTCATAGCTTCAAGTCGTGAATATGAAAGAGCAAATTAGGAGACCTTGTTTACTGATTGATCTTGTTGTTCTAGGTTACTAGTCAACACAAACAACTCAATGTTGCTCCGAAAGATATGAAGACTCGAACTCCACCACTTATAATCAACAACTTCTAATAGTGGTCCATCGGTTGAAGAGCTTATTTCATATGTTAATGTGACTTCTTTTATTATTATTATTATTATTATTATTAAGCGAAGAAATGAATTCACTCAAACCATTTTGCTCTCATGCAAAAATTATAACAAAGGCATAAATCAAATCTATGCATGTTAACTCCAGAATTAGGTTGCATTGCATCTAAACTATGTCATTAGTGCAAATCAATCAAGCAAAAGAAATCGCCACCTCTACATTAGTGATGTGGGACACATAGTACAACCTTGGTAGTACTAAACCCCATGATGAATGATATGATGTGTCCCATCTTGCCTCCCCCCTCTATATATAATATGCCCTCTCCTTTCCTCCCCTTCTCAAAACCAATTCCCTAAACAAAAAACTCACCATACTCCATTCCAATCAAATTCTCAACCCTTCCAAAACCAAAGAAAGAAGCAACCAACAATGTACCAAACAGAGTCATGGGGATCTCCCTACGTGCCAGCATCGGGGAGAAACGGAGTCGGGTCTTACTCCGGCGGCGGTGGGGACCCTTTCGAACGGATAGAGCGGCTTGCGGCGGAGAGCGCGGTGGTGATATTCAGCATAAGCAGCTGCTGCATGTGCCACGCCATCAAGCGCCTCTTCTGCGGGATGGGCGTCAACCCGACCGTCTACGAGCTGGATCAGGCGGGCGACCCAATTGCAGGGAAGGAGATGGAGATGGCGCTGATGAGGCTGATCGGAGCCTCCTCCGCCGCCGCCCTCCCAGTCGTGTTCGTCGGCGGGAAGCTCGTCGGGGCTATGGACAGGGTCATGGCTTCCCATATTAACGGCACCCTCGTCCCTCTCCTCAAAGACGCCGGCGCTCTCTGGCTCTGAAAACCAAAAACAGAGCCTCGCTTTCTCTAAGTAGACTTTCTTTCTTATTTCTCTGTTTTCTGGTATTTGAAAGAAAAACAAGAGAACCCAGGAACAAAAATTTTATCTTTTTTTCTTTTCTTGTAGTTGTTGTTGATTTGTCCATGTTTTCGTGCTAATGTTTAGGAAAGTTCCTCCATTTTTTGGGGTTTGGGAAGGATCCAAACTAGCTGTTGCTTAAGGACTCTGTTTTCCTTCAGTGGTTGATTACGATTAGGGAGGGAGGCCTTTGTGTTTAAATTTCCAAGTGTTTTTTGCCATTTTTAGTGATTTGTGAGAAAAGTGAAGAAATAGATGTATTTGCTCCTCCTCTGTTTTTTTCTCCCTCTTCCTCTCTTCTCAAATGTTATTTTTTCCGCCCATACTTACGTTACTACTACTACAATTAACAAGCAAAGATAGTGTATTGAGAGATCATAATCGGTTGAAAAATCATTTACATCTTATTTTTTTATAGAAATCATTTGCATCTTATTTTTCTTGTATAGACGTACATTATTGTTATCACTAATAGAAAGAGTTATATATGTTTAGAGTTCATTGCATGAGCACTCACTAATTAATATTATGTTGTATGTGACATTGGTCTATTTGTACAATTTCCTTCAACATGGATTTTGTACATAGAGAGGTTGAAATTTGTACAATTTGATTATGGATTATAACCTAGTAGGTCCATCCAATGCTCTGGGGCCTTGTTAAGCTGCCACGTTGAGGGAGGAAAATAATGGACCCTTGTGGTGGATTTTAGGACGTGTAGGAGGGGCCCTCTATGTAATGGGCCCTGAAGGCCCATGTTTCTGGCCTAACTATTTGCACCATCTTCAGTGCGATTGGATCGATCATGTAGGCCATATAATATATCAACTGTAGCCCTATAGTGCTTGGCTCCTCATTCTTCCTTTCTAAATATATAGTCGTGTTAGAATAATATCCACCACAGATAATAGTGATTAACCTCTTATTAGAAATTATCACATGAAAAGGTAAATGGTTGAGTATAGATTGAGCTCAATTTTCATCAGTAAAAATAGTTAAATCGAACCCCTTTTTTCTTGATTAAAGACAATTAATCACAACACTATATCTGCATAGTTTGAGGTTATTACGAGTCAAAAGCCCGGATAAGCAAAGGACTTGTTCAAGTCAAGAGGGTGGAGGCCATGTCGACAAATAGGCTACTTGGGCCGAGATAGTTCCAGCCCAATTGGGACATGTCATATTTGTGCTGGTACGGCATGCTAGCTACAAGCTAAAGAAGGTTCAAATAAGTTTCCATAACTTTGACCAACAATGGAAATTTAGTAATTATTGATTAAAAATATGATTGAAGATTTCTTTGGAAGATTTATAAAACGCAGAATAAAGAATGTGGAAAATGTATGAATTTTTATATAAATATATTTCATCGTTAATGAAATTATAGAATAACATCTTATAACAAAAATTTTAAAATATTCAATTCTATAAAGTTGACAAGTTCAATGATGACCATTACTAACTATACCTAATTTTGATTTATGTAACTTAGGACAAGGTCATTTTGTTATAGATAGGAATGTCGTTAATGTAGGATAAAATAGATACTTCAATACCTTGATTTGTGTCATCTTAGGTGCACGGCAGATGAAAAAGAAAAAAAGCAAGCAAAATGAAAAATGAACAATATATTCAAGATGATCAAGGGTAAATTTTATATCAAATGTATATGAAGAATTGTATTATAGAATGAAGAGAGGTAACTTCAACATTTTTAAGTAACTCTCACTTTTTCTTCTATAGCAATTAGTATCTTATATACCACATAATGAAAACACTTTTTAACTTTTGATTGAGTTTTAAGTTTAAATAATCAATAAAAAATAAAGACATAATTCATGAATATCAAACAAATTCATGTTATATAATTAATTCTCTTATTATAAAAAGTCAATCCTTAAAAATTAATGTGATAAATCATAAATCGATCTTACATAAAAGTAGATCATGAATATCAAGAAACTCATGAATTAATCTCTCATCATTATTTTAAAAAATAAAACTCTCTTGTGATTTTGGTCAAACCTCAAAAAACTAAAAACAATAATAATTTTGCTAAAATTTAGGAAACCGAATAAAATGATTTACCCATTAATAATGTCTAGTTATTACTCACTTTACACACTGACAAGATTCTCCACTTCTTCTTCTTCTTCCCCACTCCCCAGTATCCCGAATTACTTTTCTTCCTCTCTTTCTCTCTCTCTTGAAATTGTGCTCTCCAGGAGGGAATTTTCTCCCTCTTTCTTCTGTTTATCCCTTTTCTCTCCAAAGGGTTTTAATCAAATTCCTCATACTGATAAAGTGTAATCGTCAAGATTCCTCCTGCTGAAGATCGGCGGAAATCAATTTAGGGTTTTCCCATCCCATCCAAATTCGCCGGGCGGGGAAGACGGGCAGCCAATCGCCGCAAATTCGGATTTTTTTTTCCAGGTAATGCATCTTTCCGATACTTCGTTTTCAGCAAGTTCCGTTTTCTATTCGGAGCTAGAAATGGAGGTAGAGCTTGAACTGACGGCGCTCTGTTGACTTTTTTCTTAATTGGTTATGAGGTTAGAGAGAGAGAGAGAGAGATAGAGAGGGAAGAGAGAGAACGGCAAGTCTTGGGATTGGGCAGTGATCGGATTGATTGGGCGAAAGGAGAGATTCAGCGGCTTTGGAGATACGCGAGACGAAGAAGAGCAAATGCCGGAGGAAGATTTTGTGGAGCTCAAGTTCAGGTTGTACGATGGAACCGATATTGGTCCGTTTAGGTATTCGCCGGCGTCTACCGTTGCTGTTCTGAAGGAAAGAATCGTCGCTGAGTGGCCAAAAGGTCTGTAAGTTTCTTCAGCTTTTCGTTGGAAATTGTTGCTTTGGGGAGTTGATTAGTAGGTTTGGTTGGGGATTGAGATTCTGGGTTTGGTGGGAATGAACGTAGCCGCTCAATACCTGATTGAAGTCACCAAATTGTTCATTGTTTGATGTCTAGTTGAAGAACGTTAAACGTATACGAGGTGTTGCTTGTTGAACTGGCTTAGCATATTATTTTCCAGCTCTGCTGCCTGGTTTGCTCTGTGCTTTCCTTGGTCTTGCATTTCTCTCTGATGCAATTGTGAACATTTGAGGGGTTCTTTGTGAACGTCAATGGCCTCGATGGTGTAGGTAATTACTCCTAGCTTTTGGCCTGTTTGTAGAAAATGATTAGCTGTATTGATTAATGGTGTTGAGAGGATACAGCATAGCAACCTAGTCTAGCTGTATACTTGTGAGCTTACATTGTTACTTGGGAATTTGTTTGGAGCTGCTCGTCACTTAAATCTGCTTAAATTTCTTCTGTTGTGTTTAACTTTGCTATGCCTCTCTGTTCCCATGTTGCATAGTAAATTGGAAGGCTCTATGCAACCATTTTCTTGTCTCTCTCACTGTGATTGCCTTCTTATTAAAGGGATGGTGTAGTGATTACATGATGCTGCTCTATACAGCTCTATGTTTTTCCTGCAATCCCCTTGTTCAGTAATCTGATCATTCATGAACCTTGTCTTTTGTTAGATAAAAAAAATACACCCAAAGGAGCAAATGACATCAAACTGATAAATGCCGGAAAGATTTTGGAAAACAGCAAGACTGTTGGCCAGTGTAAGGCCCCTTTTGGAGATCTACAGAATGGTGTGATTACCATGCATGTCGTCGTGCAGCCATCTTTGGCCAAAGCAAAGACAGGTAATTTATGTGCAATTACCTCTTTACAGCACTGTGCTAATGATGCATTCAATAACTAGGAATTACCAAAAGGTGTAGTGCATAACAAGAAAAGAAATGACCTTGAATATCTGCTCCCGTTAGGTTTACCTTGCCGCTTAGGTAAAATGTTTGCTGTTACCGTCACGGTCTCTTTATTCAGTAGTTAGATAGGGATGAAGTTCAAAATCTGGGGTTGTTTTCTTCCAATACTCTGTTCTTTTGTTGATTCGACAGAGAAAAAGGTCGACGATGCTCCAAGAAAAAATCTATGTTCGTGTACCATATTGTGAGAAGGCGCTTTGGGTTTGTTGATTTGTTCAACTTAGGGAGGAGGGGAGGAGCTTTTATACCGGCGGTGATGTTGGTCCTGTTCAAAATCTGAGGATCGTGATGGATATGAGTTGTAAGAATGCTGTATACATCCTCTCACTGCCAAAACATGTCTCTTTGTGTGTCAGGGGCTGGGGTTGAGTTCAGTCCTGCCCTTTTGATTGTATGTTGTGATAAAAAAAAAATGTATTCCTGCATTTTGATTGAAAATTTGTGTACCTTGTTCCTCATCACTACTTCACTATTTCTAAATGATATATATATATAAATCTTACCCTTTTCTTTCATGCGGTCTCTTCATCCAACTCTCATGTAAAGTGTTCTGATAACTTGCCCTTTGTTTGTTCAAGCCTGATTCTATAGTTTTGTCCACTACAAGTATTGTTAGTAAATACAGTGCAAGATAAGAAGGCTGGCTATCTTTATGCTTGAATACAAAGTGTGAGAAGGAAATGTATCTTCTTGCAGCAAGTATATGAATGGATGAATGGTACAAATTGGGTTAGTGACCCTTGTAGTAGTTTATTAACAAAAAATGGAGTTCTTGTAATATTTTAGTATTTGTAGAGTCCATTCTCGATAACTCACCTGCTTCTTAAATTTCCTATTGCTGTTTAAGAATAATGGGGTTGAAATGAGATTATACAATGGGTTATTATGAAATGTGCATCATTTACAATGTACTTATTTGTCATGGATCGAATGAAATGGACAAAAAGTTTTAATTTTAGAAAACAAGTATGTGTTTAATCAACAATATATGGCCAGAAAATGTCACCAACCCAACAGAATAGCCTAAGGAATGCATCATTTCCAACATTGAATGAATATGAAGCAAAAAAAAAAAAAAGGCAATATATAATCTTTCAACCATCAACATAAAGATCTTCACGAAACAGGAGGATTATATTCTATTCATGGATGAATTAACTATCTATAGACTATAGTTTACCCCTAATAATAATAATTAATCAAAACACCAAAATATCTGAAAATTACATTAACACAAAAAATCATCTAGTAATTAAATAGCAAAAAATGGTAATTGGATCAAATTTCTAATGGGTTCCTTCCTTTGTCTTTGCACTTCCTTTTACTCCAACATTGTTTTTTTTTTCCCCTTCTTTTCTTCATCGATGATTCTCAAGACAAGCGATGAAACCAAGTAACCAAACTATAATAATCAAAATAATAAAAAACAAATCCATATTAAACTCTATAGAAATATCGAACAGAGACACGCCACATAGACGTGCTAAACATTAGAAGAAGAAAAAGGGGAAAAGGTTACCCACAAGAATTTTTCCATCATCACGATCATCACCATTGATCACTAGCTGTCCAAATCACTTTCATTGATCACCAATCATGATCATGATCATGACCATTCATCATCATCATCAACCATTGCATCAGCATCTCCATGCAGAGGCAGCAAGAATGGCTCTGTCCTGCCACCCTAGGAGCAAGCAACCTTTGTCCTCAGTCAGCCTATACCCATCACACGAATACAATCCCAAGAGTATCTTCGACTGGGTCACAGCATTCGAACTCAGGGGCACACCTTTGAACCCTTTCCCTTCCATGAGCTTCCTCCACTTCTCGAGTCTCTCGTGCCTCTCAGTCCTCTCGACTCCCTCGCAGGCCACGATGTTCCTGATCTCAGGGGCGAAGATGTACTGTTCCACTTTGGCTCTCTGGGCCGAGTCTGGAGGAAACGTGGCATCCAAGGAATCGAAGATCGCAGAGTAGTAGTGCAATGCCTCGAGGAACCTCCCCAGGAAGTAAGGACCGTTGTGGCTGGCTTCCTGTTCGACTAGGGTAACAATGTTAGGAGCCTGGTCCCTGATCATGGCCAGGAGCGGGCCGATGGATTTTCCAGGGACGCGATGAAGCCTGTTAACTGAGTTCACAGCCAGAGCCTCCCCAACCCTGCGGTTGAACATATGTGGTCTGAGATCCTCCAACTCCTCAGCGACCGCGTGGTACTCGAAAGGTACGTGGAGGGAGTGGGCCAGCTCGGTCAGGCACCGTCCAGTCTCACGAACACACTCAGGAGAAGACCCCACGCCTGTGATCCGAAGGAAAGGAGCCCCACCTGGTCGGGCTGCGAGTGCCTGCATAAATGCAGGCCACTGGTAGCCCTGTAGGATATCAAGGTCGATCACGTGGACACGTTCCTCGGACTCAAAGGCCTCGAAGATGGCCTGGTTGGCGGTGAAGTGGGCAAACTTGATGTAGGGGCAGGCCTGGTAGAGGATTTGGTAAATCTTGAGGATCTCCATGGAGCTTGATGTGAATGGAGTGAATGGTCTTGGAGTGGAAGTAGTTGGCTTGGTTGCAAGTGTGGCAGCAAGCCTGGCGCTCAATGCTTCGGTGAAGCAAGCAGCGACTCTCTGCATAGAGTCGCCAAGAGGAGTGACGACTCTATTCAGGTGGTGGAGGTATTTCCTTGCTAGCATGTAGTCCTCTTTGGCGACTGCTTCTGCGCAGGCCAGCAGAAGGTGTACGAGTTGTAGCCCACTGTCGGATTGCTCCTGAATAACAAAAGAAGAGCACTCATATTAACTGGTGTCACATGTGATGATAACTGTGCATCCTAGAACTTCACAAACAAATGCCTGTCCACCAGGTTAAACAAGAGGTGTTTCGATCATCAAAGGTGGTTTAATATCATGTCAATCAAATACGAAAATAGAAGTTGGAAGGAGATGTTCATAAACAGTATATATCATTTCATGTGAAGCGAATAGATCAAATTCAAGGCAAAACGTAGTCACTTTTATCGACATGCCATAATATCCATCTTCTCTGTGCAAGTATCTTTCATTTCAAAGTATCAATTCATAGTAGCGGCACTTCCACAGCTGAATCTGATCTCACTTTCTCGAAAGAGAAAAATACCAAAGTCGATAAATAAGCATGCAAAATTATATCAATTCTCTATACGCAAGTCTCTTTCATCCTAAATAGTTTTTTCATGTCAAGGTAAGGTATGGGACAAGAAGATAGGTGACGATGAAAGATGTTCGTTAGCAACATACGATCATAAAAAAAAAAAAAAAAACTGGATCTTATGGTTGAACAATCAATCAAGCACTGATCCATCTCACTAATAAGAGTTCTTATCAAACGTTTCAAAACTAAAATCCTGCCATGCAAAGCTACTTTCAGTCTTTCACTCGTAGTAACCTATAGTCAGTTAGTCACATGTGATACTGTCTAACGTATCTCTATTTTAAGTCTCCTTCATCTCAAATCTATTCATGTCAAGGAAAACAAAGAATAGGACAAGAAGAGGGAGGTCAAACAAAAGAAAAGGAGGAGTTTAGAGCAGTACCTGCTCGGAGCCAATAGGCAGAGGCGCCATTAACCCATGTTCAATTGCACCACCACCATTACCACCTGTAGTCCTCGCCGCCGGTTCTGTTGCGGCCGGCCTCGTCAGCAGATTAACTTGCTTCTCTTGTTCCCTTTCTTCCTGCAACCGATCAGAAAGAGTCCCCATAGGAAACATCTCCCTTTCTTGCACCACCATCTGATCATGATCATGACTCCCCCCTCCGCCACCGGCACCATCCTCACTAAACCTCGAAGGGTTCGACGTCGTCAAACAACTATCCATCAACGAAGAAACCGGTATTGAAAGATCAAACAGCTGATGCGATGGGGTTGAGCTCATCTTATTATCCTCCAAAAAATCCTCGATCCCACCGGGCAACGACGAGAGGTTCTCCAGCTGCATATAATTGTTACCAGGAGAGTTGAACATCCTGTGAAGAGGGCTCTGCCCTTTCCCTTTCAAACTCGAGCTAAAGCTCCCCAGTTGGGACGAGAGATGCCGTGGCGGAGAACATCCGGCCACAGTACTCTGCCCTTGTTGCATTGCCTGCACGTAGCTGCTGTAGCTGAAACTTGACGGCGAAGGAAACAGGTTGCTGGTGGTACGGACGGGGGAAGAGATCATGAAGTCGCCTTCAACGACATGATCGGAGAAGAAGCTCTCCCAAATGGAACTGTCTGGGGACTGGACTTCAATATCTCCATCGCCCACCACCTCGAACTTCACTGCAGGAAAATTGAGACTTGGTGGAGTTAGTTGAAGTTGTTCCATGTCTGAATTAGAAGACATGGTTATTTTCTTGGACTCGCAAACAGAGGATTCATTTGGGGAAGTTGGTTGCTGTTGTTGATGCTGCATCTTGGTGGAGCATGAGCTGCTCTCAGTACTCTTGAGAGAACCCACACTTCCACACACAGAATTTATCATATTTTCTTCTTCTTCTTCTACCTTTCTTTTGTTTGTTTGTTTCCCTTTTGGAAAAGGTCAAGTCTTTTGTATAAGGGAAGAAGGATTAAAGAAATGGGTTGTATAATTTTCTTCTATTACAGCTGAAAATGGCCAAAAGTTTTACTACTACTCGAAGCTACTCCTAGTTATAGTAATTGGAAATAAACCCTCTAAATAGAAAACATGCTAAATAAACTTATTAATTAATAGATTTTCGATACTAAATTAACTATGGGATTACTACTACACCCAACAAACCACTAAGTGAACACAAAACACCCCACTACTTTGGATTGTCACTCTATCTGTTCTAATTATCCTGGTCTTCGATACTAGATTAATTACAATGTTCTTGAGATCTCAAATTCAAGTTTGATTAATAATTTAGATAACGGAACCTTTTACACCCTCATTCTGGAGAAGAAGAAAAAACCCTGCTAGATGGATTTGTTTATTACTTTTTTCTTTTTCATTCCCATCATTTTCATTTCAAAGCATATTGCCTTGCTTGTGAAGAGGAAAAGTGAATAGAGACAGAAAATGCAAGCTATGGACATAATTGAATAAATAAACCTTTCAAGGATAAGTACAAAAAGACTGAAGTAAAACAAGAATTCTTTTGTAACCTATTTGAATTCCATTATTTCGAATATTATTCTGATTAGGTTTAGATTTAAGGGAGATGACACCATGAAACATCACAAAACGATTTAAAGAGGGGGAATAGTAAAAGGTTTAATAATATAAATCAATATCCTCCAGTTTGTCACCTTGGTAACAAGGTTGATCAACTGGTTTTGCTGGTTACTAGGGATTCATTTTGTCTTATATTTTGCTTAATCTATTCTTTTCTCTCTGTGAGATGACTAAATGACAACCTGGAGAGGACCCTCTACTGTGCCTGGGCCGGCCTAGCTGAATTAACATCTCCAGAAATGGTCATTTTTCATTGGCAGTTAAAAGTTTGGGGGAATAAACTGGACAAAGACAGCATAGTTGGTGAAAATGACCTTATTTTTACATACACTAAAAATAATATGACTATGACATTTATCATTCTTAGAGCTTACTTTCTAATCATGGTTAACTTAATATTAGCGCTCATCAACCCCACAAATCTAGTGGATAATGTCAAAAAATTCTATCTTTTCTTTCATAACGTCAAACTCTATATGAGCACCAGATAATTTGAGTTATAGCACAGAATACTAGCATAACATCTTTATCGACCATGAATGACTGTCACACATGGCCAGAAAAAGCATGTAATAGAGAAAAGATAAGGATTTATGTCCGTATTAACATAAGCTACCAATGAGAGAGTGAATGAATGGTGAAATAGCCAACTTTCGATCCCGAAGGTCTCGAGCCTGAATACCAGCTCTGCTAATCAATGTTCCATAAACTTATTCAATCATGGAAGAGATAGCACCCCTTCGAAGTGTACCAGCAAAGTCCTCTACTTATAAGTTAGCTTATCAGACAAGAATGCTTGGTAAAACATCTATACTATACTAGTTCGAAAAACTAGTATGAGTTGATGGGTTGCAAATCGGGAGACCTTCGCATACGAAAGAAAAGCCACACGAAGATAACTGTGTCATTCACAAGAGTGTGGATAGCCCTCTCCCCTTGAGCTAGCTTTCGGATAAAAAAAACTTCACTTGCACCCAACAGTTAAGTCATAAGAAAGAAAAAGGATTCAAGTTTTATAACTTAAACAGCAAGATTAATTAGTAGACTATAAAAGACAAGAGGAGCCATTTCTTTCACTATAAAAAAATGGAGGGGAAACAATATACATAGGCGAGGCCGTCGGATGTGGCGTCGGAGGCGCCGCCCGTGGCCTTGGATTTGACAAAGGGAACCAAGTGGCTTGTGCTTGTCCTGGCCAGCAGCACTCAGGCGGCAATGTGTTCCTTTGTCCGACTCTCTTATTGTAGTAAAATTATTTAGAAAAAAAACACATGATTCAATTTTTTTTTTTTTTAACATAGACATATGATTCAATTATTTCAGTGAAAAGCGTACTTTATTTACCCTCCTTAATTCCAACTCTCACTCAACTTAAACTCCACAGACAAATCGTTCTATTTTGTCCAAAACCAAAATGTTACTTTGTTTCCCACCCTCTCTTACGCCTCGGCAGGTGGCACCCTTTCAACCAATCCAAGTTATCCAATTTTTAACCTACTTAGAATGACTCTTTCATCAACCAAAATATATCAGGTAGACAAACAATGATCTTCTAAAGTTTTTAAAATAATGAAATTGAACCAAAAATCGAAAAAGATGGTAATGAGAACAATACACGCTATTAACTATATAACGGTCATTTTTTAACATCATTTCAAAAAATTGACATGAACAATCCTTGCAAGAAATAAAAAAGAATATTGACCGTTATATTTTTATTGTGAAAGAACATGTAATAGAATGATATAGAATTCATTTTTAGACCTTTTCAACTCAAAAACATAAAATTCAATGCATTCATTCAATCTAATTCAACAAAAGCTAAAAACAAATGGTAACATGAGACAAACATAGTCGGTTTGCTTAACAGAAAATCTTTTGCCATCAAATTAGGAGTTAATTAAAGCTAAGAGTTTGACTTTTCAGTTTTCATAAACAGGGGAGTATGCATTATATAAAAAAAATTGCTCAAAGTTTTGTTTAATATAATCTGTACTGCATAGCTTTGGGATTATGTGATAGATACATAATTATCAGACAAACAGTAAGCTTCTTACAAACATGAAGTTATTGTTAATCAGCCAGCCAACTAGTCGTGGCTCCAATACAAAGTTCCAAATTTGAGATCAAAACTTTGGAAGTAGTCTAGATATAGGTCGAAAATCCAAAGGGTAGTACATGCCCTAACTTTTGGGCCAACACTGTGGTGGACCAGTCAAATGAATCCTCTCCTCACCTTCCCTAATATAGCTCCTACATTTAAGATTTTGACCTAATCTTCCTGTCAATTTCCAGGCATGGAAATCGGAATGGAAAGTGATGGTTGATTTCCTTATTAAATTATAGGCAGGGCCTAATTAAGGTGTTTTCTGATTCTAAAGACCACAGGCTTGCTATGGGGCTGATATGAGCTGATGAGAATGGGAATTGGGCTGTTAGCATTGGGCTTCAGCCCATTGAGAAAGGACAGATGAAATTGCTATAAAAGCCAGGGGAACAAAAGATCAGAATGTTTGTTCAGACAGGCTGTATTGTAATGAATCATATGGCAGGCAGAGGCTTGCAACTACCAAGAGTAGAGTGGCTTGTACCAACAGCAGAACAAAGACCAGAGTAGGGTGCATCTTTGAAAAACCATAGTGAGCAAAACAGGATGAAAACTATACTAAACGGGGCATAATACTTCAACTATAATGCTGAAATCAAGCTAGCAATACTTGATCTCTACTAATACGTAGTTGCACCAGTACACCAAGCTGGTGCAATAAGATTTCACAAACTAATCTTGTACCGAACAAAATCCTATATTAGACAGATAAGGCACAAGATAAAGCAACTATGGAGCAGTAAAGCCTTTTCATGACAGAAACAAACAAAACAAACAACGCGCCAATAGCTCCTCAACCTACTACGTATAAATAAGGCCACCCAAAATGGGTTATGGCTCTCTTATCAGAAGTTGAAAGTGAAATGACACAATGCACTAGCAGCTACCATTCAGCATTCATCAAAGCCATCTCTTCTCCCTCCCTCCTTCCTTTCCATTCCATTCCTACCACACCCTCACTTTGCTTTTATGACATCAACCATTAATGCTCAGTTCAGAGAGCCTGGCTACAGAAATGAGGCAAATGAAGGAAGAGGAGCAGGTAAAGAGAGAGGGAGAGAGTGAGGACGGTAAGCAGTTACTAGTTAGTACATTTTAGCTCTTCTTTCTCTTGAAGGTGCACTGTTTCCTTTGGTTTCTACAAGTGGGGGAGACATTCCCACTTTTAACTGAGCCCATGTGATTCATGGCTCTTTTGCTTGCTATTACGTAATGTTTTTTAAGAAAGACTCATATGAACTGCCTGAATCAGATAAAAATGAAGCCTCTCTATCTACTATCTGGTCTCTACTCTCTTATCCCCCCTCTCATAGTTATTGCTAACAACTACACCGACCAACCCACCCATGGCAGCAAGCATGTGTGCCATAAATTTCCATGGATAAGTGGCTTGTTGAACCAGACACTAATCACATAGCCCTAAAGCTCTACTTCCACACCCTTAACCACATTGTTCATTTTCCCTTCTGTGAGCCTATAAATTGCTATTGGCTTTTCCTCCCCCTAAGCAATAAAGAAAGAGCCTTCTACTCAAGCCCAACGGACCACTGAAAGCTACTCCCTCTCCCTACCGCTACACATCCTCCCTCCATATAGGCCAAATGATATTCACATGACCTTGTTTCTAGTGAGGGGAAGAAAAAGAAGAATTAAAATTCATTTTCTCCTACTTGTCGCTCAAAGCTGGAATTCACCAACTATTCTCTGCTGTTGTTCCGTTTCTTTATCCACACAACCTGAAGAAGAGCTCATCTTCTAGTAGTACATGGTAATGCTCTGAAAATTCTTTGCCACTAAAATCCAAAGCACTCACAAAGGTTGAAGAAGCCTTAGTGTGGGGAGAAGTCTATATTTCCTACTTGCTCTCATCTTGCCATGAATCATCCTGTTATTATTGTTTTGTTCGTCTCATCTTTGTTCACCATATCCCTGTCCCGAAAGGTTGAGCCACCCACTAGAAATGCCCAAATCAGAGTTATGGGGTTTGTTTATTGTGATATCTGCTCTAATAACAGCTTTTCCAGACACAGCTACTTCATGCCAGGTAAGACATTTTTCTTCTTGCTTATGAGCTGGTGTTTTTGTGGAGTTCATTGAGGCAATGTTTTGATGGAGGTTTTAGTTGTCTTCTTATGTGAAGTTTCTTTGTCAAACCAGGTGCAGAAGTTAGAATAGACTGCAAGTTCAAAGCAAGTGCACCGAAAACAAGGGAGCAAATAGCATTCTCAGTAAACAGGACAACAAACAGGTACGGAATGTACAAATTAGAAATACCAGCTGTTGATGGGATCGAGTGTGCAGAGTCGGCCATTGCATCTTCCTGCGAGGCAAGCTTGATGTGGACTTCATCCAAATCGTGCAATGTTCCTGGATACAAAACCACATCAGATGAGATAGCAATCAAAGCCAGAAAACCCAATCTCTGCATCTATAGCCTCAATGCATTGAATTTCAGACCGTCGAAAAACGAGAACTCTCTGTGTGGGCATTAGTGAAAGATCAAAAGGCTTAGAGAAGCCTGTTCTGGGACACAACAAAGTTTGCCTATGAATGAATTGACTTCTCCGTTTATTTTCATAGTTGCCCTCTACCTTTTTGTCAGTCTTGCAATCTGCCCTTCTGTTAACCCAGCGGAATCTATTCTTCAAACCCACGACCCAGATTCACCAAATTTATACTCAATTATCATTTGGGTTTCTGTGTTTCTCTTGGTTGATACTATTATGTCGGAACACTGTGTAAATGCAAATGCAGATATGTCAGTATGGACAAGCTTTTTCATCATTAAGCTTCTGTAGCCTATTAGATATACGGTCTTGTGGCTAACCACCAAGTAGTTACCCAAACAGAAGGTGCTAGTTAAAGGCACGAACGTACTTAAGGTTCTAGAATGGGCGGCACATCAAAATTAAGGTGCAAAACATCACGCATAGAAAGTGGGGAGAAGAAGAGGAATAAGAATTACCCCGGAGACTGTTTGATTCCAAGCTAGAGCTATCAGCTTCAGTCTCAGCCTTCATAAGTAAATGCATGCCAGCCTGAAACCAGTGAAGGGTCCTTCCTTCACACTGGTTCTTCTTCACAGATAAACAAACTAACACAGTAGCAGTTACTGGTCTAGCCTTGCTCTGGATTTGGTCTCCTCAGCTAAACAATCCAAGTTTCTCCAGACTTTAAACTGCCACCACCGTCATTTTGTTTCCTTCGAAGCGATAACCATGCAGAAAACAAGGAGAGGAAATTAGTCACGATACCACCAAATATTGGATCTCTTTAACAACTGTATAATCGACGTGCTCTTTCCCCTCCATCGTAATTCGTTCATATTCCTCGCCTTGTCATATTCTGTTTTATGTCAGCGGACTAATTCCTCTTTTCCCATCTTGCTCCAATTATGTTAGATTACAGTTTATGTTGTCCATCAGCAGGTTGCAACAATTTAACAGGGGGAAAACGACAGATTTAAGTGTGTCGCGTTTTGCCACCAGCTTCCTAAGAAGAGGACAGGCAGCCCACAATGCAGGCAGAATGAACAACAAAAGGGTATTTCAACAAGAAACAAAGATTAGAAGCTGCAAAATTTAACTTTTTGAAGGAACTGAAACAGGGCAGTCAAAGGAAACCTTTAACCAGTTATACATTAAAGCCATCATGCTTCCTACATAATACCCATTTTCGGCATGAGAGGACAGAGGTAATGTATTTGCAGACAAACATGCAGATGTTGTTCATCATGTAATTCTACTCCTTTTCCGCGTTCGCCACTCGAAACAATGTAAGAACAAATCAAGAAGGAAACAGGAAGATATCTAAGGGAACTAGTGGATCCCATTTTTCTCATCCTTGTTTGTTTCTTTCCCATTTGATTCCATCCAGAGATCTACTGTAGTTATAAGTAAAAGGACAAAGCTTTGATTTACCTGACTGATACTAATCCTAATCTGGATACCCCCATCTGTCTTCCAGATTATACCACCATGCAAGCACCTCAATTCTAAGCTGGAAGTCAAACGCAAGCTTAACTCACCAGAGACTATAAATGGAGTTGAACAAGAAAGCAGCCAAGACAAGGCCACTTGCTGAGATACAGAGCTCTTTGATTATCTCACATCTATAGGTGGCTTTTCCATGTGAATATTGAAATCAATCTTGAATTAAGAGTCGTCGTCTCTGTATTACCTCTAGATCAATCTCTTGAGAAAATTTTAGACCCATATCGTTATTCAATGCCTACCAAATCACAAGAAAAATGAATACTTCAATCCAATTAAGCCTGAGGACATAATGATGCTAATGTACAAATTTTCTGGTCCCTCACTGCCACTTCTCTTCGACTTCCCCCACACATTTCACCTCAGCAATCCATTAACATCTATCTAACATGGAGTGGAAATGACAGAATCGCTTGCCTACCTCATTAATACAAACATGCAATCCATTAACATCCAGGCTAGTTAAATCACATTTTTTAGGTCTAAATAGAAGGTCGATGCAATGAAGCGCTGAAAAACAAAGATAACGAAATCCTAAAATCAACAAGTAGACCTAACATTTCCACCATTAATGCAGGCAACGAAGACTTGGCCCAAAACACACCACACACAGAACGCTTGTAAACCATTGAGCCACATAATTGTTTGTACCTTCAGTAATCTAAAGAACAGAATTACATCCGTACCTTAGAGCGGGAAAACTCCTCCATTCGCAGACCTTCCGGTCGCCGTGCCTGTCCTCAGCTCGCTTCGACTCGCGGCGGTAAGTGGATATGTTACATCCGATCGTCACCGGCTGGCGACTAAGGAGACTGTCTGGATTGTGATACATCGGCGGCATTGGATTCGTACTTGCAGAAGAGGGAAATTCGTTGCGGAAGAGATTCGCGCTCGCTGGAATTTTCAAGCAATTTTTTGAAATCTGTAGGAGTTCTTGTGGCTCCTGTTTTGTTGGGGAGGACTGCGGAGGGAAGGCGTGGTCACGCGGCAAAGTTGCAAAAAGGTTTCCCCACGGGTTGGGCGGCAAAACTAGTCCAGTAAGGAAGGAAAGATGCCCAACAATGTAATGTTTGGGTTGGGGAATGTTGGTGGGCCTGGTTGGAGATTAATTTAACCAAAAGCCCAAAAGTGGTGATGGATTCATGTAATCATGGTAAATTAGTCAATTTTGTTGATCACCTCCTCATTTAATTATAAAAAAATTAGCCGTTTGATATCTAGCTATGAAATTCATAATTTTTATTATTATTTAACAATGTGAATAAATCTCGTTATGTGATTGGTTAATTATAGCTATAAACTGGAGATTACCAAGAATTAAATTTTGACCACCTTGATATTAGTTAATTTGTTAATCTTCTTCAAAGTTTTTCATCCAAAATAATTAATAGTTCAAACAGGTAAGTAGTAACATTTAAAAATACTTTAATAACATTAAAATATATTACAAAATATTGTTCCTCAATCATTTGAGTTTTGGTATATATTTTAAATTGTATTTCTAGTGTTATTTTCTTCTAACAAAATATAAAAATAAAGTAAAATTATAAATAGTATATCATCGATGATAAACATTCACATTCAAATATTAACAGATTACAACTAATAATCGTATTTGGTTCGAGTGAAGAATGCACATTCTATATATTTTTACCGCTCTTAATGTTCAATTCGATTATTTAATAATAAACATTCTCCCGCCACTAAACACCGTACCGTTAAAATCGGCAGTATTGCAGCGCCAAGATTAAGTGACTCCAATCACACCTCTGTCACCAACTTCTCAAACGTCTTCATCGCCGACGCCGGCAGCCCGAGAAACACACGCACCCCCTTCTTCCTCCCTTCCTCTTCCCCATCCGCCAGAAACAGAACCGCTTCCTTCCCCGGAAGCCCCACCGGCGCGGAGAAAAGCGGCCCGCCCCATCCGAAATCCGCCGTGTCGAATGCCAGCCTCGACCACGTCGTGATCACCAGAGTCGCCGCCATGGAAGGCCTGGCCCTCGTAACCTCAAAGTAATCGATCGCTGACCTCATGTAACCGTCGTCTACCATCCTTACCGACTCTCGAACAAGCCCCGCCGCGCGCGACAACGGCTGATTAACCAGTTCCCCTGCCTCGCAGATCGAATTCGTGAACACGATTCCGTTCCCGAAGTATCCGGTGGGCAGAGGAGGGACGAACTTGGCTCGACCGTCGACGGCGAAGATGAGCTTGGTGGGTTGATTGGGCGGGAAGTTAAGGGATTGGGTCCGCGCCCTCCACACAAACCCGGAAAGCGCTTCGAATGTGGAGCGTTTCTTCTCCGCCAGTGGGTCCACGTCGCCGCCTCCCGCCGCCGATTTGGATTTGAGGGTTTCCAGTTGTTCCAAGGTCAACGGGAAGGACTTGTGGACCATGGGATCTTCTTCTTCTTTTGGGTCTTCGAATTTGAGTTCTACATCGAGCAATTCGCCATGGACGTGGTCGATTTGGGCAGGGTTGCGCGACTTGAGGATGGTTCTGTCGAGGAACGGCGGGACTGAGAGCGGGAGGCCTCTGGCGATCTCTCCCCATGAGTTCACGAACTCCATTGCTGCGATTCCGTCGAATAGGCAATGGTTTATAGCCAGACCAAGCACAAATCCACCACATTTGAATTTGGTCACCTGATAGAGCAAGTGTTAAAATCCCTTTAGTATATCAATTCAAATACTTTGAAATCAAATCATATTGTTTCTTACTTAATGTGTTTTCTTGTCTGTTCAATGATAATCGATTATTACTAATAGATGTTAGAATTTTATACGTAAAATGTATGATTCTTTTTTAATGATTAGAATTCGTATGTGAAAAAATAAATGAAGACAAACTTTGAGGCTATAGATGTTATTCTATAGGCTCACAAAAAGGGTGGACCTTTTGTGTTTTTATTTTACAAACCTAAGCACAACCAAAACCCTAAACTCTAATAATTCTCAAGTCAAAACCTATTAATTTCCTACTAGTTCTCATAATTAAGGACTCCTAATGTGTTCATATGTATCTCCTCCAATAATCATGAGATCGAAGAGTAAAATCGTACTCGAAATTTAATCAACAAAATTAATAATTAGTCATGATATAATAATATATCATTTTGTGTGATGATATAATGATAAATTTGTACCCATTTTGATACGTATTTTAAAGGAGCATACAATCCCAACCGACTATGGTACCAACTACTAACTTCAAAATTTCAAAAACTTCAATCAAACCTAAAAGACCCCTGTTTTCAGAAACCACACAAGCAGAAAACCAAGAAGAGTGACAAAGAAATAAGGGGAAAACATAACCTGAGCAACAAGAGGAGGCATTTTCAGGACATTGCCAGCGGCACCAGGAACTTCGTAGACCAGCTTGCCAAGATTTTGGAGATCAGGGTTACTTCTAACATCACCAATCTCTTCCATTCCACACTCTGCCTCAGCTTCCACGAACAGAGCACCTTCGCCATTGCAGTCGACAACGAGCTTCCCTTCCGGCCCAATCGCCAGCCTCCCGGCGAGCGGGTAGTAATGAACGAGAACCCTCGCCAGAGATTTCCGTATCACTTCCACAGGGTCGTCTTCGTTCCCCTTCGCCGCCGGTTTGTAGCAGTAAATGGTGCGGACGATCACGGCAACGTTCTGGTCGAGGTTGGACAAGAAGTAGAGCCCTGTTTTGGTCTCCTCCGCCGGCGTGACCAGAATCGGATTGTTTTGGTGGACGGTGAGCTTGGAAACGATGCCATTTGTGGTCTCCATTGGAATGGGGAAATGATGGTTTGGAAGGGAGGGGGAAATGGAAATCAGGGTTTGTTTCTTTAAGGCAGGAAGGAAACAGAGCAAAGCAGAGCATGTGAGAGTAATAAATTAAAGCTTTTCCGACTGAAGATATTGGTGGGATTGGGTGAGAGTAGAGGCAACAGAGTAACCATAAATTGAAAGAAGCTAGTAACTGACTGGCTTCCTTTTTTCCAACTTTTTTTCTTCTCTTTTGAGAGGTGTGGTTGATGAATGAAACAGTGTAGAGAGGTAACTACTATTAGCCATTTCGATTTCACATGTGTAATCTACTTCTAGTCTTCTACCGTTCTATGGAGGTAATCCGAACTTAGTAATAATGTTGGTTATGGTGTGATTCTTTATCCCTATTTTTTGTAAAATAACATGAATATTAATGAAGATATCGGTAAAAATTATATATTCTTATACCAAAGAGAGCATATTAGATATGTGCAATGGCCCTACACTTTGATAAATGTTGTAAGAAGTTGTTATATATAGTATATAGTAGTACATTTGAGTTGATAAATGCCGTGAGAAGTTGTTATATAGAGGACATTACTAAGAAGTGATTGATGAGTGATGGAGATAGACTGAGTACGTGACAAATAGGGTGTGATTATGTTTACACATAGAGCTGTTGTTTCTTTTTAACATACATTGAACACATGTTTCTCATATATTTGAGTTCAACTTACAAATTACAATTTAGGTTTTCATGTTTTAGAGGTCTATTTATTTTTGTTTAATTGTTGCTTCTATAGGATAGTGTCTAATTGTCGCTAGCTTTGAACCCTACCAATTGATTAGAAGGAAGAAAATTATCTCGTTAAGATAACTTGGTGGTACACTCTAATTGAGTGACTGAAAACTAAATAAAAATCAACTTCCCTTTCAATTTAGATCGTTATATCTACAAAGAAAACAAATACTACAAGAAGAAGAAAAAAAAGTTACGAGAAAATTTGATTGGTTGTAGAAGGTGTTGACGTTAATGCATAGGAAGTGAGTAAATTTAAAATGATGATGTGTAACTTGGGAAAATTGTTTATGATATATTATAGATTTAAACTTTTAAAGTGATGATTTGATTTGCAATCAATATGTGGCATGAAATAATGATTATGATGATAAGACTTAATTAATTCTGCTAGCTTTGTGTTTCTCGAATATACATTAGGTTTGTTTGACTCATTATCAATGTATGGTTCATAATGATAGTTACGAATCACAATAGTTCACAGTGACTTAATAAATTATGACTAGTGACATGTAATTGTAATGACCTAATTCAACCTATGAATGATTTTATAGCTGGGTTGAGTTAGAATAACCCCTTAAAATATTTTTCATATTTGAGCAGTAAGATGACTTTACATCAATTTAGCACTTCCATATGATTACATTTTTACAGTAAAAAGTAATGTAATCTTCTCATTGATTTTTTTTCCCCAATGGGAGACCATATGTGTCCTACTCGTTTTGGGGTATGACATTGAGTGGCACTTTTTTGGCTTCATTTCTTCATATATGCTTACTCTATGTCATGATGGGGTGAACGTGGGTGGCGATTCAACAAGCTTTGCCATTCTAGGATGGCTTTTCCGACGGTTTCCCTCCCTACGGCAACCATCTATTCTCATTTCTCATTTGCCTAATTCCCCTCCAATTGCTTTGCCTAATTGAAAAGGTTCATTTCTATATCTCATTGGCTAGCACCTCAAAGGGTTGGAGTTTGCGAGGGGAAAAAACTATCCTTATTTGAAGGGAAAAAACAAAGTTACGAGGAAATCATGTTATCGACTCAAAAGCCCACATAGACAAACCTTTCATTTTTTAGTTGGGCTTTCTATTGATCTCAATGTCAATGGGCCCTAAAACACTTATTTTAGTCAGGCTTTCTATTCATACAACTAGGATGCCCAGGGTTTATAATGGCCCTAACACTTATTTTAGGCAATAGATGTTTTTTTTGTTGAAATATGGATTTAAAATAATCATATAATATTGAATTTAAGATTTTTGTCGATCAACGTAATTTAAAAAAAAATATTAGGATTCACACGAGCATTGTAACTAACTTACGTGTATTTTACACGAGTAAAAAGAAAGTTTAATAGTCATGTCACTTATGTAAGAATGCAAGATAAATATAAAATTTATTATTGAGAATAGACATAAATAGAATTTTTATATGATATTATATTTATTTTATCCCGTACGCATGAGTAAGTAGCTACTGTCTATCCATACTCTTTTACTTTATTACTCAAATTCTTAGTATTTAGTTTCTTAACCAAACCAAACCACACTTTTGATATGATATAATGTTACACACTCCAAAGGGTTACAACACGTTCAAGAAGGAAGCTTAGTTCCATAAACTTGACTTAATTAGTGTACTTACGTGGATCGATGAGAGATCCAAACTCGGTGCCCATGTTTCATATTGAGCATAGTGGACATATCTAAAGAAACAGGATGACCATCCACCACCCAAATCTTGTACCTCCAGAGTATGGCAGCCGCCACAATCTTCAGTTGAATCAAGCTCACTTCTTTACCAAGGCGACTCCTTGGCCCCCCATTAAACGTCGCAAATCGATGAGATGGCACAAGTTGGATTTCTCCTTTCTCCATTATCCACCTCTCTGGTTTGAACTAGTTGCAATCTGAACCCCACACGTTTGCGAAGAACCAATCATTCTCAATAACTCAAACTCGCGAGAGAAATTGAAAATTTGAAAATGCATATCTCTATAATGTTCAACATGTTGTTACCTTCCATCCTTGCCATTGCATATGCTGAAAAGAAGTGGCCACTCGGCAACACATCTGCCTCCATCTCCCATTTATGGTTGATTGGTAATGGTGGATATATGACATAATTGAGAAATGAAGAAGAAGAAGAAGAAGAGAAGAAATCCAAACTGAAGAAGGATTGCAGAAGAAGAGAGGGAACGAAGTTGTTTTGTTTTATTACTCTCTGTTAAGGTGTTGCGACACCGTTTCTCTATAATTGGGATTAGCCGTTAAGACACTGTTTAAGTGTTTAAATGTAGCCAGTGTTGTAATGACACATGACAACCAACTGTAATCCTGGATTACTAGCTTATATAAAAGAACAGAGCAACTCACTGCTGACTCTGAGATTTTCGACCATTTCTAAACCCTAAACAACAAAATTTTCATGATATCAGAGCGGCCTTCCTAGGGCCGATTCCGCAGCAGGATGTCCGGGCAAGCCGAGGCGGAGTCAACAGATGAAGCTCGGCGTGCCAGTGGCGCCAGCATGAATTCTACATTTGGGTAAGCTGGAGATAACCAGAAGAATGTGTCTTAACATCATTGTTTTCCAAAGTCACAAAAATAGAATTATTCAAAACATGCTGTGGAGGCCCACGACCCACACCATCCAGCTCCTCGTCCCGCACTCCTATCGGCGACCTCCGATACTTGTCCAGAACAAACACGCGACCCTCTTTCTTACCCGTTCCCATAACCTTCCCGTTTTTCTGATCCTGCACAACACAACCGTGATCATTAAACGTCACGACACACCCATCTTCAGTCAACTGCCCAACTGAAACCAGACTAGGAACTAATTGCGGCACATATAAAGTATTAGCCAGCTGAATATCACCAGTGTGAGCTGTCCCAAGGCCAGAAACAGGAATATGAGCCCCATTTGCAACTTGTAAGGAGCGCATATGGGTCGGTTTAATGGAAGAAAACCTCGTAAAAGAATGAGTCATATGGTTAAATGATGCAGAATCAACCAACCAATGAGGGGTATTACCTGAAGGGTTAGAAGTGGCAAAGGAAGAATTCAACATATGTGGAATTGCCTCTTGCAATGCCTCGGCCACCATTTTGCGAACATCTGCAGAAGTGAAAATAGCGCTTGTGAAAGGAGAGGATGCAACAGGCGCAGATTGCTCTGGAGCAGCCGGAGAAGTGACTGCATAACTCGGACCTGAAGACCCAGCAGCGCGAGGTTGATGATTTGGACGATAGCCTCCTTTCTTAGCCAGCAACTTGCAATCCAAGATGACATGGCCAGTCTGTTTGCAAAGGCTGGTCTCATTGCAGAAGTGACAAACCAGTGAGCTAGAGTTCCCCTGTTGAAATTGAGGAAGATGAGAATTACTCTTGCCAACTGCAAAGGCTGAATCACCAGTAGTAGAATTATCCAGCTTGGCCTGACTCCTAAGACGAGTCTCTTCCCTGAGTAACTCAGCAAGGGCCTCTTCTACACTGCTCACGTGACGATGAAAAAGAGACGCACGCAGGGATTCAAATTCTGGACGAAGTTTGCTCAAGAACTGCATAAAACGAGAGCGAGAACGCTCCTGTAACACTTCGGCAGATGCAACAGCAGAAACAAGAGAAGTTGTAAGCATGTCATATTCAGTCCAGCGTGTCATCAAGGATTGGTAATAAGACCGAATATCACGATCACCATGATGAAAAGAAGAGACTCAGTCTCGAGCTCAAACTGACGAGCAGCATTATTCTGCGAATAAGTGGCATGGAGATGCTTCCACATCTCCGAAGCTCAAGAAAACCTCCGGAGACTAAGCGTCGTACCAGGATCAACAGTAGCAAGTAACCAATAAATCACTTGGGCATTACCCGCTGCCCAATCCTCAATATCCTTAGTCGATGACCCAACAACAGGTTTGGGAAGAGTCTCATTCAAAATCGTTAGCAGACGCTTTCCTTCAACAAAGGTGCGGAACTGAAATTCCCACAGTGGGAAGTTTGTTCCATCAAGCTTTGCTGGCACAGAATCCATTTTTCCCATATCCATAGTAAAAGACTTAAAAGCAAGATAATCCACCAATAAAGTAGCAAAAGGAGCCGAGAATAGGAATATACCCTTGGCTGCCCGACGCAAGACGAAGACCCGCAGAAGGTAAAATAGGCCGGAGAATAACCACAATTGACCAAGCTGAGCTAAATGCTGATGATATAAAGAAGACCCGCAGATGGCTAAGTACAGGCCGGAGAGAAGAAAATTAAATCAGCAATAATACCAAGCAACCGGCGAAACAAACTTGGGCAGGCAATAAACAAAGCTGCCAGCGAAGTCCAATAGCGGCAAGCAATAACCAAGCTACGCAAATACCAACCACAGCGAAAATCAATAACCAAGCTGCGTGCGATGCGAAGACCAACAACGTCGAAGCAAAAAACCAAGCTGCTTGTGCGAAGACCAACATCGGCAAACACGTTCCACAAATTAGGATTAGACTGTAGGCTCTGATACCATGACAATTAATCAAAGCATAGCTTAATCGAAAGAACACACGAGGTTTTTTAACGTGGTTTCGTCAATATGACACTAGTCCACGGCGAGGATCTCCCTCACAGGTTTTAGGCTTTCTTATTTTCATCACAATCAACGTCACATACAACTAGCTATATATAGGTTTGCTAACACAAACCCTGACTACATAATTACATATTGGTACCCATACTAATATAATCAACAGTAATAACCAAACCAAAAAACTCTTTTACTGCAATATATAAAATAGTACACTTAGTGATAACCAACCAAGAAGTTGGCGCAAGCTAGCTAGGGTTTCGTGAACCCCCAATACATATAGTCAAGTCGATCGCCAAGAGACGCTAACTCGGAGTTCGTTTTCCATTTGGAGCACTGTCGACATGGTATAAGAAACACGATGACCTTCCACCACTTGGAACTTATACCTCCACAGTATAGCAGCCACCACCATCTTCAACTGAATCAAGCTCACTTCCTTGCCCAGACAACTCCTTGGCCCTCCGCTAAACGTGGTGAATTGATGCGATGGCACGTACCGAATCCCTCCTCTTTCAGTTATCCACCTCTCCGGCTTAAATTCTCTGCAATCTTCACCCCATATACCTGTCCAAAATCAATTCAGTTTGATTATCATAGCTCATCACCAATTGTTTTTCCTTGGTAACTGGATAATAAACAAAATATCGTCGCATATGTCATACCTTTCATTCTACCCATGGCATACATCGAGACGTAAATCCTCGTCTTTGCTCTCACACGATGGCCACTGGGCAACACGTCTGCCTCCCTTGCCCACTTGTGGTTCATTGGCGTGGGCGTGTGTAGCCTCAAGGTCTCCGCAACCGTTGCATGCAAATAAACCAAGCGGTTTACTTCTTCCTCACAGTAAAGGCGGCTCTGTCGACGTCTACATGACGAATGGTCGTCGTCGGAATGATGTGGTGCCGGTGGATTGTCAGCGAGCTCGGCTAGGACCTTGCTCTCGACGCGTGGATTGTTGGCCATGCTCCAGAAGAACCAAACCAGGGCAACAGCTATTGTGCTTCTACCCGCCGCCAACAGATTAATGACCATGTCACGCAACAACTTGTCGTCCTTGAATGTGGAATATTCGACGACGTCCTCCTTTCTCGTCTCTCCCTCGATGTGAGCCGTGAGTAGGTCGACTAATTCTTCTTTGTCCATCGTTGTCTGTTGTCTAACGATTTTTTCCCGTTTGGAGGAGATGAAATCATAGAGAAACTTGTCGAATCTTTCGGTGGCCACCGCCAACCACTTCTCCGCTCCGAGACCAAGCAACCTCTGGAGCTTCCACATCGTCTCGGGGACGACGTGTCGTTCGAACATGCCTTTATCTATATCGTCGAAAGCTTTTGCTAGTGGGACATCTTGTAGGTCAATGTTTAGAGAACTCGGATTATATCCCAACACCGTCATGCAAATAACATCGAATGTGAACCTCTGAAACACATCTTGTAGATCTACAATTTGGGACTCATTTTCTGCCAGGTGATCGAGAACTGGAAAGATCCCATTCTCCAACTTGTCATGGGCTGCCTTCTCCATTAATAACCTGTACCTGCGACAAGCATTACCGTCCATATTAAAGGAATGCTATAAATCAAATTTATTCCTTGGTGGACCCTCTTCCAATAATACGCTAGCTGCTGGGACCAGCTAGCTAGTTGTGCTTGTGAGTAAATTCTACGCGACATATATATAATTGAATATTATTTCGTAATAACTCGAGTTATTGGGATCAATTGTTTCTTAACATGATATCAGAGAGACTTATGTGATAGAAAAATCTTCTTTCGGTGACACCAACCATTTGTTATATATGCACATAATGTTCTAATGTTTGTGCAAAATTCAAACACATATGATTGGTTTTCATTTCAGTGACGTGTTAGTAAATGATATAAGATACATAATTGAACTTGTTCCAACAACTCAAATTATTCATACCAACTGATAGTAGTTAGATGTGTCACCTTTTGTTTTTCATGAGTAGCTGGAGCGTCTTCCTCTGGAAAACCCACGACTCGCCGTCCACGGCGAAGATCCCATTGGGGCCGAGCGGCTAGAAGATCTCCTTCATGATGGGACCCTTGGGATAGTTCCTGAAGTTGCAGCTCATTATGTGTCGGATGTTGGCCGGGTCGCTAGTGATGATGCTGTCCATGTCGGAGAACCACAACCCTTGCATCTCCACCGTGCCGCCGTGTTTGATTAGTCGCTCGGCCAGGTAGTCGTGGAAGTTCACCATTTGGCAGATGAGCGTCGGCAGCATCCCGATCACCGGCCAGTTCGTGCCGAGGGGCGGCACCGATGCAGGCCTCATGCGGGCGCGTTGCCAATGGACTACTAGGAAGCCGGCTAAGGCCGCTAGAAGAGCAGCAAATGTGTCTTTGTATGTTAAAAGCTCCATTTTTCGTCTTGAATATATGGTCTCTAGTTCTAGATGGTGTGCCTTAATTTATAGCCTACGTGATAACAAGGATATGCACCGACGTTTGTTAGTAGGAAAGACCATGGGTTGGCTAATTACATTATCCATATAGATAATGGATAGATTCCATATGGATTCATATACATTTTCGATGCTTTTAGATTTGGACTGGATTTAATTGGATCCACTCATTTGGATTAGAATCTAATGAGTCTATTTGATTTTAGATAAGAGTGCTTTTCTAATCCACCAAAAACAAAATCCATATGTCCAAAGCTTAAAGACAAGGCGTAGTTCTTCATGTAATCAATAAGAGCGGTGATGTACGGGCTTTCACATTAGTAACCTGTCCAAAAGGCATCGATGTGTGCACAAAAGTGACTTCCTCGACCCATAACCTTCTGGTTGAGTGGGTGGGACGAATCAAAGCCCACTTGGAAAGCATGCATGGCCTATTCCGCCTAACTAATTATTAATTACTTATTAAAAAGTCAAACAAGTGAGTTATTATTCACTAATGGCTTCCAAACTCTTCCAAGTACAATTAGCCAACCTCTATGCAGTTTGCTCTCCTTCACTCGCATATCCTTCTATAAGCTTCAAAAATTTGGCAGACCTCCCATTACCTCATTCTCCCATTTCATAACCTTCGCTTCCGTCCACTAGGTTTGCATTTATTTTCCACTGGAATTTTCAGTGCAGTTATTATCCACTTGGTTCACAACTATTGTCCCCTAGTTTTCCCAATTGCTAATTTGCTATTACCCAAATTAATCTTTCATTTTCTCAAATATCTTCTTCCTCTTTCAGTCTTTCTTCAAACCTTCGCTTCAAAACGCCTTCTAATTAACCTGCCTTCCACGACTAGAACCTTCCTTACCTCTGATTCGTCCAAGACAGCAGCTCTGTCTTACCCCCAGTTATCCACCCTACCTCATCGACTCTTCTCTTTACCCGTTGGGCACTGCCGCCAAACCCACCTCATCGTCTAAGAGAAATCTTAGCATTTGCTAGTAGGTATAGAATTGGGCGATTTCCGTACTAACGTAGATGGTCACCTTAATTACGAGCAACTCGATCGATTCATAATTTGAAATTTGTATATTCAAATATCATGTGGTTAATATAAAGGTGATCGAGATTCAAAAAGTAAATCCTATCGATTATCAAAAGGTTCATTATTATGCCAAAATGAACTGATACTAATGATTCAAATTGTTGGAAGAGACCGGTATGTATGAACCATTTACCCACATTCCTATAAAAGAATGATAGGATTGCACTCCATCAATGGAAATGTTCTTATTATTTGAAGTTTATTTTCGTTATTGCTACCTTCTATCTTACAATAGCAATTTACAAAGGCCCGAAATAATTTTTAGGTTTAATTCACCTGCATAGCAATAACTTTCACGATTTTTGACAAATATAGCCACGTGGCTAAGTGCATCCGGTTGGTGATGACGTGTCATCCATTTGGCGGACAGATAAGCAAAACGTCCACTTAACTTACGGAGATGTTAACTCCGTCAAATGTTTTAAGGGAAATGACTACATTAGTCAAAGATGTTTGAAAAGTATGACTACATCTGTGTATTATTCAAAAAGTGACTATATTTGTTAAAACCGTGAAAGTTATGACTATGCGGGTGAATTTAACCTAATTTTTACCATACTTATTACCAAAGAGTGTGCATATTTTATAACGCCACCGGACCAAACTGTCTATACGAAATTTTGATATATAGCAAGGCAATCGGGACCAAGGCATTCAATCTTCTTGGACAAAACTTTGTCTTCCTTCCTTGACTTGGCCCATTTTGTTGGTGAAATCGTTGCATCTAAAGACTAGAGCCCACGTCGCTAGATGTGGCTATTTGGTACGGGTATTTTGGTTTTACTCGAAACCATATCGTATAACCTGGATCGAGATCGGTTCGGGATCGAATAGTAAAGAATTCAATCTCATATTTGGGTTTAGATTTGAGGTAAAAAAATTATTTTGGGACCGGACCGTAAACCGGATAAGAGAGTCCAACACCCAAAACTTGACCAATTCCTCACCCTTTCATGCTTCGGGTCACTCAAATCCCCACAAGTTTAATCTAAAATCTTAACCGAATTGGAACCGGACCGGATCAAAACCGGATTGTATCCACTCCAATATTTAATCCTTATATTCCCGAACGGACGAGATCAATTCGGGCCAATTAAACCAGACCAAACTGTATCGCCACCTCGCAATTGCATAGAGTTTAAAACCGAACACAAACAATTATATTATTGGTCATGGTGATGAAGTGATGAACCTCCAGCTCTTCCTCAGTATTATTTATAGGGTCCAGCCAGCCAAGTACTTGATGATGGAGCCGGTGATCATATCAGACGTGGCAATTGGGATCAATGGATTGGTAACTATTTTGCCACCTTTGATCTGATCACGATTGGTGGATTTATGCATCCATGATTCAAATAGCAAATTATGGTCTCGTACTTATATTTTTTATCCTTTACTTTTTGATATCTAACTTTTTTTATTAAGATATTTTAGTACCTAAACTTTTCAAAATTTATATTTTGGTCCAAAATTTGGATGTCATTTGGATGAATCAATCCACCAATTCATGAATTCAATCCAATTCACACCTCTAAATCAGAGCGTGCCAAAAGAAGGTTGCTAATTAATGGATGAACCAACACGCCAAGTTGATGCACTCTCGTTTGTGTATCATTTTCTTGGAGATTTCGACTACTTCCTTCTCATGCACAATCCAATAGGTATTTACTGAGTTACTATTTCAAATGTTATCTCATACGTACGTTAATTGTTGGTATATGCAATATAATTATGGATTTAATTTGATATATAAGTTATGTTGTATCTATGAAGAAATTGTCTCTCGACTGGGTAATTTAATTTACTCCAAGGTAAATTTTATATAGATATTTAGCGATTGATCAATGATAGATTTTCTACAGAAAACCATTCTTCAATTATCAAACCAATTCATTTTTATCATAAGAACATCATAATAGTGGATGCTTAACAAATGTAATATAATTGTTGATTAGCAACATACCATCTCAAATCAATACATTATATTATGCTTACTAATTAATTTGCCGAACCAATTCTTCAAAATTCTCCATGGCAGAGACAGGCAGCCCCATGAACGCATACATACACATCTTCCCTTTCTCTTGACGAGGAAGGAACAATATCCCTTCATCCACAGGAAGTTCCACTGGACCGGTCGAGATAGCCTCACCCCAACCAAAATTGGTTGAACCAAAAGCCAATCCTGACCACGTGCTCGAAATATATGTAAACCCTAATGGACGGATCACCCTTCTTATTTCATTATAATCGATCGTAGATCTTAAATGCTCATCATTCACCCGGCGGATTGCCTCTTGAACTAATCCGACCGCGTAAGACAATGGCTCATCCACGAGGTCACGTTCCAGACACGTGGCGGCCGTGTATTTTATCGCATTCCCAAAGTACCCTTTTGGCAGCCGAGGCTCGAACTTGTCTCTAACGTTCACGACCACGAGCACCCTCATGAGCTGGTCACCCCACATCCTGAGTGCCTTGGCTCGAGCCTTCCACACGAAAGCCGTGATCACCTCGTAGGACGAACATTTGTTGTTGGTGATCATCCTTCCATTTCGATCGCTATAAGGAGCCATTGATTCTTGCTTGATCTTACAGATCATGTCCTGGTCGAACCGAATATAGCGGTAGACTACTTCCTCGCCGGTGATAAGGTCAGATGATATGTTCGGTAACGTGTCATACTCGGAGTGGTGGTGTTCGAATCTGAGTGGAGTTCGAGCTCGGAGTAGGGTTCGATCGAGAAATGGTGGCAATGATAACGGAAGCCCTCGGGCAATCTCCCCCCACGAGTTGACGAATTCGACTGCTGATATTCCGTCGGCCACAAAGTGACTGAAGGCCAGTCCTAGCGCAAATCCTCCACACTTGAATTTGGTCACCTATAAGGACAAAGTCAGCCTTTTCCACCGTGTTTAAGATGTTTTAACATACTTTGAAAATGGAAAACGTAGAAAATAAATAACACACATATTTACGTGGTTCATTAACACGATCAATGTTAGCTAGTTCATAGAGATAAGAGACCATTTTTATTATATTTGAAAAGATACATATTATGAAAAATTACAAGATATATATGTCACCTTCTCCACACGATGAGATTCCGTGACTTCGAACAAATAATATGTTTTTATGCAAGTAAAAAAACTTTATGGGAAAGGGAGTATGCGAAATTATTACCTGAGCCATGAGAGGTGGGTAATCCATAGGCCCCGTTGCTCCATCAATATCATAAACGAGCTTCCTGCGATTCACAATATCTGGCTTTGTAAAGTCGCCGAGCTCTTCCAACTCACAATCAGCTTCAGCCTCAACAAACACCACCCCTTCGCCGGTGCAATCCACGACGCGCCTGCCATCGGCGTCGAAGGTCATCCGGCCGGCGAGAGGGTAGTAGTGGACGAGGACTTTGCTGAGGGCAGTTTTCATCACTTCCCAGGCATCGTCGTTTCCTCTATCATCCGCCGACTTGAAGTTGTATATTGTCCGGACAATGGTGGGCTCGTCGTCCAAATTGGTCAGGAAATAGAGACCCTTGGGCGTTTCGTCGGCTGGAGGGACCAAAGTTGGTTCCCTTATTAGTTTCACGTTAAGTATCGATGTTGCTTGGAGCTCATGATCATGGTGGCCATTGCTGAATCCACTTGAGCTCACCATTGTTGAAGCTCCCGGAAAATACAGACTTTTGGAGAGAATTTTAATGGGAATGTGTTAGGTGAGATGTTGTGGTATGAAGATTGATAGAAAATGAGGTTAGGTATATATAGGGATCAGGAGAAGGTGACAAATCTATCTCAAGTTTGTTTGAAGTTTTGATGCCAGTTCCAACCCATGTACTATTTTTTTAGAAGTTCAACCCATGTACTCTATAGATCTATAGATATATAAACCCATCTACTCTATAGATCTAACAAACAGGTTCTTAATTATATGCTATGATTGTTATACATTAATTATTAGAATATATGCATCTTTTTATTTAGTTCATGTTGTAGTATCTAGATATGAATGTTTAAAATACATAAAATACAGCTACTAAAACTTTCATTACCCTTTTCACAAATACAGCTAGTAAAACTTTCATTACCCTTTTCACCTTGTATAAAGAGAATGAATGGATTATGTCATTCATAACCTTTCATGCATAACAATCATGTTATAAAATACGTTGAATTGAACTCTGAATTACACCGAAAAGGTGATATCGTCACTCTACTATTTGATGTTGTCAAAAGGGCCAAGTAAATACATATAATTAACTACTTCTCTAGACTTTTTCTTCTTTGCACTTGTCAGGTTGATTGTATCTATCACTAGGTCAAATATTGTAACTTTGAAATCTTACATGATCATCTACTGTGATGTATAAGGATAACTATTGAGGCGTGGACCTTCTTGCTTATCTATATCCATTATAAAATGGTAATAGGTATAAGATGCCTCTCTACTGTGCAGTTTTATCAAATATGTCCCTCTACTATTTTTTACATCAAACATGCCTCTGGACTTTGGATAAATGATCAAACATGCTCTTATGTTAAATTTTTCATGAAAAAAGAACCCAAACAATTCTAAATTGAAATTATCAAGGATATTTTAGACATTTGTGTCGTCCAAACCAAGGTTCAACCATGGGTGACGATTTTTGGATGGAAATTTTAACAAAATGACATATTTGATCATTTTTCCAAAGTACAGCAGCATGTTTGATGTAAAAAATAGTAGAGGGCATATTTGATAAAACGACATAATAAAGATGCATATTATACCTCTAACCCTTATAAAAAATACACAACTTACATAAAAAAAACCTAACTACTTCAATGGGTGCATGTTGAACGGATTCTAAGCAACATATTCTTGCGCGAGGCCTTAGGATCAACTCATTTTTTGTGCATATATATATGCTGATCTTATGTAAGCACTGATTTTTTTTTCTTTATAATTTTGAGAAGTTGACTCTAGGCCATGTTAACGACTTCTTAAACCCGTGTTTTAGTTATGGTGCTCAATAATGTCAACTCATGGGAATTTATTAATTTCAATCCAAACCTTTCATTGTTGTCCAGCTGGTTGTAGAAGCAATCAACGTTCCTTCACCAATTAAGCAATATCAATCAAGTAATTGATGATTGTCCCATCAAAACCAACCAATTGATTGTCGTTTTTCGGTTTTGAAAACCCAACAAGCTAAGTAACCAGACACGACCAATGTGCACCGGATGAAAAATGCTACAAGTCTAACTAATTACTGAAGCAAACTGTGCAGGTTAATTAGCAGGACTCGAAAATACGATCTGATAGTACGTACTCTATTATCTGTATGTAGGTAGATTGATCATCATTGACGTGCCTGATGATTTTGGCTCAGCTGCATGCATGTCTTCCTCAACTTGTATATGGAAAATCCCTTGTGTGGTCTAGTTTGCTAGCTTGAGCAATTAAGCAGCAAGTAGTGTAGATAAATGACTCATGACTGGTGACTATGAGAGGAATCCTAGTAGACCTGGCAAATTACAACTCGATCCGTTGACCCAAACCGAAACCGCCCGAAAAACTATAAATTTTTGTAACCCAAAATCCGAATGACCTGAACCCGATAATTCGTGATTTTTTGGGTTGGGTTGGGTGGGTTAGCGGGTCAACCCGTTAGACTCTTTCTGTTTTATATATCACTCTCAAAATGATAAAATCACTCATAAATTGGTGAGATGTTAAAAAAATCACAAGGATTTGAATGACATGTTTGGAGTTTAAGGATAATCAAACATCATGTGTTTCTTGTAGTATTATTACTCTTGTGATTGATTTTTGACGATTTGCGCAATTTGTATTTCATTTCATTAGCGTGGGAGGATTTGAGAATATGTTAATTGACATGTGTTAGGTAACTATTGTCATGCATATGTAAAAATTTGTGTTCTTTAAGAAAATATGAAGCATCTTTGATATTGTTTCTGAGAACGCTCATAACCCGAAATGATCTGTAACCCAACCCGACCCGTAACCGAAATCGCCAAACCGAAATTACCCAACCCGACCCGATTGTAAGGATTCCCCAGCGGCTAGGGCCCAGATCTCTTCTTACATTCACTCAAATTATCAGGAAAAGATGGGTTAATTGACTTTTCACACCATGAGTGACAACGAGAGGAACCTCTACCCACTAGGGCAGAGACAAGTCACAAGGACCAACCTAGGGTAGGTCTTCAAACTAACAATTCTATGAGTTTGTTGTGAAGTGTTTTAATTAAAAATTATTTGTATACCATTCATTATAATTGTTTCTAAATAGCATGGAAGCTTGATCACTCGATGTCATATACTTGTATAAATTGATCATATATTCAGTGGTTTAAATTAATTGTTGATCATTCATTTAGTTATCGAGATTGATCACATAACACCATTATCGTTTCATTTCAAGATTCTCATATTCTGTAAATGATTAAAGTTTTTAATGATGACATCATTTGACATCAAAGCTTTAAATAATCATTTGATCACTATTTATAAGAGAATCATAAAAAATATATTTTCTAACCTCTTGTAACAACTCAAATTAATAAAGATAAAAAAGCTACACCCATATGATCACAAGCTAAGGAGTCTAGCGAGAATATGTGCATATAGTTGTAATGACTAGATTTTAATTTCTTATGTTTATGTTCTCTAATGATTTTATACCTACTTATTTTCGACCATTTTGGTAGGGGGCCGATGTTGTAGCCTTGTAGGCTTTAACGTTGAATTCAAGTGCGTGGCGCTAGTAATTGATTTTTTTATCATATGACTTTATAATAGAATATGAGTCATACTTTGTTCGTTTACGTCCCCGTATTTTTTTTACAAAAAATAATCATATATATTAATTATAAAAATAAATAATTACATCCTAAAATTTAATCAAGTCATAAAATTAAAGAAGCGACATATAATGGGATAGGTTAGGGTGGTTACTCAATTTTGAGTAATCACGGTGGCTACCAACATCTATACCATTCATTATCTTTATTTTATTATAATTGTAAATTAATGATTAAGATTAGCTAAGGGTAATTTAGGAAATGAAAAACATACCACACCTGATTACTGTATATATTTTACTCAAACCCTAATACCTAGCCGTCGTCTCCTCCCTTCTCTCCCTGTCGCTCCCGCTATCGATCAACCTCCGCCTCTCCGACGCCATCAAATCCGCCATCGCCTCCACCCCTTCCCCTCTCCGATCAACTTGGTATTGACTCTGCGACGCCATCAAATCCGCCACCGCATCCTTCATTCGAGAATCGAGAAACCCTACTCCGCAGACTTCCACCCAAAGGCCAAAACCCAGCTTCCACCCTAATCCGCCACGCCATCAAATCTGCTTCCTTTCTCTTCTCCCTAATCCGCAAACTTCCACCCAAAGGCCAAAACCCAGCTTCCACCCTAATCCGCCATGCCATCAAATCTGCTACCTTTCTCTTCTCCGCAGACTTCCACCCAAAGGCCAAAACCCAGCTTCAAGCTTGAAACTCCATCTTCTCCGCAGACGACATTCGTAGCTCCGGCTGCCGCCGGTTCTGGAATGGTAGTGTTATGTTTGGAATGGTAGTTTTTTTGCTGTTTTGAATTGTAGTGTTATGTTGGAATGGTATTCTTTTTTGCTGTTTTCTTTCATGCATTGGTAGTTTTCTGCATACATGTGAAACCGTGCTTTTTGATGTGATTGGTATTGTTCTGTTCGAATGGTAGTTTTTTAGTTTTTTTGAATGGTAGTTTCCTTTCATGCATTGGTAGTTTTCTCCATACATGTGAATCTGGTAGTTTGATGTGGATTGGTAGTCTTCATTTGGATTGATAGTTTTATTACTGTTTTGAATTGTTGTGTCATGTTGGATTGGTAGTTTTTTACTGTTTTCATTCATGCATTGGTAGTTTTCTGCATACATGTGAAACCGTGCTTTTTGATGTGGATTGGTATTGTTCCGTTCGAATGGTAGTTTTTTAGTTTTTTTGAATGGTGGTTTCCTTTCATGCATTGGTAGTTTTCTCCATACATGTGAATCTGGTGTTTGATGTGGATTGGTAGTCTTCATTTGGATTGGTAGTTTTTTCCCATGCAACGGTTGTGATGCTTGATTAATGTTAAACGACTTACCTCCCATTTTCCCAATTTTAGGAATGGCAAGAACCCCAGTCGTATGGGCTCAAAACACAAGGAACCTGTTACCTACAACAGTCGTCAGGTTCAAGTTGGAAGTGGGCAAACCTCTGCCCTTGATGAAGCTGTGCCGCAGAAGGATATGGGTAAATCTAAACCACCTGGGAAGAAGTGCAGCCCCGCATCGATTATATCAATTGTCGAGAATGGTATAACAAATGCAAGGATAGAACTAATAAAGAAGCTCGGATTGGATTTTGTTTACATCCAAATCGAGTCTCGCCCCTCTTCCTCTTCTTATTAGGTTATGTGTCTACCACAACACCGACACTCTTTGGATCCAGCGTGCTCCCTGTTTTGAACCCTTCTTTGTTGCACCGTGCTCCAAAGTAAAACACCTTCCGTTCCTTAAGATATTTGGGTTTTCGAGTCTGTTCTCCAATACGTCTTACTCCAAAACCCCTCCAGTGTGCGAAGTCTTTGTAGAACTTGACAAATGCTTCCCTATTTTCAAATCTCAAATGCTGCCATGTCGATTTGTCGGCCGGGACAACTTTATACACCTGATCTGCAATTTGTAAAACAACAATTAATCACTACCATTCCAATAACTCATACTACAACTAACAAAGCACTACCATTTTTTACAAATATGCCAAAAAATAACTACCATTGTAGTAGCTAATACAAAAGTCAGAACCAATACCAATCCAATCAAACGAATACCAATGCGATACGAACTACCAATAACAATCAAACCTATACCAATGTAAGGACTATCATTATTCCTAAACAAGTACGTAACAATACCAATCCGAAACATGTATGCAGAAAACTACCACTGCATGAAAGGACTACCACTGCATCAAAGGACTACCACTGCATGGAATGGGGCGGAGGAGGACTTTGGTGATGTGGAGGCGGCGGCGGAGGGGATTGCGGCGAGTGGTAGCTGGGTGTTGGCGGCGGCGACATTGTTGGTGCTGGCGGCGGGAGCTCACATCCGGGCTTCGATGGTGGAGGAGGCGGTGGCGGTGGAGTTGTGCATGGAACTCGGCGGTCGCCATTGATGCAACGTCGGCGATGATGCAACGCCGGCAAAAAAAGGTGGACTTCGAAGTGTACACGGCGGCAGAAATAGGGCCGGCCAAAAAACGTGGCATTCGAAAAGCCCTACGCTGATTAAACTACCTAATAATTAATTACCGTAATTATCTCTTCCTAATTAATTGCGTAATTAAAATGGTAGTTTGAATTAGGATGGAAGCAAAATACCCTTCTTATCCCTAGTAACCACCGTGGTTACTAACACGAAGTATCCACCATAACCTGTCCCGACATATAATCGAGTACAATTAAAGGACTTTTTTAGCCCCACAGACTGCCATGTTACTTTACGTACCCAGTACCCACATAATTAAACAAACAAAGGATAATAGGATATGCAACATTTAGGCTATAGTTCTCATTCGTTTTTTTTTTTCTTTTTTCTTTTTTACTGCTACAATACCATACACTAATTACATAGCTCCTCCTGCACTATGTCCTCGAACTTCTCCATGGCCGAAATCGGCAAAGCAAGAAACACATTGAAGCTCCCTTTCTCCGTCGGGTGGCTCAAAAACACTACCGTATCGTCCGACGGGATCTCCACCGGCTCGCTCAGAATCGGCTCTCCCCACCCGAAATCCGTCGCGGAGAACGACAAGCTCGACCACGTCGTCGCCGTCATCGTGCTGTAACCCCTCGGCCGCTTCGCTCTCGTGGCCTCGCAGTAATCGATCGTCGACCTCAAAACCCTGTCATTCACGCTCCTCACCGCTTCCCGAATTTTGACCACGGCGTGGGAAACCGGCTCTTGAATTAGCTCCGCCGCCAAGCTGTGCGCCGGGGTGAACTTTATCGCATTCCCAAAATACCCCTTTGGCAGAGGCGGCTCGAATCTCCCCCGCGTGTTGACGACCAGTAAGATTCTAGTAAGCTGATCCGGCGCCGTATTGAGCGCCCGAGTTCGAGCTCTCCACGTGAAGGCCGAGAGGGCTTCGTAGGTGGAGCAGGGTTTGGTTAATCCGGTTGTTTTGGATTTCGCCGTTTGGATCATTTGCGGGGTGAACTTGAGGTACTTGTACGCCATTATCTCTTCGTTGGAGAAGTCGTTGATGGCAGAGGATTTGTCTTCGATGGGTTCGAATTCGGAATGGTGAAACTCGATTTTTGGCGGGGTTCGAGCTTTGAGAATCGTCCTGTCGAGAAATGGCGGGACGGATATGGGCAATCCTCTTGCTGTTTCGGCCCAAGAAACGATGAATTCCGCGGCGGCTTGACCGTCGGCAAGCACGTGGTTGAAGGAGATTCCTAGTACGAATCCTCCACACTTGAATTTGGTTACCTGATAGTAGAAAGGAGAGGACCAAAAGAAAATAACTTTTAGCGACCAAACATCGAAATAATCTTTTTTTGTCACCGATATTAAGCCTGACCACATTTTACTGACGCAAAAAGGTTAGTCTTTGCAAAGAGAAAAATCGTTACCTGAGCCATCAAAGGGATCTCGAATTTGTTCCCAACGCCAGGAACATCAAAGGCAGCCAGCTTGCCACGTGTAGCCTTATCCGGCTTCGAAAAATCAACGTCATCCAACCCACAGTCGGCCTCCGCCTCAATGAACACAACCCCTTCGCCGGTGCAATTCACAGCGAACCCACCCTCCGGCGAGAGGATCAGCCGGCCGGCCAGAGGGTAGTAGTGAACCAGAACCTTGCTCAGGGCATTCTTGATCACCTCTCCGGCCTCCTGGCCCCCGGACTTGAAGCAGTAGAGCGTGTGGATGATGGTCAAGTCGTCGTCGACGTTGGAGAGGAAGTAAACTCTTCCCTGATTGTTGTCCACCGCCGGCGGGACCAAAGTTGGATTCCCTTTCTTCACTTGGAAGAACTCATCATGTGGGTTTCGTTTTCCATCGTCCATTTTCCCCACCATTGTGATATTTTGAGTGGTTGGTTTTTTAGTTGAGTAATTTTTTGATTGTGTGGTGTTGATAAGCTGGACTGTGCCCAAGAATGGATATATATAGCGCGGAAGGGTTTTAGTTTTTTTTTTGTTAACAAAAAACCACTTTTCTCTAAAATAATGTAGGGGAAAGCTAGCGCTTTGAATTTCTAGTAAATTATTGGGTTTTTTTTCTCTCTTCGAAAGTCTACCATGACGGCAAGGTTGAGAGATTCTTTTGTTCCAATTCGATGCAGGCGGAAGCTTATGCTATTCTCAGTGGAGTGACATTGGCGGCTCGGGAACAACGCTCAGCTTGTGTCAAATCTGATTGTCAGATTTTGGTGAATGCTCTTAAGCTTGTTCCGGACCAGTGGCCTTGGGGAAAGCTTTACTTGCTCGTGTCTCGACCATTCTCGTCTCGGCTCCGTGGGTGAAAGTGATGTTTGTTCCTAGACGTCACAATCAGTTGGCCGACTGGGTTGCTCGTAATGCAAGATTAGGTGCTCTCCCACGAGATTGGATCATTTTTGCCAATTTGTTGTCTCCTTTGTTGTAATCAACTGTATTTCCATTGTTTCGATTTGGAATGAAAGTGCCCCAATTTGTCAAAATAAAAAAAGAAAGTCTACCATGCAAGTAGTATGAGTTGTGATATATTACTGTAGATCGTTACACATGTGAGCTGATGCTGACTGGAACCAAGATGGTTATATCAAGTTGCCGAGTAAGTAGTATGAGAAGTTATATCGAGTTGATAAGAAGAAATGTAGTGGTGAGACTAGGGGTGGCTATTTGGTCCGTACTTTTTGGTTTTATCCGAAACTGGACCGTATAATTCGGATCGAGATCGGACCGGCACATGATAGCAAACAATCCAATCTCATTTTTGGGCTTAGATTTGAGGTAAAAATCCGTACAGGACCGGATCGAAAATCGGATAAAGACCGTATAAGAGAGCCCAACACTCAAAACCTAACCAACTCCTCACCCTTTCAGGCCTTAGGCCACTAAAATTCTCACAAACTCAATCTAAAATCAAGACCGAATTGGGACCGGACGGTCAAAACAGGACCGGATCAAGACCGGACTGTATCCAATCCAATTTTTGCTCCTTATATTCCCGAAAAGATCGGACTGATTCCGGATCAATTTGGCCAATTCAACCGGACCAGACCATATAGTCACTCCTAGGCGACGAGATATATAATTGTTTATGGAATGAATTGGGAGGAGAGTAGCTTACATAGCTAGCTAGGGTAGCCAATTAGCCACTGAATATCGATGGAGTGTTGCACAAAAAACCTTGGTTGGCGAGGGTTGTTGTATGAAGATAGTGAGATATCATTATCATCGATCGATCTGCCAACATTTATATGGAAAAATGTGACTTTGGCAAGTATTCTTTGTGTTCACAACTGTATCTACCACAGATACTTATCATTAATGCTATCAATATCATGGGGTCGAAACACATATAGTATCATTATTAGTTATTTCATCATATCACCAAGCAATCTTTTTATGTATTTAACCGCTTATATAGTCGTAAATAGGTGTCAATAATTTTATTGATCTTCTTAATTATAATCTCACATACAAATTACTCAAATCATGGGAAGCAATCAATCAAAATAACATATTTTACAGGGCACTCATGAAACTAACAACAATACTTTAACTCCATAGAGAGACACACCAAGAGAAAGAAAAAGGGTTTAGCGAAAGAAGGAACAAAAGAGATAGAAGTTCATGACAATATGTAAATCCATGCGAGAAGATATCTCATAATCATCATCAATTTCTAGATGATTTCTTGCCACAACTTTTGAAAAATCCTCATTGCAGAAGATGGCAGCCCTGCATACGCATTCAAGCTACCTTTCTCCTTTGGATGAGCCAGAAATATGATTACCTCATCCACAGGCAGCTCTGCCGGTCCAGTCATAACCGGCTCGCCCCAACCAAAATCGGTCGAGCCAAAAGCCAATCGTGACCAAGCAGTCGAGATCATCGTACAACCCATTGGTCTTTTGGTCCTATGCACCTCATAGTAATCAATCCCAGACCTCAATTGGCTATCTGTAACGCTTCTGATCGCCTCTTGAACTTTACCAACCGCATAAGAAAGTGGCTTGTCGACCAAGTCACCAGCCAAGCTTATAGCACTAATGAACTTGATCGCATTGCCAAAGTAGCCTCTTGGCAATGGTGGGTCGAACTTGTTCCTTGTGTTCACCACAAGCAGGATTCTGGTCTCTTGATCAGCTGCCATCTTCAGGGCCTTGGCTCGAGCTCTCCATGCAAAAGCCGACAGGGCCTCGTAAGAGCTGCAAAATTGTACGAGCCCTGGAGGACTAGGCCCGTGTATTTCAGCTGCGATTTGTCGCTTCAACTTTTGGATCATTTGTTCGTTGATGTAGATGTAGTCGTAGATGGTTTCTTCTTTGTTATTTGTCGATGATGACTTATCTTCTAAGACGTCGTACTCGGCGTGGTGGTACTCAATTCTCGGTGGGTTTCGAGCTTTGAGGATGGTTCTGTCGAGGAAAGGTTGGACAGAGAGAGGTAATCCTCGAGCTGTTTCTGCCCATGCGTTGATGAATTCCATGGCTGCCTGTCCATCTGCAATGAGATGGTTGAACGAGACTCCCAGCACAAACCCTCCACATTTGAACTTGGTCACCTAAAGAAAATGGAATCGTAAAAGTTATTTTTATTTTTATAATGGTGACATGTCTTGTTTTTATAGTAAGGTAGTATTTGAAAGTTCGAAATTGTGACCTTCTAGTTCAAAATTTGTGTTATGTTAGGTGAAGGAGTGGATGACAAATAACATCGATATACAAATACAACACTTGTCGGAAACACTCTAGTTTGATACCATATTCATATACATGAATCATGAGAGGAGGGATTATAACATGTGATCTCCCGGTTCAAGACTAGTGTTAGATTGGGTAACATGCATGATATCATATTCTTAACTAACTGCTATATATACGTATGGTATGGGGTAACATGCATGATATGTATTGATCATATGCCTACCTGAATCATGAGAGGAGGGATTTGAAATATGCTCTTCACACCAGGAATCTCGTACACCAACTTGCCACGTGTTTCCGCATCAGGCTTGGAGAAGTCAATGCTGCCCAAGGAGCAATTTGCTTCGGCCTCCACGAAAAACACACCCTCGCCGGTGCAATCCACGGCGAGCCTCCCCTCGTCTGCCGTGGTCACCAGCCGGCCGGCGAGAGGATAGTAGTGGACAAGAACTTTGCTCAAAGCATTCTTGATCACTCCCGAAGGATCATTAGCATTAGTGTTCCTATGCTGATAACAGTAAATGGTACGGACTAGGTTTTCGTCCTCGTCGACGTTGGAGAGGAAGTAGATTCCTCTCTTCGTCTCCTCGGCTGGTGTTACCAAAACGGGCTCCCATTTCTTCACAATGAGATGATAATCATAATTCTCAACGTAGTTTCCCATGGGTTTGATTTGGAGAATGAAAAACAGAGCTTGTCTATATTAAAGGCTAGCTAGAAGAAGCGAGTTACATATATGCACGGTTTGTTTGTGTCAATTGAAAGAAGTAGCGGGTGGCCTTATATAGAGAGATAACGTAACCTAATATATATGAACTATGACCAACTTATATAAAAAAACACACACCTTATCTACAAAACCTAACTACTTTGGTGCATGTTGAATGGATTCTAAGCCACAAATTCTTTGGTGGGATCATAGAATCACTTCATCATTTTGGTGCAGGTAGGTAGGTTAGCATTAAATTTTTCTTGACAATTTTGAGAATTTGACTCTAACTAGGGTGGCGATGGCGATGAAAAAAAAAAGTCCATTTCAACTCTTCTTTTCTCTTGTAGATGATCATGTAAGCCTAGGATTTGAACATATATATTGTCTTTCTTATCATTACTATTTTCAGATTCATCATGTACACATGGATGGGAAGCAAAACTTGATCTTAAAAGTATTCAACACTTCGCAGACTAGAATTCTTTGGAGAAAAAATCGTATATCATCCTCTCATACGCCCCCTCAAACGAAAGCCGAGGCCGAATTGTGGATTTTTATGGTTTGCACAGGTTGAACCCTTGTGCTACCAAACCACGAGGCTTTAGTTTGCACAGGTTGGACATACCATTCCTTGTGCTAAACGAATTGGCATGAAATGGGGGTCGTTATGAGGATTCGAAACCATGACCTTTCGATTGTAGGCTCTGATACCATGTTAGCGAACTAACCACTTAGTCCCAATAACTCGAGTTGTTGGAAATGGATAGTTAAGCCTTTTAACCTCTTATAATACATAACAAACTTAACCAGCCTTTGTGGGCATCTTTGTTGTATTAGTAAAAAAAAACACATGTCGTTCTTGAGGAAGTTTATAATGCTTCATATCATCACTGTTTTCATTTAAAATAAAATGGTATAATTTCAACTTGTGCCTTCAACATTATTGTACAATTTAGTTTGTACCCATACAAATTCATTTATGGTATAAACTGAACTTGTACCTTTAATGTTATGGTGCATATTTAGTTTGTAGCTATACATTTTGACATTTTCATACAAATCCCTTTATATACAGATTGACCTTGTACCCAGGGGCGGAGGGAGACAGTTAGAGGGTGGGTCCCGGGACCCACTCTGGCTCGGGTTAGAAAATGGTCAATTAGGTACAATAGTTAATTGGGTATGAAAAATAATACGTATTTAAATAAAATTGGTAGACCTTTGAAATATTTGATGTATGATTTATAATGAGCTTTGACATATTCAATACATTTATAACGAGCTATGTACAAATGATAATGATGTATATGATTCGCCCAAAATTGAAGATGTATGTATTTAATATTTACAACAAATTTCCACCAAATCATAATTCATTTGTAAAAATAATTTTATTTCAATCAGGGATAGGGAGATTGTAACAGGTGTTTCCTAAGGACGAAAATGAGTAAATTAGTATAATAGTTAATTGATAATGAAATTTAGGGCACTTCTAATTGAGAATGGTTAACCGAGATATCATTTGTTCGAATCTTTGTAACCCCATTTGTTAAACACATGATATTCGGATTTACGTAAACTTTAAGCACACATAAGTTGGTTGTAGTAAGCAGGAAAGTGTTAGTAAATACTAAATAGTATTAGATTCATTATTAAATCTTTCCTAACAACTCGAGTTAATGAGACACAACGGTCTTGACGAAGAACATGATTCAAAAGAAAATGCATAACTAAATCATAAATAATTGTTTGATACATATATGGTGATATTCTTGTTAGTTTTGACATAAAATTTAATTTACCAAGTTTTTGCAAATACAAAATTATATCATGAACGATTTAGAAAGCTAACAAAATTATTTTATCATATGTATTTTTTTCTAAATGGGCCCACCCTCGACAAAATCCTGGCTACGCCCCTGTTTGTACCCAGTGGCGGACCCAGGATTTTGGTATAGTTGTGTCGGCCAATAAAAAAGATTTAATTAATTAATTTAAAATAAACATAAAAAATTTATTCATGAAGTTCATCAATTTTAGTATTTTACAGTGAACCACGACAAGTTTTCATATTCTGAAAAAAAAAATTTATTTACATTTTCTCATTAGGTTGCAAATCAAATATTTATTTATGTACACAACTAAAAAATTATTCATAAATTGATCACTCAACTTATACCAAGATTTTTCTCAATTAAACTCATATATGGAAAATGTCATTTTGTAGCTTATAATTGCAATAAGTAAAGTCAACACTAATTTAATATGAGAAAGCTGGTATGAGAAGCTGAAAGGGTGGCCACAGGCATCAATGTGTAAGTTTGAATGAGAATGAGGATGTCGTCGACTCGATGCCGACAATTGGATGGCGGCGATAGGCGTCAACGTATAAAGAAATAGCTAAACTAGAAAGCAAGTAGAAAGTTAAACTTAAGAAGAATCCATGGAAGAAGTTATGGGGAAAGACAGTATGGAATTCACTATCTAATTACTTGACTCAACCAGATTATTAATCAATTTAATTCTCATTCAATTTATTGAGGTTATCTCTAAGGTGATAGCTATCTTTCCGAATACTCACTACCTACGTAGTAAGTAGTCAATTAATTGTTTACTCTTGTACAACCAACTACTTAACTACCTAATTTGAAATCCGATAATTCCTACATTTACATATTTTAATACTATTATCACAATAGTTTTTTTGTAATATAATAAGATTAAGGTGTGTCGATTACAATTATTGGAGGTGTGTCGGAGGCCCCGTATGTACGAATTTTTTACACCGAAAAAATGTGGGTTCCTCACAAAAATTTCGGAGCAAGGTGGGTCGGTGACGCACCTTGCTACAAGGTGGGTCCGCCCCTGCTTGTACCTTTGACATTATGGTAGAAGTTCACTTTATACTTATGCATTTTCATACAAATTTTATTTATGGTACAAACTAAATTTGTATCTTTTGTACATGTTTAACTTATATCTTAAAACACCACTACTTTATATAGTGTCGTTCGTTATTATTAGGTCTTTAATTAGGGTTGGAACACACCAACACAATGTATCTTTAATTAACAAAGACATTAACAACATATGAAAACTAATTTGATGATTTAATTTTTTTTCTCCTCGCCAAAATATTTGATCCAATTCAGTGAACCGCCATCAACATATTGAAATCCTAATTGCATGTCCCTTTTTTCCTTGCTTTAATTTGTCCACGGGTATGGTAAGGTGTCAAAATCAAGCAGACCAATTTCGATGTCAACTCTTCATGGAACTTCATTTCAATCCCAACCTTTCATTTGTTGTTTTCTCTATTCCAGCTGGCACGCGTACAGAAGCAATCAACGTTCCTTCAAACAAATATATATCAATCAAGTTGATAATAGTCCCATCAAAATCAATGACTGAATTGTCATTTTCGCTAATTAGAACTCGATTTGAAAACCCATCATTAAGTTTTTAGTCCAATATGCAATAGGATGAAAAATGCTGCAAACCTAAATGCAAACTTATATAGTACGAGTTATCATGATTAATTCGAATAATCTAGTATAGTATCTATGTATAGATTGATAGATTGATAATCGACGTGCCTGCAGCTTTGGCTCAGCATGCATGTCGTGTTCGAGCTGTGGAAAATGTCATGAGTGGTCTAGCTAGTTTGCTTGAGCAAGCAACAAGTAACAATGTTGGTTGGCCTTATCGATCTCTTCTTATTTTGACTCGATTATGAGGAAAAGATGGGCTTAACTTTTCACAAGACAATGAGAGGAATCTCTACCGACCAGCTGCTAGGGGCCATACGATTGATCTCTTCTTGTATTTTTCATTGAATTTCTCATGAAAAGATGGGCTTAACCTTTCACACTATCGGTGGCAATGAGAGGAATCTCCACCGATTATTAGGAGAGGGAGACTAATAACCCATTATTATTGTTACACTTGCAGTTGTAGGTTGCACACACAAAATTCAAACCACAACAATGTTATTTTCTTACTCGACAATGGACTGTAGCTCATAAAAAAAGGTTGATCATGGATATATACAAAGCTCATATAAATTCATCATATGCACATAGTGTTTTAAATCAACCATGTTAATTCATCATAAATATATATGAATCGGTTTTCTAACATAATATTGGAACGTGAAAAAATTATAAAAAATTATTATATGTAGGATTTTTCTTAACAACTCAAATTATTAACATTCACATTATATATATACGTTATTCGAGAATAATAATTTCTCCCCTTAAATAATGAACAACTTTCTAAAACTTTCTAATTAGTCCAAGTTTTCGGCTGTCAATTAAAGCTTTTGGACCCAAGGTTGTTGGAAAACCAACCGTTATCTCTACACTCTAAAACCTACTAATTCCCCCTATGGATCGCGAGTGGTTTCATTTTTCCAAATTTGGTCATCAGTATCTCTCCACTCCTCCAGCCCATTTCTGTATCTTTGTATTTTCCACCATTTTTGAAGGTAGGTGGTATGTGGTGTGGTAACGTTGAATACAAGTGTGTGGCTCGTGATGATTGATTTGATCATTTCGTACGTACCCGTATAATACTCGTATACTAATTAATTTGTATTTAAGATATGTGATCACGTAATATTGTACAACTGTCTCATTTTTTCTCATTCGTCTAATAGTTCACGTAATAAACATGTGTAAAGTACTTACAAAATGTTACATATATACACGCACTTTAATATTGAAATTCCGTTGAAAACTTAATAATTTTTTTATATTTATATTTAATTTTCAGATTATATATTACAAATATTCTATAACTGGAACCAAGCTTTTAAATACATTGTTATGCTAGAATGATGTATAGAGTTCCGTACGTATTTAACTAACTATATACACTGCTTAAGTTAAATGAAAGCAATTATCGTTAAGGTATAGTAAATTTAGGACAGTAAGATTATGTGAAGTTGCTAACTTGCATTGGCATTTGGCATGCATATTTAATAATTTGCACGTAGCTAGACACCAGTCCTTCCTTGGTAATATTTACTTTTTGTGATTAGATACTATTTCGACCTTCTCTTCTTACATTTGATGAATTTTAAATCATATAAAAATAAATATGATGGGCTATTAGAATATTGAACAAAAATGCAACCAAAGAAATATCTAACAAAACGGCACCATATTGAAAAGACGCTATTGTAATCTCATGCCAAATAGCATTTACCTTACAAACCTTCTTAATTATAATTTCAAATTCAAACAACTCGAATCCAAGAAGCAATCAATTGTAATATATTTTACATAACACTCCCAAAATTTAACTGAAGCGTTAATCTTTTGGGAGGAACAACAAAATACATGACTCCATAGTCCATACACATTTAAAAAAGACAGGGAAAAAAAAAAAACTTAGCAAAAGAAGGAAGGAGAGATATCATTTTTCACTCCAACATGTGATTTCATAACGAGACGGTTTCATTATTCCTATCTCCAATTTTTAAACTATTTCTTGCCACAACTTTTGGAAACTCCTCATAGCAGACGTTGGCAACCCAACATACGCATTCAAGCTGCCTTTCTCCTTTGGATGAGCCAGAAATATGATCACCTCATCCACAGGCAACTCGACCGGTCCAGTCATAATCGGCTCGCCCCAGCCAAAATCGGTCGAGCCAAAAGCCAACCGCGACCAAGCAGTCGAGATCATTGTACAACCCATCGGTCTTTTGGTCTTGTGCACCTCATAGTAATCAATCCCAGATCTCAGCTGACTGTCTGTAACGCTCCTGATCGCCTCTTGAACTTTTCCGACCGCATATGAAAGTGGCTTGTCGACCAAGTCACCGGCCAAGCTTACAGCACTGATGAACTTGACCGCATTGCCAAAATACCCTTTTGGCAATGGTGGGTTGAACTTGTCTCTCGTGTTCACCACAAGGAGGATTCTGGTCTCTTGGTCTGCCGCCATCTTCAGGGCCTTGGCTCGAGCTCTCCATGCAAAAGCAGACAAGGCCACGTAGGAGCTGCAAAGTCTTACGGGACCTGGAGGAGTACTAGGCCCGTGTATTTCAGCTGCGATTTGTCGCTTCAACTTTTGGATCATTTGCTCGTTGATGTAGATGTAGTCGTAGATGGTTTCTTCTTTGCTGTTTGGTGGTGCCGATTTGTCTTCTAACATGTCGTACTCAGCATGGTGGTACTCGCTTCTCAGTGGGTTTCGAGCTTTGAGGATGGTTCTGTCGAGGTAAGGCTGGACAGAGAGCGGCAATCCTCGAGCTGTTTCGGCCCATGAGTTGATGAATTCCATGGCCGCCTGTCCATCTGCGGTGAGATGGTTGAACGAGACTCCCAGCACGAATCCACCGCATTTGAACTTGGTCACCTAAAGGAAATTCATTTGTTGTTAGCGTGATACAAATTAAATAGGTCAACCAAATAACAACAAACACCGGAAATGCTTATAATTTGATACCATTCTATATTAATGACATATACCTGGATCATGAGAGGAGGGATCTCAAAGATGCTCTTCACACCAGGAATCTCATACACCAACTTGCCACGTGTTTCCGCGTCAGGCCTGGAGAAGTCAACGCTCCCCAACGTGCAATTCGCTTCCGCCTCCACGAACAACACGCCCTCGCCGGTGCAGTCCACGGCGAGCCTCCCCTCGTCGGCGGTGGTCACCAGCCGGCCGGCGAGAGGGTAGTAGTGGACAAGAACCTTGCTCAAAGCATTCTTGATCACCTCCGAAGGACCGTGATCATCGTTAGTTTTCTTATGCTGATAACAGTAAATGGTACGGACGAGGGTTTCGTCCTCGTCGACGTTGGAGAGGAAGTAGATGCCTTTATTCGTCTCCTCGACCGGTGTGACCAAAACGGGCTCCCATTTCTTCACGGTGAGATGATGATCATAATCGCAATCCTCAACGTAGTTTCCCATGGGTTTGATTTGGAGAATGAAAGAAGCTAGGGTGAGGAAAAGAGAGCTTAATTGTCTAGTAAAGGCTATTTGCTAAGCACGGTTTGTTTGTGTCATTAGAAGGAGGAGAGGGTGTCCTTATATAGAGAGATATAAGGAACCTAAACGTTTGAACGACTCAAAGTCTTAATATATTCATTATTTATGTTGGAAGATTGATTGCCTTTATATTAATGTGTTGTTAAAAGGTGGTACTGAAAATTACATAAATTATCTAAAGAGTTTTAATAATTAGAGTTATACAAGGGAAAGGAACCAAAACATTATTTGTAGTATTAGCCTCTTATGTTGAACTAATAAAACACCAGACGCTTCTATCCATCACCACTAGATTGATTCTATTGCTACTATTAGTTTTTTAAATAATAGTATTTGTTATATTTGGTTGGCTTCTACACCTATAAAATCCATATTAGACTAGCTAGAGGGACTACATTAACGAGTGGACCTTCGATTTCCAAGAATAGAGATTAAGGTATGCGAGGAATATTAGACTTCATTAAAAGGAAACCAGGTGCAAGTCGTAGACTATGGAAAGAATAATTGCTGCATAAAGGGGATCATAAACAACGATGTATTAGTTATTCTATATATAAATATAATTTTGATATGATTCGTCCTATTCAATTTGTTTATTTTACCTGCTTTGTAGGCGGGATGGGATGATAATGAGTACTCTATATTTAACATGATACATCTCATTCTGGACATTAGTTTTTTAATTATATATAAATTTATATTTAGAATTTAACTTGTATTACTATGTGAGAATCTTAAAGTATAGAATAATTTAACTCCATTTATCATGTCATAGTTTATTTCTTGATTTTTTAATAAAAAGTTAATGTATTCTAGTCTTCCCTTTTAAAATACGTACTGCACTGAGATGATCAGGCCTACCCGACTTGTACTCCGAAATAAAATAGCCAACTTGTCATGGAATGAGTATGGATACTAAAATACTCGGTCCAACTGTCGATTGTCAATCCCACCTGTTTTGCTACAAGTAAGTAAGGTGTAGTTAGGTACTATATGTGTCTATTTAATTGGATGGTCAATGGCAATATTGCTGTACTTAATACGATAATTATAATTAAGTACCTTAACCGCGGACCTAAGTTTTAGGTGGAAACCTAACCTTGGAGTTAAATGACTATATAACGATAATGACACAACTTGCCTTTAATTTGAGCACAACGACTAAACCTCCAATATCATTTGGTAAATGATTTTCGATGGTTTTAGGTATTCATGCATGTTTCTTGCTCACAGCTCAGCCCCACCGACCAATGTACAAAGTTAGTAATTAATTTTTAAAAAAAAAATAATCTTATATTGATTGGCAAAAATAGATAGCTACATTCTGGAATTCAGCCAGGTCTGAAAATCAAAATAGCGACACATAGATGGGAACAAAGACATGGACTTCCTAGCTACCAAATGAGCTACCCTATTGCTATCCCGACCTACAAGTCGCACACTGAAGCCCGAATTATCCGCAAGCATCCGCACAATCTCCTCCAAAATAGCCCCCACTCGACTATCCCTCACATCCACATGTTGGATTTTATCAATAACCTCCTTGGCATCCCCTTCAAATTGCATCATCGAAAGCCCATGCTCCAAGCACCAACGGATAGCCTCCCGAAGGGTAAGTAACTCTGCCACCAAGGGATCATCAATAAAAGGGAACTGCATCCCGACAGCCCATAGGACGTCTCCTGACTCGTTAAGGACAACCATCCCACCAGCAGCATGTGACCCCCTACGAAATGCTCCATCCCGCCGACACACTGGCCCCCCGACCCTCCGACCGCCACCAAAGGGTTTTCCTGGATAACCATTGTATCGGATTGAGGATCAGGCGGCAAACGAAGCCACTCACCAACCTGCTGATTATACTGCCTCATTAAGGCAGGAATCCCAAACTGTTTGCCTTCAAAGACAACCCAATTCCGAGATTTCCAGATCCTCCAAAGGACGGCAGTTACCAACAGGAACTGCGAGGGTTGGTGCAAGATAGAGAGCAACTTTTTTAGAAAGAAGGGGAACGTATGACGAGGCAAACCTTCACAAAGATACTCTAAACCGGACTGAGCCAAAAGCGCCCTGGCCACAAGACAGTCAAGGAACAGATGCTCCATTGTCTCCGCCGCAGCCCAGCAAACCGGGCATCGAGTACAAACCTCAACATCCCGCTCAATAAGCGCTCCAATCGTCGGTAGAATTTTATTAAAAATTTGCCAAACAAACACCTTCAACTTTGGGGGAATATTGGCGTTCCAGAGCCGGATCCAATTCTCCCTATCCATCCAGCTAACCTGAGCCTGCCATCGACCATATTGTGGATCCAAACCAACCGCCAGGTGATACGCCGACTTCACCGAGAAGACACCAGCCGCAGTGCCATGCCAGATCAGCCGATCCTCAATATTTTGCCTTAGAAGGGAGATTGCTTTATTCGCCTTGCAAGTTTGGGGATCAAACCATTGACTGAGCTTATCATCACACCAGCGCCCTTCCCCCGAGCAAAGAACTTCAGCGACCTTCACATCATCATCCGCAGGCAAGACTCGAGGGTTAAACACTAGGGGAAATAGCTGCTGCGGGACCCAGTTCGACTCGATGTGATTAACCATAAAACAAATTGCTAACAACTTCCGGAAAAGAATGACATCTATAATGGAAATAAAATTAATATCAATAATCGTATGAGTTTTCTTATATTTAAATATACTAAAAAAAATTATTTCCCCTAATATCTATAGTTTTGTTGAAATGTTTTCAGTTGCAATTTTAATAATATTTGTGCCTTGAAGGTTTTCTAATTTTGAGATAATATTTACTCAATTAATATCATTTAGAATGTTTTTAGTAGTTTTGGGTACCAAAAGGTAATTAAAAGTAAGTAAAATTTTGGGATAGATAGATCAAAGGGGTACATTTTTGACAGACTCCAAAGGGGTACCATCACAGATTTCGGGCGATTTTTCCGAAATGCCATTTTCTTTCGATTTTGGAGGCTACAGATCACGGATTCGGCTCGAGGCTATTCTCCACCGATAATAAAGTCTATTGATCCTATTCTGCGCCGATGATTAAGTAAATTAAGCACCGAATTGGGCCAATAAAATTTGGGATGGCATTTTCGTAATTATTTGAGCAATTTTTTTCGAAATGCCATTTTCCTTGGATTTTGAAGGATAAAGATGGTGGATTCGACCTGAGGCTATTCTTCAACGACGATTAAGTCCATCTAGGGCCAATTTGGGCGGATTTCTTCCGGGTCCATTTTTGGCAGACTCCAAAGGGGTACCATCACAGATTTCGGGTGATTTTTCCGAAATGCCATTTTCTTTCGATTTTGGAGGCTACAGATCACGGATTCGGCTCGAGGCTATTCTCCACCGATAATAAAGTCTATTGATCCTATTCTGCGCCGATGATTAAGTAAATTAAGCACCGAATTGGGCCAATATAATTTGGGATGGCATTTTCGTAATTATTTGAGCAATTTTTTTCGAAATGCCATTTTCCTTGGATTTTGAAGGATAAAGATGGTGGATTCGACCTGAGGCTATTCTTCAACGACGATTAAGTCCATCCAGGGCCAATTTGGGCGGATTTCTTCCGGGTCCATTTTTGGCAGACTCCAAAGGGGTACCATCACAGATTTCGGGTGATTTTTCCGAAATGCCATTTTCTTTCGATTTTGGAGGCTACAGATCACGGATTCGGCTCGAGGCTATTCTCCACCGATAATAAAGTCGATTGATCCTATTCTGCGCCGATGATTAAGTAAATTAAGCACCGCATTGGGCCAATATATTTTGGGATGGCATTTTCGTAATTATTTGAGCAATTTTTTTCGAAATGACATTTTCCTTGGATTTTGAAGGATAAAGATGGTAGATTCGACCTGAGGCTATTCTTCAATGACGATTAAGTCCATCCAGGGCCAATTTGGGCGAATTTCTTCCGGGTCCATTTTTGGCAGACTCCAAAGGGGTACTATCACAGATTTCGGGTGATTTTTCCGAAATGCCATTTTCTTTCGATTTTGGAGGCTACAGATCACGGATTCGGCTCGAGGCTATTCTCCACCGATAATAAAGTCTATTGATCCTATTCTGCGCCGATGATTAAGTAAATTAAGCACCGAATTGGGCCAATATATTTTGGGATGGCATTTTCGTAATTATTTGAGCAATTTTTTTCGAAATGCCATTTTCCTTGGATTTTGAAGGATAAAGATGGTGGATTCGACCTGAGGCTATTCTTCAACGACGATTAAGTCCATCCAGGGCCAATTAAGTCCATCACAGATTTCGGGTGATTTTTCCGAAATGCCATTTTCTTTCGATTTTGGAGGCTACAGATCACGGATTCGGCTCGAGGCTATTCTCCACCGATAATAAAGTCGATTGATCCTATTCTGCGCCGATGATTAAGTAAATTAAGCACCGCATTGGGCCAATATATTTTGGGATGGCATTTTCGTAATTATTTGAGCAATTTTTTTCGAAATGACATTTTCCTTGGATTTTGAAGGATAAAGATGGTAGATTCGACCTGAGGCTATTCTTCAATGACGATTAAGTCCATCCAGGGCCAATTTGGGCGAATTTCTTCCGGGTCCATTTTTGGCAGACTCCAAAGGGGTACTATCACAGATTTCGGGTGATTTTTCCGAAATGCCATTTTCTTTCGATTTTGGAGGCTACAGATCACGGATTCGGCTCGAGGCTATTCTCCACCGATAATAAAGTCTATTGATCCTATTCTGCGCCGATGATTAAGTAAATTAAGCACCGAATTGGGCCAATATATTTTGGGATGGCATTTTCGTAATTATTTGAGCAATTTTTTTCGAAATGCCATTTTCCTTGGATTTTGAAGGATAAAGATGGTGGATTCGACCTGAGGCTATTCTTCAACGACGATTAAGTCCATCCAGGGCCAATTAAGTCCATCACAGATTTCGGGTGATTTTTCCGAAATGCCATTTTCTTTCGATTTTGGAGGCTACAGATCACGGATTCGGCTCGAGGC